AGGCACTTGCTCGTAGAGCAAGTGTGGCGCCGCGTAAACGCGGCCGCCAAACTCGGAAGGAGGGGTGGGTCCCCCTGACGAGGTCCTTGGCACGGTTACTAGTCCTTATCCACTCCGTTCCCCATCTGCCTGTTTCCCCCGGCTCGGACGCCGTGACCGTGACCCGTCAACCGTAAACCGCGCCTGCGTTTGACCCTCTACCATATGAAGCAGACTTCATTTCCTCGCCATGCCAAACATCCTCTGCTTGGCCATATCGGACTTCGACTGATGTGTCCCATCTGTCACTGATCACAAAGAGAAAGCCCGGTAGAAAACACCGTCCGCAACGTCCGGAAGGGATGACGGCGTCGTCGCCCCTCCATCAACATATTGTCTGATGACCACATACCACCTATCCGTTTGTCCATCACCACAACTGATATCCTCGACATGCTCCCGAGATTGTCGTAACCCTCGCAGTTACAGTTAAGGCACAAGCGATACGCCTTTCGTCGCCATGTCGTACTTTCTCCCGTCCTACTTCCAGAAGCGGCTGCTTCGATATGCCCTCACTCGCCTCGATTTCATCGATTCCGACGAACTCGACCTGGACAACCTTGGGCTAACCTGGGGTCAGAGGACCGTTATCGAACTGAAAAATGTCGGCATCAAAGTTAAGCGGCTGCGAGATATCCTACAGATCCCGCCTTCCGTTATCCTCACCCATGCCTCGATCAGGTTGCTACGCCTTACCTTGCCCGCCGATCTACACATTTCTGGTATCGAGGTCGAAGTTGATGGAGTAGAGATACTGGTTGGAATTCGGGCAGACAACCTTTCTGGGAAGCCAGACATATCTTCAACGAAAGGAGGTTCTGCGCCCAGTAAGACAGACAGAGCGAACCTTCCCCGGTCATCCTCTCCTGCAGTCCATGATCCAGGCGGCAGGCCGTCATCACAGAGCCCTGGACGACATTTAGAACTCTCTCAAGTTATCCCAACCTCGGAAGACCTCGCAACGTCATTCCTAAAGGATGAATCTCCCGACGAACGTGAGGAGCTGCAGGCGGCTTTGGAGTCTCAGTCTCTGTATATGCAAGAGTCGGTGTCGTCGGCGCCCGGGGAAGATGTCGGCCTGGGCATGCCTGGAGGGTTGTCACTTCCGACATTCGTCGCCAACTTTCTGAAAGGCGTCGCAGGTCGTCTTTCTGTAAAGGTGACCAATGTCAGTGTCCTTCTTGACCTGGATCTCTCTGTGGGAGAAGGTTCCCAGGCGGATCACACCAAGTTCCTGGTCTCGATTGCCACAATCGTGGTGGAACCGCTACCGCAGTCTGGGGAGGCCGGTGTCCTTGCTGATATGCGGTGCTCGGTAGCCGTCGACGATATCAATATGTTTGTGCTATCTGAATCCGAGACATTGTCGGAGATATCTGGACTAAGCTCCCCGAGAATCTCCAAGTCACGGCCGAAACTCTCCCGCCCGAATGCGCCTAGCGATAGCAGTGATCAGGTTCGCTCAAGCAGTGCCAGCCTAAGCCAGCAATCAGACCGCGGCAAACCGTCATCCTCTCTAAATAGTCCTGCCTTCGGCCTAGGGCTCGATCATCTTTCACTTTCCGACCAAGGACCGTCGAATCATGGACGGAAAGTTCCAGTCTTGCGTCAGTCGTCCGATGATATGCAATTAATCGCTCACAGCGAACATGCGGAAGGGTCCATCGGCTCCCCCTCTCACTATAGCGAACAAGGAACTATTCTGGAAGAAGCAAGATCGGAAGACCTGATGGAATCGAGGCTATATACTCACGATGAAGCTGAGAGCATGTACATGAGCGCGGTGAGTGGCGAAGTGGCTATGCCTGGCGGTTGGGCATCATCCAACATTGCCGCGGAGGCAGAAGAAGGAGCAGAAGATGGGTTCGCCTTGCAAAGTTCATCGCACGGTGTTGAGCACACCTCCAACGGAGCTTCTGTCGACAATATCAACATCAAAACTCCGCCTCCTGAAACGCCCTTGCCGAGTATCGAGCCGGAGGTGTCTACGGGTGAGAGTCTGCTTAAAACCCATCTCGCCTCTTATTTCAGGTCGCGTATTTTAGGCGTCAACTCAGCGTGCTTTAAGATCCCTGAACCCCACAGCCATGCCAACTCCAGCGAGATCCAAAGGCCGGACTCATCACAACGTCCGTCTCGTACCCAAGCCTTACATCACAGTCGTCCAAGCATCGAAAGAGGTGTCAGGAGCACATATCTCGGTGATCCACGTGTTCGAGATCCGCAACCTCCTCGACAGACTCAATCTTTCAGGGATCTTAAGGATACCTTCAGTGCCCGTATAGGACAGATATCGGTTGATCTTGATATTGTGGTCTGCAAGATCTTGGTCAAGGCGACCCAAGCAATCTCTGGGGTCTTTCCTGCCACGGACTCTGGTCCCAGTGCACCATCTGCAACCACGGCAAGTCTGCCTCCTGAAATAATCGTGCAGAAAGTCGACTTGAATTTCTTTGAGACGGTGCCGAAGATATCTCCGGCCCAGGCGGCTGTTAAACCGATGGAATCGATCATGGCCACTGATCCTTCACTTTTCAAGTTGACATTCGCAACGATAGCATGCACGCCACTCTCGGCACAAGATGGCGCTCAGCGCTGGTCAATCTCAAAGATCATCATGACCCACGGTGCTACGGAGGTCCTATCCTTTGTGGACTCGATTAACGTGCGGGATTCGATAGCAACAAGCTCAATGTTGAGACCACATGACTTTGTGGCGACAATATCCAAAAATCGCTATGAAGTACAAATCAAACCCGTCCACATTGTGCTAGACCTCTTGGTCATTGATGATGTCCTCAGCCGAAGCGGGGGCTTGAGTTCTCTGCTGGATTTAGGGAACTCTATCATGTCAGCCAACACTGTGAAAGGAATTCCTACGAAGCCCGCGCCGGCAACGGGAAGGACACGGACGGTCCGTTTCACCGATTCCCAAAGAAGGCCTCGGGCAGAGAGTGACCCAGTGTCACCGCTTCCGAAGGTTGATGTTCGGGTCTCTGGGTCTCTGATCGACTTGATAGGCTCCGAGTCCACCGTCCAAATCAAGACCTCTGCCATCAAGACAGCTTATCGCGAGAACAACGTGAGATTGGTAATCGATGGTGCTGCTATTGAGGGACCACTTTTGGAGAATTCCAAATCACGTGGAGGCATTTACACCAAGATTCGCAACATCGAAGTGCATTATTCAACCTCGCCAAATGACGATGACTTAGATAGACTTCTCTCTCTGATCACTCCTTCCGGCGACAAATATGATCAAGAAGACGATATCATGGTCGATACTCTGCTCAGACAGCGTCGAAAGGGTGGAGTGTTGCGCCTTACCATCGGCGACATACAGGCAGGGGCCAAGGGATTACAATGGATTCCTCATCTTACGAAGGTTGCGGATGAGATCTCCAAGCTCTCATCGGTGACGAAATACCTCCCTGAAGACGATCGTCCAGGCGTACTTATCTTTGCACTAGTTCAAAAGGTCGACCTACACTTCGACGTTGATGAGCAATTTGGGCCTCTTCAATTGAAAGCCGACCTCATCGAAGCAGCGCACATCAACTTGCCGTCCCTCGCCGCAGCTCAAGTCACGAGCTGGACCATGTCACGAAGTGGCAACGATGTATTGATTGGTGAGGTTGTCTCTCAGAGCAAAATGGCCATGGGGCCCCCTATGTTCATGTGTCGCTTCATTGCCGATGAGATGGAGCCCACTGTTCGGATGAAGATTTCCAATACATGTCTCGAATACAAAGTCCCAACGCTGGTGGCCTTGATCTCGCTGCTTGATCGTCTCAAGACAGCAGAGGACTCCGCCGGCAAGCAGGTCCCTTCCTCACAACCTTCAAGCCCGTCGGCTTCGAGCAATGGAGATGCAAGCAATCTTGCAAGAAAGGTCAAGTTTTCGCTGGCGTTCCGGGACTCTGCCGTTGCACTCAACCCGCACGGGAGCCCTGCCAAGGGCCTTTTCGTGCTTACAGACGCTGTTATTCGCCACGAAGATGTGAAGGGGGGATCGAAGATCAACCTAGACATAAAGAAAGCTTCGCTGCTTATCATCGACGATGGTAGAACTGCTGGACAGGACACCGCTAACGTGGACCACAAGCTGTATTTTGAGGAGAACGATCAAATCCAGCAATTGACTAGAGCCGGGTTCGTTCCGGTTGGAACGATCTCAGCAGCTTCTGCAATTGTAGACGTTGTTGAAGACAGACTGGCTGGTGAAACCCGTTTAGATATCGAGTTCCGCAACAACCTTCTCTTCATTGAGACTTGCGCCGATTCTACTCAGACGCTCATTCAGATCCTGGGTGGGCTAGCACCCCCTACCTCACCGTCGAAGGTCGACAAATTCCGCACGGAAATAGTTCCTATCGAGGACATGCTTGCCTCGTTCACAGGCAATGCTTTCGTGTCTGAACCAGGGCCGGAACTTGGGCTTACAGCTTCGAAAGGTGACTCGTCCGGTTATGGAGTCAAGTATGATGAAGAGGAAGAAGAGGAGAACTATATGGCAGACATATATGCGGCAGCCGAAGACGCCGACGATGAAATGACTGCAAGCCACGTCGAGTCCGATTTAGGTCGCTCGACGATGGCAGAGTCGGTCCATGTGGCACCGGTTGATGCCACAGGAGCAGTCGCCGACGAACTAAACGGGAGTATTATGGTTCACAGCATGCTGGATTTCAGGACCGATCATTTTGCCCCGAAAACAGATGTTGGCGGAACCGCGCACCGCTGGAATTCGACCCAAAATACCTATGGACTCGCTAGTGATTCAGTTCTCAAACTTTCACTGTTAAAAGTCCGGGTCAGAGATGTCCATGTGATCTGGAATCTCTTTGACGGGTATGATTGGCAGGCGACAAGAGATACGATATCTCAAGCTGTGAAAGACATTGAGGCCAAGGCCATGGCAAGGCGACCACGAAGCAGTAGTCGAAATGCTGGGGGCGAATCAGAGGAAGAGGCTGTGATCGGAGATTTTTTGTTCAACTCGATCTACATTGGGATTCCGGCAAACAAAGATCCTCGAGAGTTGACCAACGCTATCAACCACGACATTGATGACATGGTCAGCGAGACCGGCAGCTACGCTACGGGGACTACGGTTACAGCGGCCACAGCTCGTCGGCATTCGGGACCAGCGCCACGCCCAAAAAGACTGAAGTTGAACCGCAGCAAGCACCATAAGATGGCTTTTGAGCTTGAAGGGATTTCTGCAGACTTTGTCGCGTTTCCCCCTGGCAGCGGCGAGGTTGAGAGCTCAGTTGACATTCGGGTGAAAAAGCTGGAAGTGTTTGACCACATCCCGACGTCAACTTGGAAGAAATTTGCGACCTACATGCAAGATGCTGGTGAAAGAGAGGTCGGAACTAGCATGGTACACGTTGAGCTCCTCAACGTAAGGCCGGTTGCGGATCTAGCTGCCTCGGAGATGGTCCTCAAATTGAGTGTCTTGCCCTTACGGCTCCATGTCGACCAAGACGCGCTGGACTTTATGAGCCGGTTTTTTGAGTTCAAAGACGATCGCATACCTGCTTCGGGAAGCCCATCAAACCCGCCCTTCTTACAGCGGGTGGAAGTAAACGCCATTCCCGTCAAGCTCGACTTCAAACCCAAGCGAGTGGATTACGGCGGGCTGCGATCCGGGCGCACCACCGAGTTCATGAACTTCTTTGTACTTGATCGGGCGGATATGGTTCTGCGCCGAGTCATTCTCTATGGTGTGTCTGGCTTTGAAAGGCTTGGGATCATGCTGAACAATATTTGGACACCGGATGTGAAGCGCAACCAGCTGCCAGGAGTCCTAGCCGGATTGGCTCCGATTCGACCTCTGGTCGATGTGAGCAGCGGAGTGCGAGATCTTATTACGGTGCCGATCCGCGAGTACCGCAAAGATGGCCGGCTTGTGCGGAGTATACAGAAAGGCGCTGTGGCCTTTGCCAAAACGACAGCCACGGAGTTGGTCAACTTCGGAGCCAAATTGGCGATCGGTACCCAGCAAGTGCTTCAAAACACAGAGGATTTGTTGGGTGCTCAGGAGCAACGAGATGAGGGGGATCCCGACGATGAGGCGACCAAACAGATTTCTTTATATGCCGACCAGCCTGTCGGCATCACTCAGGGGTTGCGGATAGCGTACGGAGCTCTGGAAAGGGATTTGCTCATAGCCAAAGATGCGATTGTAGCAATTCCCGGGGAAGTGATGGCGAGCGGCAGCGCCAAAGGGGCAGCAAAGGCCATACTGAAACAAAGCCCAACCATCATCCTTCGCCCAGCCATTGGAGCCACGAAGGCGGTTGGGCAGACACTCATGGGTGCCGGGAATACGCTGGACAAGCAAAACCTCCGCAGAATGGATGAGGTGAGTGTCGGGTTCTCTTTCGCAACGCTTTCTTACAGCATTGCACTTTTCCTCGTGCGTACTGACATATTGGGCAGAAATACAAACGACACTGATTGGGAGTGGCGGCCCAGCGTCGCGTGGCTTCTAGGCAGCCATACCTATTTACACTGAACGGCATTGAGTTCTGGACTGAGGTGAAGAGGGCGTTCGCATAAAGCACAGTGCAAGGATTGTTACTTATAAGATGCATAGCGCGGGGGAGCAGACTGTTGAATTTCTTTGGTAATCATGGCATCCGGTGGAGGCGCGCGCCTTTTTGACACCAATGGTCACGAAATGAATTATTGACACGAACGATGGAATGACACGCGATGAGGTTTGCTTAAGTTTTGGAAAGGGGGAATTGGTTGGAAGATAGGGTTTGTACAGGCGTATGCATCGCATGGCGTTGGGTACGACAAGCAGAGGTGGCACAGTCATGTTCGGGCATGGACACACTCGGGTCCTAGCGGTCGCTACTGGTGGAGATCAGGAGACGTACTTCAAGTGATGGTTCTTTTGATGAGGAACACTTTGCCTTCGAGGATGGTGCTGACAATTTCTCGTGACAACGTTCAGGGGTCTGGGAAGGATGCTAGGCCTCGTGCCTTGGATCCTCGTGGTGGTCTTTTGTTTTGCCCTCCATGTAATGAATGACTCCTACTAGTAGACGTCGTTCATTTTGAGTTTCTGGGCTGACGAGATTGCCACTTCTACGCTTGAGGCTGATTCGGTCCGCGGAGGAGGTCAGACAAATATCCAAATACGTTGGCAGTGCTCGTGGTCAGGAGATGGTAGGGGGAGGCTGAGTGTAAAGACAAGCTCATCGATTGGGACGAGGAATGAGGCTGAGCAGGGCCGTGGCTTCGCATGCCGTTTGCTGGGCCTAATGCTAAGGCTGACTTTGGGCCAATTACTGGCAACTATACCACTTGCACTAGTACTATAACGCCACTAGCGTACGATTCTGCCCGCTGCGCCTGGTCGTTAGTAAGGTGCTACGGGGTTGTTAGTTGGTACTAAGGTACTTCAGCGATGGTACAACCTGCCCCCTTTCAACTGTTGCTTTGCTGCCTGTATTGACTCTCACGACACTCTTGCCCAGTACCTACGGCACGCACATACTAGTACATGTCTTATCCACAGTGATTCCCTGACTCCGCCTTGCTTCAGAGCTTCCTTGACCTCGGAATGGGTCTGGTCTCGGCCTTCGATCTACGTATGGGGTTCGAAGCCACCGCACTGATTGATGAAAGCGGTCAATCTGCGCTTGGTTGGCAATTTGGTTTCCGTTGCCACTACACTACCCGTCACTAGTACCAGGATTGCTACTATGTGGTTGGGTTTGAGTTTCGGATTTGCAAGAGATCAGTAGCCCACAGTAAACTATATCCCCAGGCAGACTTGCGGCGGATCGGAAGATGGCAGGACACATCACAGACATCTATACAGTATCACACGGATGGTGCGAATATGGCTTCATGTCTTTCTGGAGGCTGTGGGTGTTGTTGCCACTCTTACCACGCCCCACGATTGTGTATGCCTTGTCCGACAGTGTAGTGCAGACTAGAGTGAGTCAATGATATAAAGTTGTTGTGATTGTCGGTTCGTCCGGTTTGACTTACTCATGCCACTGCCCAACAAGCAGGCAAACAGAGAGTTACAGATATCTTACTGGTCAACCGACAAAGATCAACTGAATCAAACGCTGAACCAAACTCAACAAACCAGTCTTGTCGAGGAATCGTGTCAACTGGTAATCATCTTCACTTGCTACCCCTACGTCCACCTTCCCTTTATAGTGAAGTGATATTACCTACCAGTCACTTCCACGGCCGGGAACAGTCATACTTATCAGGCTTCCCATTTCAACCGGGAATTCTGAAATGGAAGATCCAGTCGTGATCTCATCTTCATCCTTCCACTCTCACTCTTCATCGACCAGCACCTCATCCTCATTTCGAGCTCGCCAGTCCACCATGGACATGTTGCGTCGGTTCGGCACGAAGCGATCAAAAGCTGGGTCAGCAGCAACGTCGACTTCGTCTGCCAGTAATTCAACCTCAAAGTCCACATCATCAACGGCTCGGTCACCGGGCCCCTTCATGCCCGCAACATCTACCACTCCTACCCGACGACCACCGCCATCTAATGATCCAACACAAGCGCCGCCACCGCCATATTCCGCCGCTCCATACAGTCCAGCCGACCTGGCGTCGCCAATGCAAGTCGCCGACGATTCGCCGTACGCATTCCTGCGCGAATTCGACACCATTTTTCTCATCGACGACAGCGGCAGCATGGCTGGCCGAAGTTGGCGCGAAACAGCCGCGGCGTTAAGCGCGATCGCGCCGATCTGCACATCGCACGACGCCGATGGGATCGACATATACTTTTTGAACCATCGGAATCCTGTCTCAGGGAGTACTTTGGGCGGGTACACGAACGTCACGACCACGGCGGCCGTGGAGGCCTTGTTTCGAACCGTGAGGCCGCTAGGTGGCACGCCGACGGGAACACGGCTGAATCACTTGCTCAAGCCGTACTTGGCTCAACTAGAGGATTCGTTGAGAGGTGGTCGTGGCAATATTGCACAGGTGACGACGGTCAAACCACTCAACATCATTGTCATTACCGACGGCGTGCCCAGCGACGACGTCGAGTCCGTCATTGTCAGTGCAGCGAGGAAATTGGATGCCATGGGCGCCGAGCCCTGGCAGGTCGGCGTGCAGTTTTTCCAGGTCGGCAGTGAGCCTGAGGCTGCGGAGAACCTGAGGGAGTTGGACGATGCGCTTTCGGGCGAATATCATATTCGTGATATGGTGGATACGGTTCCTTTTACGGGAGAGCACGGCCAGGGCCAGCAACTTACGGCGCAAGGGCTGCTCAAGGTCTGTTTGGGCTCGGTTGTTAGGAGACATGATAGACGGGCAGCATAGGTTATTTGTGTCTGGTTGATGCCCTGGGCTTTCCATGTTTCGGGGAAGGGAACTATTCCATCCATGATATCGAGTCTGAATTGAAATGGAGTAATGACTGATGAACATTCATGAAAGCAACTTCTCAAACGGTTGTCGCTTACCCATGTTCAATAATGATGTACCTGGTCTTTTATTCGGGTATGGCGTTGGCAGAAGGAGTCCAGACCCTCGCGCTCTTACACGTCGTACTACTAGTAGTACCCGAAGTACTGCACCCCTGCAGTAACTGCAGTGTCGGCCCCCTTCCCAAGTGCGTCGCGCGACAGCTGGGCATGGCATGGCATGGCGCACTGCCAGATGTCACGATATATGATAATCTGACACTGTCAACGTGCGGCATGGCATCCGAGTGGTATGTACTACTACTGTAGAATAATCTATGAGACACCTGCACGGGCAGTTCGGAGATCTGTAGTAGCCATGACAAGCGAGGTTGGCTGTCAACTACTGTCAATGTTAGAAAAGCGAATTGTCGGTGCGCGAGATAGGTAACTAATACTGGTTGGTCGCGGTTGTGTTTCAGATGTGAAGGAGGAAGTGTCACATATTCCTTTCTGTTTCTTTTTTTCTTTTCCTCTCCCCCTTGCTGTATGCACAGGAGGACAGGAGTACATGCATTACTCCGACACATCCTTCTCTGGGGGCCGCGTTCATGCTCGATGGCCCCCTAACATGACCTTTTTCTCAAGGGGGACTGACTCAGCAGGGCTGGGTGGCACACCAAATTTCCTCCCTGACGAAGCCGGGGGAATACAAGTGTTGCGGACGGCTTGAACACCTTGATATGGAGATCAGTCTGTAATCAGATGGGGATCGAGGTTAAATTGGCGGCTATAGTGGCAGTGGAGAGGATGGATCTGATCAGATTGTACTTTAGCAGCACTTGTGCTGCTAGTAGCTAATCGTAGATACCACCTAGGTAATAATGTCCTGTTCACGAGTACATGATTGGTGATTAGTGGACTCTAGAGTAACTAGTGCTGTTAGCAGGTCGTTAATACTTGTGATCAGAGTCCGACGCAGACTCGGAGAAGGATGCAGCGACGGGAAATCCGGCGAGGAAGCGCCACGACGTTGCTGAGCGAATCATGGGGCGGAGTTCAAATTGGATGATTGCACCAGCTTTGAGTCTGATCTGTATCCCACGAGAAAGTGGTTCGGCTTCAAGCTCTGGATGAACACTTGTTTAAAATTCTGCTAGTACTAGTACTAGTAGAGTCTGATTTACGTGATGGAGAACATTATTGCAGTGGATGCTCGAGTCCCTGCATTGAGATTCGCGAAATGCAGGTTTGCAGGTTTGCAGCCGCCTTGTGCCTTGTTTGACGAACCGCGTGGCGCCTCTTTTCCGCTTCGGGCCCGACACTCGCGCGAGTTCAGCTGAACGTGAACCCTCACTTGATGTTTTCCAGTTGATGATGCATCGTGCTAGTCTCCGGCATCGATCGCAGACAACCACGGATCGCGGAGCCACTCAAATTCAAGGTCCACTCCGTTCGCTTGAGATGGGCTGCCCGGTGCCAGTGAGATGCGATGCTTGACACAGCTTGACAACCACCACCGAAGCACAGCTCGAACTGTGTCGCCCTGTTCAACCGTCTCGTCCTCCCATTTGCTAAACCCCGAGCTGCTCGGTACCTGTTCCTTGGGTTCAACTTGGCGGCTTTCCCAGACTCTGTGCTTCCCGAGCTGCCGTCGTGCCATAGCCAGTTGGTGAAGTAGTTGCACAACTTGCCTCCTACTATGGCTCCCGATACTAGTATATGTCCAGCGATGCCATCATCAGCCACCCATTGTTCCTGTTTCCTCTGACTGCAATCTCCCTGTCTTGTTCAACAGTGTTGCGCTGTTCGTTGTCGACGTGTTCTGTTACATATTGTCGGCCACTCCTGTCCACTCGTTGATCGTCCAGTCGAGGCTTCCTTCACCACCCATTGCTCGCCTACATCTCAGTAAGCGCCCGGCCCCCGACAGCCTGGCTCTCTCCCCCGTCGGCCCTGCAATCACCATCATCAAGCGCCTGGTCACGCCTTTTCCTCCCATTGGGTCTCTTTCCATGTTCAACACTGTTCCTGAATACTCGGCCAATTTCTCAAACACACGGAACACTCCGAAACTCAACTCTCGGAGCCGACACCACGCATCAACTGAGGTTTCAAATCTTGACCTTACAGCGAGTTGCTATGCTGGGTGCAGCAGATGTGCCCAAACATGACAACTTGACTGATCATGCTCGTCAATGGACGCTGTGATGCAAGCGTCAGTTTCACCAGCTCAGCAGAAATAGCATCTGATCGGAGCATTCCACTGCCTGACGTCGGCAGATCGTGGCACCATTCATTGATTGACAACAAGACCCGGGACTATATTGACCTGGAAAACACCCTCCCTCAACGGCAGCCTGCTGCCAGACATCCTGTCCTGTCCCAATAACAGGCCTGGAGCCTGGTCATTGGGCTTGCGCCTGTCATCGTCATTGTCCTCGTGGGCTCGTTTTTCTTGCTTTTCGTCGTCGTTCTGATTGGCATTTCATTGTGCTTTTCCTCTTTCTTTATTCACCAAAAGTATTCTCCCTGAAGAGGAACAGCCAGCTGAACGGGCATATAAAAGTTGTGTGTGTTTTGCTGCCAGATTACCTAATCCAGTGACTGCCACACCCAAAATGGCACCAACAACACTCGTCACTTTCCTAGTGTATGTACACCATCCTCCTATCCGCCCTCGGAAGACAATTTAACTGATGATGCTCACAGTCGAACTCCCGCCTCCACCAGGTCAGTCGACCTCTACGGTTCCTGGGACAACTTCTCCGCTCCGTATCCCATGCAACGGGATGCGCGCACGGGCCCTGAGCACTGGTCAGGCTGTCATAGCTTCGCCAACATCATATGCGACGGCGACCTGCAATCGCCCGCCGTTCCCCGGGAAGGAGGGCTCAAGATGGGTGGCACCTATTGGTATTATGTATGCATTGGATTGTTCTGGCCTTGACACCTGGTTCTGCTGCTTATCTTCTCCTCTTCTCTACAGTACAAACTGAACGACGACATTGAATACCATAATCCAGCTGAGCCGTCAACCACCGCCTGTCCATTGCTGCCCGGCCAGCTTGTTAATGTTCTGAACGTGCCTCTGGCCCTGTCCAGCAGCCGACCACGTAACGACAGTGTCAGTTCGACCAGCTCCGAGTTTCGCACGATGGATCCCACCGACAAGTTCATGAACCCACGCCCTGTGCCGGCGAAGCCCGCGTTGCCGCGCCTGAACACATCGCCCACACTGCCTCAGAACTCCTGGTCTTCCTCCAGCTCACCCATGAGTACTGTTTCGTCTAGCAGAGGAGGTTCGGCATCCTCTAGAGGCCCGCCAAACTCAAGCAGCTCCAAGACGTTAAGGGTTATGCGGGTGACCAAGAAAGCGTCCTTCCACAGGCCGAGCAGGTCCACGTCCAGGGAGAGTCACCGCTCTATCGGGATCATTGGCGCCTTTCGAGCCCTGACCTCTCCTCGAACGGCGAGCCTGGACGCCATCACTGACCGTGGCCGTACAACCACCGCATCGCACGATCTCGTGCTCGATGTCGCACGCGGCTCGTCGAAAGATAGTGCCACGTCCAAGAACTCTGCTATTATGCAGCCGCCACCCACTGTGCACGTTGTGGGTGCTTCTCCGTCCGGCCCATCCAGGACACTTGCTCTTCGAAGAGAATTCGATGATGTAGGAGATGATGTGATCTTCACGCTGCCATCATTTGGGCACCATCGTCGGCAACGGTCGACATCCCGGGAACTATCATCCCTACGCAACTCTCTTTCCCTAGAAGAGTCCCCAGTGGATGATTTTCGTCACGACATATGCACACCCCAACAGCGCTTGGGAACACTCAAAGAAGTCGCCTCGAACAACGCTACACCTGTGTGGCCAGTGACCGCCCTGAGGATTGAAAGTGTCAAGTTATCTCTCGAGAAGCTGGCGCCCCCAGACTTGGGAAAACGCCTGCCGACGCTACCCAACACGCCTTCCTCGGCGTATCCACCCAGTGCAGCGGACGATTCGCCACCATTGCGTCTTGGGGCCGATATCGAGGCCCTCGGGAGCCGTTTCTCCAGCACCACGATTGACACTGAATCCTGCACGGACAGCTATATCCACAATGAACAAAGTCGTTTCTCTGACTGGACATGCAGTACTACAAAGCGGTCGCCGCGGTCAGCGTATGCTCCCAGCATTTGCACCGACTTTGACATGGCAAGTCCTCTGGCTGAAATAGATATGGACTCTGCAAGGATGAGCGCCATCAATGTGATACGAGAGGCTACGCATCAGCAAGGCCGCGAAAGGCGACATAGCAGTGGATCGGCACACATGGCCGATGAGGGTCTACCGTCAGCCCTCAGCTTTTCGACCGTCAGCTCCATGGCTTCCTCCAACACACCAACGTCTGGCAACATGGATTTTGATGGTGATACGGATGCCGAATTGTCATGGGCCGACTTTCAGCATTACAGTCTTCCGAATGAGATGGGTGTCGAACCTGGAGTTGCGACCAAGCTCACTTCAGACAGCCATTATGTAGCGCCTCTGGTGGTGGATGATCACCATGATCGCGTCAAGGGAGTGTTCCAGCCTCACCCTCACCCTCACCCTCAACCCAATATCCGAACGGACCTCGATGGTGCCGCTTTACCTCATTCCACCTGTATGCAACAGCTCCTTGACGAGTTGAGTTATCTTAGCGGCATGATCCAGCAGACCTGAGCGTTTCAAAGGGAAGCGAGTGTACTGTTTTTTGCGAGCACACGATCTGGTCGCCACGCTCTCCATATTCTTGATGAATCACAAAATTACGAAGCCAGCTTGATGCTGTTTTTTGGTTCTCATTACTTCCATTACAGGACGGCAATGGCCGTTCACACCTGGTTCGGGCCTGGCGCCCGTCGTGGATCAACTGAACACCTTGAATTATATCATATCCTACCTTCAGCACCGTACACTGTATCAGACAGGAGGCGATTTTGAGATTTTGGGACTTTGGGATGATAGCCCTTTCGGAGTAATGAAATGAGAGCCCAGGACTTGAAAGTTTTAGGTGATACGAATCTTGGTTTTATAGGGGACAAAATAATTAAGAGATTACCATACCTACTTACTATGTACCTAGTAGTACATTCAGTGTTTGAACGCGGGCCACGAGTTGGTAACGGTGAGACAACGTCACAAGGTGCATTCCAAACGACGTTCGCCTTGTGGCCAACGATAACAACTAGAACGCAAGGCCTACTGAAGTGATCACCCCAGTATTTGTTTTGTACATCAATGTAGAAAGTAGAAACAGTTAAATACATAGTACTAGTACCTAGGTATATAGGTACTAGTGGTGTCGACATAGGATCAGCCTACTAGTAATATAGTGCTGGTAGGAATTTAGGGTCTTGAATACTAGTGAATCGAAATCACATCGAAATCGAGCAGATATCGGTTTAAGATCGATTCGAAATCGATTCGGAACGACTTCGAAACCACTTCGAAACTAGTAGTTTACTATAGGATTTATAAATATTACTTCTTCTGTCTGTGCCTGCTCCTTCTATGTGCACATGCTCCTTCTGTATACACTGCTCCTTCCGTGTGTACCTGCTCCTGCTGTTTGTACTTGGTGCCTAGTACGTCCTTATATATCTACAGTACTAGCAGTACTGGTACTTAGGTGCCTATATGGAGATGAACATTGAAGTTGTAGGTTCCTGAATGTCTATTAATACTAGTCTTTGGTGTAGGGATATAGATTATGTAAGTTACGGCTCTATTGGGTAAGTAGGGACTGTATCGGTTTGGGACCGATATAGGTAGTAGAATCGATTCACTACTAGTATCAAGCTAGATATTTACCTGCCTACCTACTTCTAATTCCGTTGTACATGATTCACACGAGATACTAGGTATCTGGTATGTATGCTTACTAGTAGTATTGATAAAACCTTGATCTTTTTTTAGGGTTGACCACTATGGGCAAATTGAAAGCCCTTGAAGTTGAAAGAAGAGACTTGAAGTTTGGCAAAGAAAGGGTTGGTGCACCCCCGCGGGAGCTTGGATGCAATGCAGCGGGTTCAAGGATGCAAGCTGGGAGACGAAGGCTGCTCTTTTCAGAAAGAAAAGGAGTGCTTACTACTAGTAGGTACATAGTACTAGTAGTACCTAAAGGTATGTATGATACTAGTAATCTGCACTGCAACGCTGTAGTTTGCATACGAAGTACCGGGCCAAGAAAAGCCAGGTCACAGTGACCGCAGTCCAGCATGAACAGAAATACATGTTAGACCAAAAATTAAATGTACCTGCTGCAGCAACTGCACTGCATGCACATGAGAGCCCGAAATATGGACAAAAAGATGAAATCGGGTCGTCCCCGGGAAGGCTCGAACTTCCAACCTCCTGATATATGTGTATGCCACCTGTTGGCTGGTAAGGCCAATTCAGATGTTGTTGCATAACAGTCAGACGCGCTAACCAATTGCGCCACGGAGACAGCTGCTGAGATGTTGTTCTCATGTGCTGCTGTTGTTGAAAGCAATTTCGTAAGTTAGATTTATGAGCCATAAATTCTTTATTGTGGGGGCGCTTTTCTTGGCAGCCGTGCCATTCATGGTTGTGCAAGTCCGTGACAGCGCACGTGCACTGGAAATGACCTGCGGCGACGGGTTTCTACTCCGCCGGGTCTCGGGCAGGAGGTTATCAGGTACCATCTACCCAAACTTCAGCTACCAGAGCCGGGTGCACTGCTCACACCCATGGCACAACTTGAAGAGATACTATAGTTACATGTAGTAGTGGTAGTGGTAGCTGCGCCCTTGTTGCACATGGGAACTCCTTTACTCTGTCGCAAGGCATTGGGCGCGTCTAGTGTGCTCGTGTTTAGCATGCCTATTCCAGTATATATGGTACATAAGTACTGACCAGCTGATCACAGTTGCTTCATTGCTGAGAAGTGCCTGCTTACTGACCTGGTGGTGTGCAGTTAATGATGTTGATGTGACAGTAATTGGATGGATCTGTCACTGGATGTTGTATTATCAGGAAGACCAGCTTCCTTTGTATTTATCCCGGGTACTGCCAGTCTTAAAGGTAACCCGCGTCAGCATATTTCGCAAATAACAATTAAATATATAGGAACCTCCTGTTTCCCACCACCACCACCACCATCTCTTATTCTTTGCCGCGACACGACACAATCTCCTCTACTGTAATGCCTAGCATGTCCGAAGTGCTTAACAGACCTCAAGCCTTCCTGACAATCTGTCATTCTGTTGAGGTTCACCCTTGAAGATTGCTGTCTATCACTTCTCTATGGTTTAATACAGGACAATGCACCAAATCGCTGCCCGCTCACTGACTGAGCCATGTCGCGTCAATCTGTTGTCCTATTGTCCGACTATGGATCTGATCGCGACAGTCACGCCAGCAGGTTATGGGTCTGGTCAGACTGCCAAGGACATTGTTGATGTTTGGCGCTTGAATGGCCAGAGAGTCTTCGGAGCCACTTTCGAGAGTGCTGACGACCATGATGGAACACCTGCTGCCGCTCGCCGACATGAGGGAGGAAGAGGCTCACAGACCAATGACAAGGACAAAGAAAAGGAGAGAGGATTTGTCAGAGCTCTTAGCTGGAGGAGAGACGGTAAGGCTTTCACCTGTTTCTTCCTCTCCCATATCTACGGGTGTTTCCTCAAACAAGATTCCTGCATTGTTTAGATCTGCCCTTGAACAGCTTCCAGCCTCTTGATGTTCCGTTCTGTCGCGGGTCTAGAGGCTACATCTACAGTCTAAACTTGGCCATCGTGTGTTTATAATATCATGGAAGGTTCCACGGCTAACAATCACCAACTCAGGTCAGCTGCTAGCGGTAGGCTGCGCTGATGGTACCCTCTCCTTGATCAATGCTTTCACGGGCAAGATTGCACATAGGCTCAGCGCCCGCTGTCCAGCTCTACCAGGCTTGTCAACCGCAGCAACAAGTCTTGGCTCATCACAATCCTCACATACACAAACGGCAAATCCAGGTACCTCTGGTCCCAAGTCCACAACCACTCAATCAAAGCCGGTTGCCCAAACACGAGCGGCGAGTATCTCCTGCCTCTCTTGGACCAAGCACTTTATCTTTCCTAACGCTTCAACGATCCGCTCGCGCCTCCGTCAGCCCGATACAGGAGTCTCACTCGACCAAATCCTGGGCCTCAAGGCCGACATGGAGAACATGCTCAAATTCACAGTCAACCTGCCCCAGGGACTCACCGACGTCGATGTCGAAGACTCCTTGCCGAAACTCGCAACCCTTCCTCCCCTAGGTGCAGCTGTCGACGACGATGTCTTCAGCTCTCGTGCCAGTGTCGATGCCATCTTCCACCAAGATGGGTCCGCTGGGCAGGGTGATGGCGCTGTCGATGTGCTGCTGTCTGGGATTACAACGGAAGAGGGTGGATGTGGAGTCGATGTGAAGATTTTGAACTCCTTTGAGATTGGCTCCATCAATCTCGAGGGACCTTTGCAGATGGAGGGCCAACATCAACTTGTCAGAATGGACAGCCACCCTTTCCTCTCGACAGTATTTTTGGTCGTTGCTGAATTCCCAACTGATCAGGACCGCCCTTACCCTACATACCACCTTGTCAGCCTTGATCTCAACTTCATCCCCCAGACAGGCCGCTACCTGGTGCTCGTTGCGAGGAAGGCAACGATGCTTGGAAACCTGCTTCGATACATCACACAAATCCACATGCAGTTGGCCTCGGAGGTGAAAGCGGCGTTCGACCTACCCTCCCGTTTCCTGCGGAATATCAACGAATCCCTGGCCGAAGAAGACCAGGACGCCAATTTTTTGACGGCAGCAACCCACCTTCTCGCCACAGGCGATTGTCGTCCGCGGCTCCGAGAGTGGCTGGTCGACGAAGTCGGCGAACGCGGTCTCAAGAGATGGGAGAAAGCCGTGGGTGACTGTTTGGATCTTGTCTGCAGAATGGTCGGCGAGAACCTCATGCCAGCCCTGGAGAGATTCCAAGTCAGCTTGTCGCGATTGGAAGGCCTTGCTAGGTATGGACCCGTCAGCTCAAAGACAGGCCTGGAGCAGAAGGACGTTATCAAAATCCAAGAGACTGTCGACGCCCTGACTCTTTTCGCTGAAGATCTGCTCAACGACGTTGGCATCGAGACGAAGGAATTCACAGCGTTCATGAAATGGATGAAGTTCGAGTGCGAGGTCGAAGCGTTGGAGGCAACCAGCGAGCGCGCAGAAGAATTACGAGAGTCCTACACCGGCGAAAACGAGCTCCCCTTGGTATTGGACTACGTCAACGGCGTTATCAATGACAGCCGGCTGAACAAGTACATTGCCAGCAGCACCGATGACATCGGTAACGGTCGCACCGAAGCGATGTTCAATGAGGACACAACTACGGGATTCTACGCCGACTACATTGAACGTAGAAACAGTGGCAAGAAGCCAATGCCGAGTCTCGGAGACTTGGTCGCACGTTTGGATGAGCAATGCCATGTACTGTTTCGCCAGATTGCTGACAACTTCCGAAAGAGCATTCTTACCAGTCATCTGCTTGTGTTTCCTGACGGATGTGACGGGCAAAGAATGGATATCAGGATTATCCCAGCTGAAGAACGAGAAGGTGGTGCCGTGCCCGGCTCGCTCTATCATCTTGTTGCTTTGTCCAAGGATTGTCTGGCCAAGGACAGATTTCGGGTTGTCCGGGTGCCCCTGCGCCTCGAGGATGGCAAAAAGCCGGTGATGGAACAGTCGGACAATGCCCAGAGGATCTTGACGAATGTAGAAGATTGTGATGAGGTTCTTGACGCCAAGTTTGTGGATGACAGAAGTTTCTTGCTTCTGCTCTCATTCCCGAACGACACCCGAGTTGGCATCTACCATTGTGAGTTTGATGACGATGGCAGGGTAATGGATGATATGAAACTTCGACATTATTTTCCAGGAGGCAGAATGCACGCTGGAATGAGGGCGGCACGCCTTGAAGTCAACGGCAGGGAAGGAAGACGAGCGGTCACGGTGATTGACGAGGCCGCGAGGGGTTATCTGGTCCTCGACATCGACAGCGATTCAGAAGATGAGAATTCCGAAGGAAACGACGGCGATGATGTTATGACTACCTAGGGGCGTGGATCTGTGGTGCCGAAAGGGGCACCAGCGGATGTCCCGTCGAAGAGCCTCAGGCTAGGATGATGTGGAAGCTCGAGGAAAGCTCATGTGCAGGTTATGCTTAGCCAAAGAGCGGCAGATGTTACAGTCAGAGCAGACGAGTTCGACCCTTGATGAGGTCGAAAATCCCTTGACCTTGGTTCCAGAGTTAATTGTAGCATAATTACACAAAACACGCAGAATGAGGCTGAGGGGTGAGGCAGAAGCGTTCCAGTTGTCCTGCACTGGCAGCGTCTAACGAGTCATGCGCTGTGCCTGCGCCCTGTGCAGTTGGGCGTGTGCGCATGAGCGCGAAGCGGTAATACCTTGATTTCGGTGAGGTCAGAATGTTCTACGAATTACTCCTACTACACACATACTAGTACTACTAGACGCCTAGGCGCGAGATAGGCGCAGTACCAGGGTACAATAGTAGAAGCCGAAACAGTAAACGCAGTTACGTAGTGGATGATTAGCCCAGGAATTAGAGATCCCTCAGCCGCTTTATTGCCATTTTATTGCCCGAGACAGGCTCCTGAATTCGCTTAATTCCCTCGACTGGAGGCCTATGATGTTAGCGAGCAAACATCGCATTCATTACCTTACCCATTCCATTCTTCACTCGTCCAGTCAGGCGTCATCCCACCACGGCCACGCAGTAACAAAATACTGCCGCTGACTAGTGCACAGTAATTATCCCAAACTGCGCTGCAAAACAAATCCACCGGCGACGCAGCAGCAGCAACACTGGCTGCGGTACCGACCACAAACACTTCAAGTCGATCTTCTTCTGAACCACCACTACCACCACCTTTTCTCAAAAACCCCCTCAATCCATCCATTCTCACCACCGTTTACTGTGTCACCTTGCATTCATCCCTCGCTGGTCGTTCTTTCCTTGACTCCAGGCCTGCGCTGCCCTCCGTTTTTGCCCTTCCGTGGTCAAAAGTGTGACTGGGAGCGGATCTCATCTTGGACTCCCTTTCTCCCTTTTCCCGCCGGCTCCCCAGTTCAGCAACCATGGATGTCACAGCGGTACTAGAGAGTACCTTTTCGCCAGGTAAGCCTCACTCCGTCCTCTCTCTACATGACTATCATTGACTTTTTTGCCAGATGCAACAATTCGTGGCAATGCCGAAGAACAACTCAGACAAGCGAGCGAGGGAAATTTTGTATGTTTTCGAAATCGAAACAAGAACTCCTTGTCTGTTCGACCACTAACACACTCTGGCGTAGTCCGAATACCTGTCCATCCTGTCCCACGAACTTGCGAATGAACAAGCCAGCGGTTCCGTTCGACAAGCCGCTGGGCTGGCCTTGAAAAATGCCTTTTCCTACCGTGACATCACCCGATTACGAGAAGTCCAGGCGAGATGGTTACAAGGGGTCGACCCTCAGATTAAAAGACAGGTCAAAGAGCTGGCCGTCAAGACTCTTAGTGCCATCCCCGCCGCCGCCCTGTCTGCAGCCCAGCTCATCGCGGCTATTGCTGCCATTGAACTCCCTCGCAACGAATGGCCCGATTTAATGCCCACACTTGTCCACAACGTGGGCGCCGGCGAAGATCAACTCAAACAGTCCAGCCTGACCACGATCGGCTTTATTTGTGAATCAGATGACATTGAACTCCGCGAGTCACTAGTCGGCTATTCCAATGCCATTCTTACCGCCGTGGTGCAGGGAGCGAGAAAGGAAGAGGCGAATCAGAATGTCCGCCTCTCGGCTCTTTCTGCACTCAGCGACGCAACAGAGTTTATTCGCAGCAACTTCGAGAACGAGGGCGAGAGAAACTACATTATGCAGGTGGTGTGTGAGGCTACTCAGTCTCAAGACACCCGAGTCCAAGCGGCTGCTTTTGGCTGTCTCAACCGCATCATGGGCATCTATTACGACAAGATGAGGTTTTACATGGAAAAGGCATTGTTCGGCTTGACGATCGCGGGTATGAAGAGCGACGAGGAAGACGTGGCTAAGTTGGCCATTGAATTCTGGTGTACTGTCTGTGAAGAGGAGATTAGCATCGAGGACGACAACCATCAAGCTCAACAGGAAGGCTCCACGGAGTTGCGTCCCTTTTTCCACTTTGCCCGTGTAGCGGCTCGGGAGGTGGTGCCGGTATTGCTTCAATTGATGACCAAGGTCTCCGAGGACGATGCGGATGATGAGTACAACGTGGCTCGTGCTGCCTATCAATGTCTCCAGCTGTATGCCCAGACCATCGGAGGTGAAATAGTCCCGACCGTCCTTGCGTTCGTCGATGCAAACATTCGAAGCGATGACTGGACGAAGCGAGACGCTGCAGTGTCCTCCTTTGGTGCCATTATGGATGGTCCCGATATCAAAACTTTGGACCCCCTTGTCAAGCAAGCTCTGCCGGTTTTGATCGGAATGATGCAAGATCCGGTTGTCCAAGTGCAAGACTCGGCAGCATATGCGCTCAGCAGAATTTGTGATTACTGCTCCGACTGCATTGATCCATCTACGCATCTCCAGCCTCTCATGTCTGCTCTGTTCAATGGGCTCATGGCCAACCCCAAGATCGCCGCCTCTTGCTGTCTGGCTCTTTTGAACTTGACGGAACGGTTTGTGGGTGAGGATGGTGCTTCATCAAACCCACTCACGCCGCATTTCCAGGACAGCGTGTCGTCTCTGCTTGCTGTCACGGCGAAAGAAGACGCCAACAATCAACTACGAACCGCGGCTTATGAGGTTCTTAGCGGCTTCGTCACGAACGCTGCGCACGACAGTCTGCAGATTGTCGCCGAACTTTCCAATGTCATCATTCAACGTCTGGAGGCCACAATTCCCATGCAGAAGCAGATTGTGAGCATCGACGACAAGATTACGTTGGAAGAACTACAAGTCAGCCTGGCCAGCGTCCTCCTCGCCATTGTTCAAAGACTTGAACAGAACATTGCTCCCCAAGCGGACCGCATCATGCAAATCAACTTGGAAATGCTCAATGTTGCGGGCAACACGTCTGTGCCCGAGGTCATTTTCCAGATTGTTAGCGGCCTGGCCAATGCTCTGTCTGGCGATTTCCTCAAGTACATGGACTCCTTCGTTCCATACCTTTACAATGCTCTTGCCAACCAAGATGCTCCCGACATGTGCTCCTTGGCTATTGGCCTTGTGAGTGACATTGTTCGCGCCCTGGAGGACAAGGCACAGCCCTACTGTGATACGTTTATGAACTACCTACTCAACAACCTCAGGGTAAGTAGCAAGCTTCTGACACAGTTGACTTTTTTGAGTATAATACTGACCCGTCACTCACAGTCCGACAAGCTCACCAATTCCCTCAAGCCGCCGATCCTGGAGACATTCGGGGATATCGCGACCAGCATCGGTGTACACTTTGAGACCTACGTGACGGTGGTTGCTCAGGTGCTTCAACAAGCCAACAATGTCTCTGTTGCCAACGATGTCTCGTTCGACATGCTTGACTACATTGTGTCGCTTCGCTCTGGAATTGCGGATGCTTGGTCAGGCTTGATTTTGGCGTTTAAGGGCACGCCCAAGGGTAAGGCACTCCATTTGATTCCCATCAGAAGATCTTGCTGACATGGGATTAGCTCCTCTCCTTCAGAATTATGTGCCGGCCATCTTCGAGTTCCTGCAGACTGTTGCTCAGGACATGAACCACAACGAGGGTCTCCTGAGGGCTTGCATGGGCATCATTGCGTAAGTAGTCTTCTCTCAATGACTGCTGCCTGTTGTACTGACATCCTCTAGTGATTTGAGCGAGACCTTCCCAGATGGCTCCTTGGCAAACTACTACCGACAAGAATGGGTGACGAAGCTCATCAAGGAAACTCGAAGCAACCGTGACTTCTCTCCTCGAACAATCACCGCGGCACGTTGGGCAAGAGAACAAGTCAAGCGACAGACTCAACATCAAGGTACCGTCATGAACGCTTCATGAACTTGATGTGCAGAGTTATCTGTCTCCCAATATGGTTATCCACATCCCCGGCACCATCACCGCCACCCTCGACTTCCCCTTGCCCAATACTGCCCAGCAACAGCCCAGCCCAACCCAGTACAGCACAGTACAGCACGCCTTAAAGCCCCTGTCAAACGCTGATCACCTTCTGCGCAAGGTCTACTCATCACAAGCGAGCACTATCGTGACTCCTTAAGAGATTGATGACGAAAGAGACCGACCCCTGGAAGGACAAAATGGTCGCGTGGACATGCGACAACATGCTGACGAACCCCAATCCGCCCCGTCGCCACATATGTCGGACAATCCCGCCGCCTTTATACAACTACTTCTGCGGTCTTGGGCCCATCCGCATCGACCTTGAGTCGGGATTGCCTAATGGTCATGGCCGTCGTCTGCGTGCAGCCGGCGACAGACTCTGACGGAAAGTGGCCTGTCGTTCAACAGCCAACCCAGTCTCGATCTGTCCATGGACCGAACTTTACACATAACACCAAGCTGACCTTGGAGAATGAGATGTTGAGCCGCCAGTTACGGCGGAGTCGACCTCGACTGGGGCCTCGATGGGAAAGCATTCGTGTTGATGTGGTTCAAGGAAAAAGCGGTAGTAGAGATTCTCTCTTTCTTGTGGACGAAGAGACGACCCGAGACGAGAGGACCAGCATAGAAGCAAAGTTGGACGAATAGATGGCGAGACTGTCCGGAAGCACATGCATCAGCACCATGATACCCCCGTTGTTCCCCTTGCACTTTCCCCTTCACACACCGCCCCCCATATCTTGTGTCTTGTTCCTCCCTGTCATCCTTGAATTGAATGCGCGGCAGGACTTGAGATTTTGAGACCACATTTGTGATGATGGAAAGGTGTCGCGACAGCTTGTCTGGCTTTGTAGTTAGTGGAGAAGGTAGTAAAGGGGCATTTGTTCGGAACAAGACGCCCCTTACCGCCGGATCCAGTCTGTCATCTCGCGGTGAACAGACTCTCATGCAGACTCCATAGTATAGATAGAATCGCGAAATGCAGTTATGTCGAGAGAGACCCGATCTGAGCATCTCTCTACATATGCAGTGGTTTGTCCTTTGTACCCATAGGCCTTCAACAAGGTCCTAACCTAGGCCATGATGTTGGCGTATAGTGTGTACTGAGGACCATAGTTTATTATGCTCACAGCTTATATAGATACCGGAACATGTCCTGTATATGATGGCGACCAGACTCTAGATAGCTGCCCTCTTTTGGTACTGTAGTGTCTATCATATTCATACCCTACACTAGTAGACTCTGATTTTGTACACTTTATCCAGCACTTACTGGACATCCATAGGTACATTTGTTCGGGTGTCCAAGACCATACAAAGGAAGTGAGCAATCAGGTAGGTGGGCCTGCAGTAATCGATCATCATGTTGGCCTGTCATGATGTGTTCTGATTATGGTCGAGTTTGCGTCTCTTCTGGGGACTTTCTTCTCGTGATGGTGATGGCCGTCTGTCGAATGGACGAGAGGCTGCTTCTTTAGATTCAGGTTGGGGTTTCTGAGATCCCGTTGATGGATCAAGGTTTGTTGTTCCATTTACACTGGCGGTTACAGCTCCACTACTGCTGCTGCTATTGTCGGTAGTGGCGATGGCAGGCACGGTGCCAGTGGTTGTTCCGGTTGCTGCGGAGGAGTGCGGCGGCGGCGGCTGAGGTTGGCTTTTGGACTCATGCTGAGCAGGCTTAGCATTCAAAGTATTATGATTGGGGAGCTTGTTGTGCTCACCGGCTTCGTCTTTGGGCTCGACTTCTGGCGCCGCTGCCATAGTATTAGAGCCAGGCTGAGATTCGGAGGCCGCGGCAGGCACAGCAGGCGTGGACAACTGCTCTTGTTGTTCCTGCTGCTCCTGCCCGAGTTTCCTCTTATTTCGCTTGTTCTTCTGCTTGCCAGTTGTTTGTCCTTCAGTTCCGTCTTGGGTTCCTTCTTCCTTCTGTTTCTGCTTTTCCTTCTCCTTGTTGGCTTGCTGCGCCTTGAGCTTGGCGGCTTTCTTGCGCTCCGCCTCCTCCTGCAACGCTGCCGCAACCGCTAACCGCTCCTTCTCTCGTTTTGCCTCTTCGATCTCGAACATCTTGGAGATAGCCGGGAAGAGCGGCTTCATCGTTTTGATCTGTGAAACCTTGACGCGCATCAGATCGAAGGCGATCCCGATGCTAAGATCTCGTGCCTGGTCCGGCTCGACCCATGTCGAAGAGGCCGCCACTGACTCAGCCGTATCGGTACCACCAGGCTGATTGTTGTTGTCTCTATCCTTCGCGTCGGTGGTGCCGTTCGCGGTGGCGTTTACATTAGTGTTCGCCATCTCCCCATCTACAACATCTTCGTCGATCAGCTCTTCTTCCGAAACTCGCTCCGGCATTTTGACGCTGCTCAAGACCGGGATCTTCTGATATCGCTGGCTGAAATGCGTCAAGATCAGGTTTTTCGCCTTCATCTCCAGTGCCACACCCACAGCCTCGCCTGTGGTGCAGTGCTTCTTTGCCATGGCGTCGCCTTCCATGCCATCGTCAAAGGTTGCTTCATGGACCAACACGTCGGAATCCTTGCCGATCTCGCAGAACCGCTCGTTTGGACGGCAGTCGCCACTGTACGAGAACTTGAAACCGTTCTGGAATGTGACTGTCACGGCCTGCGCCCCGTGGCAATGGTTCACCTTGACAGTTTGAAGATCTCGAATGGGAACATCGGTCTGTTGGCCGAACTGGAATGGTTTCCCACGCAATGACAACCCTTCAAGCCAATGACAAGCTATTGGAATGCACAGTGATTCAGTCGCAATGCCAATGACCGACTGATACTCGTCCAGATAGTCGATCATGTTGACCTCGGATATCAAACATGGCGGTGATGGGAGTGGTCTGCCCTCCTTCTCGTGAAGCCTTCTTCGGGCCTCATACGAGGCCTCCAATACTGACACGGTTCCCAAGTGATGGTCTGCGTGTAGATGGGAGATCCATATCCCCTTGAGGGTGTACAATATCTCGTCCAACTGCTCAGCAGTGTAGAGTCTGCTTAGCTGACCCAGCGTGCCCTCACCGGCGTCAAAAAGATAGTTTCCCATCCCGTCGGGCATACGGAGGAGTACTGCAGACACGTTACGGTATTTGGATGGCGCGGCCGATCCCGTACCTAGTGTGACTATTTCAGGTTCGTCCAGATGCAGACTTGATATTGTTCTTGCCTTGTCGCTTCGTCGGTACGGCGACATGTCTGCAGGTAGACATTCTTGCACTGGTGGTTCCAAGGACACGTCATCTTCGCGCAGTTCTTGATTCTTGGGAACTTCGCTCTCATCGATGACGAAAGTTGGCTCGATATGGACTTTCAAGCCTCGATTGGCCGGCATGATGTCAATCCCTTCGCCCTCTGCCCCGAAGAGCTGTCGCAAGTCCTGCACAGGTTCAGGGCTTTGCGAACGGTAGCCGTGCAGATTGTCATACCGAGGAACAGAGAAGAATTCGGAGGCAATATTTGACAGCCGGAGAGAAGAGAGTGCACTCGAAGTGTGGACGATATAATCGTGGCAAACATCCGGGTCAGAGATGATGTGTTTCATCCCTTGGAGTCTTTGGAGTAGTTGTCGAAACCGTGGATCGTAAAGAACACCTCCTCTGGTCATCCAGATAGCTACCTGGACGCTGTCTAGGAGATCATCTGTTCGACTATTGAGTTGACGCTCGAGATCCTCAAGGTGCTCCATCGAAGGGAGATCGAACAGGGCAAATCCTCTGCCTGGGCGTGTAGGTGTCATGACCATGTCCGGCGTGATAATGGTCCCATCTTCGGGCTCATCTTCGGGCTTAATCTCGGTCCCATTTTCTCTTATCTTCACGGATTGGCCGGCCACAAGCGTTCTGAATACTGGACCAGGTTTCAAGCCAAGACTATTGGCCTTCTCAATGTCAAAAGATCCTCGCTGTGCGTATCCCTTGACGATGTACGACATCGAGACATCTCCCCGAAGATCCGATGCTGGGGGCAACTCTTGCACAGTCGAGGCAGGCCATGGATTCCGGACTAGGACCTCAGTATCTGGCGTCAGGGGAGGAGTATTGTTAAGGTCGAAGCAAGTGTGAGAGACTAGTTTCTTTGACCCAGGGTCTCTCACCCACACCATCGCCGGCAATTTCACGTCTTTAAGTTTTGACTGAACAAGTTGGTCTCGTCTCCAATCCGAGTCGAACATGTTATTGACGACATCCCTCCGTAGAGTCTGATCCCGCGTCCACTGTGATTCATCGATTGGACCTGTTCTATGTGACCCTGGCCCAGATGCAGAATCTGATAGACGTTGGTCTTCAACACCTGTGGCAGTTGAACTGGCACCCCCGGCAGGCTGAACACAAAGTGCCCATACCCGAATGTTGTCGTCTTCATGGATAGGCTTTAGACTTGGTTCACTGCGGTTCTGCTGGGCGTCGATCTCGTGGACCGAAAGAGGCATCCCAGTGCGAAACACAAACCGCCGGGCACATGCCAGCGAGTGCATCTGCTTAGGACCGGCGTGAATGTCGAGTCTAGGACGTCGATTGGAAGTTTCCGATTCAACCTCGCCTTGCTGTATATCAGCCAGACTGAGGATAAGTCCGATTAGACCGCCATTATTCCACGTGGTCTTTCCCGAAAGAAAGAGACCTCGGACCTTTCGAAGCCCGATTCCACGTTGTATGCATGCTCTCTGCGTCCCCTCCGTGATTTCGCCAAATACATATCTTTTCGAGTCGAAGTGAAGAATCACACTCGTTCCAGGCGTGTCCGACGTCGGTGTCGTGACGAATTGCAGGTGGAAGACCGTCCGCACACCCACGCTTTTGAGCCCATCCCGATGTTCCTGCATTCTCTTCACGGCCATGCGATGTCGACGTAGTTGTTTCTCTGTCAAAGGTGCCGCTGGAACTGGTGATCTGCCGACGGTTCTCCTCGAGCGGACGTTGACTGGGTCCCGCGACCGCTGAGATGGGTACGGATGGAAAATTTGCGTTTGCGCGCAACGGTCTAGGGACGACGTCAGGGAGGATGCGCTTGTAGGCCGTGTATTTTGTGTCCTATAATGACCTTCGAGTTCTGCATTCCCAATGCCAGGGCGTGCTCGGGGCTTCCAATGACCAGTAGACTGGGAGTGGAAGAAGCCTTTTGTGCCGGAAGGCTTGTCGGGGTTGAGTCCGCGCCAGTGCGGTCGACGGTACAAATGACGGTGCAAGGCACTGCTCGAAAGCCCAGTAAAGGCGACAAGACGACGGCCTAGGATGTGCAGCAGTGTCTGTCGTGAGACGATGGCAGAAGTGGTGGGAGCCACGGCGACTGTGTATCACGAGGAACAACTGGGAGCCGATGGCATCGTTAGCATGCCCTCCGACGAAAAGAAAGAACAAACTCAGATATCTATAAAACAAGATTCGCTGAACAAGCAGTACAAGTCGCGTGTGGTTTGTGATGGTATGAACGGTTTGTATTCCAAAAAAAGTTCCGCCTGCGCAGGTGAAAATGGATCTGCGTCACGCACATTTCCCGTTATCGATTGGCAAACTTGAAGTGCAGACTACTTACTACCAGGCACAACACTACACGGCCACCCCATGTTACTTAGGACAAATGAACTCTAGAGGCAGAACCTAATTTTGAGATAGACCTTGTTCCCGCCGGCTCGGCGCAAGGTATTGATCAATACTGAACTGAATATGTCCCAAGATGAGAAAATGCTGACACTCTAATGTACTGGCTTCAGCGGCCTGATGAGACGACAGCAACAGCGACGTAAACCACCATGCCCCGAATATACAAAGAATACGATTCCAACCCCACTGTCGTTTTATACCTTATCAGTCCATGTCCGGGATGAAATCAGCCAATCTGTCAAAGATGTCATCAAGATTGGAGCACATCTTGTGCAGTCGAACAGCGCACTCTTCGTCTGAAAGCTGGTCGGTCGACAAGACAGCATGTTGACATGGTTCATTCAGAACGGTAGCGGGCGAGTCGAAGTACAAGGCGAAGGCTTCGGAGTCTAAGTCGACTGACTCGTCGACTTGAAGCGCTGCTGATTCGGCCTCGACGACAGCTGGAGCAACGGGAAGCTGGGGGACGTCTTTCGCCAACTTTGACGCGCTCCTGACATAACCCGTGTCTGGTTTCTCATATAGACTGTCTAGATCCAGGACAGGTGGCTCCGGCAACTCGGTCACGGCGTAAACCTGGAAGTCGTTGGTGGGAAGAGGAGTCATCCACGAATTCGATGGCTGCAGAGCAGAGAAGTCCATTGGCGTCTCTGGGATTAGAGCCATGCCAACCTGGGGCTGCTGATGCTGCATCTGTTGGGTAGCCTCGTGGGGACCAATGTCCTTCTTGATATGTTGAGGTTGCGGTTGGGTCTGGACAGGTTTCTGCTGCTGAGTATTGCCCAAATTACTGGGCGGCGGCAAGCCAGACTGGCTGAGCTCTTGCAGGAAACCAGCAAACGCCTGTGAGGACAGGAGCATGCGCGTGAGGTCGGAGAGGCGGTTGTTCTCTTCACGGAGCTGTTGGTTTTGAGCCCGGAGATCATTAGCCTCTTGCGCTTTGGCTGCAACTTCGCCTTCAAGCTGATTGATGTATTCTGTCATTCGGGTTAGCACGGCCTGGACCATTCGAAGGGGGAAGTCCTACCTTTTCTGCGAGAACGGAATGCTCGAGCAGACACTTTGTTCCTGAGCTGGCGGCGTTCTTTGCTGGACAATTTCTTTCCTTCCTCGCTAGCCAGGAGGCGTTCGTCCTCATCCATCTCGTCTTCGTCCTTCTTGATGCGAGGCATTCCGGATGCGCTACCATTGGAGGGCTTGTCATCCTCGACAGTGGAAGCAACGCTGGCTTGTCTCATGCGGTTCAAGACCTTGGAGATACTTTCTTCCACCAGAGGATCCTTGACCTGTTGGGCCCGAGTAGGGAGAGGACCGGGAAGTGGCTTCTGTCCGTTTGGACGCTGCTGTTGCTGTTGGCGAGCCATTTGTTCCTGCTTCTGCGCCTGCTGGGCTTTCGCCAGAGCCGCCTGTTGGCTATGCATGCCGGGGTAAATACGCGGAATCGATGTAGACCCGTTGTTTGGCGTCAGCAACGTGTTGGGGCTAACAAATTGAGATGAACCGTCCGAGGAAAACATGTTTTGCATATCGTTGGGAGATTCAGCCTCGAAATCCATGTCGGATGGGTTGCGAGAAAAGTCGAACTCGTCCAGGTTGCTCAAGGGCATGTTCAATGTTTCAGTGGGCATAATAAAGCCCCCATTCCCTTCGTGGTAGTAAAGGCCCGTAGACTTATTGATGTTAAATGTGTTCGCTAACGCTCCGATGGGGATACCGGTCTGTTGATGATAGGCATCGTATTGAAAGCTGGGCCCGGGAAATGTTTGAGGGTTCGAGTTCGACGCAAAAGTGGCGGTGGAATTCGGAATCGACGATTGGGGAGTCAGCATCGGCACAGACTTCAAGCCTGGAGAGGTTGAGCTAGGTGTAAAGTCATTCTCGAGGTTGAGGAAAGAGTCGTAGTCTGGATCCATGTTGGTATTGAGATGGGCTATGGACTGCGTGGCAGAATAACTCATAGTTGAAGTTTGGCGATGGTGGTGCGCGGCCTGGGCAGCCTGCGCTGTCTAATGTTGCCTAAAATAGGCACAACTCAAACCAACTTGAAGTGCTGTCGAGCGGATTGAACAACTCAGACAGTCGATCTTGCAAGTTGTTTGAGGCCGATCGAATTGTATGAAAAACGCTTGAGTTGGAATAGCGAAGGGAGATTGGGAAGGGATGAGGAAAGGAGAGCGTGAAAGGGAAACCTGGCAGAGGAGCCAGAGGAGCCGGCAGTCGCAGGCAAAGGCAGAGAGGGCCAAGGTCAGGTATGCGGTGCTGCGGATGCGAATGGTGGTGTCAGGTCGGACGTCGCAGCGCATTGACTGCAGGGCTAGTAATCACTCGTGGGTGGTGCTACTCCTGCTACTAGTCGGTTTTGGGGGCCCATCAAGCACCCGCTGAGGCTGTGCCGCAGCCTGAGTGGCTCCTTATAGGCTTCACAGCAGGCTGCAATCATGTCCGGCACGGGGCTCAAAGCCCGAGAACTCGGCCACTCATGATTCAACGCCTGGCAGCAGCAGACAAGGGGCGCGGAGCATCGGCGCCTTTATCTCGCCGCGATCAACTTCGCTTCATCACCTACCTAGGTACTACCTAGGTATTAATCATCCCGGATTGCTTATGCCAGGCTGCTACATTCCATCCTTCTTTCTAGGACAAGTCCAATGAGCTAGGAATACCACTGCCAATGGAGATTGGAAATAAAGTTGCTCGTTGTTGGCGGGTGGGAGGCGTACGGGAGAGCAACTTCGGCTCATACCACGTGACCTCTTTGTGACTCGTAAGAAGCCGTTCGTACTAGCCGCTTGATCCATCAAGCACAACATGGGCCGTGCCCCGAAACACGGGATGAAACTTTTCCAACGACGCGACACTGGGAAAAATAAGAGTTGTGGCTCCTGAAGCTTGAGCGATTTTGACTGCTCGGGTTAACTAACTATGGTAGGCTCTGTCGTCCGCCCTCCGTAGCGGTTGGAATTCACTAATGTGGTTTGTGTACATTATTGTACGACTGGTGTTGAGCGGAAACAGTACCTAAATAAGTCGGTACCTGGCTTGACGGTTTCGCTCCGGGGAGGTGTCCTGGGGGGTGAACTGTAGTGCACGTGGTGCAGTTGTGTTCTACAACGTATATCTTGCCCTTCGGAGCAGTGTCAGGGCCAGATCAAGGTGGAGCAAGGCACTCTACGCATATCCTTGATACCGAAGCATATCATTTTTTGAACTTTGGTCCTTGCGGCTCTTCCTCTGCTCCCCTTTTCTGCTCGGGATTTCCCTGAGGTAGCGTAAGCACCTGGCAGTACTAGTATGAGAAGGACGTGCGCCCGAATTAAGTTTTTCGGTGTGGATAGACTCCTATGTCACAGGCGTGGCTTATGCCATCCTGCACGTGATGTATTATGCGGTCACGTGACAATGTTGTCTGCCAGTGCAGCGAGACTTCAACCCGGCGTCAAACAACCTTGGAACTGTTTGACCTCCACGTGTACAATACTGTGGTGTGGGTCAGACCGTTCTCGAACACTGGGCACCTCTGTGCCTCAGCGTCTTGCAAATTTTTGAGCCATTTCGAAGAGCTCTGTAATGTGATATAGCCCGATTCGTTATTAGAGGGATATGAGTTACTGGCTTCAAGTAGGCTTATAAACAAAGTGGTGAAATGAGTGTCTCATTAATCGACTAGGCAAAAATCTGTGATATCATTTCGCCGGAAACGATCCATTATGGTGTGTACAATGTTGTACTGTACCTCCACCTCCTAACACGTCGACAATGGCGCAAACTCGCACTGCATTTGTCGCCCGTTCGATACATGAGCCGTCACTGCAATCAAAGCAGAGTCAACGCAGCATAGCCGAGGGACACAGCCGAACCGATCGCGCCTGCCTTCAGCTGTACAGCAGCACCAGTATATGTAGAAGTGGCAGCAGTTCCGGTGGCTGATGCGGTGCGCGAACCAGCGGCTCCCGTGCTGGTTGACCGGCCATGCAGGAACACCTTCTCCATCAGTGCCATTTTGCGGCGGCGCATAGCTGCTATAGGGGTTCAGCACATTGTCAATGAAGACGACAAGTCCGCCAGCGGTGATGAGGTTGGCGGAACTGACGCCGGCGTTGTTGATAAACCACTCCTCGTCGGATGTTTGGATGAAGGTGACAGTCTGGCCTGACAATGTGGTCACTTGGGTGCCATTCTTCCAGTCATCGAAAAGTAAGATCCGGTCACAAGCGTGGTACTTGAGCAGCTGTGTCAGGTTGTCCTTGCTCAATTGCGAAAGGGTGTCCCCGACGAGGGCCCAGCCGTCGTCTTCAGGAACAAAGTACGTGGCGTCATGGAAGGAGTTGAACTCTTCCGTCAGTCCTGTACTATCAAGAGCCGCAACGAACGAAGTGCCGTTGAAGTCCTCGTCCTCTGCAACCACCGCCTCGCTGAAGATATGAGGAATCGACAATACGTTGTCGATTATGTAGATCCATCCCTTGTCAAAGGCCAGGGGCGTCACAGGACCATGCGAGATGTTGAAGTCTCCGCTGACGAAGGTGGTCACATTGTCGTCATCATCATAGTAACCCGCCACAATTAGCTGCCCTTTACATTTGTGAAGTTGCTTGCAGTCAAGAGGGTATGGGTGACGAAGTAATCCGAGATGTTATTGTATCCCCCATTGATTGTGTGGTAGCGGAGGACGTTGTTAGCATAATCCTCATCGGCATCCGCCGGTGCTGTACCGTTCAACCACAGCACAACGGCCGTGTCGTTCGGGCAAAGGAAGGTGAGGTTGGCTTTCCAGATATCGCTTCCTGGAATACTTGGGATGAAGCGACAGACTCAGCAATGTGGGAAGCTCCTTCAGTATTATCGAGAACCGTAACCAGATCTCGTGAGCTCTGGGCCAGGGCGAAACCAGTGAGCGCCGTGAGAGCGGCCAATCCTTTGAACACAATGGCCCGAGAAGACTGGACTACTCAACGACAAATCGGTGGCTGATATTGGACGTTATGTTTGCTCTAGCACAAGACAAAATGGAAGACGATACTATTGTAGGAAGCAACCTGAACACCCACAATGATGCCGCTGGCAAGGTTCTTATATAGCCAGAGTTCGGCAACGTTGGCCGCATCTGGCTCTGGTGGCTGGTTCTGTGTCGACTGCTTGAGCGCTTCCATGGCTTCTTGCTTTCTCAAACTAGATCGGTTTTGGGATAGGAACAAGCGAATGAATGGGACAAGCTATTGCTATGGCGCGAGGACTTTTCCAGGAAGAGGTCGAGGTTCAATCATCTGCCCCAACAAAGTGGCATCTGGGCCAAAACTCGGTACCGTCATGGCGTCTTCTAGCAAAGGATAGTGACAACCGAAAACACGCACAGGAGCTATACTCTGTGTTCTCTTTAACTTGGCCTATTGTGTGTTCATGGCGGGTAGGGACCAGGTTTGCACCACCTCCAAGCTCGTAGGGCGGTGCGAAGTTCAAAGAGGTCGGATCCTTCCAATGCCGATAGCGGAACAGTCGCGAAAAGGCTCTCGCGATGAAGACCTACCAGTAGTCTCCCCTGTGAGTAGGATGATTGAAGAGAAGAATTAGGCCGGAATATAATGCTGTAGAGGAGGAAGCGCCAACTATCAGATGATCTCATCAAATCTCGGCTGTCAGATAAATAGGCGCATCGGTAAGATGGAAAGCGAGCATGCGATCCCTCCAGCAGTGACACCACAATGAAATACCTGCCACTGATACTGGTCTAGCGGAACAGGAGGCCAGGATAATAAAGGGCTCCCTATTGGTTTACTCGGGCTTGCTTGACTGTTTTCAGACCTTGCCGTAGGTGAGATTGACAAGCTTGAGGACAAGCTTGGTTGAAAGCTTGAATCCCAAGTCACCTTCCGTATTCCCAGCGTATTCCAGGCCACTGCGGTGGATGCGGTTGACACAACGCGCGGGATCCTTCGACCTTTCGAGCCCAATACCGGGTTGATGAATGTGCGGCATTAACACTCCACAACCGCACCCCCCCGCAGTTCAACTGCAGCTCGCCATTTGAGCTCTTCGCCAGCCTGTTCTTTTGCAGCCATCGAAATCCTGGGGCGGACACAGTAGGTTGTCTGGGAGAGTCGATCACATCGAACTCATCAGTAGGCAGGTGACCATTGGATGATGAGGATGATGTAACTATGCGCCAAGAGCCACTATACCCATTCTAGGTGGGTTCTCGGATCCCAAACTTGCCCGTGAACTTGAGTCTAGACAAGGTCACCTGACTTGCTGGACGCCTTTGCGAACTTGAATTGAACCGGCGACGAACAACGTGAAGGCGTTGGATGGTCTGTACAATAGGGCGGGTGCCGTCGCTGTGCGTCTCCTCAGGACTTTGCTCGGTACGTGCTCGGTGGTGCTACATGTACAGTGTACTTACCTAAGCGTGCAGCCCGGGCCAGATTTTATGGTAGAATAGGCGTAAGCAATATCTTATCATAAACTCCGTACTTTAAGCATAAGCTCCGAGGGTTATCATAAAGAGCCGCTTATCATAAATCGTTAGCGCCCGCCAAGTACTGCAGGTAGGTCTAACTAGTAAATTAAGTAGAGTATATAGTTTAAAGTTGCAAAATTCTTACGTAAAATCAACTACTGCCAGTGCCGGTAGGTCGAATGACTTAGTGGTTAAGTACGTGGTTTTGTAGTGCGGCTGGCTACCCACTACCTACTATTTACTTACTTTAGCAAAATTCTCTGTTTAGGAGGGTTTTGCAAGGTAAGTAGATCGTAGGTAGTGGGTGGCGGCCTTTTTGCTTTTTAAATTAAATAGCTATTTTTACAATAAAAACGGAGTTTACGATAAGAATTTCATACGCTTAATAAATATTTTATTAAAGAATTGGTCCCCTTATTAAGTATAATATTAAAGGCTATATTACGATACTTCTACTGAGAAATTAGGGTAGAAATTGGGCAGTGCCTACCAGGTACACCTGCAACAACCGCCGCTTTAATTGCTCAGTTGGACCGCCGCAAGTGCACCATGCCGCTTTTATTTTTGCTGACTAGGTACCCGGCTTTGTAATCGCATCCCGACTTTTCTTCCCGCGCTTACCCCCATCTTTGTATGTTGTACCTTCTGTAGGTACCTAGGTAGTGTTCGATGCTCTCAATGTACCGCTGTACTTGATCAACATATACTGCTCATCTGTGCTATTCCGTTCCCAATGTCAGGGCTTCCCGGTGACAGCTCTCCTTCTTTATCATGGCTGAGGCCTCCTTCAAACAGATGATTGCTTCTCTCCTACGTCAAACAAGACCACAATCCTTTCGCCACGCCAAACCGAGTCGATATCCTCAACGACAACTCTCTACTTCTGCGACATCGTCGCCACAGCCAGCCGAGTCTGATCGGCCTCAATGGCAGGCCCATACTGTGGCATCCTCTGGAGAACGTCGCACCGAACGATCGCGTCTGGAGAAACTGCGCGATGAGACTGACCCACGGCCGTTCTCCTCCTTCCTGACGGATAACTACTCCAGGCAGCACAACTACTTGCGTATATCTGTCACTGAACGCTGCAACCTGCGATGTCTGTATTGTATGCCTGAAGAAGGTGTGCAACTCTCACCAACTGCTCGGCTGCTGACTACCCCGGAGATTGTCTATCTGGCGGAGCTATTTGTCAATCAAGGTGTGAATAAGATCAGATTGACCGGCGGCGAACCGACGGTACGGAAAGATATCGTGGATTTGATGCATCAAATCGGCCATCTGAGGAAATTTGGTCTTAAAGAGTTGTGCATCACGACGAACGGCATTTCACTACATCGCAAACTTGACTCCATGGTGGAGTCAGGGTTAACCGGTGTCAATCTGAGCCTGGACACACTTGATCCTTATCAGTTTACCATCATGACCCGCAGGAACGGGCATGATGCGGTTATGAAGTCGATCAACCGGATTTTGGAAATGAACAAATTAGGTGCGGGCATTAAATTAAAAATCAATTGCGTGGTCATGCGTGGGTTGAACGAGCGGGAAATATTGCCTTTTGTCGAACTTGGTCGTGAACAGGATATCGAAGTTCGTTTCATTGAATACATGCCCTTTGATGGGAACAAGTGGTCTGAGAAGAAGATGATGAGTTTCGGGGAGATGCTCGCTCTTATTCGGCAGAAGTACCCGGACGTGCAGAAAGTCCAGGATCACAAAAACGACACCAGCAAGACTTACAAGATCCCCGGCTTCGTCGGCCGTATTGGATTCATCACTAGCATGACTCACAACTTTTGCGGTACCTGCAACCGACTCAGGATCACTGGTGACGGTAACCTCAAAGTCTGTCTCTTCGGTAACTCCGAAGTTTCCCTGCGAGACATACTTCGAGAATCCAACAACGGCCAGCCCATTGATGCCGAGGCCATGGAAGCGATTAAACAGCTCGAGTCCGGTCGAAGGACCATTTCGGAAAATGGCGCTAATTTGGTTGTTTCCGAGACCGAGCAGAAATTGCTTGATGTCATTGGTATGGCGGTGAAGCGAAAGAAGGAAAAGCATGCAGGAATTGGCGAGCTTGAAAACATGAAGAACAGGCCAATGATTCTCATCGGTGGGTAAGCCATGATATCCTGTCCCTTTTGTCACTATGCATATATGAGCGATATGAAACGAGAAATGCCAGCTATCACGACAACCTTTTCCATAACGAATATAAGACGTGTTTATGTCAGCCATCATGTCCACTTCCAGTTTTCTCTTGGTTGATAATTTTTGGTCAGTTAACCTGCTGACATCCGCATGGGTAGATGATGGCGTACCTAAATCTCAAGTGTCAACTTCCTCTGGCAGACCTTCATTCCCTGCCTCATCTATGCAAACCGGCGTATTCCCGACGTCTGGTATACCTCTTCACCTCTTGCATCCATCGCAGTCGTCTGTTACCTGGTCACAAGTGCGCGGTATGTCTCATCTCTCTTCTTCCGCATCGCCGCCCTCACAGCCCTTGTCGAGTGGTTCGGCGTCCAAGCGACCGGAGCTTCGGCACAACTCGTTTCGTTTTCTTCAAGGGCAGTCGCTTTTCCGAAAGGTACCTTCGAAAAGTCCGAAGAACATCCCTGCCACTTCATCGGCCTCGTGGCACGAAAATCGACAGCGTTCCAGCAGCCGAAACAACAAGGCTGGAAGCGGCCATTACACTCGCTACTTGACACGAGATATCATCTCACGCCGAACTCCACTTGCACGTCCTGATCACGCAAATACCAACTCTCCTTATTCTACATCCACTCCTAGCTCAACCTCCCAATCTGAGCCGGCAGAGGACAAACTTCCCACATTGACTCATCTCACCTCGAACGGAGAAGTCCACATGGTCTCGATCGCAGGCAAGGTCCCGACGGCGCGATCTGCCACCGCGACAGCGTTGCTGCTTTTCTCCCGTCCCGAGACGTACAGCACACTCCTTGCGGCGCGGCTGCGCAAGGGGGACGCACTATCGGTGGCGAGAATTGCAGGAATCCAAGCTGCGAAGAAGACGGCAGATCTGATCCCTCTCGCACACCCGGGGCTCGGCATCACTGCCGCCTCCGTCCGTCTGGAGCCGTTTATGGGCAACAAGCTGCCCTACCCACTGACTCAGAAGTCACTGGGCCTGGCGAACAAGCCCGCCAAGCGTCTGTGTGGCGGCGTCTTGATCACCGCGACCGTCAGCTGCGAGGGCAAGACCGGCGTCGAGATGGAAGCCATCACGGCCGCCTCTGTGGCGGGGCTGACCATGTACGACATGCTCAAAGCCGTCGACAAGTCCATGGTCCTGACCGAGACTCGCGTCGTCGCCAAATCCGGCGGCAAATCCGGAGACTGGGCCTGGGATCACCAGACGAACCAGATCGTCAAAGCAGACGACCGCGCCGGGCAGGATGAGAAGGCGCTCGAAAGAGATTTGGAGGCTCAAGACAGACATCTCAAGGACAGAGAAATCCAGGAGAGAATCAGGGCGCAGCAGGCCGCTGTCGACGGCGAGGGCGGGGATCTTGATAGCGGCCCTGGCTCTTCAGGAGAAGATTCTGATGCTGATGCTGATACTGTACGCCACGCCGTCAAAAGCGGCCCCGTCTCGGCCGAGGACTTTCGCTCCAGCAGAAGGAAACGTCTCGCCCGCAGCCTCGAGGCCAGGCGGTCGCAACAGCGCTCGCAAAATCCCGAAGCGACACGGCCCCTAGCGGAGGAGCCGCAAGTCCAGTCGACGGCCGCGGGGTCTGAAATAGGCCCAGAGAAAGCTGAAAAGCCAATTACTGGCTAGTTCGGAACGTAAGGTCTCGTTTAGGACGTACAGTACTACATATGTTATATATCCACATAATACTCAAGTACCTATATTTCTTCGGGGTCTTGCGCTTAATGCAACCATATCTACAGCGCACACACACGCGTTGAGCCACTACTAGTATATCCTTATCGAACATTTGGAAAGACGACCAATGCTGGATTTCCTAAGGGAAGCATGTCATCCCTAGCTTCTGTGCCATTTCCACGTACTCAATTACATTAGACAGTGATATGACATTTGATGTTTTGATTAATTTACACATATTGCTTTTACGATGGACGCTAACTTGAACAAATTCGTACAAATAGATACAGTCTTATCGCTTGCTCGTTCAACTTTACCGCTCAATCGCTCCACAACCATGTAACTGACGCCATCATAAAATGCACCCAAGAAGTGAGTCAATCAGTGAATGCGCCGCGGAAATCCAAATATCTATCGTCAAATTGGCAGAAGGTAGAATACCTTATCTCAGCCATACCTGTTCGAAGACACCTCCAAGAGGTCTTGTCCCAGCCAATTCTTCCATGAATTTCTCCGAAACAGGCGTGACGAGCGGAGTCCACCGACCGAACCGTGTCTGTGCCCAATCCAGGCAGAAATGATGTGTACTCAGAAACTGCGGCGGTTGACGTCCCAAAGCCGTTGATGTAGAAGATGGCTTCATCTTCCAGCGACTCTGGTAGACGGTCGGCCCTATGGCGAGCTGTTCTAAGCTCGGCTGACATCCGCCAACAAGGTCCGGAAATACCCATTCAATGAACTTGTTGGCATACTCTTTGATGCTGTAGTCGCCGAGCTGGCTGCAGACATGGTTCTCGGGGAAGTTGCGTATGTGGATCGTTCTGAGATGTTGCAAGGTAGGCAAGGCCGTCTTCCGCAGTCGCACCAGCTCGTCATTCCAAGGAAATCCCATGCCCAACTCGACGAGATTGGGACAGAATCGTGCAATATCATTGATCGATTCAACCCATAGCTCCTGGCTGTAACCACCAGCCCCAAACGGGCGCGACGTATCCATACTGAGGTGCTCACGGGGCTGAGTTCGGGCTTCCAGCACGAGGGTGCGCAGCGTGGGTCCGTGTCTCTCAATAAAAGTCGACGGCCGTTCGAGGATGGCTCCATTATCGAAAAGTAAAGACAATGTATTTAGTCCATTGAAGGACCCGAGAAAGCGGACGATCGAGTCTTTGACTGCAGCTGTTGGGTTCTCGTGACGGAACAGGAAGTGTTTGAGTTTGGGTGGAACTCGCGGGTTCTGGGGGGCCTCAGATGAGTGCAACGTCCAGTGAAATGCATTTGCGAGCAGGTCCAAGAACTCTGCGCTGCCAGGGCAAGACTCTAAAGTCATCCGTTCCAGGTTACAGAAGAATGACCCCTCCTGCATTGACCCAGGTCGGAGCCTCGACACGTCCAAGGCATGCAGCGAAAGCTCACGCAGATTTTTAAAGTCCTTCAGCGCAAGGGCGGCAGTGAAAAAGGTGTCCTTTGGCTGATTGACCTGCTCCATATGACCGCCTCTTCTCTGATGGTACTGTTCGATCAACTGTTTTTCTTGGCCCAATTGTAATTTCTGCAGTGTTTTTTTGTTCGTCATTATGATCCTCTCAATCGAGTCCCCATCGTGAACTGTGCGACATTCGAGGCTGGTGAGGTTTGTCGGCACAAGACTGCTCTTTTCCCAAGCACCGGGTTCGCAGAAGCGTAGATGTTGAAGCGTACTATCGTGTCGCTGTATGAGCTGGTCGAGTAACCGGGCACCCAATGGTGTCTGGTACAGGAACCTGGGCCATATTAGAGGAGACTTTGCTTGGGGTCATTGGTGATACTCACGCGAAACTTGTCAACCGACCGGTCGGGATGTCCTGAAGAATTTCATAGATGAAGTCATCTGGATTATACATGTCACCAGAATCGACTCTGCTGGCCGATGATGGAAGTGTTCGATCCACCATGCCATATCTGACTGTAAGATGACGGACGGACTGTGTGACCGGTGCGCGGAATGGACGCGACCCGGATTTCCTGGAATGACTGAGGCGAGGAAAGTGGCAGTCCACACTGTGGTAAAGCCGCTTCATGACCTTATGCTCGAGTACACTACATGTTCTGGAGAGATTGTACAGATCTCTCATATCATGAATCTGCAAGCCTGCCATTAGCCAAACTCTTTCAGATTGTGATCCCCTACCCACATAATCGACAATATGGAGTTTGAGTTCATTCGGCAGATCCAGCAGCCGACAAGGCTGTGGCGGCAGGGTTCCCTCCATAGCGTCGCGAGTTGACGTGGGAGACTCCGTTCAACAGCCTGGTGCGCCGCACATACACGTCTTGGACATGAGCACTGAAGTCAAATAGCGACTCAAACTCTTCTGCTCGCATTCGGGACATATATCAACTCGTGGAAAAGCAAGGGAGCATTCAACCGACAGAACAACACGCCTCGACAAAACTGCGACCGGGGGTGGAGCAGGGTCAGTACTATAAGACATATGATGAGGCATCCGGGATCCAATCTTTTGATCTTCGATCCAAGCACATGTTTACAATGGTAGAGGACAGGGGCCGGTAGGGCATGGGAGAGCCCTCGGAGGATCAATGCGCTGCCAAATCGAGGACCACGCGTAGCAAGGGGGAGGACCATAAAACGGGATGTTGGGCCATTTACGGCTACCATACATAGCGGCCAACCGAGACACCCAAAGCGCTTGGGGAAATAGCCATCTTAGCCATCTTGCACGTAAGATAAGACCACGATGAGGAAAGCGTCTTGACGGTGGTGGTGGTCGTTGAAAATCTGTCGCAATGACGGACAACTCAAAGCACAGGGACGAAATAATGGATCGAGTGGGCGTGCATGCACATCCTCCATAGTGGCCCACATTCCCGGAATCGATCGTGGATGAAAAGGAGATAGTGAGGAATCTCTGACAGGCATCAACGTCTTCGAAGGCTTGGAGGACGACAGCCGCAGAATACTAATCTATCGTAGCACAAGTTAGTAGCGGCCAAACTCTGGTCCTCACTTTTTCAGCTTCGGAGATGTGTTGGCCAGCATTATGATTGGCCTCATTCTCGGGCACTGTGAAAGCGTGCCAGCGAGAAGGGACCTTGTCGGCACGAGAGTGATAGATCTTGATAGAGAGTGCTTGCCCAGTGTCGGTGGGACAATTGATTTATGGATCAAGCATCGACAAAGACTGAAAAGGGCTCAATAAATGGTTTGATGGTGATGACCAGAAGGTATGGTAGAAAAGCTCGACCGGATATATTAAACGCATGGACGAGGTCTGAGCCTGCGCCTGCGCTCTTTGCGTGCGCAGTCTCTTTGTGCCGCCGTAGACTATCAGCTGCGGAGAATCAATATTCCGCAGCCGAAGTGGCAGTCGAATCACGATCTGATGCCGCTCTGCATCGCAGATGGAATCCAACGTCACGCCTTGTGTAGTATCTTCGGTTGAGGTAGACTCGAAGTGGGATTCGATGGCAGACGGATGCAGAAAAAGCACGAGGTAATCCGTTGCACATATCTAGGATCTAATCTCTGCTTGCGATATAATCCATTATCATCGCTGTCACTGGCATACCTCTGTGCCTGAATGCTGCTGAGTACGACAGCTTGAGCGTCACGACAGCGACCGTGCCTGCCAGAGCTTGCATGAAGTAGGAGTGCTGGGTGCATTGTTCTTTCTTCGGGGCAGGTTATGCAGACGGCCAAATTGATAAGATCAAGCCATATCTGATGGACAGACAAGCAACTGTGAGTAAATCCGCATCAACCTGAGAGACTTGCCTTTGTCCCGTCAAAGATGGAAGGAGGGCACCCCATGATACTTTCTTTGGCTTCAACACTGGGTCCCTGAAGCCCTCCAGCAACGCGGAGCAACACTTCCCTTACTACTTTCTTCCTCACCATGTCGCGTGGTTCTGCATCTTTCTTCCATTCAAGATGTACCGCGCTCTCTGCACCAGCAGTCTCAGAAGCATGGAGGGCAATCCCACGGATGCGGCTAGTATTACTAGCAAGAGTGGCACAACTGACAGCGTAGACGAGCGGCTGAGGCTGGCTAGTCTGAATGCAGTCTTCAACAGTGAACCTCAGTCTGACGCTTTGCTGAATCATTAGTCCTGGAGGATACTGACATCAATTTCAGATCAAATCTCAGACCTGACCATGATGACGATCGAGCCCTGATTAAAAGCCCGCCAATCACTCCAGTCCCTTCGCGTCCTTCGACAGATCGAGACCCTACTGCTGCTGTTTTCCATCTTTCATCCACGGACGACGAGATGGATCGAAAGCTACGCCAGAATAAGCCTCGCCTCCTTTTGATGGGCCAACGGAGGTAATGGAAAAGCATCCCTTTTCCGCAGCCGTACTAACACAAGAACTAGGAGCGGCAAATCATCTATCACGAGCGTTGTCTTCCACAAGATGCCACCTCAGGAGACCCTTTTCCTTGAATCTACCACCCAGATTCAGAAAGACTCGATGCGGTCGTTCATGGATTTCCAAGTTTGGGACTTCCCCGGACAGCTCGACTACTTTGACCCTACTTTCGACACCACCGAGATCTTCTCCGAGATTGGCGCACTGGTCTGGGTCATTGATGCTCAGGACGATTACACAGACTCTCTCAACCGATTGACCACCACTATTCTCAACCTCCAAACCACCTTTCCTCATATCAATGTTGAAGTGTTCATTCATAAGATTGATAGTCTCAATGAAGAATTTCGCTCCGATATCTACCAAGACATTGTGCAGAGAGTGGGAGACGAGTTAAGCGATGCTGGTTACATCAACCCCAACGTCAGTTATCACTTGACCTCGATCTACGATTACTCCATCTTTGAGGCTTTCAGCAAGGTCATCCAGAAACTAATTCCACAATTGGACACTCTGGAGAACTTGTTGAACATTCTGGTTAACAACTGTGGAATGGCCAAAGCCTATCTTTTCGACATTTGGAGCAAGATCTACGTTGCCAGTGACACCAGACCGATCGACATGGAGGTGTACGAAATGTGCTCTGACTACATTGATGTCATTGTCGATATTACCGATATCTATGGGTACGACCGACGACACGAGAAGGTCCTCGGGGAGCAGATGCAGGAAGCCGAATCATCCGTCACTATCCATGATGGTACTATGATTTACCTGAAGGAAATGAACCAGTAAGTGTTGACATGCTATCTACTTCCCAGATCTAATGTTCTTCAGGTATCTTTGCCTCGTTACTGTAATCAAGAACGACGAGGCCAAAGACAAGAAAGGCTTGATCGACTACAACTGTCATATCTTCCAAGATGCCCTGAACGCGGTGTTTGCACGCGCGTGGGAGAAGGACAAGTCGAATGAGCAGGGTGGTGAACAAGAACAGAAGCCGAGCAAGACAACAGCTCAAGGCTAGCTTCAGGCGCAGTGGCAAAATCGCGAAAGGGTGACATTCCATGCGCGGGTTATGAGGCCTCTATTGCTGGACGAGGCTCAATAGTGATAGGGTGCCGTCACCGGGCATGATGCTACACCGGCACAACAGCCTATTGAAATAGCCAGCAAACGTTACGTAGCTTTGCGGTAGGACGCGACTGAACAGAGTTGAACACAGGCGGATAATAAATCGGAGAATGACCACAGCAATAATGAAAATAACCCAACTACAACTATGATCCCTTCAACTAGCAGCCAGCCATCGTGATGAGTTAAGTGGGCTTCGCCCGTGGAATGCATGATGGCAGCGATGCGTTGTTGTTGTTGTTGTCCTCGTCGTCCTCGTCGTTGGCTGCGGCTCTACTAACCACTGTTACTACCAAATCGGTGCCAAGCCTGACATCAACCTTGTCAGACCCGCAATTCTCGCCAGGATGGAAACAAATTCCTACATCTACATGCAGAATCGCTCCCCAGCTGAAGCAGAAAATCCTATCAGTCTTCTAAGGGACGTTGACGGCATTGATTCCCTCGTCGGCGACCTTCAACAGGATCAGAAGACCGATAGCGCTGCTGAAAGTCGTGCCCGACAGTCGCTAAACCCACGCATCCAGTTTTTACGCCTTTCAGCCATTGTCCGGGGACGACAGGGAGTGGGCATCCTAGGAGCAACACCTCCATATCAGCCTGTGCCGCCGTCTTTGTATCGTTCCCTCCCTTCCGATCACGAACAGGACTTGGAGACGCGATCGGAGCATAGGGCGCTGTCACCTCTGCGCAACATCGTTTTTTCACGTTATCCGCCGGTGCATGACTCACAGCAGCGCTCTTTTGTACGCAGTCCAAACACCTTCACCGGCCTCCAAAGGGTCCCTCTCTCTCGAACTGTCAAAATGCCCCAGACAGGATTCCAGGCTTTGATCCTATGTGGTCCCGGTATCGGTCTGAGCACGTTCACCAGTGTTCCAGCAGAATTCCCCAAAGCTTTGGTCGAGGTCGCCAACCGGCCTATGGTCTGGTATGTTCTGGACTGGTGTTATCGTATGGGGGTGACAGACATTACTCTGATCACTCCGCCAACCTCGAAGGATCCTATCGCTGCGGCCCTTGCACAAAATCCATATCTCACATCTTTACCCTCACCAACCCCCGACCTCTTGGCTCCTGAAGAGCTAGAGTTTACGACACCGACAGCGGAGCTACTGAGGTTACCAGAAGTGCAAGAGATCATCAAGTCCGACTTTTTACTACTTCCTTGTGATCTAATCTGCGCTGTCCCCGGCGAGGCCTTCCTTGAGACGTATCTTACGAGATTGGGTGGGCCAGGTGGTATTGGTACCAGTACAGGCGGGGACCATGAAACGTCGAGGAACGAACTCCTGGCACTTGGAGGAGAGTCGCGGGGTCGACGAGGCGGTTTATCGATATGGTACAACACGATCGACCGAGAAGAGAGCGTCAAAGGGGAGGAGTGCGATTTTATGTGCACTACAAAACTTGATGCCGAACATGACATTCCGCTTTCCAAGACCGCGTTTGCACAGACGCAAGGCGTTTTGCGAAAGTTGGTCTGGACGATGCCTATGTCAGAGCTTTGGGATCAGTGTGAGGAGGACAAGTCGTGGAAGATACGACAGTCTCTTCTTCGGAAACACGGCGCTATCAAGTGCATGACCAAATACCGAGACTCGCATATCTACCTGTTTCCTCACTGGGTCAAGGACTTCGCCAAGCTGAACGAAGATTTCGAGTCGGTCAGCGAGGATCTTGTGGGCACCTGGGCAAAGTCTGAATGGCGCAAACCCAGCTACCGGGCCCGATTTGGCGCCAGGAAGATATTCTCACGAAAGATGACTGCGGAACAGAATGCAGTTCCTTCACATGAGCGGCCAATTGAGGAAGAAATCGATCTACTTTCTCTGAGCAGTACACAAATCACATCCCAGCCGCCGACGGAGTCAGCTCCCACACCTCGTATCGCACGACTTGCGTCACGGGTGCCAACCGATCTGGAAGACAGCATCTTGTCGCCAACTGACACGACTCAAGCCGCAGAAGAAACGGGCCCCGTTCCTCTTGTGCCTCCTATCTTGTCCTACATCCTTCCCTCGACCCCTAACGCTCCCCTCGTGCGTCGAGTCGACGCAACTCCTCTCCTCCTCTCTGTGTCCCTGGCTCTCGCCAAACTGCCCTCTATAGAAGAGTCTCTGGCAGCTAGAACTCCGGCCTCGCCGTTCGCACACCAATCCAAAGTCCATCCGACCACGACCATTGCACCACGGGTCACCATCTCCCGCTCCGACACGCTCATCGACAGCAACAGCACAATCGCAACACAGTGCGTGATCAAGTCCAGCGTTCTTGGCGCCTCCGTGGCGATCGGCACAGGCACCCGGATCACAGGGTGCGTGATCATGGATGGTGTTACAATTGGCGACAAATGTGTCCTGACCAACACGGTCGTGGGCAAGAAGGCCAAGGTGGGGAACAAGTGCACGCTGGTCAACTGCGAGGTGCAAGATGGCAATGTCGTGACGGATGGCACTGAAGGAAAGGGCGAGAAGTATCTTGTCGGGGGGTTGGAGGATGAGATGGAGGACGAGGAAGGCATGGGTTTTGACGACGATGCCGACGACGATGCTGGTGATGCCGAAGGGATAGAAATCTGAGCAACGGTGCACGCGGCATTGACTTGAGCAATACTACTCCAGGGGCGTACCTAGGTATGCTCCAGCCCGTAAGATTTACATTAGGTAGCAGATTTCTGGCTGAAGACGACGACACAATCTACTGCTGCAATAGACCACTGCAATTCTCGACTTTCGTGTCCGCAAAATATAGCATATTTTGGTCAGGCTGCAAATCAACAGCGGGCTGATTCACCGTTTGCGCGGCAGTTATCGGACATCTCATTATTAGACTGTGGTTCATATTAGTAGGTGAGGTACAGGAAACTAACTTGGTTGAGGTTCCATGGCCAGGGCTTACCTACAACTATTTATTGCAATGCAGTGGGACCCTCCAGCTCAAGATGCGGAAAGCTTTGTCCCGCGGAGGCGGTGGTGCGACTTCCCCGTTTTTACTGGACGTTACCAGTTTTTACTGGGGATTACCGGTTCTTACTGGTCGTTACCGGTTTTAAGCAGCGGTCACTGGTCAATCCCACCCCATTCTAAGGCTTAGTGCCCGCATCAACCCCCGCCGCATCATGTCAACAACTTCGAGTTCTGAGGTTTGACGGTTCATGCTGTTTTTTTATTAATTAATTATTGAAAACTGACACTCGGCACAAGAGCTCAATTGAAAGGCAGATTTTTGATTTGTCGCACTGCGGCAGCCGAGGTCGTCTAAGACGTATGCCTAGGCGCCGATATATGATAGTAGGCGGGAGACCTGGAGTGCATAGTTGTCACGGGTAATGTCATCATGATGGGAATCGCATATGGGCACTCTTAACGCACGCACATTTGAGAGCTTATAGCTGTGCAAAAAAACGTGTTATAGGACATGTTAGGCTAGGATGCCTTTTTATTAATAAAAAAGGAAGTACCTGATGCTTAGTCATATGGTCGCATAGAATGCAGTGCTACTACTGCCTCGACAGAAGTGGTTAGCGCCGGCTGGGCGGCGGATTCTAGCGTTTCAGTATATCAGGCGCAGCTGCTCCTTCTGTTACTTTACAACTCACCGACCTTCAGTTCTTTCTACCTTAACCTCACCCTAACTTTCCACCACACCTCAAAATCGACGTCAATTCAGCAGAATTAAGTCCCTGAATTAATCGATAATCGCGCGATTATTAAAAACTTTGGTCGATTTACTGAGGTGGGCGCGAGCGCGCCCCTGAGCGACTCGCAATGGCGGCGGCGGAAGCGACTTCGAGGTCGTCGCATGGCCCAGCCAAGCGCAAACAATTCACGGTAAGTTGCCAATGGTTGAAGTGAAGCTCGTATGAGAATACATGTTCCTGCCCGAGATCGGTTCATCGCCCAATTGTTGCGGGCAAAAGCACCCGTTTTGGTGGGACTAGAGCAGCTGCGCTCTTATTTTATTGATAAACTTGCTAGGCGCCGCATGAGCAGGGCAAGCTACGTGTTTTTTTGGCTGATTTGACTTGAATTTGATTTTATCGCTCTTATTGCATGCATTGTTTCTCTGGCCATGCATGATTGTTGTTTGCTGACATGTCTGTAGCCTTCTGCTGGCCCAGTGCTGATAGAGATCTCGTCTGATGAAGAAGTGAGTTGAGTGGAGCTGTTTTCCGCCCCCTTGTTTTGATTGCTGCACACCTTCTCCTGCCACCTCATGGGTTCGAGTCGTCGAACCCTCCAACCTCGAGATGGTCGCACAACTTTTGGGTCATAATTCCTGGACAAATTACTGACTGCTATGTCCACTGGCAGGACAATACCTCCACTTCTCTCCCACCTGCAAAAAGACAAAAGTCTCAAAATCACCCGCCAGTCTCAAGTTCTTTGTCAGCAACACGCCAAGATCGTTCTTTACGTGAACTGTTCTTCCCCTCTAATCGGCCATTGGCTGAGACACCCTCTGCGGCCACTCTGAACAAGTCACGTGATAGGAATGCACGTGATGCGATTCCACGTGATCGGGATGGAGTGAGCGGGCTCCCAAAGGACAAAGGGTCACAGCAACAGGTCAAGAGCTCACCATGGAACAGGCTTTCAGATTTCGCACCCCCGCGCTCGCAGGAGCAAGATGGTCTGGTTGTGGACTCAAGCAGGAAGTCGACTCCCAGGGTTTCCTCGAAGTCGAAGCCTCCGCTGCTCGAGAGGATCGCCGCAGTCAGGGAGGCGGCTCGTTCAGAGACACCACCTGCGGCGTTGAAACATGGTGAGCCTGGAAAGGAGTCTGGCAAGGAGAAAGAAAGTCTGGAGGTTACCTTGAAATATGCCCGTCCTTTGAGGCGCCGCTCCAGATCACCTGTTCCTTTGACCAAGCGCACGCCCGTTGTTGAGCTAGAAATTCCAAAAACGCCAAGCAGAAATGGCTTTCTGCGACAAGATCAGGACGCCAAGGCTAATGCGCCTGCGCCAAAGACGCCTTCGTCATCACAGAAGCTGGTCTCTGTCGACATTCCCCTGCGGCGTGAATCTGGTCCTGCGGAAACACACACCAGAAAGCCGAGCATCGAAGTCCGCATTCCCCAAGGTGGGCTCAAAGCACAGCGGAGAGTGTTATTACAAGAACTGAAGAAGGACACGAGCATCGCTATCGAAAAGCCCGAGCTTGTGCGCCGCGTTTTCGGGCAGACCGGGTTCTCACCTGTTTTCAGCGTGGACGAAGACGAAAACATCGAGCGGATGCGGAAGATGGCGTCCAAGAAGAAACGAACGGCTCCTACGCCGGGAGCAGAGGCTCTTCTGACTACCGGAGACATGCCATACATGGTCGAGCTTATGGAGGAACTGAACCTGAGCAAAAACAAAAAAATGGTGCATCCGGCCGACACTGCGCGCGAAGTCTTGACCCGACGCTTCCAAGAAGAATTCGATCCACCCCTGACATTCGCCAACGACGTCAACGAGCGACGTTTACATGGGAAGTTCCAGTTTACAGATCGCTACATCATCCGCGAAGGCGTCCGAATGGCACCTCCCGGCACCAACGCCGGCTGCGACTGTGTCGGAGTCTGCGATCCATCGACCTGCGCCTGTTTCGCTAAAGAAGTGCCTGATGAGGTGGGAAAGGGTACGCATAAGGAGCAGATCCAGACCTACGTCCGACGACCTGATAATGGCATGGTTGTCTTATCCGACACTTTCATCGCCAGCGAATTGGATCCGCAATCAAAACGCCATTTCGAGGTGACCGAGTGCAATGAACTGTGTGGCTGTGGACCCGACTGTATTAACCGCGTCGTCGGCAAAGGACGCACCGTCCCGCTCGAGATCTTCCAGACTGCCAAGTGCGGATTTGGCGTCCGTTCGCCCGTCGACATCGTCAAGGGTCAGTTCATCGAGTTGTATCTGGGCGAAGTCATAACTGAGGCTGAACTCTGTCGTCGCGAAGCCACTGCAGATGCAGGGGAACCCAGTTACATCTATTCACTGGATTGGTTCGGGGCCCTCAACTCAAAGTACCATGTCGACGGCAAGTATTTTGGCTCAGCAATGCGCTTCGTCAACCATAGCTGCAACCCCAACGCGAGATGCTTCATCGTCCAGCTCCACAAGGGTGATAAGAAGGTCTATTATCTGCCCTTTTTTGCCATCAAGGATATCAAGGCTGGTGTTGAGATTCGCATTGATTATCAGCCCGGTGAAACTGGAGGCCAGGAATACGAAGCTGAAGCCGCAGATGAATTCAAAGCTGAAGACGAGGCTGGCACTGGGCAATATCATCTCAAGCCAAACCCGAAAATCAATTCCACCGCTGCCGATGTCCTCGCTAATACCGAGGGTGACGATGATTTGGTCCGCTGTTACTGCGGCGAAAAAAATTGTCGCAAGTACCTCTGGTCGTTGGACGTCAAGGCCCGGCGCAGAAGACGCAAACAAGCTGGTTGAACTTGGAACCGAATCGATTCGATCAAAGCCCAGCTCTTGGATTGCAGGCCACTGGGCGGATTTGCACCAAACCAAAATGTTTCCGACTTGACACAACTTGAACCAGCAGAGTGGCTCATTGAGAACATTGGCTAGGATCGGACAGAACAAGCAACTTGAGCGTTTTTGTTTTCTTTTCGGCAGCATTGAAGATACGACATGACCCGTCACTCAGCCCAATTGTGGTCCTGTCCATGGACAGAACTCGGATGAAGGGGGGCTTGAGTGAGCTCGATGATTTTGCGCCTGCTTGCGCAAAAGCGTCGATGATTCAAGGAACAGCACAGGAGCACATTGGCTGAATGAGATGAAGATGTTTGATTGTACATTACGAACTGGAAGGCGCAGTGACGCCGTACGTACGCACATCCGTACATACGTACACCGCGTAGCATGCCTGGCATCGGGCGGCATGGCGTGGTGTTGTAAGATAAATAGCGCATGGTGAATGAAACTTGAACCTTTAATTGATACTTCAATCGGTTCTCTACTTAAAAGATCAGAAGTAAAGTATGACTACTAGTAAGCTAAAGCCACTGCTTACTGCGGCTACTGCTTCACCTAGCACTACTAGTAGTAGGTGGGTGGTATAGTAACTTGAATCATATTAGGCAAGCTCTCAATTGAACTACTGCAGGCACCTGCATTTAATTCAATAGGTAAGCTCCTGGCGCCACTGGACCTAGTTAATGTAGGGATTGTAGGAGAGCTGAGCTAGACCGATAGTGTTGGGTTGTTAACACTAGTAGCAACCGCAACCGCAACCGCAACCGCAACCGCGTTTTCGTCCTCGGCGCAAGCTGGAACTATCCAAAAATCTCCTGTAGGTTCATATTTGATCCAAAACTCAAACTCGAACTCCAACTCAAACTTTTGGCCAAGGCCTCATCGACGCGTTCCTTGCGGAAACCGGGGGCGCGGCCGAGACACGCGCCCGACTCGACCATATGTTCGAGGAACTGGTCGACGTCGAATGTAAGCACAGTTTGAGAGTGGGATTCTTGTTGCTGTTGGGACTGGGACCCAAAGGGCATGGCAGCCGAGTGTGGTGATGGTAATGCTGACGGTAATTCATGAGTATTAGTACCTATAGTTGCAGCCGAATTTGTACCGTTGGCCCACCACGGATTTTCGTGTCCATACGACGGCGAGGATGAAGTGGTAGTAGTTGACAGAAGGTCGTTCCCGTGGACATTGGGGGATACATCGCTGGGAGGAGAAGGAATCGATGACGTAGAAGTCGACGAAGAGGATGAAAAGGGTGCTGCTGCGGTACCACAAGTATAGGTCGTAGCGCCAGAGTCAGATCTGCCAATACTGTTGGTGCTGCTGCCGCTGCCGCTGCCGTTAAAGCTCGCCAGTCCCATCACCATACCCGGATCGACGTCGACAAAGGAACTATGACCATCCAAAAAAATCCCTTTTGTCTTAAGATACTCCTCGACATCGTGTGAATCGTACCACTCGCCACCAAAGCCGATGTTCTCGAGTAACTCTTGCACAGAGGAATCGGCCCGCGGGGTCTCGGACTCGACATAGGGAAACGGCCCAAACGCTTTGAGGGGACTGAGACAGTTAGGCGGGTAGATGGGGTTTCCAAGATCATCGCGGCGTGGGAAATGAGTTCCGGCGCCGCCGATGGCCAAAAAGGGAGCGGCGAAATTCTCGAGGGCCTCGCCGGCGCGCCTCCGCAAAATCTCTTGGAAGCGCCCGATCATGTGCTTGCGGTTGGCGAAGCAGAAACTGAAACGGAACGAGTGCTGGATGGCTTTGACGTCGACGGCCGGGTTGCTCAGGTTGCGGAACCCGCGCTCCAGCACCATTCGGTGCAGACGTCGCGCAAACGTCGTCTCTTGGAAACTATATGTGTATGAACCGTGATTGGACGGCGATACCAGAGGCCTTTCGATCTCGAGGGCACCAGGGGGTGGTTGTGGTTGTTCTTCGTAAACGGTATGATTGTCGTGCTGGTTGACGTTGACGAGCGGCAATAAAGGGTCTGTGATGGTGGTGTTGATACTGTTGAAATCCAGTAATCCGTCGGTGAAGTCTTGATCGTTCACGTTCACTTCTTCGTACCATGCTGACCCTGCCTCTGGCGGGTCGGGATTAGGGTCAGGGGGAGCATTGTTGATGTTTTTGGTCGCCCTGTCCTGGTGGTCATTGTTGCTGCTGCTGCTGCTGTGGCTGATGTGATCCAAGGGGATACTTATACTCCCTAGTTCAGCTTCTGCGCTTGCAGTGGTAGACGAGACCTGGCCACCTACACCGTGGCTGCTAGCCGCTTGACCTCCTTCCATCTCACGTCCTGGCTCTGCTAGTTGTTGAGAAGAAGACGACGACAATGTCCGATCTGTCCTTGAGGCATGTTGTCGTTGCTTGGCATCAGTCTTATCTGAATTTGAGGATCGTCTCGAATTTGCTTTCGGGTGGTCCCTGACGTCTCCGCCTTCTTCCTCGTCGTCCGGCTCCAAAGATGACATCTTCGCCAGAACAGCAAACTCTTCTTCGGCGGCTTGGACTTGCTGACCAAGGGATACATCCGAAGCCAGAAGTCCGTTCTCAACAATATGACGACGGAGCGTCAAAAATGTCTCGTTCATCCGGTCGACCGTGTCGCGGAGATCCGTGACTTTCTGCTTCAAAGCCGAGATGGTGGTTTCCTTTCGATGCCGGTAGGCTCTTTGCGCAAGACGGATTTGAGTCCGTCGACGGTCGGCGGCAGTTTCATCCTGGATGTCAAGCCGAGGTCGTCCTCTCTGTTTCTTGTTGTCGACCTGGTCGGTGTCATTGCCATTGCCAGGAATGACGGTGCTTGCATTCGACGCTCTTTTGTTGGTCGGTTTCTGTTGTTTCTTCTTCTTTTGTCTTGGTTGACTCTCTGGCGTTGTAGAGGACAGCAAATGATCACTCATAGAGTCATCAACTGGCACAATACCGCCGTAGAGTTGTTGGCTTGAAGATGCCGTTTTCCTCTTTCGAGGGTTTCCCTCGTAAGGTTGCTGCATCAGACCTTGCGGGTATTGCGAGGCTGAGAGGATATCCAGATCTCCTGCTATAGGTCGTGAAAGTAGCGAAGCAGACGTGACCAGGGCATCGGCGGGGTCGTCCAGGATTGATCGGAGGGACGTATATGTCCGTTCGCCATATTGTTGTTTTGCGTAGGTCTGCATGGCGAAGGACATGATTCCTTCCCCGGTAGGTACTGTTGGATCCACGTACTGTAGTACTAGGACTCTGCGGCTGATTGATTACTGAACCTGAACTGTCGGAGAAGATGATGGGCCACACGGGCAAACCAACTTGACCCTATCGGCCAAACACAACCTGTATCAATCAATCAACTGCTCAACGTTTCATCTGCCTGTCTATCTTCTCTCCATCAACCAGAGAGAGCAGCAGAGTAAGGCCAGTAAGTCAGCTTCTCAAAAGAAACCACTTGAAAGTGCCCGTCTCGTCAGCCCGATAAATGTGGGGCCTCGTTGGAACAAGTGCTGCGTGCTGCTTTTAGCATATCTGACGCGAGCTGCGGTCCATTAGTCAGGCACCGCAACAAAGGAGAGGGTCGGTCTTCAAAGAGCAAGGTACTACACAGACCAAGCATTGCTGTGCCTAGACCTGGGAGTCATGGTTCCCCAGGCAGACATGTTCTGACTCCTCTGATACTGCAGTGCCAGTGGTTCAGGAGATGGCCGTGGAGCTGAACCCCAGTTGCTGAGTAAAGATGGATGGAATTAAATGAATAGTAATCAAAAAAGAATGACTCTCGCTTGTACGTGTCCCCACCGAGGTTTCCCCCACAACCAATGGCCGACGTATCACGTGCTGGCTTTACGGCCTTAAGTGTTAGTCAGCATGTTTCGGATGATAAACCAATCATACAACAGGCAGGCATGTGCATGATCATGTCTTCGTGCCCATCGATCATGGCATGGCACGAAGACATGATCAGAGACATGTGCCTCGTAACCCCCTTTGATTTCAAGCGAAGCCTACTAGGAGAACGTACAGTCCAGTTGATTGTAGACAGAATATTCGTCCATCGACTTCAAGTTGTGGACACCTATGTCATTACTGTGTGCTATCGATAGCACAAGAGATATCCTATGTCGCAATGGAAGAGCATGTTGATAACCACTGTCCTTTCCTATACCGTCCTTCCTGTCCAGCCCTATCCAGTGCCATCCGACCCAAAACCCAATCATCCCTAGCTGCTACCGAGAATCGAATATCCTACTCTCTTTCACTCATACATAACATTCATAGACTTCGTACAATCCGTCCACCAGGAACCAGAACGAACCGGAACCTTGATCACCATTGCCCTGAGAAAAAAATGCCTTCGTCTGGTGACCATTGGTATAAAACCAATCCAGATATCTGTTATGCCCGTTCAAGCACCTCGAAAATGCCATCCAGAACAACCGGCGTCTGCATAGACTCGTGCATAAACTCCATCATTGAACACGTCGAAGCGACAGTAGAAGACGTATTGGCTCTAGGTCTAGGTTCCAAAAGGCCCAGACCCACGAGCTCCGTGTGATCGGCGTACTTTTCCTGCTCGAGAGCCAAATCAATGGCCGACGGCTGGCGACGAATGTAGTTGTAGCTGCAGGGGGACGAGGCAGGACCCAAAATGGGCGAGAGGCCAACTACACCCAAGTGGTCGACGGGATGTTGGTGTTGTTGCTGTTCCCTCCGAAAGCTGCTGAAAGATGCACTGGGAGACGGACGGACGGACGAGGTAGTGGAGGAGGCCGAGGAACTCATGGCACTTGTCGACCTCGAGCTGCTCTTGCGGTAGACGAGGTGGTGGTTCAAGTTGCGACTGAAGATGGTCTGCAAAGACAATCGGACTCGAGAGGACGGAGAGGAAGTAGTAGTAGTAGTTCTGCTAACAGGTTTGTTTAATAACGGAAGACTCGAGAGTGATGAGACTTGAAGCCTCGAACAAGGGAGAGAGACTAACTGTGCAACAACCGCCATTCTTATCTCTCTTTCCCCGACAGTAAACAGAGACCCGGACGGACGGTGAGGAACAATGGTTCTTCCTTTTCTGTATTAGGCTCTCGACGTTGGCCAGCAGGTCGAGGGCGTTGCGGAGCGTAGCGTGGCAGAAATAGAGAATGTGGTCTGCGTGCTCGTGGATGAGGCAACGGTTCGTAGGGCAAGGTGGTAACGGGCGAACGAGGGAACGACTTGAACGATCAAAGAGTGACGAAGGAGCGGACGGACTTTGCTACTGAGGTGCAAGGACCAAGTTGCCTGGGAAATATGTGGGTTGGACTGCGAAGAAAGATGGCCCGAGTGACGGGGAGAGCCTTTTTAGCAAAGAGAAAAGAAGGTCAAGGCTCAGGGCCGAAATGGGGTCGTGGTCGATCAGGAACAAAGACCAAAAAGGAACAGGGTCCAGATGACAGAAGACCAGAAGCAGAAAGGGGAGCGACGGCAACGCGAAAGCAGAAAAGGTCAGTGAGACATTCCAATTGAAAGGGGAGAAATGAAGGATGTGTCAAGCCGTCTCCCGAGCGAGAGTGACAAGTGACAGATGATATACGCTGTAGACGGATAGAGGGGCCAGCTCAGTTCAGATGCAGACAAGAGACAAGAGACACTTGTCGACAGTTGGAAACATGCTTCATCTCAGCTCTACAAGACTCTCAGTTGCAGGATGAGAATCGTGTCAACTTCGCTTGTTACAGACCTTCGGAAGGCTCCTGCGACTGAAGGCGATGGAGGGGCAGAAGCTACAGTACTACAGCACTACTGCCAATGTAGTTTGGAGTCCACTTGAAGGAGAGTTTAGGCTTCACCAACTCCCGAAACGAAACCAAACTCAACCCCTGCAACTTCTGTTCCGGTTCCTGAACTTGAATCATGCTACAGTCCCTCAAGTTGACGCGATCGTCGCCGCGTCTGGCCTCCGTCTTGAAATCTGTCTCCGTTTCCTTGGTTTCCCTTCTCGGCGCGTCTCCCACAGACCGCGCGTTGTTGCAGCAATGACAAGAACCCACCGGGGCATCCGCGTTGGCCGTGCGGTCTGTGCGTATTCCGCCTCCATCGTTATCGGTGGCAGTATCTCCGGCACCACACAGCCACCCCACCTGATGCATTCGTCATGCGTTGTTCGTCATCCATCAGACATGGTTCGCGTTCGAATCCAAATCCTATTCTGCTCTGCGAACTTGATTGTGAAGAGTTGCAGTGATGAGACCGCGGCTGACTCGGAACATCCAGCAGTCTGGATTGCAGTAGTGGCCCCAACTTGAACTCTCCAAACTCACACTTCAGCCCCAGATCCAATGCCCGGTTCGAATTCGCGTAACGCGCCCCCCTGTCCAGACAAAGTCCAAGGATTAGCAGTTCCCGACAAGGAGGACGCCCCTTGTTGTTTCGCGGTGTTTCAGATTCAAAGTTCGAGTTTGGCATTGGATGCTAAACGAGACACGCAATAAACGCGTTCCAAGTGCCGAAGATGAGCCACTCCGAGTCAGCCACTCAACTCTACAACCAGGGGCATGAAATGCAGTCCAGGTACTAGCACTGTACCTCAGCAGAGTGCTCAGAAAGTACAGTAGCTTCAATCACTTTCCATTAATTGTATCTTGTTTTGCATGTCTCCTTGAAACAGAAACAAGAAAACTCTCCCTTCACTCTATAGAGACGTATATAAAACATCCGCCTCTGATTCCGCCTCAGCAAGTCCGGTATTTCAGTACCTCAGTGCAGGCAATGCACGTAACGTCAATGTAGGCGGGTAAGGTAGGTAGTCGACACGAAACAACAGAGGGCCATCCCAATGTTATTGCCCCAAGCCGTGCTGTAACGTAGGTAACCTCTCTTCTCTGCTTGATGATCTTTTTTCCTTGTTCCAATTTGACCTCGTAAAAACGCCTTCGCTATGTTTTCGTCCCTGTTCCCCATTGCACTGCATTGCCGGTATTTTTGTCCCCCGTCATCCGTTCGACGCGGGATGATCAATTTCAATATCTACAATGAAGCAAAAACCAAAAACCAAAAGCCAAAAAAAGAAAACCTTTCATGTCCGTCGTCATCCTTCGTCACTTTTTCCTTTTCGTCACATATAACATTGTTGTAATTGGCTTTCACGTGCGATTACTGGATACGATCGCTTCGCTCGCTTCGTGATCTCCTCGTCGTAAAGCTGCGCCGGATACTCTCACCCCAGGCCGAGGCGTCAAAGCTTTCCATAATCCCGTGCTCTCCAAGCCCGCCGGTGGTGGTGGTGGCAGTACTGCCATGCCGGCTATGACTTAGACTCGGTCTCGGCGTTGTGGCTGTCGGCGATGCCCCGGGCGAATACGACCTGTCCGTAGGGTCAAATCCTGGTGACCGTGGCGACCGCACAGGACTGCTTCGGGGCGAATCATCCGGCACAAACGACCAAGCAGACCGTAACGAGTCTCGAGGCTGGAACGACGTATCGATGGGTGGCAGGCTGGGTGCTGCTTGTTTCTTGGGCGTATTATATGTCGGTGTGGACGAGGTAAAGTCGTGAGGCTGGGCAGCACTGCTACTGCCCTCTTCGATAGCATCATCTGGGTTGTCGATAAAGATCTCGGGAACCGGCAGCGACGGTGGCCCACCGAGTCGCGAATTCCGCCTCATCTCTCGGGCTTGTTTGAATTTTCGTGACCAGTGAAGTGTGTCAAAGAAACCAACAACAGTATTGCGTCGAATCGTCTCCTGAACCCGCTGGAGGCGTGCCCGTCGGCGGAGGAATTCTTCCAGTCGTAGACTGCGAGAGTCGGTGATGACGTTGTAATGTGCCAACAAAAAGAGGCACGCCGTAAAAGGAATCCCCCGGTCCGGATCTGCCGTCAGCATGACCTCATGGTAGAAGACATTCATCCGCTCGCGTCGGCGCCGTATCTCTGCCACGGGAATCTGGTTGACTCGTTCCGCCAACTTATCGAGATCAATCCCTTCGACTATTCTCGCGCCGGGTCTGACAGAATCGCCTGGTTTCACTGAGCAATCCTCCTTAATGCTCTGCACCGTAAAATCACCGTCGTAAATCCGCATCGAGAAGACACCGGACAGTTCCTGCACATTGTTAGTAAACGGTCAATATAAACAGGAACCGTAGATAAACATACCCCCAATAATCGCGGGAACTGTTCCTTGGAAATATATCCGGTGCCGTTCGGGTCGAAGTCAGCCCAGGCTTGTTTGAAACGCCGAATCTCGTCACGGCTGACAATGGACATGCCGCTGCTCTGTTGATATACGTACGAGAAGCTTTCGAAGATCATCGACACGAACAAAGACACGAAAATGTACATGCTGATGATGTTCCACGAAATGAAAAGCGCTCTCGCCCATGACGAACTGCCGCAGTCGCTGTCGAAGAAACTAGCTTCCCGAACGCACAGCGGCGGTGTAATGCCGGCATAGTCTTCCATAATTTGGTTCCATCCTTCACCTATGCTCGTACGGAACAAAAGGATCAGCGCCTTCGGCACCGTTCGAAAGTTGACGTTGTTGCTTTCGTTGTCACCGAACCGGGTGAGTCCAAACGTTTGTGTAAAGGCTATTGCGTAGACCAAGAACAGGACGGACCAGGTGGCCAGAAGATTCGCTATAAGCGGGAGAGATGCAGCAGCTGTCTTGAACAGCTGGTCCAGCTGATTGTTTCGTGGAATGAGGAGGAATGACACCGACACCAGGAAGAGCTTGTGGAGTTGATCAAATCCTCGGCTGTTGTTGGTGACCCGCGCAAGCGCGATTAGCGATGTGATGAAGATCCCTGACACAGCGAAGATGGAGTAGATATCCCAAGCACTGCGTCGAAATCGTTGCCATCCGAGTCCAAATATCCTGATCGCAATGTTGGCGATCAGAATGATCGTAAACATCAAGAAAATACCTTCCCTCAGCGTTTCCCACCACGAAGGCTCCGGATAGAAGTCGATGGTGAGAAGGATCAGGTGAAGGACCAAGACGGTCGTGATGAAACGTTGCCACTTTCCTCGTTTCTTGATCGATAGATTGTAACACCATTTCTGCCAGCTGGCGCTCCTTTCGCGGATCGAACGCTTGGATGGAGAGATCTGTTTGAGCAGCTTTCGCAATTCGAGCCATGAACGTTGTTCCGCAGTCAAGAAGGCCACGCCTGTCTGCTCCGTATAATTGCGCATAAACACGGATATAAACAAGGTCAGCACGAAGACGGCACCCAACAGGTTGAAGATGATGAAATAGACCGCATTTCCCTGAGACGCAAACGGCTGAGGTTGTAGTCCTCTTCCTGTGATGCTTGTTCCGGACCACATGACGCTGACCCAACCTTCCTGGGAGACAATCTGGAAGAGGATGAACAAGGCACTACCAAAATCGTCAAAGCTGAACCACGGATTGGCAACCTGCCGTGGTGCCAGTACAGGCCAGTTGAAAGGCGTTGAGTTGTACTCGCCCACACAGTTCGATAATGCACTGTAGCCGAAATCGCCGTCATTACAGGCTTGCATTTTCCCATTGAAGAGGTTCACTCCGAGAATGGCGAAGGGTATCAGCAAGCTCATGGAGACGAATGCGGCAGCAAGAACTTTGTAACCGCCAATGATGATGACCGAGTAGAAGGTGTCGCGAGCTGTGTCGCTGATATTGAGTAGCCGCAATGCTCTTAAAGCCTTGAAGGCACCAACGGCACGGGAGACTCCGTCATCACGAAACATGGTTGTGATCACGTTGATCCAGAGAGTAATCAACACCACGCCATCGATGAAGCCCCAAACGCTCCGGAAATAGGCGTGAGGCGTGAAGAAGAGACCATCTGCAATGGCTTTGATGATCGCCTCCACCGAGAACAGGATTGCAAACCCAAGATCCGTCCACACGAACCAGTTTGTGATGCTCAGGTTGTTGTTCAGATAATATTCCCGCTGATACAACGGAGTGGTGATACATGCCAATATGACCATTGCTACGATCGCGGCGTATGTGAAAGCGGAAAATGCATACCAAGCTGGCCTATATGGGGAGACTCCTTCCACCCTTTCGCTCCCACGCCCCGGACCAACAAGGTATTGACACATTCTCCTTATTGGGTTGTGCGGCTTGAATATGAACAAGGACACATTGTACTTCGGGTGTCTCTGCAAGTATTGACGCTGTGCTCGACGACGGTTCTCGGTGGTCATAACCACTCGCTTTGCTGCGGCACGGGGATCGAATTCCTCGTTGGCGCGCGTGACGTGGGCATTCGAATAGAAGGGATTAGGTTCTTTGTGGCTATTGAGGCCAGTTATTTTGCCCCAATATTTTGATATTAGCCCCGGCTTCACCGCGATGTGCTGAGGAAGGTGCATCGAAGTGGGGCGCTTCTGGAGTCCGCCCTCCTGCTCATCCAGGAAGTCTTTCACCACTGCCTCCTTCAGGAGCTGCTCAACGGTAGCTGAGCCGTATTCGAGCGCATCACGATGCCGGATGGACTCTCGCCCCATCTTGAAGACTGCCGCAAGTGTCAGGTTTCCAGATGCAGAACCGCTGATCTCTTTCTGCTTCAAGAACGCTTTTACTTGCTGTAACCGTTTCTCATCTTCCGAAACGTCGAAACTTTCTTGGATGACAGCAATAAACATGTTGAGCACAATCAAATTGGAGATAATGAACCACAAGATGAAGAAAATCGCGCTGAGCCAGGCGGTGTTCCAAATGAGGTTAAACTGGGTGGCGTTGTACATCAACTCCGTCCAGTTTTCACTCGAGAAGACTTGGTACATTCCCAGGAACGAGTTCCATATATCAAAGAATGTCACTGGAATTGTCTCGCCCGAGGGGTCCACTGGAGGGTAGTCGCCTCTGAACAGCTGGGACGCAAGGATTGCAGCCAGAAACGCGAATAAGAACACAAACAGGATCAGGTTGAGTAGCCCAACAATGTTGCCAAAGACAATCATGACCAGCTCTCTGGTGACCCTCACAGCCAGCACCACTCGATAGATACGGGCAATCTGAAAGGCTGTGAGCCAGTCGTATGCTGCGCCAGAGTTCCGGATTGGCGGAATTTGTATGATAGTGGTGACAACGGCAAGAAAGAGATCGAAGCAATTCCGCTTCCCACGAAAGAAGTGCCTCCAGTCACACAAGAAGCGCAAGATTATCTCAATAAGCAGAAGCAGCGTGACAACCGTTTCGGAATTCATGATAAAACTCCTCCTTGTCTCTGACATGCGGGAACTGCGAAGACTCTGTACCACCAAATCGTACACAATCAGGAGGATCCAGAACCAGTGGGTCTTGTCGAACATTTTCTTCAGCTGACTTCTGTTTGCCAACGGATCCTCATCGAGATGTGGTCCGTCAATCTTCTCAGCGGTGAACGCGCTCTGTTTACTCTCCTCCCGAATGATCTGAAAGGATGAAGTAATGACTGCAACCAACAAGTTGACCAGCCACAGACTAAGGACAACTATCCCTGCAGCAAAGAAGAGTGCTGCGGCGAGGTAGTCAGAGTCGGTGAGGTAGTATAAAAGATCTGAAAAGGTGTTGGAGCTGATGATGACAAAGACGAGTTCTAGGGACTGTGCAATGTTGTCAAAGCTGACCGTTCCATTATAGGGACTTTGAGAGCCCTCGACGCAGATCGAGTTTTGCGGGCAAAGATAGCCTTTGGGGGTACCTGTTCCGTTTCGACCATCGAGTTTCAGCCACGGCATAGGCTCACCTGTCTGCGCGTTCAAGTATCCGCCGCAGAATTGGATATTGTCCGGGGCGACGTTCTGGGTGTAGTTCTGGCCCGACCCGTCGTCGCCGACCCAGACGCATGTCCGTCTGAGACTGGATTTGAAGCTTTGGACGCCAATAATGCCAAAAATAAGCCAGAAAAAGCATATCAAGAATGCCACATGGACCAGCAGAGGAGCTGCCTTCTTTAAACTCCGTAAGATTATCGAAGTGCCTGCCGTAAGACCTAGCAGCCGTAGGATCCGTAGACAACTCAGCATGTTGAAGACGTAGACGTGGGAGCTGTCTTCGATCCCACCAATCTGCATGACAAAAGATATCCAGTACGAGACAACAGCGACAAAGTCGAGTCGGTTGAATGAGTGCCTAAGGAAAGCCCTTCGGGCGAGCCTTATCCTTTGCTGCTGTTTGGTGTGACCCGGGCCTCCCGGCTCGGGGAGACCGGTGAATGTGCGGACGATCGAGGGTTGACTGGGTGCCTCATTGGCCATGGACGGTACCTGCCGATCATGCTGAGGAGCAAGGAGTGTGTGGGCCTTTTGCAGAACAGCCTTTCTCACGCCCACCGACCGGTTGATCGTGCTAAACTCCCGCGGGTTGGAGATGAAGCCTGAAACGATGGTCCGGGCTATAAGCTCGAGAGTATAGATGATGAACAGCGCGAAGATGGCGTAGTCGAATCCAGTGCTTCCCCATGCTTCCTTTCTTGTCTGAAGGTAGACCGCGCGAGATGCGGCATTCACGGCCAACAAGACGGTTTGAGTGATAATCAACAGCAAGATTATGGGTTCCGTCCAAGGGTGCACCAAGATCTCGCAGAGCCATTTCCGAAGCTTGTTCTCGGGTCCAAAAATGCCCCACGTTTTCCCAAGCAGAGGGTTTGGATGATACATAGGTTGAACAGGAACTGGCAGCGCCTCCATGGAGGGGACTTTCTCCAAAGGCGATTCAGGTGGCGGTGCTAATTCCTCGTCTGCCATTGGAGATACAGAAGTGCTCGGGCGACGCTCACGTACAGATGACTTCCGGCGAATGCTGCGCTCTACCATGTCCGAATCATTACTCAAATTGACGACTCGCTGAGAAATCTCTCGAAGCATGGAATTGGCCCTGGCCATTATTGGAGATGGAGAAGGTGACAAGGACCTCGAGCGTTCGCTAGAGTCGTCCACCGCTGAGGATCCCTTGCGGCCGATACTGCTGCCGGTGCTCAGCTTTCGGTGTATGGCGGCGTTCGTCTCAAGCGTAGGGAGATCATCTCCAAGTCGTGAATTTGCGCGGCCACGTACGAGTGATGGCGACTCGCCGTCAAGCCAGCGGACACTGGCTCGTCTTTTCCTGTCATGTGGCTGGTCTCTCGACGTCGAGCTCGAAGTTTTCAATGATGGAGCGCGCTGACCTTCCGTCAAGGGCGTTGTGTCGTTGTCCGGAGGGGAGAACATACTCTCGGCCTCGTGATCATTGCCCTCTCCATCTGCAGGCGTGGTAATGATTGTAGGGCGTCGCATCCGAGCTATAGGGGGCGTGGACGGATGGGGGAGTTCCAACCCGACCGTGGCTGCCGCAAACCCTTCAGCATCTTCAAGGGGCGAATCTCTACCACTGCCACCTCGTATTGATAATCCGACACCTTCGCGCGAAAGTCCAGTTCTTGTAGGCGAGTCTCCATCTAGCCGGGCATAGTTGGGCGCCCGGCGCCCGGTCAGCAGCGACCTGGTCCGACTATGCCGATGTCCATGGCCAAATATCCCTCTTGTAGAAGTCGACGGCTCTTCGGAGGCAGAAGGTGGATTGTCCGGAGGTCTCGAGAGATCTTGCAAGGGTATTAACTGCGGGCTGGTCGGTTTCGGGGGCGTCCTATCACGCGAAGACATGTTTGACGACGACCGTATTCAATACGGAAGTCAACACGTGCGTTGATATCGAGAATCGCTGAAGGGCATCTCGACAATCGTGACAAGCCAAGTCGTCCTGTATGTCGTCCGGTGTTTGTGAAACTGATGGCAAGGGGACGAGTGGGCGTGGTGCAATTGCGATTGCGATCAGATGAAGATCTTAGAGGCTCAACGGTAACGGACGTGACCAACGACTGTAGTAGCCCGGACGGAGAAACGAACGGATGAGCAATGACGACCTAATCCAGGATGATGGTGGAGAGAAATGGTCGTTGTTTGTAAATATCGATGTAGTTGTTGGATCGAGTTCACTTTTGTCGTGGCAGGACAGCCACATGTGTCTACAAAGAGTTCGGCAATACGCGGGCGCCCGAGGAGCCTAGGGAGCCCCGGCTCAGGCTGGTGGACACTAGACCCAGGCTGACGCGGTTAGGGGCCGGTCAACACCTGGTTTAGGCTCTTTGGGCCCTGGAAAGCCTAGGGAGCCCTCTTCTAGGCTATTTCTGGTCTCGATTAGCCTTCACAAAGGATCAACTCCACGCCAGAACCATGGACGCCCCCGCCGGTAAGGCATACAACCGTACATACTTTGCAAGGCTGTCCTGGCATCCACCACCATTTGACGCAGATGTCACAGCCACCAAATCCATGCCACCGTTGTCCGTCCTATGTAGTCCCCCGTTTCAGGGGGCATCGGCAAGGCTCGAACAACCCCCGGTAGCTCTACGCGCAAAATCCTGCGACACCCTACAGTATGGGTTTGCTGTAGACGGTACAATATCACAAGGTTTGTTTCATGACCAATTGTAGCACCATCACTTTGCAAATCTATGTGCATCCATCTTTATTGCACTACTGAAGGATGTTTTCCAAAAATGATTTCTTCAATGTTAAGTTGCTTGGGATGCGCTGCTATGTCACTGACGCGTCAGCCAGTATATTTAAAGGTCAGCTTCTCCACTATCTGGACGTAGAGGTACAACGTTGTAGAGCACTCTGCCATGTGTTTTGTCTTCACGTCGAAAATTTAGCATGATGAGGCTCAATGCCACCCAAGTCTGGCACTTCTCAAGAGCCGCTTCACCCTTTCAGGCAGCACCTCTTTTGTCCTCATGCCAACTTTGCGGAGCGTTTGGAAACTCTTATGCCTAGTGAAGATATCGTCCCACAGCCGTTCCTCGACACAATCCGTGGTCTTCTTTTCCTCGTTGGAGCTGAGCATGATTGGGACGTCCATAACCTCCTCTTGCTTCTGCTTCCAGCTTTCGTTTCCAACGATGCGCGTCAATGGTGCGAGGGCATCATCCCAAGTGCCCGATCTGAGATGACATTGCTCGAATTGAAACTCGTGCAACACCTTCCAATGCGACATAATGAAGTCCGACGCCTGGCTGGCGTCCAGCGTCGCGTTGCGTAATTCCATGCACTTCAAGCGACGGAACTTTAACGGCCTCAACGGAGATTTGGTGCTGGTCTTGGGACAGGCATTAGGGCAGTCCAGCACATTGGGTTGTGAAGCACAAGGCTCGAGATGCAGCGCCAGTGGAAAGGGTCCTTTGGTGCCTATCCATTGGAACTTGAGCCGTTCTAAGGATGGCAGTGTTTGCAGATAACTGTGCAGGATTTTGAGGTGATCTGAAGGCTTATCGCGACCATATTCAAAGCCCTCCATTTCAATATTCAGTGTTTTGATACGCCTCCATACTCGGGACGATGCTGGCGTTGTTCCAATGCTTAGATGAGACCGAAGGTAGAGTATCGCCGCCGGATGGACGGGGGCTAGGGTAAGCGTTTCCAACTTGGAGAGGTTCGCATTTTCCACAGCCAGTCTTAGTGAGATTATAGCATAGTCGACAATGTCTTTTCGATACCGCTGGCCCGCAGGTTGACCTGGGCACGAGACATGGAGGTGACGCAGATTCGACATGGCAGAGACAGCCCGGATGAAAGTATCAATATCGGTTGCGGCGTGAAATAGAGGGGGATACTGCTTAACCAGGAGATCGTTCATCTCCGACGACCCATATTTTGAAGATGAAAAGGAGGAAGAGCTAGACGAGGATGTCGGTCGAGAATTGACCAGGTGTGGTTCATAGTTGAAGTTGACTTCCTCTAAAGTGCCTGGGACCAGTAGAGGCGGTAAGAATGTATCGGAGTGGTGCGGCATGACGAAGGCAAGCGTTCGCACATAACCGCCGACACGATCCAACGCCGCCATCCGTGCCCTTCGTGAGAATACGTTGGCGGTGAAACGGATCTGGAGTCGGTGGAATAGGACAGGGGCGACATCATGGGCAAAGCCTTTGCAGACCAGTCGGAGAGATTGCTGGTCAACCTTGGGGAGGCAGGATAAGAAGCACTCGCGAGTAAGATCGGTCCGCCAAAATCTGATAAAGGCGTCTGAAGGCATGTCTCGCCTGAAACATTTTTCGAGCGGATTGTAGATATTGTTGTAATGCCGTGCTAAACTGCTCGTGGCAAACCAATGCAGCAGAGCACATATATCCCAATGAAACAACACCAGAGTGGAGAGAGTATAACAACAGAAAGGACACGTAGGAAGTCCAGCTACCGCACGAGCATGGTAGACGCTGTTTGTTCAGAGTATAGAGATCCAAATGATTACGGAAAAGGTGTTGCTTGTCTGTTGAGAGCGAGACAATATCCGGGGTGGAAGAGGGGAGGAGTTACAAAAGCCTACCTTCTGGGAGGGGGAAATGATATAATCGAGGCATTTCCGCACAGCAGGACGCCGGCAAATGTTGAAGGCGGGAATTGTCTGGCATCCAAGCTGTTGAGCGGTACTATATCACGGGCGTTGCGCGGTCGAGGAGCGTGTAAAAGGAAAAGCAACATGTTTATAGGCGGTTGAGGGCTCTGAATGCTGCGGCTGGACATTGGAGCTGCAGGTGGTGTTTGTTTCGCGGGGGATCCGCGCCAATTCTCGGCGGACAGACGAGACTGACGCGCCGGCTGCGGAGCGCATACTAAGGGCGAAACTGGTGCAGAATAACACGATACTCGATGATTTGCGGACAAGAATGCAAAGAGATAGAAGACAGTTGTATAGTAGACGAGATAGTCTCATCCCCAGTATCCACGATGTTTCTGACATTGATAGCAGTGGAGGCTCTGAGTGTCCATGTCTCGCATGCACTGACCGACGGACCGCGCCGCGTTGGGGCTTCGAGCTGGAGCCGCGTGTGGCGCGTCAGTGGCAGTGTTGCACTGTCCAATTGTCGGATATTCGGTGCCTGGACAGGAAGAACAACGGAGAGGGTTATCAACGCCCTCAACGCTGAACTTCAGAGTCGGGATATTCTAGAGAAACTTGCCATATTTTGAAGAAGAGCAGGTTTAGGCACGGTACGCTCCATTCACGTTTATGCCAGTAGTAAGAAGAATTTCAAGTTGGCAGACGTCCAGGTTTTAGAAGTTGCGTACGCGTAGGACTTGCAATCATCACGTGAAATCAGTTGTGCCTCGGTTGTGAGGGATCCGGGCTTCCGTGTCATGGCATGCATTTTTTCCAGCATTGATTTTGTTCATCAATCCGTCATGCCAACCAGTGCAACGTGGTATTTCCCTCAGAATCGCCGCGAAAAATCCCAGGTGACGGCCAATCAAGTTCAAATGACCGATCTCGATCGCATGCTTTTCGTCGGCCGAAAAACTTGGCAGCCAGTGAAAGGGCCCGTGTCACGTGGAGATAGTGCGCTAGTTCCAGTTGCGCACAGCGATAAAACATTATAGCCGCACTAAAGTCCAGGAATGACATCAACTGCCCTGAATATCGTCGGCCTCGCCGTTGGAAAAAACTAGCACAGCGCAGAAAGTCGAAGGTGGGCACGCGAGCCATCAGCCACTTCTAGCTTCCGAGTCTGTTCACATGTTCTTCTAAAAGCCTGCGGTTGTCGCCCATGTATCTTCTCTTCACACCTACTGTCACCGTCTCTGTATAGACTAATAGATGCAAATTGCAATCTCTTTCGCCGTCTCCTTCTCTTCTGTAGACACTCATCAAACTGGCATCGTTGACGTGGCGTCATGATATCGTCGTTGAATCCAGTCCCCACGCTCCCCGAGCCATTGGGGCCGCATAAAGTCGGAACGACAGAATGGGAAATCCCAATCTCAGAGATCTCTTCGCCTTCCCTATCGCCCGACCCTCAAATCTCGACCATCAAGTTCCGAATCTTCTATCCGACCACCTCAGAAGTATCCTCCAAGGGCTTTGTCCCCTGGCTCCCGAATCCGCAACGAGCATGGAGTGAAGCCTACGCCTCCTTCTTGGGAGCGAGCCCGAGACTGTCGTTCTTTTTCGCACGCTTTCCTTTCTTCCTGAACTATACCGACCTGCCGGCCGTGGGCGACGCACCGCTTCTTCCCCGAGAACGAACGTCCCAGTATCCGGTGGTTGTTTTCTCGCATGGGTTGGGAGGCAATCTCAACACCTACAGCGCAATATGTACATCTCTTGCGAGTTTCGGCATTGTATGTGTGGCGCCAGAACATAGGGACGGCAGTGCTCCGATCACATTCATCCGCTCCGCGGACGGCACGACAACTTCGATCGACTACCAGAAGCACCCACACACTCCCACGCACGAGGTTCTGACCTCTCGAAACGCTCAGCTACGGATACGGTTGTGGGAGCTGGAACAATTATATACTGTGTTGAAGAGTTTGAATGCAGGAGACAAAACATTTACAAACTACGCTGTGGAGGATAAGCAGGACAACTCGACTGCACAGTCAAAGTCTCCATCATGGAAGGACAAACTCGACCTGCGACCTGGCCGGGTAACATGGGCAGGCCACTCCTTCGGCGCCTGTACCATGGTCCAGTTCGTCAAGTCAGTGTACTACCACCAATCCATGCCCTCGCTGAAAGGCACGCCGTATGAGAACGACCTCGACTGGCGGCCGTTGTACAAGCCATCTTCTAACAGTGATCTCGTCGACCAAATCACTCCAGAGTCACCGATTGCATTGCTTGATCTGTGGGCCATGCCTCTGCGAGCCGAGCAGACAAAATGGCTTTGGGATAAGCCACTACCATGCTACGATCGGAAAGCCGAGGACACCAACAAGGCCGCTCCGAACGTGGTCGCCATTGTGACAGCCGAGTTCTACAACCACACCGAGCTGCTCAATCGCATGCGGGCCGCCTTATCGCCCGACCCTGCAGCAGCGATGGCCAAGCTGGAGGAGCAGAGTACAAGCCACCAAGACTCACAGGAAGAGCGGCAAGAACTTACTGAGACCACTGCATTCTCCACCGCCTTAAGCAAAACAGAAACCTCCACGCCCGATAATATTGACCTTGAGTCGGACTCATCATCATCAACGCCAGATTCGTCCTCTGTCCCTAGCCGGGCTTCGTCGCCTGGGCCGGTTGTCAACAGCGAGGGCTCCACACCTGCGTCTTCTACCACCTCTATCCCATCCACCTCCAATAACTCTGTGACCGATTTGTCTTCTTCCAAGACCGCTCTCGCTCTCCCCTGGTATCCAAAGCTGTATCTGATCCCCTCGAGTGCCCATCTTTCCCAATCCGACTTCGGCCTGCTCTTCCCCCGGCTAGTCCGGTATCTCACCAAAGCCGAGGATCCAGAAGAAACCATCGCCCTGAACGTGCGGGCCATTCTGAGCATGATGCGCGGCTCCGGTTTGGACGTCGAGCCGTACAAGAAACAACAACATGCCACAAAGAACACAAAAGTGAAAGCCAAGAAGACGGCTGCTACTACCGATGTTGGTGGAGAGAAGGATGACAAGGACGAGGAAGATGACATCTTGACCGATGGATGTACAGAAAAACGGTTCATCCCCGTGCCACTTGTGCATTGATTTGATCAGCTTGGCTTGGCTTAGCCTGGACAATTGGAGTCGACCATTTTCAACGCGTCTTTTTGCGGCATGGCATAAAATGTGTGCTGGCACACTGCCATTCGGAGCATTGATGACACAAACGGTTTAGAATGAGAACAATAAATGGCATGATTACTCAGCGGCGGGTGATGAGTCTGGTGAAGGTAGGGCGTTCTTTCGGCGCGCATATGTGTTGTACATCGAGGCAAAAAGCATCGTTATGCCTAGGTATGTGAGACGTGGGGAATGAATATGAGTTTCAGCAGCTCCTTGAAAGCGTGTACATATTTTCATTTCCTTTCTTGGGCGTCTTTCATTTCAGAGTGAAGTGTTGCTTTTGGGGTTTATTCTTTACGAACAGCGCTGGGCCATGGCGCAATAGGGACAGTCCTGCCGGCGTCGGAATGCAGAGGGTTTTGGATGTCAAGGCCAGGCTCTTCATCCCTTGGTAGAATGCAAATTTCGGCCTTCTCAGGTCTATAGTCTTGTTTCCACTGTATCCAGATCCTTTGCGATGTTCATACTTGACCACCCATTAGGTGTCACATCTATCGTCTTGGCTAGCAACAAGATTACTTGCCCGAGACTCTCTAGATCAAGACAATAACATTCTTTTCGTATAATTCTCGGATATCTGCCGAGTAGTTCTAGTAGCGAAATGGTCTCAATTCTCGCTATGCTATCGTACTAATCTAGGCGTACCATGGGACAGTGATGAAAAAAGGACTGTATCGTGGTCATTTCATGAGCCGTGACTTTTTGGCTTGCAGTGAAACAAGCACAATCTTGGTTCGTTCGTTCGCTCATATTGTTCTCACTTCAATGCTTGCTTTTGGATGATGTATTGTCTTCACTGCTAGTCGCAAGGGCGCAGACGGAAAACCTGTCGCAAATCTCCGTTCTCTGCCTTCAGTGTGACAATCGTCCTCCAATGGCCCCTCCATCATTGAAAGAGAAATTGCACTATCGCTCCTCGCTTCTCGTCCAGCTAACCAATTCCATCATCAACCCTTTCACAACCCCCTGGAAGAGTTCAACTGGGGGCGCACGCAGTTCAGCCATTCGCAAAACTTGTTTACAAATCGGCGTCTTCCTCGTCTGGCAGGGGCATTGCCGCAGCCTCGGTCATTTCCTTCTGGTATTGGTCGAGGAGTTGTTGGTTGATCTGAACCTCAGGTGGTGCAAGGGCTGGCGCAGCGACGAACTCGAGCTGAGGGTTGCCGACCAATTTTCGAGCGAGCCAGAGGAAAGGTTTTTCGAAGTTGTAGTTGGATTTGGCCGAAATGTCATAGTATTGGAGGTTTTTCTTGCGGTGGAATGTGATGGTCTTGGCCTTGACCTTGCGCTCCTTGACATCGACCTTGTTTCCGCAAAGAACGATAGGAATGTTTTCGCAGACACGGACGAGATCACCTGGAAAATCTTTGTCAATACGGAGATTAGCGAATACGAGCTAGGTGTGACATACGGTGCCAGTTGGGGACGTTCTTGTAGGTGATTCTGGAAGTAACATCGAACATGATGATACCACATTGGCCGTTGATGTAGTAACCATCTCTCAGACCGCCGAACTTCTCTTGACCTGCGGTATCCCACACGTCGAACTGGATCTGACCAAGGTTCTAGAATGGCGTTAGGAATGGCTCGGCTCAAGCGCAGTCGGGGGTCAACGTACGGTAGAGAAACCTAGAGGGTGAACTTCGACACCGAGAGTAGCGATGTACTTCTTCTCGAATTCACCTGTCAAATGGCGCTTGACGAAGGTAGTCTATCAACATGGTCAGTAAAGTCAGATTCGTCATATAAAGTTTCCTTCCGAATTGCGATCCACAGCCGATGGGCCTCGGGGAGTGATATCCGTACCTTTCCAGTGCCACCATCGCCGACCAAGACAAGCTTGAAGGTGGGCACGCTTTGAGCAGCTTCCGCCATAATGACTGTAGTTTTGTTGTTGTGATGGGTCGAAGGTACAGGTTACAGGAGTTGGCTTGCGCTATTTTGCGATTCAGCGAAACCACAATGGTCAGACGCTTGGGAAAGGCGCCGATATGAAGGAGAATGACAGATTTGTAGAGTTGGAAAGTGATTGTGAAGCAAAGGCTGCGCAGATGAAGAGGCGGAAAGATTGTTTTCCAGGAAGTCGCATGTGCCAAGACTCTGTTTGCTGGGGACCCAAAGATTGGGCGGCGGTGGCTCAACCGCAGTGCAGGTTGACGGCAACAGAGCGTGAAGTCGGGAGGCAGCAGTGACGCACTGGCCGTCTCACGGCGTCCAGCAGAATCACGTGCACGCGCTTCATATGCGGTGCGTTTCCAGAGTCTTCGACCGCTGCTACTACTAGCAGTACAACGTACAACTGCATAACCGCCTCACTGTACTCTACGGCTGTGTATACACAGGCCTACAGGACCTAGAGTCTATACACAGTAGATACTCAAATACATCCTATGGTTATAAGATGTCGAATTAGCAATATTATTGGTACAGCATCGTACAAAGTGCCTGTCTCCATGTCATTCCTCGTCATGTCCTCTGGCGTGCATCCTGCTTGTGCTCAAGTCTGCTCGGATCATGCCCTCCTGTGAGAGTCCTTTTGGGAATGCCTAGCCCAGAACAGTGACATGGACAAATTCATCACTACTGGTCCAAGCATGATGTTCTCGGGCATCTGTTAGGCCAGGCTGTAACCTTGAGCAGCCTATTCTTGCGGATCGGCTTGGCCACTTCCTACTATGCAGAGGGAGTAGCATTTTTTCCGATGTTGACTTCGGCACAGGGCCGTTTCGTCCAAAATAATGTAGTGGGGTGCGTTGATCTGCCATCAACAGCATATATCAGATTGGGACAATATGACAACCCAGTGTGCCTCTACCTCCCCAGTTCTGTCTCGGCGTCAGTCTCAGATCTAGCTCTTGCACGTCTGAACCGGTTCCTCGGGCAACTTTGACCACAATGGGCCGACCGAGATTCTGGCCTACAATTTCCCCGACCTTGCGCAGCCTTTCATGATTCGACCAGATGACATTTCCGAATCTTCGTATCAAGTCTCCAGGCTTGAGGCCGGCCTCATTCGCAGGACTTCCAGGCTCGACGCTGTTGACTTTCGCAAAAGGTGTTTCGGGAGCGGTAGGGGTATATTGCGTTGCAGGAGTCGAATCAGGATGGGGAGCGGTAAGAGAATTTTTGTATTCTTCTGATGCCTGATATTTAGCGTGATGTTCATGAAGGCCTTTCTCAATTCTGTCCATCAGGGCCTTCCAGTCATTGCGCAGGACGATGATGCGTGCTCTAGTAACTCGAACTTGTGCCACGTCTATGTCTGACCTAGGATAGCCGTCGAAAGTAGTGAGACTTGTGTTCATATTGACGCCATGGCTGTCTAAGACTGCCCCTAGTGCTTTCAACTCTGCCTCGACGTTATCCTTTCGGGCGATCAGTTGTTGTAAGCTAAGGCCTTCGAATGACTCTGGTTGATGAATGGATGTTGGTCCACTCGGGACGTGAATTTCGGCAATATTCGGATCCATTGGAAGTCCCATTGTCATTTGTACCAAGGTCGAATGATGCCAGCCTCTGCCAACTTGAAGTTTAATGGAAATGTGCAGGCAGGCGCAGGCGCAGGCACAGGCAACGGATGAAGACGTGGTACCTACGATGCCGGAGCCAGTAATGACGGGAGGCGAACGGCGACTGGAGATGTTTAGTCAGCATGCGATGCGGGGTTGGGATCAGGATCAGGTTCTCCGATGTTGATCCGGCAGCCTCGCCAACTTGAACGCCAGCCTGACACGGCATATTGACAACGTCGGCAAAACCACCGACAGCTCTACAGCATCCCTCTCTTCTTCAGACCCTGCATCATCGCCATGCTCTCTGGCTATCACTACATATTTGGTGCTGCAACAGGATAGCAATGCTCAAGTATACCTCTCTGAAGCACTTCGAAAAGTCATGTTCAGGATGGTGTGCCTTCGTTTCTGCCTGCCAATCCTTCAAGTTGGTGGCTTCCACGCCCATGTTTCACAAGACAATTTCGTTGTCATGACGTTCTGTCTCGTTGGATCTATACAACGCGCTTTTTGACGCGTGGATGGCTTTCATTTCGGAGATTTCCAACGCAGCGAAATCCAAATCTGCCCAAACGGTAGCTATATCACAATGCTGCTCGAGAGGTCTGCGCTTGCCTGAGATCGGCCATCGCGGCTTTTCCCTTCCTTCCGCCAGCTTCAATTGTAAATCACTCCGAGTCTGCCCCCCGTCTGCTTGATTTGAGTTCTCTTGCATTATCACTGTTGCCATGCTCTATCGCTCAACTTTTGGAACGTCTTTCGGCTTTGGTCGTTTGGTCATCCCGGTCGGGATTTTGACCCTTGGCTTTCATTTTCAATTGCATCGTTGCTGTCCCTATCTATTCCGACCTTGACTTTCCCTCCATCGGTTAAACATGGCTACCCAAGTGTTACCCTATCTTGTTACGAGTCCGTTCAGCGGTCATTTTCAGGCAAATTCGAATCTTCACGGCTCCGGCTCCGGTTGCTCTGGCGCGCCACCCAATCCTTCTGCTTCATTGAGGCCTTTCTTCATCCACCAGGACTACCAGACATCATCATCTTCTGTTCTGTCGATCGCACCGACACCAAACAACGAGAATTGGCACCCACAAGTAGCCAGCGCCGAGGTCATCCCATCATCCCGCCTGGCGACTGCATGTTTGCCAAAAACATCGAGTAGACGAGCAGCTAATCGAGATGGACGTTTACAGAGCACTGGCTCGAGTGCAAATCTCCCCTTCGATTCTCCCATCCCGTCGAAGTCCTCGGGTCTAAACTCGACGCCGAAATTGTCTTCTACTGCAGTCAAGGCTCGCCGGCTGTTGATTGAACTGCCCAATGAAGAGAAAGGGACGGCAAGATTGCATACTCAGGCACGATCACCGCTTTCGGTGCAGGACAGGGCTCTAACCGTACTGGCCGGGTCAACTCCGTTGGTGGTGGGAAAGAACCAAGACAGGAGAACGGATCAGCCAGTGGACGGTAGACGGTCATGCAGCAATCAACTGGAATACACATCTCAGCAACATTGCTACAAAGGTTTAGAACTCCCAATCCACACTTCGGAAACCCTGCCGGAGGCTGTGGAGACCTTTCTACCTTGCCACAAACAGCGACATTCCACTGCCTCATCTGCTTTCGTGCATACAATGAAGACAGCAAGTTTGAGTAACGCTAGCTTTACCGTCGCTCCTTATTCATCACGCTTCGCCCGGTCGACCGACAGCTATGGGATGTTCGGCTCTCTCGGGCGCCTGTCGACCGATAGTGACCGACCTGCCACCACCTCATCGATAGACGAAGCCGCGTTTCGGAGAGGCATGAAACGAAGACAAATCCTTGCCGAACTCATGGCCACTGAAGAAAGCTATGTCGCAGACCTGAAAGCTCTCATCTATCTTTACTCCACTCTGCTTGCCAGCACGGTGACGACGTCAAGTCGCCTACGGACGTCCATTCTGCGGAACGTTCATGACCTTCTCCACCTGCACGAAAGCCTTCTGGAACGATTGCATCAGGCTGCATTCCAGGCTGCAGCACGCAAGTGGGCAGACACAGTTTCCTGCCGACACCTCGGGTCCCCCAGACAGCACAGACTTTGGCGAAGCTTGGGGTCCAATGTTGCAGTCAGATTTAGCCGAGACCATCGGCAAACACGCAGCTCTGTCGACTCCTTGGATGCGACCCGCAGTCGAGCGTATCTGGGATGTGCAGATCCGGGCGATGTCTCTGACATTGCCGCTATATTCAAAGAGTTTTTAAATGACTTCCTCGTATATGAGGAATACTGCGCCAACCATAGTCTAATTGCTCATGAGCTTCAGAGACAGGTGCCAACTATGTGCTCAGGCTATGAAGCAGGGATCGAGTCCTTGGCCAGGTCCCTGACCGCCCTGGCGCGTAAGCACCAGAACGAGAAGAAGGGCCTCACGGTTGGGGATCTATTGATCAAACCTATACAACGTATGACCAAGTATCCCCTGCTTCTCGATGATCTGCTGAAGCAAACACCTGCTGCGGATTGTCCCAGTGCTCACAGCGAAGTGCGATCAACTCTGCTTTGTCTGAGGGAAGTGGTGCAAACCGTCAACCACGCGACGGACAATTTTGAAGCACGGGCCCAAGTTCAACGGCGGTGGTCACTTCAGGCAAGGCTCGACTATGGGAGGGTAACCTTGAAAGTCGAACAGTTCCGCGCCTTGGGCAATATTCGGCTTTGTGGCGTCTTGCACGTCACTTGGCAAACCCGCAGCAGAGTAGATGGATCTTATGCCCTTTGCATATTGTTCGATAGTAGCCTCGTGGTTGCATTACCTGCAGGCGCCAGTTCACGGTTCGAAGTGGTCGCCTTTATTCATCTGTCAGAACTAAAGGTTGAATCGTCCAGCGATGGACGAGGTAAGTGACGCCTCCCGGCGCCGTGTTTTGTGAGAGACTGATGGCGAGCAGGTCTTCAGTGCCATTCTGCTTTGTACACGTGGAAGGCCTGCTTCGAAATCAATGGCCACCTGCATGAATTCATATTCAGCGCATGCTCTTCTACAGAGGAGGAAGTTTGGAAGAGATACATGCAAATTACTACTGTCAAGCGAACAACAGAATGTTTGCGTGAGATACCCGGCAGCATTGGTCTTGATCTTAGATCTACTGGGGCCGTGTACAGTGTGCAAGCCCCCGATCTTTCCAGGAACCCATCGGTGCAGAGAGCAGCGACAGTTGGCAATCGAGCCAGTATTTGCCAGGTGATCATACGAAACACGCACAACCCGCATGATTTTCATGAGTTCCGACAGCCAACGGCGTCGGCGATGAACAGATCCCAGTCCCATTTGACATCGAATCGGATAGTGGTATTGTCGCCGAAAAGATCCGAGAGAGCAAGACTTGAAGCAACGCTGAGCGACGTGTGGACCAAGGATAAACTGCCATTTCCAGGAATGATCGGGTCTCGTGGTGGCCAGATCATCCGAGCCTCAGCAGGGACGTTGGTACGAAAATTGAGTCTGGCATCGATCCATGCCCCGTTCTCGAGACGTTCTGGTAGTCTGTCACTATCCAGTCGGAAATCGTACGACGGGTTGCCGGAGAGCCGGCGAAGTCGCACAAAGCATTCTACCCCTGTCTTCGAGGTACGTAAGGAAAGTCTGGACGAGTGTATACCGGTGAGGAAGAAGTCGCATGACGTGCCAGAACTTGATACAATGGACAGTCTGATCAGTCGCATGATCGGAAATAACCATGGCACAAAGCGCTTGTCCTTTTCTCATACTGGAAACGGCATCACAAGGAGCGGGACCAAGAGCAAACGCGGCCAGAGAGAAGTTGTGTCGGCCTTGAGACCCGACGATCCAGCAGAAATCTTCTACGCTGAAGAGAAGGGTTGCGAGGAAAAGCAAGAAATAGTCGAGGACGGCTTGACCGGTCGCAAGAAGCGCTGGAGCAATCCGCTTGGAATTTTGAGAGGTTTATCGGCTGAAGGTCTGCGACACATGCTGTATTCGAGTAGATAGTCGTGGCCGCGAAGTCTAGGCGGTATGTTTATTAGTCATTGTCCATCACTCTGAGCAGTATTATCTTTGGGAGACGAACCATAAGAATAAGCATGGTTATTATGCCTGATATTGAGTTGAGCCTTGCACTCATTCGTGCCTAGCTAATATGCGGTTTTACTACTAGTCGTACTCAGCTCAATCCATAAATCGTCGAAGGCGGACTTGCTTTAGTTGCCCCTCGGCGTTCTGCTGAACCTTGCCATGGACTTGCTATGCATCAGCGGTTCCATCACTGAAGGTAAGGCTGTGTTGGCGACAGCGGGCCTGTCTTGACGTTTAGGTCACGACATGCCAAATACTCAAGAGCGGAAAAAATTAACATCCAGATAGCATCTAACCAGACCAAGAAGCCCAAAAAAGGGACAGTCTTATCCGACTCTTGCTACCACAATTCGACAAGATATAAAATGGCCAGCGCGGGTTTAGATCGTTAGTCTTCACCGCAGGTCCAGTGAGAGGCTTGATGCTCAAGGGCATTTGTGGGCTGGCACCGCCTGTATTCTTTCCCAACGGCCAGGAGAGGCTTGGAATATGACAGCTCACGTTCTAGTAGTGAGGAGGATGCTTTGAGTCAGCCCGGCGGGACTGACAGAAGGTAGCACACTAGTATCATTCGTGACACAGAAATTATGGGTTCCAAACAAAGCACCAGTTGAACCATATCGAAGTAGGCGAGAAAAAAAAAGGTATAAGTAAACGATATATCCGCAATTGGAAACTGTCCAACATTCCACATGTATGTATGCATGCTCTAATAATTGAAAATGATTGATTTTCAGCCATTACAGCACCAATGCCAATCCAGCGAGGGCAACGGCACCCACGCCAGCCATGTTGGCGGATCCTCTGATGGGCGCCGCGGCACCGGTATAATGGGACGGAGAAGCGCTCGTCTTGGCAGCAGCATTACCACCGGCAGCAGTAGCAGTAGTAGTAGCGGCAGTGGTGGCCTTGACGTTCTCAGATGTCTTTTCGCCGGCGGCGGACGACGTGGGAGCTGGAATCATGCTGGTCCAGCCTTGACCGACGTCGTAGGAGACGGTGGTCGGGATGCCCCAGGTCGACGAGCCTGAGCTATATGGCGCCGTGTACGAGGTGGCTGAGGTCCATTCGGACGCTGTGCCGGTGTGTGAGGCAATGCTGGTAGTCGCGGCGGGACCAGTGGCGGTTGCGTTCGAGTGTGCGTAGCTGCATGATGTCCATGTGCTGTGGGCGTCGGAAAAGGTCCATGTGAATGCCCATTCTGAACCGGAGCCTGCGAGCGCGGTCGCGGCGAAGAGCGCGGGGATGGCGATGAATGATTTCATGATGATGTGATTGTCGTTTGTTTAGGTTTCTTCAATAGTTTGATTTGATGAGGGGGAGTGTTGTGGCTTGGAGTATTCTGCCTGAGATTTGAAATTGTACAGGTTTTGGTGCAGAGCGAATGGACGTGCTTCGACAAACGCACGAGTATCGAAAGGAATGGATAGACACACTTGATGGAATACTGAGTAAAAGTAGGTGAGAAGGAAGAAAAACAGCAAACAAACGACGCGCGCCAGGAAGCGAAGTAGGTACTTGTGTATATATTAACGGGGAAAGTAGCAGGCCTGATAGTGGTGGATCCTAGACTGTACTGGCTCAACTGGATGACCCGGCTAGGGCTGGCATAAAAGTTATTATTATCGTTGTATTTCTGCTTGAACCAGTCAGCAAGTGGCAATCAATATGGGGTGATTCCATGGGCCAACAGGATCAGGCTCCTTGTTGGTCGTTTGGTTGTTGCAGGAGGTTGTAGGAAAGCCGGGACAGCCTCGTGCGCCGTTCGACGTCGGGTTCCTGCATCTGGACCCACCGGTCAGGGGCTCGTGGAAATTGGGTGGATCAGGCTCACTGCAGGGCTGTGGTCGAAAGAGCCAGTCATATCACTCGGTAAACATTACTAAGCTGTTCTTCTGACAGTGACGGAGGCCAGGCGCAATCTTAAGCTGTACAAGCTTTGAGCTTCGAAACAGGCCACATGCGGTAGCTTGCCTTCGGCTGTCTCGCCAATTGCCAGCGGTTTCTGTGGGGGTGTTGACCACCAGGAACGAAATTCAGGGCCGGACCATGGCGACCACTCATGTTTCAGCCATGCAAGCTATGCATGGACACTTTCAAGGTGTGAGTGAGCACACTCGCAGAGCGTTTGCGAATACAAGTTGCAGTTCTTGCGGATGCTGACCCGGTTGAAAGGTGTGATATTGCTGCGGCTGAATGTCACAAATGTAGCGTGACATCTTGAACGTGCAATCGAACAGGGCATATGTGCCATTCAACAAAAGCTGTACAGTAGATGGCAGGTGTCTCTTCCAGTTCGGCGAATCGTGTTAGCCGCCAGGAATATTGAGAAAAAAGTGTTGTTCGAGGGTTTAGCAGAACGTTGAACCATGTCTCTTCCGGTGCTACTGTGGTTTGTTCTGTGGCCATAACAGAAGTGATAGCGGTGACTCGTAAATATTGCTGAAATGGTCCTTTATATGTTTCTGCCTTTTTGCTGGATGGAATCGTCGTGGTCTCATGCTGCGGAAGGGTATCAACTGGTTGTTTTATATCTCCTGCCTTGTTGTTGGCATACTACTCTGTCGCCTCTTTCGTGATTATTAGGCTCATTACTTCGTTACCGTGATGGATGTTTACCTTTGGCAGGTCTTCGGTCCTTGATTTCGGATTCTCTGGATCTGAACTGTCGAATCGTCGTTCCAAATTTGACTTGATTCGAGGCGACTTGGCTCGATAAATTGCGATAGAGGACGGCCGATGCTCACTAGCATTGATGCAGAATTTCTTTTCGTCTTGGTTCCCCGATCTCTGCATCCCGATTGCGTGGTTACCGCTTCCCGGGCCTGTAGTGTCAACGTGACACCTCCAACGTATCACAAAAGCCTTATCCATGGCTCACCAGCGTAAGTATGTCGTTTGCGCTTCCACTGAGCTGTGCTGCTCCATGATCGGAGGTTGCTCCGGGTCACCGAATCGTGCTGCGTTGTTCGGTACTCTGCTAGGACGACTTGGTGTGTCGATGACCATGTCTGAATTGTCTTCGCTCTCTGGAAAGGGATACGTTTCGAGTGAATCGCGTCGGGTGACCGCATCCAGAAGGAAAATGCTCTCAAACGCAAGCTGTCCTTCTTTTACCGACACATGTCCCACCTGGAATGCTGCGGATGATGAGACGAGGAAAGGACAACGCTCGCTGCCTGTGCTGGAGGCCCCGCTGTCGTCATCAGCCTTGCGAGCGCACTGCGGCAACCACGTGGCCGATAGATGTGTCGAGGGACGAGTATTCATGTCTAGTGGGATTTGGCCACTGATCGGTGCACACTCCTTTGAGTACCATGCATAGATATGAGGAGTCTTGCGCATTGTAACGATCAGAAGAACGCTCGAGAGCCACGGGTGCCACAGGGCCTGGCGAACTGCGTGGTTGAAAACTAGTACTGTGTGCGGATGATGGGACCTTCCCCGTCCAAGTCTCCATAAGTAGAGTGTACGAGGTGAAGATCGTAGTTTTGTGGCCGCCATGGTCTGGTCCGAATTGATTGTTACAAGTTCGACTTGATTTTGAGTTTCTTTCTCTTTCTGTGCCTGCTCCTCTCTCGTTTGTGTGGTCTTTGGTTGTGGCTGGGGTTGTAAAGCTTCGAAGGTGCCTGCGTGCCGGGTAAACTTCGCCATCGGCTCAGGCAGTGCTCCTCTCGAATGGGGGCTCTCTTGCCATACGGCCGTCCTTGACCCATCGATCAGCTCAGGATGAGCGAAGGCCCCCAGTATCTCAAAAGCCATGCCTGTGGTGAGCATGCGGACGACCACACGCCCCTCTCCATCTGCGGCAACCTGAATTGTCCGCAATGATTTATCGTCGGCCTTCGTCCACTTCCAGAACGTTGCACCGACACCTTCCATGTCTACCGGCGGGGTCCCACCGATAACTTCAGTGTTGCGGGGTAATGCGGCTCTGGAGATATCCAGTTGTGTTAGTGCATGTCCTTGGATCGTGTAGAAGCACACCTTGGCCCCATAAGCTGGTGACTCGCATATCGCAAGGATCGGGCGTCCCGCAGGACACCAAGTGAGACTTTGAGCGTCGAGAGTGTTGGTATCAAACGACTTATAGGTTATGCTATTGTCGTCCTTCAGCTCGAAGACGGTAACTTTGTCCTGGCTTTTGTCTCTTCGGAGCAAGGCAAAGTATCGTGTATCGGGCGCCGCGGCAAAACTCCTGGAGTCATTGAACTTGACGTGTGGGATTTCCTCCCGCTGCGGTTTCGTCAGGTTGAGTATCGCGGCGGTAGTCCCAAACTCAAACATAATCAAGACATGTCTGTGGTTCAAGACAAACTCGGCAAAGCTGAGTTTGCCATACTGGCTTCCAAGATCATAGTCCGCCAGGATGTCTGACTTGCGGCTCGCTGGATCCCCGACGGTCGTGCCTCTGTCGGAGGAGGTGCTCGGGCTGGGGAGGTTGGTACTCAGAACGACCAAGCGGCTGCCGTTGGAAAGCAAGATCCAAGTCGATTCAGATTCGCACTGTGATGAGCTCTTGGGCCGGACATCCTCGGCCTCATCTAAAACGACCAGGGTTTCTGGTGACCAGCGCAGGATATTGCATTCTTTCAGGAATGCTCGTGTAGATTTAGGTAGTTCGGGTGCTGTGATGTATTGGTGGCCATTGACGGCCTCGAGCAGATTAATCAAATAAATCCTGTCGTCTGCGGCGATCACGGCCAGGAATTTGCCGTCCGGGGAGAGGACCGGCCTCTGCAGGGCTTTACGGTCGCTGTGTTAGCAAGATCTCGGCATTGGCGTTCAAACCGAAGTCTGACTTGTGCTTGGGGCCTATGTCTCGGAGGGCAACCAGGCTTCTGAACGAGAGCTCGCAAGTATGGCGCATATTCTTCGCTTCGTTTGATGGGCAAAGAAAGGCCGAGAGAGTACTCACTGTTTGCAATAACATGATGTATTATATCTCCCATGGCTTCTGCTCAATGGCTAAGTATTGCGCTGCAGCCTCTCCTCTATGTTTCACCATGAGCCGCAGTGTGTTTGTCAGGGATGGTCATTATCCGGCTGCCATCTTCATGTTCAATTGAACAAGTCCCAAACACGTAACTTTGAAACACGCGTCGAGGAGGACACGAACTCACGTGGATGACAAAGCCCACGCAAGGCTGCGCACGTGACATGACACTCAGCCTCGTCCTGGCAGAAGCGTGACCCGCACCTGCAGCTTGCCAAGACATTGCTCCGATCACCCTCTGGTCCCAGGCTGGTTTGCTTGTGACATCTTAAGAACTCCTATACATAGGTATCAAATGCGTTCAGGTCACTCAGTTAATATGTAGATTTCTACTTCCATATCTGCAGGAGATGCCGGGCTCGGCCACGTGCGCTTAGGATCCTGAGCGACTCGAGTACAATGGATACCACGTGGACGTCAGATCCTACCCGATAATTGGACTCATTGTCCCTTCCACATGGCTCTTCTAATCTCTGCAAACTTGTGATGCTACCCAAAATTTTATTCCAAGGGGACAATTGGAGCGGTGATCGATGTCCTGCATTATGGCGTTGTACCTGGAAGCCACCGTGTGTCGGTGCTGGAGGGAGAAAGAACAAAAAGAATGCCTACTCCTTTGAGCACAGATTACAACCTCAAAGCATACAATGGCACCGAGCGTCGATGGATGACTTCCATTCGGCCAAAGTCACGGCCAAATATGGAACAAAGCATTACTCAAAGACTCGTCCTCGATGGGACCATTGTTCGGCTCCTCAAAATAGGTCGTTCAAGATGGCTCGGTGGTCGAGTGTTCTTTGTCGACACGCCTCATTGTGCTTCGAAAATCGAGCCTGCTTCCTAAAGACCCATGGTCTATATATCTCCCATATCGACCTTCAACTCCTGCCTGGCTGTTTTTGTGTTCATCCCACTACTAGTACTTCCTGGAGAAGTACTTGACCAACAGGTTACGGACCCAGCATAACTCGAAAAAAATTACTCACTTTCTCGTCTTTCCTTCAACTACACAGCAGTGTCTGGTACACTACTGATCGATACACCACTTCCCAAAGGCGTGCTTCACATTGAGCAAATCTTTATTCTTACTACATATATATACATACAATGGCTGCAGCCGGACAGAAACGCCGCCGAGCCGATTCCGATGACGGTGACAGTGGCCGGTATCCCACAGGCGGCACTCCCCCTGCGGACACTCCCCCTATGAGCAATACCCCCATGGACCTTTCACCTGCTGCGCCTTCTACCCCGCCTGCAACTGCAACGGCGACTGACCCAACGGCAGGTGTCAATGATATAGATGACTTGCTCCGAGCTGCCATGGTGCAAGCCTTGCTCCCCGAAGCAGCACCGGATCATGTGTTGGACCATTTTCTCGAGGCTGCGAACTGGGACGTCAATCTTGCCGTGGCCAACTTCCGCGCGCATCGACATGCTCTCTTCAATCCACTCGTGGTGGCACCAACCGCGTCCAATCCAATCGTGATCAATTCATCCACGTCCAATACACCCGTGCCCAGTCCGACTCAGCGGAGAGCGTCGGGTGATTCATTTACCACGGCATCGGACGAGAGCGAGGACGAGAAGCCCGTGTACAAGGGGCGCTTCAAGATGAACAACGAAGAGCAGCGGCGCCGACTGGCATACACGTTGAGACGTGCGTTGAAAGCACTGTACCCCAACTATGATCTAAGTCCGCCAGAGGCCATCCTCCTCCTTGTCATGAATGGTTGGTCGACCGATGCCGTCTTGAGAACAAAGAAGGGTACTTGGGGCATGAGAAACCGCCTCAATAATTCGTACGATCACATGAGACTCCCGATTCGTTCCAGCCCCCAGGACACGGACAAGGACAAGAAACAGCAAATCCTGCAGCGAGACGAACGTCTGGCCCTGCTGATCGACGCCACTGGTCGCTCCGATTGGGTTTCGTTGCGCGAGCATCTGGAGGCGTTTGATTGGAACGTTGTGGACGCGATTTCAAGCTGGTTCAGCGCTGGAATTGAGCCTGACCCCAATGCTCCATGGCAGAACAAGCCGAAGCAGAAGAAGAATGAGAAGACGTTCCGAGTTGGTCTTCGACAGTGCGAAAACGGGAGGTATGTGAAACCACCTGCCGACGACATGTGGAAAGCGCCGGCTATGGATAATGAATGGGCTCCCGATCGATCCACGTTCGAACCCGACGAGGACGAACCAGATTCCGGTTCGGACGATGACGATGATGATGACAGCGACGCGGAAGGTCAGAGGCTGATCAGAAGCGACGCCAAGAGACAGCCTGGGATCGAGATCAACGAAGACCTCGCCACCGCCAAGGTTGGCCAGCCAAACAAGTACAAGCTCATGCAGGAGAGAATCGAGAAGGGAAAGTATGAGAACCACCGTTTCGTCAACAAATTCGACTGGGGTTCTAACGTCCGCATGGATCTCTTCAAAGGCGTCCGCCAGGATAGGGGTAAGTTGATTGGCCCCTTTGACTGGAACAACAAAGACCATGTAGGCAAGCTGAACCAATTCCGGCGTCAAAACCTTCGCAGAGACACCCAGTTGCTGAAACGACAGGGACATCAGCCGTGGACCGATGCGGAAAATGAATTTCTGTACGAATTGAACGAGGAGAAGGTGCTGGACCGCATGAACGCGACTGGCAAGACCCGCGACGAAATCATCGACGGATTCAGCATGTCCAAGCAGGAAAAGCAGGAGTGGGCAGACCGGTTCAACCAAAGGTTCGAAGGCAAAACTCCCAAAGGGGCCGACGAGCCACGGAGAGCCCGCAAGGCAGCCGCCCTCATGACCCAGAGGAACCGAAATGAGGATATCATTAGGGACTTCCGCGCCGCGAGGGATGAAAAGTACTTTGAGAAGAAGGAAAGAGCCGAGAACAACAGGAAGAATGGCACGTCCAAGACCAAGAAGACGAACAACGCCGCCGCCGCCGCCGCCGACGACGCGACCGAGGACGAGGACGCAGAGCAATAAGAAGTGGGTGCCAGGATCTGACGGCTAATTCAGCATGTGTCATTGGGAATTCGATAAACGCGCAGGTCGCGTGGAGGAACTAATACTAATTAATACCATGGTAAGTGCTTGTTCTGCTGGTGTACACATAAGGTAAGACGCAAGAAAATGTTATTACAAGCCGCAGGATCGGAGTCCTGTTCTTTCGAGCATATATATGGTTTCTGTTGTTGTGGAATGTTGTTTCTATGTGGTGCCTTGCCTTGTTCAGCCACATACCAATGCGGGTTTGGGCAGGTCACCGGAGGTAGGTTCGGAGGTGTTTGGCACGGTGACTGAGCTGTCGGTTCTCTGGATAGGGTCACCTGTTGTTTCGGTCTTTTTTTCTAGAGCCATTTTGGCCATCGCTTTCTTGCTAAGATGCAGTGATCCATTTTTGATAGCTTCCTCCGGTAGTAACCGAATGTATGGTTGACAAACCCACCATGGTCGCTTGTACTTTGCCTCTGTCTTCTGTTTGGGCGTCAATTCAGCCTCAGGAACGTCTGCTCCTACTGCGGGTGACGCATCTTCTCCTGGCTGGCTCGCCGCACGTTCGGCCGCGGCCGCTTCTTCTTGTAGGCCCTTCCGCACCGCTGCTTCAACCATGCTAAGGATGCGCTCGAACGTCGCAAGATCCCCCACCGTCACACGCGCCAACACGTCTCGAATGTCCGTGTGTTTGGCCAGCAGATGCCTGAGCAGGGAGAATAAATGGCCTTGCATGGGTTTCAAATTGGGATTCGGTTTGCCGTGGTCATTGCGTTTCCGCTTCTTGTTCCGGCGAGGTTCGTCTTCCTGCGCCTGATCGGGGCGCTCGGACAACTTGGGATCGACTTCAGGTTCGGGATCGCCAGGAATATATAATGGCTGGCGGGTTGGAGGATCTTTCTCCAGGCAGTATTTGTAGATTATGTCCAGGTAGCGTCTGAAAACAGCGTCTACCCGGTATCCACCTTTGCCGTCTGGTCCATACCAATATTCCCGCGGGTTGTACTCTTTAGGGGGCTTTGCGAATATGGTCGGATCCGAAAGGTTTCCTTCAGCGGACATGACGCCGTCGGCGCCGGTTGCTGCTAGACAGGCATCGATGTCGTCAGCATTCAGGATGTTGCCATTCGCAAATATGACCGTCTCAGGCGGCAAATTGTCCCGTAGGTATCTGATCACCGACCAATCCGCGAGTCCCGTGTAATGGCCCTTCTGCTCACGTCGCCGTCCGTGAACAGTCAGGATGCTCGCGCCGGCCGACAGGATCATCTTGGCGTACTCGAGCGTCTTCTCCCGTGTTTCCAAGATCCTCATTTTGGCCGTCACGGGAACGGACAGGTCTTTGTGCAGCGTGTTGATCAACTTGTAGATGGTGTCCCAGTCCTTTTGAAGGAACGCACCGTAATGTCCTGCCTTAGCGATTCCTTGGGGGCACCCGAGGTTGAGATCCACGGCATCGCAGTATGGAGCGACGTACTGCGCCGCGTCTAGTAGTTCTTCGGGCTTGTTTGCACAGAATTGCACGAACAAAGGTCTGTCAAGGGCCGGGTTGCCGTCTCGCCAGGGAGGCGATGTGGACTTCTCTTTCGAGGCCAATCCGCTTCTCGTGGGTTGGAAGAACTCTTCGCGGAACCGCTGTGTTTCGCTGAACATTCGGGCATGGAACATCGGGGTGTATGCCAACAAGGACTTCGATCGTTCTTCGTCCAGGTACGATCGGGTCAAGAGTCTCCATGCCTGAAGCGCCAGTCAATATGTGATTTCGGAGCAACAACCGCGGAGAAGGAGGGAGGTACGACGGACGAATTCTGATCGGTCGACCATCGGAGCCACAATCATTTTAGGGCTGCCGATGCTTTCGTAAAATGCTCGGCCTGTGAGCTTCACGGGAGGCGCCGGGCTTGCGCCAACATTGGAGGCCTCCGCCATGATTCGCGAAGGCTGTATTTGCTGTTGCAGTTGCCTGAAAGTCGTTGTGACCCACTTTACAATCCCTCTGGACATATATGCAGTCACAGGTGCGCAGGAGACGGGTGTTATTGAGTCTTCATGTCGCTTGGATTGCTCCAAATGCCCACGAATACTGGATTGAAGGGCGAGGTTTACACGCGGTCAACCAGATGCCAGTACTTTAGCGGAAATATTTCTTTGAGAGTCGTTCACGCGGGAAAATTGTTCTTATCGCACGTGGGCGGCGTTGTCTCTGGCTTACTCATCCAGCTTATCGATAAGGGTGTGATAAGACTTTCCAACGTTTGGAGTGATCAGTGAGTACTATGTACAACTGCAATTTACAACTTGAATATTCAGTATTGTACACCTCAACCCGCCATCGTGATATCACAAGCCATGGTTGTCCCTCATCACATACACCGTTGTGTCAGGCTCGACATTATTGAATCGAATGTTGGTTCTTATGTATGGCCATCTTAACGAGCTGATACTCGGCCTGGAGTGAAGAGCTCGAAACGCTGCCCGCGCTGGCCTGTCCACGGCTGGCTCGTCACTGTTCTCTAACAGATCCCATCCTTCTTTTGTGCTGAGCCAATATCCTGGTCCATCAAAGCCACTTGAGATATATGACATGGATGTGATCAGCTTTCACAATCAGCTGGTTTACTACAAACATAGCTCCCGAACGAATCCTCAACCCCGAGCTCGGACAAATCCGTGCTCCCTGGATACGAGAGTTCAAATTGTTTGTCATGTTGCCTGTCCCAAACAGCAAATCTACATCCGTCATCACTACTAGCAGCATCAGCGCTTACTTCCCACCGCGATTCCCAGGAGCTTCATATTCCCAGCCTACCTGAAAAAGGTGCAGTAAGACCCGTCGTCTGGCCCGAAAGAACTGATGGAATGGTTCTGCCGAGACAGCGAACATTAGCTTAAAGCACGACAGCATAAGTACACATGTCGCTGGTGAGACATGTACCAATGGAAGACTTACCCACATCCCTCTGAGCGTCACACATGTATCTGTGGATGACATTTCGTGCATACATGGACCGTGCCAGTCTCTGTCCATGCAATAAAACATCTGCTGTTTATGTCAGCCTTCAATACATGACTTGAGTTCATTCAGGGCTGGCTACACACGCCGCATATGTTCCTGGGGAGCCGAGTGTGATAGTGGGGATCGCCGGTAACTAGAGAAGTGATGACCAGGAGAAGCACAGCTTGGATCCTCACCATGTCCAGATATTAACCATGGCGGGATTAAATCATGCTGATTCTGGGACAGGTATTTGTACGCACTGTGAGGAGGTCTGTTTGTACACCTTGATTTCGGGAGTCGCTGCAGACGGATTGGGTTGAAGTCTTCAGAAAGCAACCACACCAGCAATGGGCATCCGTCGGCTCCATTGACAAATTGTAAGTTATGATCAGCAAAAGTTCAGAATCCGGCCCTCGTTTCCAGCACAGAGCCGGACATGCAAACACTTTGCGAGGTCTGTCGGTTTATCATCCGACAACAGTGCATCAGCCTTTTGGAGGGGACCCTTTACGAGCGTCTGCGGTGAACCGACCCTCTAAAATCTCAGGAGTCCAAACCAACACCGGCACCTTTAGCCCGAAGCTCATGATCACCGGTGCGACTGAGGCCGGTCCCAAAAAATTTATCTATTCGCCTTTCACGATCCCAAACCACCTCTTGTTCGCCATTCTCAAGACTTCTTTTGAAGTACTTGATCCGATGTTGAGGTATCCATTCTTCATCTGTGGATTCGGAAATCCAGCTGTCCGCAGGCGTTTCCATTATGCCGGAAAATCTTTCCAGATATCCAATGGTGTATTTTGTTATGTCGTAACTTGGGTCCCAATGCAGACGATCGAGGACATCTGATGAACACACATGAACCAAGCACATAGGTCGGGTCGCCGATACACATACCTTGTGCTGATCTCATTTTCGGACTCGGCGTCGAGCAAAAGGGCACTGACCTGCCGTCTTTGCTTCGCCGTGGCTGTTTTCGGTAGCGTTCGAGCTCTTTTGATCGTTTCAGGCTCTCTGTGTCTTCTCGTGCCTTCTCCTTCTCGAGCTCCTTGAGATGATTTTCTGCCATATTTCTTAGTTGACCAAGAACATCCGGGGACATATCCTGCCCTGTTCTTCGTTTGCCCGAGTATTCCGCCATGGCCGGTTCCCTACGTGGTCTCAATAGAAGTCGCTAATCTCACTGCAGATTCCCGACCCGTGGTTGCGTCTGCTTGGATTTATGTTCCACACAGCACGATGAGCGTCTCATGTCGTTGTTGGCTTGGGCATCAATGACTCACGATTCCGCCCTCTTCGCATGAGCACAGGACCGCCCAGCGATTCAGTGATATATGCCAATACATGGATGCATACAGGCATCATATTGGTTTATGGAATGCTGTTGAGTGTTTGCTCCCTGTCAGTACCCGACAGCTTGACTCATCATGACTCAGTATGGTGGATATTGGACTCCCAAACAAAGAGTGCCCAGAGCAAGTGCTCTGACAGAACCTGCATACATAGCAATATTTCCAGGACGTCCTCGACCAAAATATGCACGCCGACAATTACCAGGAATGCCTTGGATTCCAAAGGTGCTGGGATGTTGTCCGATGTGACGACTGAGATTCTGGAGTGCGCCTCTGGCTTTATGCGCAACAGTAGAAAGTGTACGGGCAGTACTCCCGAGTTTCGTCCATCGGCCTTCGGGAATCAACGTCTACTAACAGCTTCAATTTAAAATGAGCTGAGGAATTGGTGGCCACCTGAAGAAGGGTGGCCGCCTTGATAACTATGATGCTGCTTCGGCCTTTCGGGAGACGACCGGTGCTTCGCAAAAGAGCTGCGTTCAGACAAGGCTGGACACGAAAGGGATTGTCTCGCTTTCGAGTCATCGAGCATGTCGTTCCGACCCAACATACGCGGCAGTGGCCGAGGGGCACTGAGGTCGGGTATGAGAATGCGTTGAGACTGGCGGTGAAACAGTACGTGCCGAAAAGCAACCAGGAGCCACAGCTTGGTGATATCACTTTTATAGCCGCTCAAGGCAATGGCTTCCCAAAGGTCAGATTTGCTCCAGGTCATACATGCATCGCCCGACTCTCACAATGCACAGGAGATGTACGAGCCCCTGCTTGACGACCTTGAAGAGAGTGTGAGCGGTCTGGGGAGGAAAATCCGGTCCATATGGATCGCCGACATGGCCCATCAAGGTCAAAGTTACGTCCTCAATGAAAACGCTGTAGGAAATGACCGTCGGTTTTCCCAACCAAATATTCCACATTACCTGGACTGATTGCAACAGCAAACTGGTGGGACTTTGCAAGGGACCTTCTCTACCTGATCAACCAGAAACAAGGGGATATGCCACAGCCTCTTGTCGGTGTTGGCCATAGCATGGGCGGGACACAACTGTGCGTGCCGTCAGCGGCGACAGAACCTCACAACTAACTGCTTCAGGGCGCAACTCGCACTTTTACATCCTCGGTTGCTGCAGGCCCTTGTCCTGATCGACCCGGTCATTCAGACAGAAAATCCAAGCAAAACGTATGCTCCGGCGGCAACATATCGACGTGATCTTTGGCCTTCCCGGCAAGAAGCTGCGGAGAAGTTTGCCGCTAGCAAGTTCTACCAAACCTGGGATCCTCGGGTGTTGCAAGAATGGAGTGAATATGGCCTTCGGGAGCTTCCGACTGCGATGTACCCCGACAGAGGTACTAGTCCGGAGCCCCCGGTCACCCTGACGACTCCCAAAGCGCAGGAAGTCTTTTCTTATCTAAGGCCGAAATACTATGGCTCACCGGACATCCCACCTGAGGAAGATTGGGCCGTGTACGGAGACATTCATCCTGACGATGTGGAAGACTATCCATTTTACAGGCCAGAACCAGCCCAGACCTTCAGAAGGCTCCCCGAATTGAAACCACCGGTCTTGTATATTTTTGGGGCCAAGTCTGAGCTAGCGACACCAGATCTGAGACGAAAAAAGATGGAAACCACAGGGAGCGGAATCGGGGGAAGTGGAGGTCAGAAGAACGGTAAAGTGGAAGAGGTCGTCCTTGACTGTGGTCACCTGGTACCACTGGAGAGAGTCAAGGAGTGTGCGGACGCAGCAGCTCGCTTCAGCGTGTCTGAGGTCACTCGTTGGGAAGACATGACCCGAGACTGGCAACGGCGTTGGCTAGAAAAGCCTCCACGAGAAAGAATAGGCATAGATGACCGGTGGAAAGAAGCGATCGGACCTAGACCGTCGAAGCAATGAGTGACTATCAGGTGAAGAACTTATTCACATCTGGGAATCATGTCAAAGATTCTTATTCAAGTTCTCATGCTGACAGCCTTGTCCAGTCACGCGTAGTCTACTACGTGAGGCTGTACTAGTGAGGCAGGACCAGTAGTGACTTGAGGTGAGCCTCAGGGGAATGATATACGGCCATTAGTTTTTCCGGTCCGAAACCACGCCTTCCCCAAAACGCTCACGCCAAGGTTGCACCTCGCCCTTCATCTGCGTGGCTTTACAAAACTCCGTCACAGCATCCTCGAAGCGCGTTTTGTGTACGGTCGAGCAACGCGTAAAGGCATCATGGTATGAATCTCGTCGACGTCTGCGTCGCATGTAACTGACATGGCCAGGTCTACAACTGGGAGCCCCACAAAGATGTCTGCTACAAGCTCTACATCGAAGAGCGCAAGGTATGTGGTCCTCGCCTGCTTCTGCCCGCCCTGTCAGCTAACGTCAACAAGTCGCTCGAGGAGATCATGCAGCACATGCGCGATACCGAGAACTTCACGCCCTCGAAGCGGGCTTTTCAGACCCAGTTCAAACGATGGGGGTTCCCCTCGAAACGAAAGCCGGCTTTTCGCGACGAGGATCTGGTGGATCGCGTGAAAGAGCTTTGGGAAGCCAACTATAGTCAACGAAACATGCTTGCCGTGCTACATCAAGAAGGCCACGATATCAAAGAACGCGAACTTATGAGGTTGCGCGCGAAGAATCGCTGGTTGATGCGCATTCCCAACGGCGCCAAACAGACTCCGGCGGAGGAGGCAGAGGCTCGTCTCGAGGCCCAGATGCTGGAGGCCGCGCAGAACGAAGAAGGAATCTCCGCCGAACCGGCTCCGGCCCCAGCCCAGGCACCACCGGCCGACGAGCCACCGGAGGAATTTCTGCAACAGCAGAAAGAGAGACTTGAACGACTTCAGGCACTCAGCGACGAGAGGTGGCAGGCCAAGAAGCGACGTCGCCGGACCAAGGGTTATGCTGGACTTCCGGCTGATCCGCCAGGACTTCCACCTCGCTTTCCATCCGAAACCACGCTCGAAGAGAGCAGAGAAATCTTGTCGCTCAACACGAAGCAGTACCGCGCTCTACGTGATCAATTCCAGGCCATCTGTCAGGAGGGAGGGATTTTGCAGAAGACCGTCGCAGGCGCCGAAAGGTGGGCAGCGGCGAAAGATCGTCTTGTTCATGAGAATCCCGTGCTTCAAGCCACGTTGTACGCAGACCCCACGACCCGACCATCGAAGGATCTCGCACTAGATGTCATCTGCACCGATGTCACCAAACGCATCCGCACCATGGGCCGCCGGCTCACCATCCTGGAATCCAAGAACATTCTCGGCTTGAATCCGGAACAGAGCCGCCAAATCCGGAGTGGTTTCTATAACATTTTGGATTCGGAGCACTACACCAGCAAGTTGGAAATGGGACCGGAGAAGTGGCAGGAGTTCAAGGACCGCTGGATCGCCGAAACACCGCTTTTGCAGCAGATTCTGGCACCGGGCAACGCCGACCCGGACCACGAGAAGAAGAAGGCGGCTCTCGAGCTCCTCTGCCGCGATGTCATGAAACGTGTCAGGGACGATCGCGCGAAGAAGAAGGGGACGTTTCGAAAGAAGACCACCGAAACTCCACCGCGCTCCGTTGATGGTGCTGGTGCTGGTGCCGGTGCCGCGGTCACAGACGACTCAACCCATGCGGTCGATGCCGTCGAGATGACGCCTCAAGCACCCCACAGCAGTGCCTACGAGCCATCGCAACCGGCGAATCCATACAGTGATATGTCGAATACGATGCAGACAAATGATTTGTCTGAGCTTCAGATCGATCCCAATCTTCTCCAGGTCGCAGACAACCTTGGATCACCACCCGTGTCGACCATGACACCGGTGTATGTCCGACCACATCCCAAATCGACCATGTACAACAACACCAAAATAGCTTTGGCGTCGTTGTCGGGCCGGACAGTGCAGGAGTTGCACGCCATGCTCGCGGCTAAGTATCCAGGAGCAAAGCCGACTCGCATCGACGGGGTTGAGAAGGATGCCAATGGCAACGAGATCTCTTATCTGATAGAGGAGGATGAAGAGCTCGATGCATACCTTGAGCATGTTCAGGGACGTAAAGCGACGTTTGTCGTCTTACTGACACCGGATGAGTAGTTGTTGTGGTTGTTGCACATGGTCATTCATACCGATTGGACTCGGAGTTTACTGGGCATCGGACGGTCAGAGGCGAATAGGGATTTGCGCTTTTATTCCTATGCTACTGCTACTGCTACTTTTCGACGAAATTGAAGGCCATGGACTAGGTACCTTGCGGTTACTGGCGCTTCGCGACGCGTGATGATGGTAATGCGCACAAGCATCGCGTACTAATGGCAATATCATATCACTCAGGCTTGAGACGGTATAGTTCTGGCGGTTTCTTTTCTTTTTTTTCTTCTTTGGTCTCGTTACCAGGCTCGATGTATGATCAAGGTACCTAATTGTTGTGGCACGAGAGGCCTCTGCTTTATAATATACATATACATAATCCGGGTGTCCCTTCGAAGTCGCCGTCACAATTTCGAATCCCGCCCCTTGTTGCCCGTGACACCGCCCATCTCGTCGTCCTTGACGGGATCCTCACCGTCCGACTTTTCGGCTTTCAAACTTACGGGATCTCCTAACATCGAGCGGTTTCGGTTTCCTTTTTTTGCCTGGTCAAGGTCTTGCTCCGCGACGTCTTTTAGGCTCTTCTTTTCTGAACTATTCTGGGTTTGGTTTTGTTTGTTCTGGTTCTTGTCAGAGCCCGTGGTTTCGCCTGGTCGATCACCCTTGGTCGGGGAGGAGTTTGAGATCTCGGCCTTGAGAGAGACGGGGTCGCCGAGGGCTGTCGGGTTGGATTTTGCGGCTTCTTTGAGGGGGTTTTTGTTGGTGTTGGTGTCGTTGTCGTTGGCCATTGGGTGAACAAAGTAGTAGTTCTAGATGGGGGATTGGGAATCTGGATCTGATTACAGAGCGTCTGGCGGGTAAGACCGACAGCTGCTATTGGTGAGTGATTCGAGTTCGCACACAGATTCAGATGCCGGATGGTCTGAGCCTTGGGGAGATGCAATTGATTGTTTCATGCACAATACCTATACATGTACAGGAGATGCAAAGCTGGAGTAATATGTAGTACATGGGAAGTCTGCGCAGTGTCCTACATAATGTCATGCAGTCATTCTGGCTTCACCAGGACGCGGGGCATGGGTGACATTATTGACGGAATCGGAGGATATTACCGGGGATACTGTTCAAGTTGAATGCATACGCACAGGGTTGTCGTTTAGCGAGACCATCATGGAAGCCTATCGCTCGACATCTGCAAATGACCCGGGAAGAGGTGTTGACGACGACTCGAGATCATGATGACGGAGGTGGTTGTGTATTCCTCGGAACAAACTTATTCCGAGCGGAGAAGAATGGCTCGGCAGAGTTGCTCTTTGGGCCGGAATCGATCTTCACCTCCACCTTCCCTCCTGTTCCGCAGCTGGCAACGCCGATAAGGTTACCTACCTGGTACCTAGGTAGGTACCCACGGTCCCGTATCTCTGCTCAAGAGATTGATCGCACACTCATCGGTCAGCTCCGATCGACTCTCCTCACGGCGGAATTGATCCACTTATGACCCGTCGCGATTGATCACAATGGCGCACGAAACCGAGGGACAAGACCTAAGCTGACCACAATGGATCTGCTGAACATACTGAGAGACTTGGAATCACTCTGTGCGCCCTTTCTCTTGCACTGTTCACATGATATTCTGCCTGCGACGGTGAATAAGAACAGTCTATCATGGGAAGCTCGGCCTCGCCCGCCACTCTGCGTGTTGCTGCAGCGCAGTATGAACCTGAATGGCTTGATCTCCAGGCCTCCGTTGCAAAGACGTGTGCCATCATCAAGGAAGCCGGCAAGCAGGGTGTAAAGGCCTTGGGATTTTCTGAAGCTTTTATCCCTGGGTATCCTGCGTGGATATGGTGAGTCTACTTGGATGTCCCGGATGCACTCCGCTCGGTTATGTTGTTGTTCGCCGATGGCAATTGGTAACTAGACCATCTGCACCTATCTTGTCGAGATGTCTGCCACTATCAGAATCGAGAGACGGCAGTGCTGACGCCCTCTTTTCCCAACACGAGTCCACGTGAAAGTGGTTTCGCCCATCTGGCACAATATAGGACTTGGGCTTGGTCATAGCGCGCTTTCTGATATCTGTCTGACAAAACGACCTTTGATCGAACAGGCAGCGACCCCTTGACCCAGTTTTGTCGACGAAGTACATCCAAAACTCTCTGGCCGTCGACTCAGACGAGATGCGAACAATCCAACAGTGCGCTGCCGAGAATGGTGTTGTGGTGTCGTTGGGATTTTCAGAAAACGACCACAACTCCGTCTACATAGCTCAGGCGCTGATTGACTCTGATGGCAAGCTGCTCATGAAGCGACGAAAACTCAAACCTACGCATATGGAACGCACCATCTTTGGGGATGCATCAGGCGACAGTCTAACGAACGTGGCCCAAACAAAGATTGGGAAGCGAGTGGGTGCTCTGGCCTGTTGGGAGCATTGCCAGCCTTTGCTCAAGTATCACACTGCCACACAGCGCGAGGAGATCCACTGTGCCGGGTGGCCGCCACTATCGCCCCATTCTGGACCTGAGCTGTGGTCGATGTCGGCAGAGGGTAAGTCTTCTTGATCATACTTGTTCTCGTTCCCAAAATCGATTGTGCATGGCCCTTTGACCGACAAAAGTTCAGTCTTGCCTGCTGATATTCTCGACACGTTCGTTCCCTTGTTCCATGATATCCATAGCTTACGTCGCTCCGAGTCAATCAATATGCTGACCAGATATTGGTTTTTTATCACTGTAGGGTGCCTCAGCCTTGCCCAAACGTACGCCATCGAAACACAGACGTTCGTGTTGCACGCCACCACAGTCATCAGCTCCAAAGGGGTTGACGCCATGTCAACGGCTCAATCAATGCTTATGAACAAGCCAGGTGGCGGCTACTCGGCGGTCATTGGACCTGACGGCCGCCGACTCACAGAACCTCTTGATCCGTCCACGGAAGGCCTTGTCATTGCAGACATCGACCCCAACATGGCCCTTATGGCTCGCAGCTTCTTGGACATCTGTGGTCATTACAGCAGGCCCGATCTGCTGTGGCTGGGCTGTGACACGCGAGAACGCAGGCATAAGATTGACAAGGCTGGGGCTGCACAGGCTGCTGCCCAGGATGGCACAGAAGAGGAAAATGATTGAGTAAGTGTAAGGAGATCTAGGGACGTCGAGTTGATGAAGAGATCCCCATTGACCTGCTGAACTTGGTCGTGCTTGACTCGGCTCACTGAGACCGCTCCAGCGGTCGAATACACATATTTGTGTCTTTCTTTTTCTGCCCGTCTCCAAAGCAAAATATGTCTCCATGTTTCGTCGACAGGATATTCTTGAAAAAAGCCGCCCAGCTGCACACATGGACCTTACAAAAGTACCAGTCCAACTGCCAACACTACACTAAGACCCCACCCCAACCATCCTGAAATAATCACTTGTCGATTGGTGAGCATGGCGCCCGTGTCCCAAATCAGATGTCTACTTCCGTGAACGATGTGAAACATGAATGGCCAGGCAAATACGGCCTTTGTGGCCGTCCTGACACCCCAGGGCAAGGCGCCGAACCACTCCACCATGCTTGTGGTGTCCAAATGCCATCCGAAGAGCGGTGATACCAGGTATGCTGCGCCGAAGATGTAGATGGGTGCCGCGATGAACATGGAAACGTTGCGCATGGTCGCCCCCGAGACCCATGTGATTTGTGGCCGGTAGATGGCCAGATGCGGACTGACGGGACGTTCGCGCCGGCGTGAGGCAAGGTACTCTGCATGCTGGGCTGCTGTGATGCTCTCGATCTGCGGCGGCTTTGTATCAGGCTTTGAGGATGTCGTGGAAGGTCTATATGACTTGGTCAGCGGACTTGAACTTGTCGATACCATTGGGCGACTGGCCTCCATTGTACAGTGCTAAGTATCGGCCGAGCCGACAGAAACGGTTGTGCCTTTTGGAATCGCGATGCGTGCAATCCTAAGGAGCGTTCGCAGACTATAGATCGATGGTTAGCAAGAAGAGGGGAGCAAGGAAGGATCGCGAGAACGTACTTCCCACGCGAAATCGGCGGCCGAATGCTCTCAATGCCATATCTACACCCTGACCTAGCTATCTGACTTCAAAGACTCCCTTCCAACGGCTCAGACATCGAGGTTAAACAAAAGACGAAGCGAGAAAGAGTACTCTCCCCCGGTTATCGCGCACCAGGTGGAGAGCCTCGACTTCAGCCAATCAAGGGCGCGGATTTGCGGAGCAAGACTCACCCATTTGGGTAAATTTCATCTTCCGAGGTTCCGAGATTTCTCTCCGCGTCCCTCGAACTTCACCACTTTCTCTTTTCTGTTGCTCTGGGGAAGGAAATTGTTTTTCTGGTCTGATGATTGGCTGTTCGGCTTCTCCTTCGAAGTGCCCAGCCGGACTAGGGTTCTGGGATGAGCAGTCGGCGCCAACAAGCATGTGAGGCTTGTCGTGCTCGCAAATTGCGCTGCTTGCCAGGCAGCACAACGGATACTTGCAAGCGGTATGAGGGTGACTTTCTCTCGTTGCATTCCCGTGGCTGACTCTGGCAAGATGTGAGAGTTCCCGAACCACTTGTGTACCGCACCGGCCAATCAAGAGAAGGGCACCATCGAGAAGGTATGGACCATGGCAAGATCATCGCTTCGAGTTCTTGGATCTGGATCAATTGACCTATCGACAGGAGAGGAGGCTACAGGTTTGTTGATAAGGTTATCGATAGCCCAGGGTCTGCTCTGCCAGAGGAGCATCAACAAAATGTCCTTGCAACGGATAAACTGGACAGCACGAATCCAGCTGAACCCAGAATACCAGCTGGGGTGGACGACCCGTCCGTCCGGACCTTCGGCCAGATATTGCTCGAGCAGCTGCACATTGAGCATTACCAGAGCAGAGAATGGGCCGCCTTCGAAGCCATGACCCACGAACGGTGTCTTACGATTCTGGGCCATTATAGCAAGCGGCTGGTTCCAGCAGTACCATTCGCATTGATCTTGCCAGACTGGCCGCTTGAGGACCTCGTCTTCAAATGGCATCCAGTACTGCTGCTGGCAATGATAGTCGCCGGAAGCAGCTGCTATCTTGACCTCCAGAGGCAAGCAGACACGATCTTCCGTACTGTCCTCGCAGATAGGGTCATTGTGAAGGGAGAACGCAGTCTTGAGCTGTTTCAAGCACTTCTCACCTGTCTTGCATGGTATCAACACAGGTTCGACCCGAGGACACAGCAATTCTATCAACTGCTACAGCTGGCCATCGCAATGGCTGCCGACCTCGGACTCGCAAAGAGCTTTGCTTCCACAGCCGAAAACCACAAGGATAATGGAGACATGCACCCGATCCAGTCATTGGACGAACTCAACGAAATCCGAGCATTCTCACTCGCGTACTACCTTAACTGTGGCGCCGCTGTTCTCGGTTACGACCGACCCGAGAACATGCATTGCATACGCAGTTTGCGGAATGCAGCAGATATATTGGCTCGGTCGTCATTCATGCCACTTCCCCTCGACATCGAAGGGCCGGGAATCATCGAGCTGATGCACATCGCGGCCCAGCACCGGGCGTCCCTAAATGCCCTCGAGAATGAGGAGATACTGCAGCCCTGCGACTGTCACGCGGCCACGGCGTTGAAATTATGGGAAAGCAAGTACTTACGTGCCAGCACTCCGTGTGTGGTAAAATCGAGTTACCACTTTATATCCACTTACCTGCTGCTCAAGCCGCTCGGTGGACACCACCAGGCACCTTCGCCAACGGATATCGTCAGCTGCTTGGACCTCTTCCAGGCTCAGCTGCGCAATATTCTCGACCAAGGACCGGTCTATCTGGTCATGTTTGGACTCATTGAGTGGGCTCCCATCTTGACATATCTGTATCTTCTTCCGAGGCTGGAGGTGTCGGCTGTCGTCTCTGCACCAGTCGGTCTGACGGCCGAAGATCGAACCCCGTGCACAACGAGGATGATTTCCCGGTTTCGGGCGCAGTTGGACCGTCTCAGGGCCGAAGCGTTGATCGATCCCACTTTGAACGCTTACAACTTTTTCTCGTGGCTGGAGCGCATCTTCTCCGCCATTGAACAGAATGCGTTGGCTCTGCAGGCTCCTCATCCCCTGCATGTGCCGCATGCAACTGTGAACGGCGGCGATTCGGCATATGACATTCTTGATCCTTTCCACCATCCTGATGGTCGTCGTTCGTCCCAGCAGCAACGTCAGGCCACCCCCAATATGGATAGTGTTTGGGTTGACTTTATGTCAGATTGGCTGCAGTGGTGACTGTGGTGCTGGCCGGAGTGTGTAGCATAGGAGCAACCTCTTCGGACTGTATTGCCCGCCCAAAAGGCAAGATTTATGAAGCGCAAGACTGGATCACCTTATGCTGGCTCGCTGGGACTCTCTTGACAGGAGAAGAGACCACGTGTGCATGTGATGACGTTGAATCCGACTGAAGAAGCCTGAGGCTGGCAAGCCTGAACCGTAGAGTCTGAGAGTTGCAGAGCATACAACATTTCTGTATACACCAGAGCACGTACAGTGATCAGATACGAGTATTGGTATATCGAGCTCTGCAGACAGTGGCAACTGATAGAAATGATCCAATCCATGTATACAAGTCCGAACTTTTCTCGTGCCATGCGTAGAGTTTGGGCAGATGAATTCTACTCCAACTTTCCCCGCGTAACTTTTTCTATCCAGAACTTGGAAGTCGTGCAAAGACATTGAACGACATTCCTGCGCAACAAAATTTCTCTTTCGTTCTGCCTACGTACTGTGCTGCAAGACAACTACTTAACAGGCACTCGAAGTGGGTGCATCTTCCACGGGATGCCAGTGAGTAATCCCCATCCCCCCATATCTACACCTGCATACCTAATTCGCACAATACACTGACTGACTGTCTGTCTGTTTGCAGCTCATCATCATCACGGGCCTTCCCTGCTCAGGCAAGACATTTCGAGCCCAACAGATCGCCGCCGACCTGGAAGCCCTCATCGCCGCAGACCCAGGGCGACACTCGAAGAAGACAGTTCAGATAATTCCATCACACCACGCGGCGTCCGACGACAGCAAAAGCGAAAGCCTCCGCGACCAGATTTACAACAGCATCGCAGGCGAAAAGACCGCGCGGGCCGCCGAATTCTCCGCGATCAAGCGTGCCGTATCTAGGGACGCCATCGTCATCGCCGACGCACCCAATTATATCAAGGGATACCGGTATCAACTGTGGTGCGAGGCCAAGGCGGCCGGGACGAGATGTTGCGTGGTTCATGTCGCGGCGCGAGAGGACGAATGTAAAGTCTGGAACAGGGAGCGGCTGAGAGCCTGGGGGAGAAACGAAGACGACAGCAACGGCACCGACCGGCAGCAACAAAGGCAGACCCAGGGCAAGGATATCCTCGGCGATTTGGTCCCGGAAAGTCATACTGCCATCTATGGTGATCGGGTATTGGACGGAAAGCCACGGTCGCGATCTTCGTCTCTCGATGTTGGAGAAGAAGACGAAGACGAGAATGGACCGCGGTCGTCATCCATCAGGAAAACAAACAATGCCAATGGCGATATCGATACCATGACGTTGAAGTCGCTGTACATCAGCGACAAACAACACGACAAGAGCACCACAGAGAAAGGACATACCTCGAGTGCTGCCTCAAACGATACGAAACAACAACAACAGCAACAACAATCATCAACACCATCAGATTCAATACCATCACTACCTTCCACCACCATCGTCCCTCCATCTCCATCATCCTCACCACCCTATTCACCCACCACACTCGTCTCTCTAGCAATGCGGTATGAGCCCCCATCGCCCTTCTCGCGCTGGGACACACCACTATTCGTCATCCCGTCGAGCGACCCCGTCCCGCCCACCCAGGCCATCTGGACAGCATTGTTCCCACCTCCCGCAAAACCGACCAGCAAAAAGGCCTTGTCTCAACTGTCTTCTTCTTCTAACAGACCTAATCCAAATCCACATGAATCCTCTGAATGGCCGCAAACCCCAGATCATTCAGCCACAAACCACACCACCACCACCTCCTCCAGTATCAACAGCAACAAGAACGTCCCGTCTTTCTCGTCCTCCTCGTTGTCTGAACCAGCCGTAAAACCCCACGCCGCAACCGTTCTCCCCAAAGCAACCGCCGCCGACGCCCTGCAGATCCTCGAAAGCGCCACCATGGACGTGACCAAACATGTCCTCGCGTCGGCGCGCGAACAACTCGGTGGAGACATAAATGACGGCGGAGACGTCGAATTGTCCATTCCTAACCCGAACCCTAGTACACCCACATCACCACCATCACCATCAACAACTCCCTCTCTTCCCCACTACGAAACAACCCTTCACATCCCCGCCGGCATCAACCTGTCGCAGCCTATGCTTCAGCGTCTACGGAGAAAATATACCCAGATCCAGCGCGGTGGCATCGCCCATGGCCAGGGATATATCCACGGCCGTCGGGGCGTGGTGGCTGATTTTATTGATTTCTTGGACCGCGAATGGAACTATGATTGAAAGACAGAAGATAATCAAAACGATGTATACATGTAAAAGATTTCATTCTCTCATATGTTTAACTTCTTAATCGACTGCCAGTGGCCTGGGCCGTTGTCATCAGCAGACTTTTAATCGACTCGTCTGTCTGTCAACCGCCAGTCAGAGATTCTTGAAACAAAACCACAGTGACAGGAACTAACAAGATAAGAGAGCTAATATAACAGGACGGACGTTGCAGTATCAGTGATTGGTGGTGTAATTCATGTTTCTGGCTCAAAGGTACCCTAGCTAACTAGGAGATGTATTATCGAGAGAATCCGCCATGCCTATAATCCATTGCCATATGCAAATCTTATCCGGAGTGATGATCCCAATGCAAGGCTGACCATGAATAGAAACAACCATCAGCCTCTTTATCGTCTTTCATCCATCCACCCGAAGCACCCACAATGCTCGCGCATGAGTCTTCTAGACACAAGAAACAACAGAAAGAAGTGCGTGCCATGCAATGCTGAATAGCCTAGCCGTCTTCTGCACTTAGACAACAAAGAGGCAACCTTCTAGAAGGACATAAAAAAACCAAATGATCCATCCAGCCGACCACAACCGGTATCACAAACCCATGCTGATATCATGTAGCTGATGCCCAACCATGACAACCAGAATACGAAGCTGAAAACAAAAGGGCAGAGGGGACAGTCGCTGATAAAAGAAAATATTAAGTGTAGATGAAGTCGTAAAGGGCGTTAAAATGCATCGGGTATCTTCGAAGCACAGTCTGGCGGTGTGTGGAGAATCCAAGTTGGGCCTGTCTTGCATGTACAGTGGCGGAGGCATGGGCTTCGAGCTGTCTCATTGCCGTGTCGGCAATGAGATCATCGGCCATTGGTACACGGAGGAAAGACCACTGCTACCCGTACTGTACCCGTACTGCGTCTTGGTACCATGCAAGTGATTGTTGTCCTCGCCACAGCCTTTGTTCACCGAATGACCTCGGCACATGAAGCGGTAATCGGACACACTGTACCACCCAAGCCAGGCCAGTAGAAGGCAACATCAGAGATGAGATGCCCACGGCCGAAGGTACAGTGTAGAGTTCGTGTCACATGTTTCATAAAGATACCTCGCCGAGATCACGCATCAGGCAGGCCATTTGGGCACGTTTCGCAGCCTCGGCGAGAAAATCTGGGGGTAGTTGACCCGGATTCATAGGCCGAGAGTGAGCAGGATGCTCTTGGGACATGGAGTTTGAATGGGGATGTAAATGATGCTGTGGATTCATCATTTGATGTTGCTGCTGCGGTTGCTGCTGACGCTGTTGATTGGCATAACCGGCATTCATGTGTTGCGACACGTACGGGCTAGACTGGGAAACAGCGCGACCGAAAAAGGGCTCGATTTCTCCGGCAGACGGCGAGGGTAAAGGCGCGTGGAGATGTGCTTGCTGTTGCTGAGGCATGAGGTGTGGCGGGATATGAAGACGAGGGTTCGACGGCTGAGGAGTCGGTGGCGGAGGAGGAGGATGAAGCAAGTCGCTGACAGGACTGGGATGGGCGCTGCTTGAGGCACTTGAAGATTGTGATGAGCTGCCTGCGGAGGCGGTCGACTGAGCTGCCGTCCTCTGCTGGAATTGTTCTTGCTGAAGATGTGAAATTCGGGCGCTTCTGCGAGGGTGGCTGCTCATTCTGTCACCGCAGCCGAGGTGCAAGAGATAGCAGAGATAGCCGCAGAGCAAGCGGCTCCTCTAGACGGCTGTATACCAAGCGTCGAGACGACCGTGTTGTGGTAAGTTGATCAGGAGGAAGTGATGCCAAACGTGTGAGGCTGAAAGAATGAGTCTGGGCGGCCGTTGCCTGGAGGATCACAGCGCAGGTATGCACGAGACGTGGTATGACAGGGGAAAGATAGACAGACGCCAGGTCTGAGAAAGCCTGAGAGGTGCGACACTGCAGTAAAGAGAGAATGTCACAAGTGACCGCGATTGGACTGCCCGGCGTGTCTTCGGTCGTGTTTCTCCAAACGCCTGCGGGCAAATTGTATTTCCGTCAAGTGTCTGGCCGTGAAAGTAGACGTCTTTTTACTTTCGGAGGACGTGGGCAAGAAAATGAGACTGGCTTATCGGCCGGGAGAATCGTGGGGGAACCTGGCAGACACGGAGCGAGATGTGGAAGCCTGGAGGCGTGCGGGGGGCGGATTCGGTTGGATCGAGCGGACGGGATGAGGTGAGTGACCGGTGGGGTCCCCGTATTCAATCTCTGGGACTTTTGCAACCGATGTATCTAGATAGGAGGCACAGCAGAAGACATGGAGGAGGAACAAGAGAAAGTCCAGAACTTGTAGAGAAGTGTGATTTCGAGAGATGGAACGATGAGGCTGCGACGACGGGAATTTTCGCGGCTTCCGACGAGAATGCGGCAAATACATCACAGATCCCAGATTATTATGGGGGAGGTACCGGGTACCTAGGTACTAGCAGGTAATTTATTAGCCTGGGTGTAACTCTGTAGACAGCCAGATTATGGTAGATTACCATCCCCATATGCTGTCGCTGGCGGGAGGATGCCTGGCTGGCATTAGTGTTGGTATCCACCAAGCACGGGTAAGAGCGGAGGGTTCGTGGCCGACATTGCACCGATTTATTACCCACCAGCAGCAGCCTCAGGCTTCGTCTGCTTGAAACGTTGTACCGTGACACCGTCGTACGCCGGCTGATCCAAGGCGGTCTTTACTTCGTGCCGTACGGTACCTGGTAGGGGCTATAGCCAGGTATCTGATGTTACGGTCCGATATTCGTCAGATTCGGTAGGGTATTTGGGTACGTACTACTATCGCAACCTCGACGTTTGTCCGTGGGTACCGTCCATACTCAGACCACGACTGGTAGAAGTGGTGGAAATATCAGTCACCATACAACTTGATGCAACGATACTACCCAAGGTATCCTGGTAACTGCTAGTTACATGTAATAAGACATGATATGACGCTTCGGCCATGATTGATATCGCGGTGTCGTTGAGCCGCTTCTCCTACGACAATTCCGCTACCTCGGCTTCCTCCCATCCGGCTGTCCAAATTCGGCCATGATCTATACAAATACCTGACGCTATACAAGCTTACTTCAAATTAAATGCTTCCTATATGCGTCATCAATAGTCCCGAGCCAGTGCGCCAGAGAACAGTTCCCGTGGCCCGTGGTAGAGGTCTCTTGGATGGCGCAACAGGTCGGGCAAGTACCGACCACACGTTTTTCGGAGATTCGGCCCGCGTACTTCTAGTATTTGGTTTGTCACGTGAATGATAAATCCGTTACTGAAGCTGGCCAAGAACTTCAAAGTGTGCAAATGTTTGTAAATTTTGCGGTTGGGACGGGGCGATCCTGGAGATTCAATATGCCCAGCTACAAAGTAGTCTAGGCAGTGCTGTACTTCGCTGCTTCGGCACATCAGGCAATTACGAAACATGGACCGCAGCGACGAAGAGGACGACCCAGTGTCGCTTGACCTGTTCCAAGAGCCTGCCGATTTCTATCAGCCGGAAAAGCCAGCTACCTTCACCACCTACACCCTCCAGAATGGGCAGACAATCTCTCTTCGGCTAGTAGGCCATAGTCCTCTATGGGTGTGATATCATTGAATTGCCACAATCCCCGCAAGATGCTAACAACTCCCAAGGGTCACCTCCTGTGGAATGCTGGTCAAGTAATTGCGCAATACTTGGAAGACAATGCGCAACTGTGTTGCGGGAAAACAGTCCTTGAACTTGGTGCTGGGGCTGGTCTGCCCAGCCTCACGGCAGCCATTCTCGGAGCCGAGAAAGTCGTGGTGACGGATTATCCAGATCCGGATCTGATAATGAATCTGCGCTATAACATTGAGCACTGCTCGGCGCTTGCAGATAAGTCAAACATTGTTGCAGATGGCTTTCTCTGGGGTAGCCCTGCAGAGCCACTCAAAGCCCATATTGGAAACGGAGGCGATGCTGGTTTCGACCTCTTGATCCTGGCCGACATTCTGTTCAACCATTCCGAGCATGCCAAGCTGCTCGCCACCCTCCGTGATTGCTTGAAGAAATCGGCCGAGTCTGTTGCGCTCGTATTTTTCACGCCCTATCGCCCTTGGCTCCTTGAGAAAGACCTGCACTTCTTTGATATTGCTCGCGCCGATGGGTTCGTGGTGAATAAAATTCTGGAGCGCACCATGGATAAAGTCATGTTTGAGAATGACCCCGGTGATGAGAAACTCCGCAAGACCGTCTTCGGTTACGAGGTGAAATGGCAGACAGATGCCAGTGAGGCGCCGTAATGAGAAGTGAGCATCATGCCGATTACTCTTTCCCGGCGGTGGTGCCCAGCGTGCGCCTGCCGCATTATCAAGCACGGATGCCTGGGGAGGAAGGAGCTGTCTTGTCCTCCAACCTGCCAGTGAAGCAGGAGCCACCTTCGTCTGTGGGTTGTTCGCTCCTGGACTTCTCGTTGCACCCCAGCATTCAGTGTCAAGTCCGAGTCCTCCTGCATGCAGTGCTTCGACCAGCTGCGACGTGGTTCAATTTTCCGCTTCTGATGATGAGAATTGGCGCAGGATATGCAAGCGCTGCATTGCTCCTGCCTTTATACTTCATATTGTCTGTCTCACATAGGCTTCACCAAACAGTGGTCGGTCACAGCCTTGGACAACTCCAGTATCACTCCGCCCCGGACCACCATGTCTTTCAAGCGGACGATGAAAGCCTTCTGCGCTCGGGTCGTCCAAAGATTGAAAGATCAAACGCCAGTGCAACGCGAATGTTATACACAGACAGTTGCAGGTGAGCTTGCCAGTGTTTTGCCTAGCACGCGCCGACGAAACACTTCTCGACGAGTTGTCCTCTATGAACCCGAAGGATGCCCTGCGTTTCCAAACGTTTCCTGTGCTCGAACCAAAGGTCTGATCTGATCAAGTGCAGAGACAAAGGCGGCCGGGACACCCCCAGGCCCACCCTCCGGCCACAAGCCTCATAACCCGCCCCCTCCGGGCCCAGGAAAAAATGTCTGCGGGTCATCGAACCGCAAATCAGGAGACGTCAGAAGAGATGGAGGCAAATGGGTTGTGCAGGGAGTTGGCTCCTTTGACAATCATGCAACGTACACGTTTGACCAAGACAATTTCCCCGCCGGGCTCTTGAGAAGCAACTATACCTGCAGGCAGCAGGAGCTGATGGGACCAGACCAGATTCCATATAACATTCGATATGATCAGGACAATGTCCAGGTCTCGAAAGGAGTGCTTACTCTGACCGTTCCTGGGCGGCAAGATCCCGACAAAGATCCTGACCAAGCAGTGAGTTGCGCAGAGGTGACTACGGCTGAACAAAACATCCTCTATGCCAGTGTACGGACCAATGCCATCTTCAGCCAAGTGCCAGGTACCTGTCACGGTATGACCTCAATATGGACCTCTTGCATGAGATTCGGGATATTAAGTAGACAGGTCTCTTTTTCTACAAGTCCGACTGTCAAGAAATCGATATCGAGTACCTGACCGATTCGAGCTCTCTCTCGATAGTTGGGCCACGTCAAGCAAATCCAATCTGGTACACAAACCAGGCTGTCGACCCTAAGAGCAGGCCCGCCACTCGAGCGACAGGTCCGGCCCCGTCGGATTGTGCCGCTCAGGTACATGAATACCGCATTGACTGGACCTCGCAGTACACTGCTTTCTACATTGATGGCAATTTGCAACAACGCTTCCCTCTTAATGTTCCTAGTCAACCAGGACCTTGGGTGTGGAACAACTGGGCGAATGGCGATAAGGGTGCGTATTTCTCGAATCTTTTCTTTGCTTAGAGCCCGCGCTGAGGCCAACAGCAGGTTGGTCTGTCGGTCCTCCACAAGAAGACAGTGTCCTCCAGATACAAAGCATAGTCATGTACTACAACACAGCTGATGGTGACCGCGGGACACATGATGTCCAAAACTCCAGCCAGGATGGAAAAGTCATTTGCAATAATAAGAGAAGAGGATAAGGGGGGTGCTGTGAGGTGCGCTGAGACCACTGCAGCAACCTAATCGCAGAAGATACAGGCTAAGCTCAGGCACGTACGATGGACCTGTAATCAGTGATTGGTGTCGCTGTCTTTCGTGCTTCGAGGTTTGAGATGCCGTCCACGAGTAGGTCGCCCCCAATGGAAGCATGGACGAAGGGATAGTACTATCAGCCTGGTCTCTCGCGGTCGAGATAGTACATACATAGTACAACTACAACCCCAGACAGGAAGCGGCCCACCCTGTTCGCAAGCTCGACCACATTCAGGAGGATGCCGTCATGCTGTGGACCGGTCAGTCTGTCCGTCAGTCCTTGGGAACGGAAATTGGTGGGATTCGACAAGGCAGTTCTGATTCTCTCCACTAGAGCATGTGGCAAGGGTGGAGATGCTATGCCGAGCTCTCCGGCCAAAATACTGCAAAAGTAGTATGAAGCTGGATCAATTTCCACACCCAGCTTGGGACATTTCGCCGTCTCGATCCTCAGAAATCTTCCCTGACCTGGCTGTCGGTTTACCCGTAGGCTGTTCGTTGAATCATCTGTGACTGTTGAAAGCACCGAATAAGAAGGTAGAGAGCGAGGTCGGTTTTTATACTGCAGGACGCGAATGTTCCGCGTTCTAGTATGACACTCTGGAGTTGCTAGTACTAGCTAGGCACACAGTCTACCTGAAGCTCTGCAAGATTGGCGTCAGCCGTCCGAGTAGAGCTCAGAACGCGGCGTGTTTTGGGAGACCCAACAGATGATGGTGCATAACAAATGATAAGCGCACAATCTCACAGCTCGGAGTCTGTTACCGGGAACGTCAAACCCCCCCAGTTTGGCGCACACACACACACTTCCAACTTGTTAGGCTCTGGGCAAGCTGGATTGGTGGGAAACTTCCAAGGTTCCTATGTCAGAGGGTCCTGTAGACAGACGTCCTCGGGGCGAAGAGAGTAGACGACGACTACTACTAGTTGTGTATCTTCCCAAGAGTCTTCCATTTGCACATTCATTACATGTAGTCAACTTGAAGTTGCTTCCTCTTCTCTCTGGCGTTCAAGTTTCAGATCCCAGTATACGTGAAACAGAAGTGGAAACTTAGAGCGGCCGTCGCTCGGGGAAAAGAGGTGGGTTTCTGCACGGCCGCGTGAAGATCTTGAGAGGGCGGTAAGGGACAGACGCAGTTGGCAAAGAGGAGACGCCAGAGCGATAAGAGGCTGGAAAGGCAGATTACAATCGTGCCCTACTGGACACGAGCGATTTTTCGCCTCAAGTGGGCACCATGATAGAAGATCGATCGTGTACTGATAGAAATGCACGCACTGCAAATGATTGCGATGGGGGGGGGGGTTGCAGTGGTGACAGGGAACGCACGGCAAAGACGGTTCCTGGCAGATACTATGCAGATTGGCAGCAGAGCAGTGGCAGGGGTCTCCGATTCGTTTCTCCAGCAAGAACTGCAGTGCAGCGTGCGAGTCGGACGGAGGAAGGCGGTGGACACCGGCACATTTTATTTTATTTCTTGTTATTATTGCAGTGTCCGATCTGTGCATCCTGGACCCATGCAGTGCCAGTAGTAGTAGTACATAGTGGTGTGTAGCGCAGTGCTACCGTCCAACGTACCACAACTGCATCCCACTCACTCCACGTCGTGTCGCTTCTGCCGCGCTTCCAGTTCATCCCCCAAACTCCGACTCACAGCTCACCAAAACTAAATTTCGTCCGCCGTTTGATTCCGTTCTTTTGGTAGACTGACCTTTCGCTTCAGCATGGCCGCGTTGGCCTCTTCGTTCTGCGCTTTCTCCCGTTCTCTCTTTCGCCCTTCAAGTCTGGCGCAGACGCCGAGTCCGTCCTTCCAATCCTTCCCACTACTCCGCGTCTACCGTAGTCTTTGCTCGGCTCTGACGGCGCCACTCCGTCGTTGTCCACATACACCCGGTCTCAGCGTCGTTGGCTGGGCCAGTCATTCCTTTGAAGCATCATATTCATTATTATTATTATCTAGCCAGTCCTTGGCCGACTTCCTATGTGGTGGACCCCTCTACCCACCGGTTAATAGCTGTATCTTTCGGGCCCTAGTCCCTCTCGATCCTCCTCCTCCATAGCATTCCTTCCTCTGCACCACAGGCGACTTCACATATCCTCGTTTGCGACCGTGGTGGCCATTCTGTGAGCTTGTCCTCTCATATACTTTCAAGTCCAGCAATCGCGAAACCTCGATCCGTTCCTACCTCGACTCGGCGCCTTGACTGGCCGCTCAAACCGCAGACGTGATTGGGGCCGGTTGCGAATGGGTGCTCGGCCGGTCAACACCGTGCGAAAGACACGCTCTGGCTCTTCATAGCGTCCCAGCTATACACTATACACCATTGAAGATGGCACAATAGTCCACAGACGCTCGAAGTCTCCCTTCTATTACCTCAAGCTCGACTCCTACTTGAACCGCCCTAGCCACATACTCCAGCTCTTACGGGACTAGCCAATCAAATATGTGCAAGGCTCATGTTCTACGGTTCTGCTGTGGACACGGCGTGCTCATGGGGCTCGATGTTTGCAAAGTGGCTCCGTGTCCGTTGGTCAAGACCACTGGAGTAAAGTTGCCACAACAACCGTACAAATGCTACAATTGCCAGAACCGGCTGCCCAGCTCGTCAATGAGGCGGCCGTTGGCTTCCAGGGGTGCGTCCTGCTCATCTAGTGGAAGCTTGGATTCCAATTCTTCCGCCACGTCGGCCATTACACCGCCTTCGCCTATCTCGAGAAGGGACAAGATGGCCATGGCACCTCTTCCGGGTGTTGCTCGCCAGCCCCCTGAATGCGGGGCTTTTGGTCGCAAATTCAATCGATCACAGTCCGTGTCGTCGAAAGGATTTTCCTTCTCCTGTTCCTCATCCACTCATTATCCGGCGCCCCACTACATGAACTTGCCGGCTTTCCTGCCTCACCAGGATCACCCGTGTCCCCCATGCCAACTGGAAGAACTCCGGATCAAATCCGACAAGGAGGCTATCTCGTCCGCTGTTGCCGAGTATCCCCACTTGAGAAAAGAGATGCTGGTCAAAGACGGGAGGACATGGGAAGACTGTCAAAGCATGCCTACGCTGGAGGAGTACGTCGAGGAGAAACGATCAGACGAAAGACAAATGTGGCTCCATGTGACGAGGAAATGGACCCAAGACCTGAAAAAGGCACGCGTTCTTGTTGCTGAGGAAGACGGGCTTGGACTTTTGGGGTGAAATGACACCACTGACCGAGCGTTGGGAGTCAACTTGGCGGTAGGAGTCGTCAAATTATGAGACATGAGGCGTTTATGGCGGGAAAACGGGTGGCTAACCGTCAGTTCAAGCGATACCCTTGACGATCGGGACGGTGAATCCTGATAGTCGTGTGCATATTATATACTACAATATTACCAACATCAAAGTAATGATTCTTTCTGCTCTTAAGCCCAAGCGATATCTCAGCCGCGATAGTAGATGGGCGTAGATGACAGTGCTGGAGACTTGATGCTGGCAGTGTTGATGGTGGATTGGCCGTACAAGCTAATTCTACCATGGGTTGCTGTATCTCATCAGGTACCTACCTGGTACTCTCTGCCTCCGGTATTACAGTACGAGAAGTACCTTTAATGCCACAATCTGCCAGGGAACTAATACCTCGCAAGATGACGACGCCAAGGAGCCGTTTCTGCCAAGATCCGGGGTTACCCGCCACTGAGGCTGGCAGGTGCAGTGGTCCCGTGCGCTGTGCAATGCGTGCCAGTTGCACTGCAGTGGCTGGGTGGCATTGTAGCCGGAGTCGATGTTTCTCCGACCCGGAGTTCATCTTCAAGTGGACACTCACGACCGGACCATAACGCTTGCGCAAGGCATCACTCTTCCACTCAATCAACCCATCTTTCACTCCCTGGAGCTCTTCAACAGACGAAGCTGGTCTTCGGCGCGAAGGTGCTTATTTCATTTTCTGTACAAGAAGACAATCAACCCAGACTTCCACGATGCTACTCAAACCGTTGTCGCTATTGTCGCTCCCCGCCGCGGCCCTCTCTCTCGTCATACTTCCCGAAGCCGCGGTCTTCTCTAAGCCACACGAACTTCACGATTCCTCCGATTCGTATCAATCTCCATGTGATATCCTCAAGGCGTTGCCACAGAGGCCAATCCGTCATGTCGACGCCGACACCACAAGGCCGTTGCCACAGCTCGACGATTTGGGGGAGGCAGCACCGGAATTGAGGGTTTCTGGAAGACATTTCAGAGTTTCTTCAGTTGAGGATCAAATGGTCAAAATAACCAGACTTTCTCCGGGGTCAGATTCCCATCAACGAGAACAAGAGACTTCTGACGAACAGCCTCTTCCTGTTGTTATCTGGCATGGCCTAGGTGATTCGGCCGATAGAGCAGGATTAAAAGAAGTGGCCGAGTTGGTCAACGACGTCCATCCCGGCACATACACATATATCATATCGGTGGCCGAGTCACCAGGCTCCGCGGACCGACAAGCCTCGTTCTTTGGCAATGTCACTTCGCAAATCGAAACCGTCTGTCACTTGCTGGCCAAGGACAACATCCTCCGCACGGCCCCGGCCATCGATGCCATCGGGTTTAGTCAAGGTGGACAGTTTCTCCGAGGATACGTGCAAAGATGCGGCAATTGGGCTCCCAAGGTGCGGTCTTTGATCACTTTTGGCAGCCAACATAACGGCATTGCCGAGTTTCAGAAATGCAACGGTGCCACGGACTGGATTTGTCAAGGCGCCAATGCACTGTTGAAGAGCAACACGGTTTGGTCCGATTTTATCCAGTCCAGACTCGTGCCGGCCCAGTACTATCGCGATCTGAACGATTATGAGAATTACCTCAAGCACTCGAATTTCCTGGCAGACATCAACAACGAACGAGAACTCAAGAACGTCACGTACGCCCAAAACTTGGCCGAACTGGAGAAATTTGTCATGATTGTGTTCCGCGACGACCAGACTGTCATTCCAAAGGATAGTGGCTGGTTCGACGAGGTCAATATGACTTCCAACTCGGTCACCAAGTTGCGAGATAGGCCCCTGTACAAGGAAGATTGGATAGGATTGAAGAAATTGGATGAGAAGGGTGGTTTGGATTTTGTCGCACTTGATGGTGAACATATGCAGTTGGTCGACAAGGATCTGAAGAGGTTGTTTGATACCTATTTTGGCCCTGCTGGAAAGCGATTTGACGGTACGGAGGAAGGGCGGTGGAAGCTTGAGTTGTAGCCTCAGCGGGCTGGAACTGACATATGTATGTATTGATGTTTGGAGCTGTGGGCGTTTTAACCACTGCCAGTGGTGGGTCTCTCAGAGACCTATACTATATAAATCAGGGGCGCGGTGCCTCGATCGCTTGCAGCGGCTTTTCTTAATCCAAATTAATGATCGTGCTGCAAGATTGGAGTCCCATCTTGTCATCTTGTCTTGATGTCCAATATGCTACTCTGGGTTTCCTGATGGGGTAACTTTGGAACGCTGGATAGATGTTGGATGCTTGTATTACGGCCGAGAAGATTAAAATGCACGCGGCGATTAGGCATATATACCAGGTATCTACCTACTAGGTACCTACCGTTCTCGAAGACTGTCAAAACCCAACGCAATAATAACAAGCATGCATTTATCAACGCGGCATCCTCCCACAGCATCATCTACTTTTCTCTTTGCTTTTTCATTATCTACTTGGCACTCAGAATAACCTTGAGCCGGCTATCCACAGCATAGCAAGAAAATCCGAGTCCTTTGGTCAAACTGGTTACTAAGCGTTACGCCGCCATGTCTAGTATGTCCACGTCCACGGATCCTCCAAGACTACGCCAGAAAACAGGAGGAATGGGAACGGGAACGGGTACGATCCATCCCAGTCCAACTGAGAGTCCAGCAACAAGGTCAAGTACAAGTACAACTTCAAGAATAAGAACATGGACCCGCAACAACTCCGGCGACGGCAACAGCAATGACGGCAACAACTTTTTGATTTCGACCGACCCATCACTCATCCCGATCCCGACCCTGAACGAAGCTTTCGAGTCTGAAGAAATGTACTGGGCCAAACCGCTTCCAGAGGATGTTGTTCGAGAAATGCTGGATCGGTCTGTTTGTTTCGGATTGTATCTGAGACAGTCCCTACCGAATGGAGGGACAGTAGGGAAAAGCCGCGACGATGACGACGAGAGTCTCGACAGAGGCGGCGACAGAAGTGTCCAATCGACTACAGTTCCAATCCCGACTTCATCTTCGTCTTCGAGCGGTGACCAACCGACACCAACAAAAGCCTTGACTGGAGACCAACAATCCAAAGTTTCGACCGACGTCTCGAGTTTGATCGGCTTCGCCCGCGCCATTTCCGACCACGTCACATTCTTCTACCTCACCGACGTGTACATTCACCCCAAATACCAAAAGCGCGGGCTAGGAAAATGGTTGATTTCCTGCGTTCAAGAACTCGTGGAGCAGGATATGCCATTTTTAAGGCGAACAATGTGTATCGTCGGCGCGGGACATGACGAAACAATCGAGTTTTATAGACGGTTGATGAAGATGGAGGTGCTGGGGGGGGATGTAGCTAGCGTTTTGAGTTGGAGGGGGCCTGGGGCGACGTTTTGACTTCTAGATACAGTACCTTAAGTATCCTACCTACTCAGGTATATACCTGGGTACCTGGTAGGTACCTACCTGCTTAGATACTAGAACCTACTTCTCTTCGCTCCGTCGGATGAATAAATGACCAAGGCAGCAGACCAGACCACAGTACTGTATATCAAAGATCGAGTATTGAGTATAGTATAGTTCTTGCCTTGCGGCTTTCTCGACTACCACCTAGGTAGTGTCTAATCCGTTCCGTTCGTCACCTGAATGCTCAACCAAACACGCATCCCCTCCCCCTTACCACCCCCGGGCTTTTATCTCTTCTCCCGTCTCGCCAGCAACCACTTCAACTCCTCAATTTGTTCCGGCACCAACAGCTCTTGCATTGTGTCAAAAGTCAAGAAATCATGGTCCGCATATTCGAATCCGGGCACGACCGTTTCGGTAATCAGTAATCCCCCGGCCGAAGATTCAGCTTCAGCTTCATTCTTTTCTTCGTCACCGGCAGTAGTACCAGCACCCTCGGTACCCCCAGCAGCCGGACTGTTCTGGTCGGGAATCAAAAAACTCGCCTTAAACACACCCCCCTCCACAATCCACTGCAACTTTTCCCCTTTCTCCAAATCGTGGCCTACCACAAACGTCTCGATCGGAACTTTACCCGTCACGCTGTCACGACGGTTAGTGTCAAGCAGGACATACACCCCTCGACCCCGATGGAGAGTGTGTACGGTCCGTCCGCGGTTACGGTGGAAATGGCCCACGGGGCTGCGTGGCGTCAATAGGTAGAAAATCGTGGTGCTGGCGTGTCGCGTTGGTGAGTCGTCGGTGGCGGTTGGGTTGGATAGGGCTGGTAGATGTTGGAATGGATTTGGAACTAAGAGCTTGTCTCGGTCTGTTTCGACGAAGTAGCCGCCTTCGATGTGTTGGGATAAGTTGAGTCGGGAGATTGTTGTTTCGATTTCTTTGGTGTCGGTGGAGGGTGGGTGAGAGAGGAGGTGCCGGGCGTAATTGGAAATGGTGTCTGGGAGAATGGTGAATGAGGTTGAGGATTGTGGTGCTGAAGGTGATTCTTGGGGTTGGTGTTCTTTGGTCATGGTGTTGAGATATTGGTTTGCTTGAGTGATGATTGATAAGTGTCGTGTGTTGGTTTCCTGTCAACGGCCTAAATTGGGCAGTATATAGGTGGGCGGTAAATAGTTGGATGGTGCAGATGTTGATGTTGGTGTTGGTGCTGACGTGAGTTATGCTGTTCACAACGCGTGTCCACATAGAAAGTGTGAGAGGTGGTCGTCCAGTGGGCTTTTCAGGAGATGTATCTTCCGTTGTGTATGAAAGGGGGTGATTATAGCCTTTAGGGTCTGCTGTTGTGCTTTGGCAGATATACTACCCGAAACAGATCAGCATTCAGATGCCGTCTTGTGGATTGAAATGCGTCGATAGAAGCGAGCCGGAGACGGGGTTTAAATGCAGTTGACTCGTCGAACCGTACAACACGCCAGTGTCTTGCGATGAAGGACGGAGCAACAGAACTCTAGGCTCTTAAGACATTCGAGGCTGAGATAGTATAAACACAAACAATGAAGAAGAGTCGACAAACACCTAGGTATCTTCGGAGACGATGTTGGACACAAAAGGCTTCATTATCACCTTAGTCATCACAGGCCGGATCTTCTATTTCTCCGCTCTCCACCACAGCTTGATTCATCTTGTCTATACGTCCTGGCCTGCTTCATCCAATGCCTCGGGGGAGATAGGCAATGCCTGTCGCTTCGTTCAATCTTGATGGTCTTCTGTCTGCGCAAGGGACCCCTCGAATCTCGGGGCCCAGTTCATTCTAGCACCCGCGCAAGCCATAGAGTGGTAAGTACCGTCGCGGGCCTGGCAGCACAGCAGTCTTCTCTTGCACACACGAAGTCTAGCAGCTAAAGTGTAACGCTGCTTACACTCAAAACTCCTTTGGCGCCGACCAGCTCCGCCTTGACATTGTCATTGACTTCCTTGTCCACGCCCAGGATCATCAGGGCTTCAGTTGTTGTTTCTGGTCCACCGACACCACCCGTGCCGTCTTCCTTACCAACGCTACCGAGAGAAGACGGAGCAGCCGCGGAGAAAGTCGCCGGCGCAACACTCATAAAGTTGATGTTGACACCCTCCCGACCCAAGATACTGCCGACGACGCCAATCTTTCCCGGCGAGTCGTAGTTGTGACAAATCAGCAGCTTGCCCTCGGGCACAAACGATGTCGAGAAACGACCCAGTCGTGAGATGAAAGGTGAGTTGTCGCTGCAGTATCCAGAAATAATGTGCTGCATGCTGCCCTCCCGCTGTTGCCCGGTAGTGCTCACCATCACCTCGGAGCCATGCCGGTTTAACGAGGGAGCACGACTAGGTGCCCGAGCCACGAGGGTGACCAAGCTACTGTAGGCTTGGGTGCTTGGATCGCGGGACTTTTGCTCAGTCACAAATATGCCTCTTTCCTTGGCCACCATCTCGGCATTGACAATGTTGACGTTGAAGCCCTCTGCGTCAGAGATGGGCGATGTAAGTCCCTTGATCAAGGCTGCAAAAAGAGGCTTGGTGCTCGACATCTGTGCAATCTCGCCCTCGTAGATGAGATCAAAAGTGTTCATATTGCGCTGCACGGGCTGTTTCGGCGAGGTGAAGTGTTGCGTGTACAACGACCCCATCTTCTCCACCAACCGCACAAACGGTTGCAAGGTCTTATATTCCGCAGGCAGGATGATGGGAGCATTGACAGCGCTGCGTGGGAGATCGCCTGCCAGGATCTGAAGAACTTGTTCGCATACGTCCATGGACACGTTTTCCTGTGCTTCAACCGTGGACGCTCCTAGATGAGGAGTCGCTATACATTTGGGATGTTGCACGAGCTTTGCGGCAGGCGAGTTCGGATCTTTTGTGGGAGGCTCGCTCGTGAATACGTCGATGGCAGCCCCGGCAATTTGTCCGGAATCGAGTGCCGATAGAAGAGCTTCTTCGTCGACGATCCCGCCCCGGGCGACGTTGAGGATTCGAGCCCCACGCTTCATCTGGTTGATCTCAGCGGTAGATAGCATGCCGCGGGTCGACGCGAGCATCGGAGTGTGAATGGTGAGAAAGTCCGCGCGAGGCAGCAATTCAGAAAGTGAGTCAACAAGAGTGACGTTAGCGGCGGCAGCAACGGCTTGCGACGCATATGGATCAGCAGCAACCACGTTCATGCCGAGGCCACGGGTCATGCGGGCGACGATCAAGCCAACTACAAGAGAGCAAAGTAAGTGGCTATATCCGTAGCAAGAAAGGCGGGATATCGAGGTCTGATGAAGACCATGAATAGTAGGCTTGTTCTCGTCGCACAGTGAGCAATAGCAACATACCTTTCCCCAGGCCGACAATGCCCAGGGTTTTGCCTTTGACCTCGACGCCAACCAGGCGACTTCTTTCCCATTTCCCGGATTTCACACTGGCACAGGCATCCGGCACATTTCGCGCCATGCTCATAAGCAAGGCGATTGTGTGCTCAGCGGCAGCTTGAATGTTTCCACTGGGAGAGTTGACGACAAGAATGCCCAGTTTCGTGGCAGCGGCAACATCGACATTGTCAACACCTACGCCAGCCCGAGCCACGACTTTGAGCTTCCGTGCCGCATCCAACAGGGCGCTGGTGACTTTTGTCTCGGACCGCACCAACAGGGCATCGTATTCAGGAATGATGTCGATAAGCTGGTCAGGCGTCAGACCCTGCTTTTCGTCCACGTCGACGGTCTGGCGGAGGAGTGATAACCCGTCAGGGGACAACTTCTCGGGGCACAGAACTCGAGGACGAGAAGCATGCCCGTTTAGCAAATCCATGGTAAGATCAGACACTTCGATTATTTTTCTGCCCAAGCATGTAATAGCAACTCGCAATGACGGGATTGGCACAGCAACTGAGAAGGCCAAGACTAGATGGGAGGGCAATGTAAGCTGGAACTAGAAAGCAAGTCAGGCCAGATAGATGGAGGATGCTCAGAATATAGATTTGAGTTTCCGTTGTTATTGTTTCAAACTATTTTCACTTTTGAACCAATACTTGCAACAAGAGGACCAAGTTGTGCGAGTGAGGTGCCTGAGCGACAAGCTTTTCGTCTGCGATCTGGCGCCAGGCCAGGAGGACACCATTCGTTGGTTGCAGTTTGGTGCGTCACCACCAGCATCCGGTCTGAAAAGGGGAGGCCAGGGTTGGGAGACCTGTCCAAAGGTGTTTTCACGAGGGTGGGGGCTGGGGAGGCCGAAGTCGCTGCCAGGATACTGTAAAAGGCGCAGTTGGAGGGCGAGAAGGAGGAGCCGAAGACGAAGGTCAAGGAGTCGGAGGACGAGGAGGAACACGACGCATGAGGAGACGGGACCCCGCCATTTCTGGGGAACAGGAGCCGCTTAGTCATCTTCCCCAGGTTCAAGTTGTGGGACAAACATGGTAAACAGGACAAACAGGCTGAATCAACCAGGCGCCATCGCAGCCGTCAACATCTCATTCTCCTTTTCCACCTCACACCCTCACACCAGGCTTTTAGTACTCCAATGCCTCTTCAAACAACGACCGGAGCTGTTGTCGCTCCTCATTCAACTCTTCGCTTAAGTTCGGTGCCAGCATGAGCACTCGCTTCTGAGGCAGGGTGCCTTCCACCAAATCATCAATGCTGTCCTTGGTGAATCCCAATGGCTTCAAGCCTCGTGGTTGATCACCCAGGTTGATCAGAAACTTGGCCAGCGCTTCACTGAGAACTTCACCTGCGCTTTCTCGCTTGACGTTGGAAATGTCCACGCCGAAGGCCTCTGCCGCCGCCAGATGGCGCTCGGGGTTGCTGGGGCCTGTAAACTTGAACACAGCCGGGGCAGTGACTGCGACACTGACACCGTGGGGAATAATCGGTGTATCAACCTGATATCCAGCATGTTTGTAACCTGGGTTCTGTCCACTGATCGGATAACTCATGCCGTGGCACAAGTGAACACCTGCGTTTCCGAAACCGACACCAGCCAAAGTGGCGGCCAGAAGCATTTCACTCTGAGCCTCGAAATCCTCGGGATCCTTGGTCGCACGAGGAAGATACTTCACGGTAGACTGTAGGGCTTTGAGGGAGAAGATGTCCGAGATAGGGTTTGCGCCCTGGTAGGCGGGGCGGTTGATCGGGTTGGTCGGTCGTGGAGTTCTCTCGTTATAGGGAATTGCGGTCCAGGACTCGAGCGAATGGCACAAAACATCCAATCCCGACGAGGCGTGGACAGCCGAAGGCATGGTGCGAGTGTTAAGCGGGTCGCATATGCCCAGAGTGGGCTTCAGGTTACGGTGGGCAATGCCAGTCTTCGCGCGCTTCTCGACCAAGTCGAAAATAGCGGTACCTGTAGTCTCGGAGCCGGTTCCTGCTGTGGTTGGCACCGCCACCAGGGGCCTCAGAGGTTTTGTAACCGGCAAGCCTTTGCCGAGGGGAGCGTTGACAAAGTCCAAAAAATCCGCTTCGGGGAAACAGGTGTAGAGGTTCATCAACTTGGCCGTGTCAATCACAGATCCTCCTCCTACAGCCAGAAAGGCATCCGGGTTGTATGGCTTCGCGAATGCAATAGCATCCTTGACTGAACTGTCCTTGGGCTCAACCCGGCACTTGTCGTAGACCGTGAATTCAATGCCCTCCTTCGTCAATCCGTCAATCGCTTGCTTCATCGCATCGAGTTTGGAAACGTTCGAGTCGGTCACGACGCAGACTCTCTTGGCACCCATATTCTTGAAGTCCATGCCCACCTCTTTGGTGCTGCCTGGGCCGAATCGGATGGAACTGGCGGCCATTTCGAAGGCATACTCCTTTTCCCGCGAGTGGTCGATGGGTGTGGCCAGTCGTCGCCGGGCTTCCTTGAACACGGACGAGTGATGATGATGGTTCGGGTTTGAGTGACAGGGGCAGTTGGGCGGGTGGTGGTATTGAATGGCGCGAAGGAGGGAGGTCGAACGCTGAGCAGCGCTCTTCGCGACTCGGACTGCCGGTGCAAAAGACATCTTTGCAAACACGATCAAGCAGTGAATATGAGCGAAGAATCAGAAGGAGGATTCACCAGGCTTGAGAGTCCTCTTGGAAATCTTCCTCAACAGCGATGAGGAGAAAAAGCGAAGTCGACAAGATGTGAATGACCTAGCTATTAGCTGACCATATCAACACACACACCAATTGACGAGTCGAGTCCCACTGCTCGTACAACAAGCATCACGGCGGCGCAAAAACGGGTGGTCGACTGTGCGAGGCGTTCTGAAAGGTGGAGGAAGAGGCACACCAACCGAGGTCGAGTGTGGGGAGAGCTCTGAGGAGCTCCCACCATTGGACTCCGGGGCACCCTGGGCCCTTTTGCTGGGTCGCATCTTGGGACTATGGACGGAGATGCTCGCTGTTCCACCGGAAGGTCGAACTGGGAAATCCACGCGTCGCTGGCGCTCGGGTTCTTCTCCGAGAACGATTGTGCAAAGTTGCGACGACTTCAGAGTGTTTGTTCGGAGTGAAGGCCATTATTATTACTGATACAGCAGACGTCCTCGAAATATCGAATCAGATCTTCACGAGGAAGCGCTTGCTTGCCAATTCTAGCTGCCCATTGGCATAGAGTTGACTCGAAGCTGAATCGACTTCGTGTCTACACAGTACACGCGTGTTGGGTTCCAGACAGATATTTATTTCCTTGATATTGACTGGCCATTCAACCAGCAGACCGCCGCATTGAGACCTTCCTGATTCACACATTCTGTGTCGTTACATGCCTTTCGCCGGCATCAAGGCAGCGCTCGCCTGGGCCTGTCGCCAGATCGTGCACAACGGTCCATCTTTGCCATAGATGGGATCATATGAAGGAATCGGAACAGACCACGCAGTCGCGGTTCTTTCCATTGTCTCCTCGGGGGAGGCTTTACACCAGTTGTTGTCCCAATGAGGACTGCCCTAAACGCCATGGTGTGGTTAGCGATATCTCCTTCACGCTAATGCGGTCACTGTTGTGACTAGCATGCCCATCCCCGGGTCACTGACTTCAGGATATAATCCGACGTATGAATAGTCGTCCTCCGAGTGAAGACAGCAATGGCTCACGCCGGCCTGGTATCATCTCTAGGTCAGTCTCAAGATGACATCGGCATCCCGTGGAAGTGGAATGTCTCCTCGGATAGGAAACGAATAGTGAAGTAGCGGTGGCTCGATTCTTCACATCTGTACTCACTGGCAGGACGATAATATCTCCAGCACGTAATTCCACCTCCTTCCCATGGCCATCATTCGCTTCGTCGAGCGGGCCTCTTCCCAGCAACAGCCGACTGCGTCCTTTGAACACTGCGTAGCATTCATGCGTCACGCTGTGGAAATGGTGGGTTGGGTAGTGCTTGAAAACGCCTCCATACCGCCACTTGTTCTGTTCAATCTGGTTCCGAAGCGAGTCTGCTGAGAGAGCCTGCGCGTCACCATCTTGAGAGGCCGAGGCAGGCTCAAGCACAGCACGATAAATCAGAACCGGCAATGGCGAGTTGGGCACATACGGCGTAGGGCTGAAAAGATATGTCTCCGGCTCTTCCATCATCTGCTGCTGAGGTGACGAGTCGTGGACAGTTGAACTAGGCCGGCATTCCTTGACTTAAATTATCCCTAGCAGTCTACTGTAAACCGAAACCATATGTTTAAACAGCGTTCTTGTTTTTTTAATTGATTTTGAGAGAACTAGCCATTAGCAGTTCTTCGCCCCGATAGAGAGGGAACGCTTCATGTTGCACGGTGCTTGCCCCCCCTCAAACTCTGATGTCACCTACTAGTATACCGAGGTAGAATGTGTACATCACTGTAGTGACCCCTTCCGGCCTAAAGCCCAGTGAAGCCAAAAAAAGAAAAGGAACAAAGAGTAGTGAATGTCACCATAGATTGCGGCAATCACCGAACAACATCCACTGCCCAAAAACAAAAAGTAATCGAACGCGGGAAGATTCGAACTCCCAATCTTTGGTGTATAGCAAGATCCCTTTTTACAAGGGACAGCCGAAAACCAACGCCTTAACCATTAGGCCACGCGTCCAACTCGGTTCAACTTCGCGGCTGTAAGTTGACAAAAATTGAGGCAATTTGAATCATATCCTTCAAATTTGAGGAATAAAAGTGGGGCTGGAGGGGCTGGAAGGGCTTAGTGAAGTGCTATTACTAAAATCTCATAGTGCTTACTGCATGATCCAATGAAACTATCACATAGTGAATATGATGTGGGTCTGCATGTCTTGCCCCTCCACCACTGCATTGAGAGGGCGTGCCACGCCGCTTTATCGTCATGATTTACTCGCAGCTGGTGCTCTTCCTCGATTCGCTTTCAGTTTCGAGCAACGTTGAACTACTGGACGCCAGCCCAGCGACTACCGGATGCCAGTGCTCGAGATGTTTCCACACGTATCTGCACGGAGAGGTATGTACTATAGACAACCAATACAGATACCTAGCTAGAGACGAGGCTATCCCTCCGGTGGCCCGAATCTTCCACGGCGTACAATCTGACATGGAACCGCGTACTCCCCGAACGACGGGTCTGACTCAGCGCTCTGAGGGAGTGTCCACAGTGATCTCAACCCACTTCAGCCAAACATAGCCGAGATCTGGTCGATGACATCTGAAGCCCGAAGCCGGGGACTGTAACGGGCTAAAGACTCGCCTATTGCTGGGTACCTACCCATCGCTCTCCATGTCAACAACACTCGCATTTCATCGTGAAGAAGCTTGAGTTCAACGGCATCATCTCTCTTCAAATTTGCTGCAATGGCGTTTTGATGACAATACTAACTGGTCTTCGGTTTGGCGTTCCCACTCTTGTTCAGCCTTACATCAACCACCATCATGGGCGACGTGGGGTCTGTCAACACATCCACATCTCATGCCATCCCGCCCTTCATTGATAAGGTTATACCCTTTCCCGAGACAGGGACATCCTATGTCCTAGAACGGCCGTTGGCAACCTATAAGCAATGCCAGGATGGGACACCTGCCGAAGCGAGGATGGTATTCACTTGCAGAAGGAAGCCCTTGACGCACGAATCCAACGCCTCTTCTGAGAATGAAACAGACGCGGACGAATTCGTCATCAAGATCAAAGTCCAGTATGTTCTCTCTGATATGTTCCCCATGTCGGATCTTCAACGCGAATGACGCTACCCGAACATGATTCTGGAAAGTTGCCGCGCCTTGATAAGACTCCTAGACGGGAGCTTTTGGCAATGCATGCATAAGACCACTCGTCTCATCTTCGCCAAATCAATCTGTGTTCTCCAAACCAAATGAGTCTTTTGTCCAGCACCTGCTTGAACCATTGCAGAACCCCCAAAACTAACCTGATATCCTCCTTTTTCCCACTTTCCACAGAATCCCTGATCATGGCCATGCCGCCGAAGCTGGACCAAGCACAACGACCGCTGCGGAACTCAAAGCTCTGCGAATCTTCCGCGATGCCAAGTGTCCGTTCGCGCCCACGCTGGCCGACTACAAGCAGACGACCCAAGGTCCCAATGGTCCTTTCCCCGGCGGATACATAACGTACACCGTCATGACCAAAATGCCCGGCGAGTCGCTGCACGATTCACATTTCTGGGGTCAAGCGTTCTCCGATGAGGAAAGAAAGGAAGTTCAGCAGAAGTTTTTGGTCGCTTTACGGTACGTATGAGCGTAGTATCACTACTTATCCTGTTATTCAGCAAAAAGCAGCAGATTAATTGTCCCTCCTTATGTGGTGGTTGTACGGAGCCCGCACGCGCGCCAGATGCGTCTGACTACAGAAGCTCTGCGTATCCGTTCCTCGTCACCCTTCCATAGCCAGTGGTGGAGCCTCTCTGTACTTGCTATACTTTACGTTCATTGTCCCGCCATCTTACCCCATTTCCCAACCCATCCGCTGTCCAGTGTCCACGATATCAACACAGCAAAACATCAACGAACGCCTATGTCTCGCCTCAACTCTGTCATGGATCAATCTGTCGACCACATCATATCAGATTTGCTGATTTCTTGTGTCCGCAGAGCCATATACGACCTCGGCATCGAACCCGTCGACTGCGCATTGCGCAATGTGCTATGGGAACACGAGACGAAAAGATGGTAAGTTACTAGTATCAGTCTTCAGTTCTTTCTGATGTTTTGGCTTGCACCAATACTGTATCTTGCGGCACAGTCTTGGGGTGGCCGGGTGGGAGTACAAGAACCCTCATGCTTCATTTCTTTCTTGCAATCCATTTCTGTCCTGCTGCTGACTCTGTGTCTACAGTACAATCATAGATTTCGAGCTCTGGAGAGAACCATCTGGCCCTATTGCCGACGAGACGCGAGAGTTGCAGAGATGGGGGATTGCTCGACAACCTGCTGCCAAGACGTGGTTCGAAGCCTGGAACAGTCAGTGGAGATAGACGGATGGATAGATAGATAAGATACGGTACAGCCTCAGGTACATACCTACCTGAAGCATGGAATTGGGACTGTGATAGAGCCGTGGTTCAAGATTATATCATGCCGTGGGGATAGAGAACGGTTCAGTCAAGACACATTACATCAAGCCTGTGCAATCGTCCTTGGGTCAATACAACTCCTCATGGATAGAAAGCTGGGTGTCATCAAGGCGAGCAAACCAGGTTTGCTCTGGGGTGGTTCTACCGCAAGGTATAGGGTAAGATAAGACCCATCTATTGATTATTACAACATGACCATCCCTGTTCCTACTGCATATTACTCTGTACCTAGCCATTGCAACTTCATGGCCTGCGTGCGGCTTAAACCGGACAGACAAAGAGACAGCCACTAGGGTCGCGGCACAACGTAGCTCGATAGTTTGCTTGCTTGCGACGTGATCGATGAGCAATTGGTAGTATCGTATTTTTGTCAATTAAAGTCGATCAGAAAACAACGTCTATGTTCTAGCCTCCATGGGTACACAAAGTCGTAAAATAAGCCACACACTGGGAAACTGGTCAGAAGTGTGGGGGTCCTCCACACGACACAGCAACAATAATAACATTAGCGACGTAAGTAAGTGGAGTTCAGTTCCCGGCATGTATGCATTTCCAGTGGATAAAATAGCAATAGCAACCGACGCAGCGCATCACAACAGCATTAGCCAACACTTAAGCAGAGTCCCTGGTCCCTGGTCCCGGGTTCCGGCATGCATTGCATTTCATTTCCTGCGGATTGGATAGATACTGTAGATAACAGGTATGTAGTGGTGGCCGACATCCAGGTTGATGATGAGAACATCAAAAAGAAAAACATGCACCCTTGCCCGGAGGGTGATGCGTGAGTTTCCTGCTCCAGAATACGGCGTGGCGCCGTAGGTACTAGGTATGTATGCGTGACTGGTATCAGCTGCAGTGGCCTGATTGAGGAGCTCCTTCCGGTATGGTAATGGCATGCTAGGTTTGTCTGTGTTTGTGTCTGTTGCATCTATTCTCTTCTTTTCTGGGACATGGTCACCTGGATGGCATGGACTGGACTTCTGGTTCAGAAGAGTGGACTGGTTCCCACTCACTCTCTTCTCCGGTCTGATTTCTTTCTTGGGCAGTATGGCAACGCCATGGCATGCTTGAGGGGAAGTTGGCACCTCTGGCAGCTGCAGTTGATGAAAAGGGAAAACAAAAGGAGGACTCCGGGCTTGCAAGCTTCAACAGCCGTGTGTACATATGGATCGGGTAGATGTCGTTCATGCATTATTATTGTCCAGGCGCAGGCGCACAAGCATATGGCCGTACAGGAGGGGGCAGAGCCTGGGATTGATTGCCACTGCGTCCACCTGGGCTGGAATAAATCTGTCCTTGGGATTATATATTCCATTTCCTGGGACACATTCTGTGCTAGATGATCCATCCAGTGTGTGGCTTGACATGACATGACATTGCTAGTCAGTTCACTGGTACATGCTTGGAGCATTATACCGAGACTGGCTGACAGTGCGACCATAGTACCTTGGAGAAACGGTGGCAGCGGCCATGGCCTGGGCACGCGCGTGGGCTGATGAGCTGGTCCTCTTCATGGCTGTTGATGTAGGAGCAGTGGCATCCTGGACTGGGACTTTTCGTCTCTTGGCCTGGTCGTGAGAGGTTGTTGCAGCCGTACGATCCATGGGCGAGTCTTCCTCGACATATTCATGAACACGCTTCATGTGGTCGCGCTGATTCCATCGGCGAGGAAATCCATTCCCCTCGCGAGCACGGTCGCAATCCGGGAACTTGCACAGGAACGGATTCAGTCCGTGGTTGTGGAGTCCGTGGGCCTCTCTTTCATGGCGGAAAAGACATGCGTTGGATGAAAACCTGGCATCTTCGCATTCCGGTCGGTCCGCAAATCGGCATTTGTAGGGCTTCAGATGAGAGTCCAGGTATTTGCTGCAGCAACAAAGCATAAAGGGTTAGAGCGGGGGTCATCCGAACAGGTACACATTTTCCACCTACTTGTAGATGCACCTCTGTTTGGTGGGCTTGTGCTTGTGGGCGCATTTGGCCTCCTTGACCAAGGGGCATCGGTACCATCCATCCCTGTCCGGCTTGGCATCATAGAGCGGATTGCTTCTGGCCTTGAGTTTGTCGACTTGCTCGTCCCTGGAGACTTCAAGTTCGGCTTCAGACATCCTGGTGCAGTAGTCTCCAGTTGTTGAGTCACTTCGTTCCGAAGCGGACCGCAATGGCCGGGGTTGCGGAAGGCTCCGGCGGGTACTGCTGCTGCTGCTGCTTAATTCTGGTTAGCTGTGGGGTGTGACGAATACAGAGCGACAACAAATCTGACCTCGATGATGACTTCCGTGTGGCAATCGTCTCGTTGTGGGCGGAAAGAGTCCGGTTATGCTGGCAAAGATCCGACTGGTAGTCCTGGGCAGTCAAGAAATGCTGTGGCAAGATTTCCTGGACATAATCCTCTGGCGGGGGTGTCAAGATCCGGTTCTGCCAAGAAAGATCCGAGGAATAGAAGTTGTTCATCACTCCTGGCATGTACAGACTGGAAGAATCCACGGAATCCATGGATATGTAGCTGGGCTCCATGAGGTCTTGTGTCTGGCCTTGTCCTTGGTAGTTTGTTTGGGCGAGTTTCAAGTCGGCGGCACTGGTTCCAGACACAACATCATCTGTCAGGAATTCATATGCCGGGTCGGAGTCAAATCCGGACATGCTGGACATCATCGGCATATTGTAAGGACTTTCGGAGATGCTCAACGAGGGATAAGCCATGGCGGAAGAGGTCACGACGACATAATCGTCACTATCTGAGTATGACCCGGTTGACAGAGGACCTGTTCCGGAGCTGGAGTGGCGGCCTGGTGCCCACGAAGATGAGGCATAAGCAAAGTGAGAGCTAGTAAGCCCTTCATTCATTCCATGAGGCCTGAAATCCATGGGTTCTGTATATGTCACCGGCATAGTCCTGGATACCCGGGTCTGAAATCCTGGAGTTTGAGTGGCCACTTTTGGCTGGGAATGTCTTGGTTTCGGAGGCATTGTTTGCAAGCCAGTTCCAGAAGAGCAATTTCTATCAAGATAATAAACGTTAGTACTTGGACACGCGGCATCTGCAATATGAAAGCCTGGAGGATGACGATGCCCTAGAGAAAGCCACATGTTGACCAGGTAGGAACGACCAAAGTGTGCCTGGAAAGCGGTTGTATCAAGCGTCTTTCCAGTAACAGAGGATTAACAGGGTGTAAGTTGTTTGCAAGCGCGCTGATTGAGGAGCTGGAGGTCCATTGTTGTAGCTTGTTGAGAACACGGATAGGGCTGCCTAGGTCAGATAGTCGATGATGGCCAGTCCATGTTGCCGAGGGTAGGCAAGAGAGAAAAACAAGACCAGTCTGATAGCAAAGGCCACGGGAGCAACAGATTTTTCCAGTCGGGACATCATCAGGCAACATGCGGTTGAAACGCAGCAATGGCAACAGTTAGTAGCGTGACAGCAGGGGGCATCATGTCGCGTAAGTCCTTCGAACGGTGTTGTCACAGAGAGTAACATGTATATAAGCTCCATGCGCCACCGGTAGTTAACAGGCCCGATAAAGTCCGGAAGGTATCAACAGAAAGAAAGACATGACAGTTAACTGTGATGGCAAGGTCGGCCATCATGGTTGGTCCAGAATTTCCACGGTCCTGGCAGTGCATATCCTGGGAATAAAGCAAGAAAGGTCCACGGAAGAGTAGGTGGCCATGACGAGTAATCAGTCCCTGGAAGTAATTTTGTCCGGATTCTCTGGCATAGTCCATGGATGTCCATTGGAAAGTTCCTTGTGGCATCGAGCTTCATTTCATTTCAATCCCCGACGAGGACGGCACGAAGCCGTCAACTCATCTGAGCACCGATCAAACCAACAGGTTGACACAGCGCGAGGGACGGTGTATCAGGGTAGCTAGCCCCGGTTGGACGGCCATATGCGTAAGCGGCAGTTGCCAACTTTCGCAGCAGGCGTCGACGGCAGTGAAGAGGCAAAAAAGAAAAACAGTGCAGTACCTGAAAATGTGCTATTTCCAGTCAGAGTGGTTGAATAAAGTGTTGAGAAGTCGTTGACAATTGAGTTTCAAGTTCCTGGGTAAAATCCACGGAGCTGGTACAACGACAAAGAAAAATGCAAAGCGAAGCACGGCGATCCTGGGACTTGTCCGGCTTGATTTGGTAATTGATCCCTGGGTAGAGTATTGGGTCCTTAAGGTGTGTCCAAGTGGGAAACAGTTGATGAAGGCGTGCTTTGAAAGTTGTTGGTAAAGGGAACTGCCCGGCTAGTTGCTGTGTCTTACAGACGAGAGCGGGAGAGTATGGTGAAAGATGAAGGAGGGAGAGGGTGGGAGGAGGGTTGAAGTCTTCCTTTTAAACTGCAGCAGAGGAGCGGCATGAGGACGATGAGGTGGACAAAGAGCGGTGGAGGGGGGCCCCAGACTGGGACAACTTGAACGGCACGACTTCGCCAGCGGTCGCCTGAGAGTGGTCGCCTCTGCGGACTGCAAACTACAGCCATGTCCAGTCACCACTAAAACTGTAGCGGACTGTACGCGAAGCAGGCTGCATAGTCTCTTTTCTTGGTTGCACAAAAAGATGCAAATTCCATCACAAGCAAACCGGGAGACGAGTGGTCAGTACGGCAGACTGCCCCGTTTTCGCACAGCAGAGAAAGGAGGCTTGATGCAGTACCAACCGTTGGATAAGAGATGGGGCGCCCCGTCAGTCGGCCGTCTGGTTCGACACGGCCCGCCACGGGCGGCGCCAGCTCAATCTAGCTCTGCTAGCTCGTGAGCCTTCCGACCGGGGGTGATAGCGAGTGGGAATGATCATCACATGTCTCCACCACATCCTGATGCGGTCTGTCGGCGTCGCAGTCACGATGCTTCGATTTAGCTGGAGGACAATTGATAACCCGTGATCAGCAGGGGAATCTCCATTGGTGGTAACGGTGACATAGTCTCCCGCGCTGGTTGCTTCGCCTACAATCCCGACCAGTCGCAGCTTGGTGATGGAGGTGATAGAAATGCTGGTGCATGCATGGTGCAGAAATAGAGTACTGACGTGGCAGTTTTTCATGCGGGCAAAGGTCGCCTTCTTGCTAGCATGATCCTGTTCGGGTCCAAGTTTCGCGAGTTGAGTCGACTGTTTGTCGACTGTTTGCCTTATCCAAGAGAAACTGACATGGCACGCGAGAGCTGTTGTCCAACTTCTCATGCAGCCACGCACAGCTCACATGTGCCTCGTGGTTCGTAAGAGCACCAACTGCAGTACTCGCTTGTTCTTCTCTCTACGCCCCAAAACTGTACTTTGCCAGGTGACTGCTAGGTTTTGGCGATGGAAGAGCAAAGCTACCCTGGCTCCTGCGGCTGACATTGTCCCCTCACTTCCAAGTTTTCCCAGTTGGAATTGCAATGCTCTCGTCCACTTGCAGATGAGGCATGTTTGACTGGACGATACTTGTGTTACTGTGTAACCTGTGAAGCCGAGGTTGGTTACACAATCCAACCGGTGTGTCAAGTCCAGCTGTCATGGCAATCAGATCCCGTCATTCGAAGCCGGGAAGAACAACGGTTGGGTTCTCTCATGGATCCAGTACCCGTACCTTCGGGCCTTGTGGTGTACGGTATAGTCCTCGGCCATTTCTAAGCAGATAAGATGCAGGTGGATTGGTTGAAAGTTTCGTGCGTCTGACATAAAGGAGGGAACGTCTTGAGCCTGGCCCAACACCGCTATTCAACAGCCACCAGAGGTTGGTCGAGATCGAAGCGCATCCTCAGCCTGATTCAATGACCGGTGTCCTCTAGCGCAGCGCAAAGGATGTTTACATATGTATAGATTCGGTCTAATGATTGCCGAAGCGCTGCAATGTTAGTTGGCAAGATCCACGCACTCTTTGGCTACAGTCGATCCGAACGAATCTGACGTAGTTCAACGGCTGTAACCTCTTACGCGAATCTGCAAAGGTCGTACCCAGCCATGCTTGAACTTTGAGATACCGAGCACCATGGCGACTTAGCTGTTAAATGCATTAGCGAAGCCCTTGCAAAGCAAAAATACACAGATAGGGAATCGTGGTGAAGAAGGTTCAGAATTTGATGATGGTAATTTTTCGTTCAATGACACGAATGCCTCAGTTGAACTATGCTTTGGGTTATGGGTTCATCATAAAGGTCTAAATGATCGAACAACAAGCAAGAGCCCACGTACCTTACGTTGATATGCTGGATGCGGGCTGGGCGTGATATGGTGACGCGCTATATCTGTACCTCAGCTACAGGCACGGCGCCCAGCTCGCCATGGACTGCATATTCGAGCTCGTCCATTGTCTCTCGTGACGCAGAATCACTTTTGTCGACAATAAGCTGGGGCTTCTCAATTCCCAACACAGCAAGTGGCGCATGATTCCATCTTCGCTCTCGTCCAGAGACAACGACGTGATATGGCCGTAGCAGATGAGGAAATTGAATTGCAGTGTTCACGGTTGAAGCAAAAATCAGCGCCAAGCCCTGCACGTGATTGTAAGGCCTTGTCACGTGTCGGACAAGGCTGTGGCCCCAAGGGGTCTGCTCGGGGGACGGTTGGTTTAAAACTCCAGCTACGGCTCGCCTACGTGCCGGGTAACTCATTATGCGGTACCACGTCAGAGATGTATAAGCAAGAGTGCGTGTTTCTTTTCCCGGTAAGAATCCGACAATGGTTTGTGGCTTCGATGGGCTTGCATTATCCCCCGCCAGCCGTCGATCGAACACACCACTCTATCTCAAACACCATGGAACAACACAGTCGCAAATAACGTCAATGTCAGATCTCATGTCATAAGGGCTCCAGATCATTTCGCGGATACTTCTCACTGCTGTCCTCCTCGTATTGTCACACTAGCGGCAATTTGGGGTTTGCGTTCGTCAGCCCCACCTACCATTTACCCCACGATGGAGGACAGTACCGAGATACCACAGGTACCGAGCGACTTACCCCAGCACATGCCGAACTTCGGCATGGGAGTGCAAGAGTGGCAAGTCCTCATAAACGAGGACACGGGGCTGCTTACTCGTCTGTCGACTGCTCCAGATCAAGCGGCACTTGAAGTTCTTGGGTAAGCAATTCCTCGTATCGTAGCGAGGATGGCGACCGCGTTCGAAGAAGCGATTACGAAGGCTGTTGCGGAAGAGGTCGTTCCTGGGGCAGCCGTGATTGCGGTCGACAAAAATGGTATGTCGAGGAGGTGTCCTTGCTGAGTTACGGCGAGACATGTTTATGATGGGATTTGTAACAGTTGACAAGGTGTCCAGGAGCCACCAAATATGCAAAGGCGTTCGGCAACACGAACGTAGGACCAACTGGTAAGCCATGGCAGTTGGATACTACAATGTGGTTAGCCTCATGCACCAAAGTAAGTACATCCACGAGCTGCTTTGTCGGACAACGCATTCGAGCGTCACTTGGGAGCGGCCGTCATTACGGTTGGGTTGGGGTAAATGATGAGCACACAATTGATGCTGCTCCGCCGCAGAAGAAGATATCATATATCTGACCACATTTATACCAGATTAGCACGGCTGTCGCGGTGATGCAGTGTGTTGAAAAGGGACTGTTGTCCCTGGACAACCCCATCAGCAACATCCTGCCAGAATGGAAGGAGGCCGAGATCCTGACAGGATTCGATGAGAACGACAAACCAATCTTGAAAAAGGCCACCAAGTCGCTCACCTTGCGACACCTTCTGACGCACTCCAGCGGATTAGGGTACGTGAGGATGAACCCATTGTTGGAGAAATATGCAAAAGCACTGGGGAAGCCGCTCGACCACCCACAAACGACCATCAGGGACGACTTTAAGCTTCCATTGCTGTTCGAGCCCGGCGAAGGCTGGGAGTATGGATGTTCGATCGACTGGGCTGGCAAGATGGTCGAGGAGGTCAATGGTGGCATCCGACTCGGAGAGTACATGGAGAAGAATATCTTCGAGCCGCTGGGCATGACCTTGACCTCTTTCCGTCCCAGTGAGCACCCTGCTGTCAAGGATCGCCTGGCTGGACGACCGTTTCGCACGCCAGAAGGAAAGGTCATTCCTGAAGCTCCAAATGTCGGCATGTATCCTGTCCAAGAGCCCCAGGATGACTATGGAGGTGCAGGCCTACACAGCTGCGCGCAGGATTATATCAAGCTGATTGCCTCTCTGCTGGCAAATGATGGGAAGCTGTTGAAATCCGAGTCCGTTGACGAGCTCTTCCGTCCCCAGTTGAAGGATACCAAGTATATCCAAGCCGTCATGGATAATCCTGAAGCCGCGGCGTTCCTGGCCCCGAGCTTCGGTACCGGCGTCAAGTGGAACTATGCATTGGGCGGTGCGGTGGCGGTGGACGGAGTAGAAGGAAGGATAGATGCCGGCACGATGCACTGGGCCGGCCTTCCGAACTCGTTCTGGGTAAGTCTAGAATCTTGACAGTTTTCGAGGTTCTTCTGGTGTGTATGTCAGCTAACCGATGGTGTCACAGTGGATTGACCGCCATAGAGGTATCGGTGGGGTGTACGCCAACCACTTCTTCCCTCCGGCAGATCCACCCACGCAGAAGTTGTTCGCACTGTTCCAGAGAGATATGTACACTCTGGCCGGCTAATCTGTTATTGGCCGGGAAGGAACGTCAGCCTTCAGCAAGAGTGAGCAAGTTGTACCTAGATGGGAGAAAAGGGTATTTGAGACATTACATATACTGGCTATTATACCACCACAGGTTCTTCCCGTGTGGGCCCCCAATCTGACCAACTGCGCACACCTCAGAATCTCGATTCCGTTTTTCCGACTACTTGTAGACGGTCACCCCGCCCGGTTGGACCGTGACTTGTGCTACTGACCTTCCATTTCTGCCCTGGACCTCAACCTCTCCGGGTACCGTCTGCGACGGCGAGGGATATAGTAAAGTAAGAGTACTCCCGGGAGGATGTATCTCACTGTCCACCGTCACCCAGGCGGACAACGTGCTGGTTGGATCTGTCGAGATGGCGCACACCACCTCCTCACTAGCAAAAAGTCTTGACCATGCAATGATCGAGCGCATTGGAGGAGGACTGATGAATCCCGGCAAACCAAAATGAGTTCCATCGCCGGATATCTCGCGCAGATATTGTCTCCCTCTGCGCAAGGCCATCTCATCTCTCCGCACCTTTGCCAGTCCAGCGAGGGTCTTCCAGGCCGAAGCATCTTCATCGAAGAAATGTCGATGTCTGCTACGAAAGGCACCAAATTCTCCACCAAACATGGCTTCACGAATGTATTGGTCGCTTCCGCCCTGGCCGTCGAAGCCTTGCTCCGTACCATAATAAACACAGGGGATGCCCAGGGTGAAGAGGTTGAGGGCGAGGGCCGCGCTGAGGAGCGGGCCACCGTTGCCTTCAGAGCAGAAGCGACCCTTATAACCATTCCGCCAGACTTGATCGTGGTCATCAATCATGGTCACAACTTTGTCGCGAAACCAGCTGTGGCTTCCCTTGCTGAGATAGAGAGCATTGCGGAATAAATCGAAATATTCGCTAGGGGTTGTCTCACCCTTGGGGACTCTCCAAAGCTTTTCTTGTACATTTCCAATGCCCAATGCGGCGTCTAACCCAGTAGCTTCCACAGTCTCAAATGCTCTCGAGCCCGTTATCTCACCAATCAGAAGGAATTTCTCCTTGCCCAGGCTCTGTGCATACTCGTGGATGACACTTGCGAGATACCTTGTCGGACCGTCACCCATGTGCTTCACTGTGTCAATCCGGTAGCCGTCGATATCACTGTAAGCAATCCAGTACTGGTAGCAGCGGCACAGGGCTTGCAGGGCGGGAGTTGCTGTGAAGTTGTCTGGGCTTGGGTCTCCCAGAGCGATGTCCTTGAAGTCATCGAAGTCGCCATCAAGGTACTCAGGAAAGCGATCCCACCCGTCGTCATTGATCCGACCTTTCCGAGTGAAGCAGTCAGGATTTTGCAGCTCTGAGGGCCATATTGCGGCATCCGGGAACGCAGTGGGATAATTTTCCTCGTCGACTCTGCCCAGTGGGATTCTTGAGACTCTTTCCTCGTCATAAAAGCCCTTCACGTCGAAGGTATCTCCAGTGAAGTGCGGTTTGTTAGCACTATACTCAAAGACGTCACCACAATGATTGAGGATGATGTCGAGCAAGACATAAATGCCCTGTTCGTGAGCTGCAGCAACCAGTGATTTCAAGTCTGCTCGCGTGCCGAACCGTGGATCAACATCCAGGAAGTTTTGAACGCCATAGCCATGATAGGTCTGCACTTTTGCTACATTCTTGAATATTGGACCAATCCAGAGAGCCGTGACTCCGAGGCGTTTGAGATACCCCAGCTTACTTTCCAAGCCTTTCAAGGTTCCACCGACAAATGTTGCTCCAGCATCCCTCCAGCGGGCGGCATCGGCGTCTGTGTTGATGGCGTTTGCACTATCACCGGGTCCGTATAGGGCTGTAGTTCCGCTAGGGTGAAGATTACCCTGGACATCCTTGTAGTCTTTCTCCGAGTCGTCGGAGAAGCGATCTGGCAGGAGGAAATAAAGGACTTGATCTTCCCACGCCGTGGGAGATGGATGGAATTCATAAGACGGAGGGCCCCTCTCTATCACTGAGCGGACTTGTGGGTCGGAAATACTTCTGATTGGTGCGTCCATCATGTGTGCAAGATTACAATCGTGGAAGCTGTGCCCAAAGGAAGCTGAGAGAGGCTCGCAATATATACGTGGTAGAGCAAAGCAGGGAGGCAGACAGCAGCTTGAACGAGGGTGATTGAGCAGCCACACCAGTTGCCCTTGCCCTGAAACAGCGCAACCGCCAGGAGCGATGCAGTCACCTGGGCAGGAGGTTCAGCATCACTGTATACTGTATGCAGTAGGTTGCGAAGCTGAGGCCGACTGTATCTGGCTGCTTGATCATGACTGGGCCACATCTCGCTTGTTACACCGTGGCGTTGGCTGGAACCTGGGGAAAACGAGGAGCTGAAGGCTGCCGCAGCAGCGCAGACTATCTCCAATCGCCTCAAAGATCCCCCGGCTTCCAGCTTCCACCTCGTTTTACGAGACATTCAGATTTGTCAATGAAGCTGCTTGGTGAAGGTGCGTTCGAACGGACCGCTTGAAGCCTAGTAGCCATACGACGGCCTTGGAGGGGATGAGAGGGCAAAGCTTCGTCGTCCGTCAACCGGTTGCTCCCAGCCTCTGTCCTTATCGGCGGTGTTGGGGAGACAGTGCGGTCCTCCAGACGCGATTGAGTTCAAATACAAGGGTAACAAAGAATGACGATATAAATACTGTTCAATTCGTTTATCCTTGACGCTTCCCTGTCCTGTGCACCAGATCCGCGGCAAGAAAACCTTGGTATTATAATCAAAGTCGTGCCCGGGTGTCATATCATACTGTAACCACAGTCGGGTACATCAATCATACAATCTCTCTGCCGCAGATGTGAACACGGCGGAGATACCGTGATCACGGTCTTGGTGGTGGCAGTATCCCCACCGACTCGGTCAAGTCACTCATTGGGTACGCGGAGAGAGAGCGTTCCCGGCACTTTATGCATCGCCATAACTCGTAGGTTGCCTCTTCTTCCGAGTTTGAACTCCACCGCCACCCCGACCGCCTCCCACAGGGCCTGTTTTCGGTTTCCTCTTCGCGAGACGGCGCTCGAGAGCCTTTTTGTTCCAGTGCGGCGCATCGGCCGCGTAGGCATGCGCGCCGCTTCTCTCACCCGTGAAAAACGTCAGGACAGCGTCGGCACCTGACGATCTTCGTTGGAGCTGGAGATCTCCTCCTTCTATAGATGCACGAGGCGAGCCGCCCCTCCTGCTCCAATTCGCGGTATCCGCACGTGGGTCGTCGTCCGCTTTAGAGGTTTCTTCTCTTGTTGTCGGTGTGGCTGGGGCCCCCGCGCCTCGTCCAGAAGCGTCCCAAGGCGCGGAAAGATCGTTATTGCTGGCCATGCCGAGTATTGAGTTCGCGGTACTGTTCCCGCCGAGCATGTTCTTCTTGATCAGCCGTAGCAGACTCTCGCACAGCCGATCTAAAATCCACTCGGGCTCGCCTTGAGAGCTGAGCATGGGACTATTGTCCTCCAGCCAGTCCCACTCGACAACGCCGTCCGTCTCTTCGTCATACTCGAGTTGTGCAAGCCCTTCCTTGGTAAAGCGGATGAGTCTCGTGAACTCGCACCACTCCTCGAACGAGTAACACTTGTTGGGGGCATGTCGGGCGTCTTGTGCGGTCTTGCGGATCGCCCAAGCGAGACGCTGGGCCAAGTGCGCTTCGCTAATATCTTCATTGGCCAGTTGTTCCAGACTCAACGGTGGCGGGCTTTCCTCCTCCGCCGGACCAACAGGGAATCCGGCCTTGAGTCGCCTTTTCTCGGCCCTCTTGTTGATCAAATTCCATAGCCACGGGTTTGACCGGAGGATATCGTGCCATAGTCCGGCTTTGGGAAGAACCGTCAGGTCACCGAGTTTAAAAGTGCCGCGCTTGAAGCTCGAAATGACTGTATCCCCCATGTCAGAGATCAAAACCGTCATGGTAGGCACGGCGATCAAAGACCACACCACGAAGAAAGGCTTGCCAGCGTTGCTTCTGGGGCTCATATCCCCATAACCAATGGTCAGCAAACTGACGTAGCAGAAATACAAGGCTTCAAAATAGTTCATCCCCTGGGTGGGCTTCTCGGCCTGCCAGAAGACGATAGCTCCCATGCACCAAAGAAAGCCAAAAGCCAGGGCTGAAACACACAACGCCATCCACTTCTTGAATTTTCGGGCGTTGACTTGAATAGCACGCATGGCGTCGAATCGGTCTTTCTCTTCGCGCATGACGATGGCTTTCTGGGACCTAGACCTCCCGAGTCTAAGATGTGAAACAGGCGTTATAAAAGATTTGAAAGTCGCGTGCAGCGAACTCCTGTGGTGCGGCGAAGCCAGAAAATGCCTGGGATCAGGACCTTCATCTTCTTCATCATTCGACCGTTTTAGCTCCTCTGTCTCAGTATCTTCGAACTCAACCTGCCGGCCAGCGGCAGGACCTTCAAACGGCTGTTGCGGCTCAGGCGCAGGCTCAGGATCAGCATTCCTTTCCGACTGCGCCGCGGCATCTAAGTCTTGCTGAATCTTGGGATTGGGCAACGGAGAAGAGATTGGCGGCTTGTGCCCGAGCGACTCTTCATTCCGCACCTGCTTTTCCAGCTCAGCTCGCCTGCTGTCCTCGGCGTCCTCGACTGTGACAACGCGCGACAGCGTACTGGCCCGCTTATGCTGGACGTGTTTCCGCACGACATTGACACTGCTGAGCTCCCCTGCAAATTTGTGGATGGAACTAACCATCAAACCTAGAATAATGGTGCCGCCCACGGAATAAGGAAAAACCAAACCTCGGCCAAGATCGTCATCTGGGTAGAAGTCCCCAAAGCCCACTGTCAGGATTGTCACATCACAAAAGTACACGGCATCAGGGTATGTCCATCCCTCGATCCGGGAGAAGACGCCGGCGCCTCCACCTAGCCATAGGAAGAACATCATGGTTTGCAGGATGAGGTTGCGTTGTTCGTCAGTGAGAGTAAAATGCTGGGGATAATGACCGAGAAAGTAACCCCACATATTGACCATTAGGATCATTGAATTGAACATGTAAAGGCAGGCTGCAAGCACGGCATTCCAGTATCCCTGAGAATAGACCTGGCCCTTGCCCGGAGGGCAGTAGATGTGCATCGAGATGGTAAGACCGATCAGGATGCCCGAGGCGAGGTAGAAGAGGATGATGGTCATCGGCAGTGCCACGATATACCGAAGCCGTCGGGTGAAGTTGAACAAGAGGAACAGGTTCCCAACAAAGCCGCATACCAACGATGCAATGTTGAGGTCGATGCACCAGCGGGGGTCTGGATAACCCACCGAGGTGGCTTGATAGAGTGCCGGGTCGTCATTGACGACGTTGTTCCTCCAGGACACGACAAGGGCGGCGATGGATACCAAATTGGCCATGGGGGCGAATGTGGCAGCAATGAGAGGGATCGCCGTGGACGCAAACCACCAGTCGGTCGGAAGATCGTCTTCGGCGGATCTGAATCTGAGCCTTCCAAGATGATGTACATGCTGTCGACTCTGGGTTGCCTCTTCTTGGTTCCCCTCAGAGTCGGCCAATGGAGCAGACAAGTCTCTACTCTCCTCTGCGTCCCACTGCTTTTGTTTGCCATTATCGCTGTTGCTGTTGCTTTCGCTCGAGGCGGCTCCTGGGGGTTCCAACTCTTTCTGTTCGGCATGGTCGTAGCCCATTCTCACAAATTTCAGGGACGCTGGGTCGGCATCTCGGCGTTTGTGGCCAGAGTTGGCAGAGCTGAATCGGCTGGATAGTCGCAAGGGGTGTGGTTAACAATATGACCATGTCCTGGTCGAGGCAGGCCTGTGCTTCAGAGGGTTTTGTGAACTGTATTGACGGGAAGGGATCAGCGCCGAGGACATCGTGACCCGATGTAAAGGATGCGTCTATCCATGCGATCGCGTTGACGAAGGTGTAATGATGGAGGCAGAGAAAGTGTTGCTTGGGTCGAGGTCATGTCCGGCGCGGGTGGAATGTATAAAAACAATAAATGCGGGATCGTCGGATGGCGTTGCTTGTTTTCTGTTCTATTTCCACTGCACGTCAGTGCTTCAAGTTCCGGACAGGGTCTGCACCCTTACACCGAGACGAGGTAATCATTGTTTCGCTTCATCCTGCTCCATGAGCAGTTTGGCTTTGGGGGAGTTCACAAGATGTGTCAGGATTCAGATTGCTGAGTGCAGTTTACTGGGCGTGTCGCGTAGGTAGGTAGCGATACGCCACCCTCGCGACGCTGTTGACTACTGCAGCCTCGTAGCTTGCCCACCGCGCGCATCACCCACCCTGCCACGGCTCGCTTTACAAAGATTATACACGCTGCAAAACGGTGAGCGAGAAATTCAAAAAGGGCAGAGACACCATGAAGCAACCTAGACGTCTCCCAGTTCGTCATAGTTAACGCGATTTTGATACCACTTTTCCCGGTAATACCAGTAAGAGGAGTCCAAGTCTCATGTGTCTGATCAACGCAAGGCCCAGCCTTTCGAATTGCGCTCATATAATGCTCCTTCCGAGATATCTACCTAACAGTATCATAACAAACTGGAACAACCAACCTCTCTTCCTGTTGTTGTTCCTGGACAGTCGACAATAATCGCACGCAAGATGGAGTATCCAAAAAAGTCAAACTAGTGAACGCTCATTCATTTCGAACTCGGAAACGGGTCTCAAGTCAAAACATCATGATAGCACATGAAAAGGACGCGGCGGTCGATTCCAAGAAAGCACCGGCGGTTCTCAAAGTCACCGCGTCCTGCTTATTGTACATCGGCTGTTGATACCAATTGGCATCATTGAAAAGTCATCTTCATTTTTCAACGCATATCTCGGTAGCTGCTAGGTGGGTAATTTGAGGGAGCCGGGTAGGATCCGTAAACGGAATCCCTCGGCACAGAAGGGGGAGGTTGGAACCCAGTGCTAATTGAGCTTGGCGTATTGTATGATGTCGATGAAGGAGGGCCACGATCGCGGTAGTAGTCCTCGTCGGCGGAGACGGCAGAAGTCGAATAGGGCGGAGGAGCACCGCGGGCACTCTGAGGCCCGTCGAACGCTGAGACAGACCCCATACGGGGCCGTCCTTCGCGGTCCCGCTCACGTTCCCGCGGATCGTATGCAGCCATCCTTGCCGCGTCATAGCGATCGTTGGCGAGGCGTTCCCGGTGAGCTTCGTACTCTCGATATCTTCTGGCGTCGTCATAAGGGTCGGTGCCAAAGTAGGATGGGTGTGAGGGAGAGCCATACGCGATATCTGCATCTGACCTGCGCATAAATGAAGAACTCCCGGTTTCCTTGGCCATTGACGGAGATCGGTGACGCCCTGCGCGTGGCTGATCCCTATGGTAGGAGCTGTTCGACCGATGCCGGCGCATCTCGGGAACCTCCAACGGTGGTGGAGGTGGTCTCTGGTGGATTGCAATAGGTGCTGGGGTGTGCTTCGAGTTGTCACCGGATCTGCTGCCCCCATGAACGGAGTTCGAACGAGCGGGCTTGACCTCTTGTTGAGGTGGACCTGGGGTATAAGCTGGCTTGCTTTCGCTGCCAGGAGGTTTGTCGAAATTATCATAAGTCTTGCCACCTCCGGGAGCCGCCGAATAAGGTTTGCGTTCTCGCTCAATTTGCAGGGGAACGGCACGATCTGCTGACTCCCCTTCGGTTGTGGCGCTGGCACCATTAACTTGCGGGTCTGCTTGAGGCTGCCGCTGGCGTTCTGGAGCTTCTTGTGACAAAGCCGGGCTGGTCTGAGCAGCATTAGTTGTGGGAGCTTTCTCCTCTCGCGGTGGCCGCTGACTCCCTTTCTGAGATGTATCCGCCTCCGAGGGCTGATTCGGGTATGGAGCTCGATGACTGTCTTCTGTTGTGCCGCTCTGCTGTGGTGGCAAACTGACGTTGCAATGAGTTGACATAGCCCTCTGCAGTCTGCCGGCTATCTCTTGGTCGGGATGGCCAGGGAAAAGTCTCCGTGAAAGCTCCTTTGGAAAACGTTCTCTCCTATTCTCGGGGTTGCTGATGGGCATATTCAATGCCGTCTTAGCCAATCGCTCAAACTCTTGATCAGGATGTGCCTTAAGGAGCAACGTCGCCCAGGTTTCGAACCCTTGGGGTGTCAAGCCAGGAATGTCAGGTCTCTCAGACAATTTCTCTTGGACGAGATGATGTTGGGCGCCAATTTCGCGGTACATCCGTGAGATCGACGAGGTGCGATCATCGAAAACGATCTTCCAGGGATAAAGCTCATTTGTCACCTTCGTCTCCTCATAGTACCTCTGTAATTTGGGTGGGGTGACGACTAAGCTGTTCCTCGGCTCGTAGTCCTCAATCAAATGCGTGGCAACCCCGCGTAGAAACTGCCCAAGCCTCTCAGTAGCTCTGCCCTCCTCGTCAAACAGAGTTCCCCATACACGTTCCAGAGTGGTCACTTCAGCTCCGGTAGATATCCTCTTCGGACCCTTGGGTCTGCTTGTACGGTCTTGGGTCGCCTCACTCTCCGATAGACGGCTGCTGTGGCTCAAAGGCGACACGCCTCGTTTGTCAAAAGGAGGTGAAGTGGCTCGAAAAGAAGACTGATTCGAAGGCGGAGGGAACTGGGGCGATGGTTGAGCCACGCCACCGTCTTCCGATGCGCGATAGGGTGATGGAGGTGTATACACCGTGGTCCGGTCTGGAGGAGGGGAGCCTGCCGCTGACGAGTTTGCATCCATATGTGGTCCAGAAGTGTGCTGTTGCTGACTTGGTGGAGACAAGTTGCTGGCTTTTAGGTGTTGCAGGACGTTGGCTGTGATCTGCGCGGTGATCTGCTGCAGTAGGTCTGGCGAGAGGCCTGCTGTCGAGCTCGCATCACTGCTGTTGAATGCAGAAGTGACCGCATCATTTATAGGCTGGTGTGCTTGATGATATCTTGTGGTGTCGTAATCCACTGAACCCCGTGCAGCGGTCGACGTATCCCGTGGTCTCTGCGGGCTGCCCTCGGTATGCAAGATATTGGTAGAGCTCGGATTCTGTCGCCGCGACTCGGCGTTATCGCTGGAGCTTGTAGCACTGAACTCAGGCGGGACGCTGTCGTGGTGAGAAGCCATTGTACAAGGGCGCCGCAGTCCCGCCGGACCAATGTTGTCGTCAAATCATTCAAGTAACTCTCGGCAAATCTGGATCATGCGCGGGTTGGAGTCTGTTGCGAACGCAGCCGGGGACGACGATGTAGGTATATGGTCGTGACAGCCTGAGTGCGTGGATCGCCTCAATCGCAAAGCCGGTTTCGTGGATCAACAATTTGAAGCAGCCTGCTTCAAGATCCACGCAAGGCAACGCCGATTTGACAAAAAGGCAGTCGGTTGTAGAACGTGTGCGGTGTAATGCTTCGAGGTCGTACGAGGAGTTAGACCGGGATAATTGGTAATGGATGTGTAGAGTCGATGTTGGCCACGACAAATCGCAGGCGCAATATAGTCACGAATTGCGCGGCTACGCAGACGCTTGTTTTTTCAGGCGATTTGGAATAGGAGGAGTACGTTGGGTTCGAGGAAAATGTTCAACTTGTGAAGGATGAACAGTAGTTCGGCGTACGAGGAGAGTCTTCATGGTACCAAGATGAACGTGAAGTCGCGAAGAGGACGCTGGCTCAAGGCTGCCAGCATGGCATGCAGTGCCCTCGACCGGCAATTCCCAGTACTTTTAGTAGTATAAACAGAAGTGAATGATTGACGGTGATAGGAGGGCGCTGCAAGAGGGCGAAGCGAGCATCACAATGCCCAGTGCCAGTGCCAGTGCCAGTACCCACAGCAGTAGGAGTTGGACGACGTCGGTGGCATTGCATCATCGGGTCATCGGCCGCCTTTTACAGTATTCCCCGTGCGCAGCCGCAGCCGCAGCCGCAACACCAACACCAACACCAACACGCAACACTTACTACCTAGGTAGTAGGTAAACCATCTGCACTACTCTCATGATACGAAACAAACTGGGCTGCGCTCGAAGCCTGTTGACTCCGGGGCCTAACCGGTGAACACGACCCCCACTGGCAGTACACACACTTCTCTCCATCGAACCGGTACAGAGCTCGCCGAACCCCTCATGCTATACATAGTTCAACTATCTACTCCCGCCACGTTTGCCTTTGGATGCGTTAGAGTCAAGATTTCGATGCGACCAACGTTGCCTTTCGTTTCCCTTTGCCAAGGGTTCATCCCTTGAAGCGTTCAGGTTGCCTTCTGGTTGCCGATCCCGCCCTACGATCGCCTTGTACCTTGGCCCAATCTCGAGACACCTATACCTTTGGCAAAGAGACGGGATTTGTGATGGATGGAATGATAGGGACAACTCGAAAACTCATAACTTGAACATTTGTACAGTACAAACGAAGAAAGCAGGGCGATAATGATCGAAATATCTGCAGTGGTTCTTCCACTATCATCCACCCTCTCTTCTACACTGATCCTCCCCTTTGCACGTACTCGAACGTCATGCATCGGACCAGTTCGCTCACGCTCGTGTTTGTCGTATACTGCCCCTTCATCACCTACACGCCGAGAAACCTTAAATGATTCCAGCTTCAATTCCGTTTTGGCCCGGAGCAGATATGCCTTGTCAGTTGCTTGATGTACGATATACTGTAACTCTATTACACCCGGGCAGCCCAACAAAGGGATGGAAACTGCAAAACACCTGGTGTGGGGATCTATGAACTTTCACAAATGCTCTCGCGGCTGGTCTCGCAATATTCGAGCTACATAGGTAGGTAGACAAGCTCAGGGTCTTTTGATTTCACGTATCGAAGTCCGGTGCCATCTCAAACCCAAACGGCCTCAGCCCAGTTGGCTCTCTTGCCTCGTATTAGTCTGCCATGCCGTCTTTGGAAGCACGAATTGGATCTTGGACTATGATTCTATCTATCCCAGGAGCTGAACTCACGGAAGATTCGAGCTCTCTGCGTAGCTGCTGTTGGAAAGCTCTAACAACCGAACTGGCCCCGCTGTGAGTTTACATAGCAGAGGGAATTTGCAACGTGACGAGACTCCTGGCTGATTGTCATCCTGTATTGTTGATTCGAGAAACCCCGAGCTGATTTGGGCAGGTGTTATTGACCTCTGAACCAAGGTCTATTGTGATCTCTTGAAATGCAGGGCGAGTACTCCTACAACCTTGTGGACTTTCCAGCCGAGTACATCTCTCTGCCAGTGTAGGGTCGGCGCCGTGGTGCAGACCCAGCCCTGGTCATCAGGATGCGTCCCCTACAGCTCGAAGTCCTCCTCCAGATCCGACTCGTCCTCTCGTGGGCCAGCTTGGTACTCCTGTGCTATCTCACGCTGCACACGAGTATGGACGCGGTCCTGCACGGTCGACTTCACTGCGTTTTGCTTCGCGAATCCCCGGGTGTTGCCGCTTGACAGGACAGAGGCAGCACGGGAAGCTGTGACGGGGGTCGTTGGAGGATGTTCAAAACCAGTAGTGCCGTTATGAACAGAAGACTTTCCCGCCATCGAGCTCCCTTCCCAAGCTTCGTTCTCATCATTGCCAAGGATAACCTGACCGGCGGCCGCGACAGGGTCTTCAAAATCGTATGCTGCTATTGGGACACCTCCGCTGACACTTGGCAGAGCGGAACCCATGGTGGACATTGTTCCAAAAGCGTCCGACCGACCATTCAAGTAATCTTGCCTGATTTGTTCCTCTTCAAGTGCAGTAGGGAAATCGGGGACTCGGTCGGAGATCTCTTGTTGACAGGGTATGCATTTCTGGGTTACGTTAGAGGAGGGCATAGAATCGCAATAGGGTTCATGATCCTGCGTACCGCATCATCAGGCTTCCGTCGCTGGGCTTTGGCAAAGTGGTCGAGGGTCTTGACGATTCTGCAGCCAGTGCATGTCAATTCCTGAACGTTGCCAGGAGTGCATCTGGTGCATGATGGAGGTGCGGCCTTAGGACCGCCAAGTCGTTGTCGTTGAATAGCTTCTTGGTACTTGCGCATCTGGTTCTGCGAGAACCGTGAAGGGACGCAGTTTGCGTTGCAGACACCACATCTGATTCTTTGACACGAGTCAGAGTTCATTCGTCACAGGGGTTGATACCACTTACTTCTGACCGACGTCGACGTTGGCGTACCTATCATCTCGATTAGTCGCGGAAGCCTTGGTTGACGCGGAAGAGGCCATGATTGATTGTGATCAGGAGGAGTTGACCACGGAAGAGAGTGGAGTAGACTTGCAAACCACGGCGACAAGAGAGTGGTGGCAAGGAAGATAGGATAGGAACAGGGAGAAGAGAGTTGAGTGAGGTAGAGAAGAAGACAGAGAATATCCGGGGTTAGGGAATAATGAGAGAATGAAAGAAGCTTACGATTCTTGCTTTCTCTGCCAGAAGGGTTTTTGTGATTCCTTCCGAGACATGATGGCAGTTCAGGAAAAAGAGCTGGAGGACAGCTGAATTTGAAAGTGAAGTAAGGTAATTATGCCGTAGATTGAAGGCAGTCGTTCCTTAGGCAGGTAGAGAGGTACGGTGCTGATGTGAGTTTGAGGTCAATCACTGCCACCGTTCAAAGACAGCGAACTTGAAGACAACGGAGAGCACCCAGTGCAGCGCGTGTCACTTTAGTATTTGACCTTTTATGGCCCACTGTGAATAACTGCAGATATTCCTCCGTCTCAATGTCAGCGTCGGTCGTTGTATAGGCTGCTCTGCTCTTGCTCGCCAACTACCTGATTCACTTAAGACAGCCTCAATCCCTGACAGTATCACCAGATTGAGCCCCCTCCAGCTTCACAGCTTTGCCGATCCAAGTTCAGCGCCCTGGCTTCAGTGAGAATAGCGTTTTTTTGAATTCTCAACAACGCGTGGGTCGCGTTATGCTCCAGTGCACCTACACATACAATCCAAAGCAGGTACCGAGGGGCACGCGTACCACCCCTAGTGAGAGTCCTCAGACCTTTGCCTCAGTCCCGAAATCAGTCTCAGCGTACATCCATCAAGCATGACAACCGCCTGCAGCACTCCGGGTCGTGATAATTATCCTGAAGCCTCCTCACCTTACACCGTGCGGATTGTCTTTCTCATCTCTGTAAAGCAGTCTCAGCGGGTGGATGTTCGCACGCGCTCAACAAACTTCCTCCTGGCCGCTTTAACATTCTTGGCATGCTGCCGTCTGCAGTGCATGTACAGTGGTATGTGTATCCCACTCACCTTCCACTCCTACCAGGCACAGAGGTACTTCCGCCAGATACTCGACGCCTACCTTGAGTACCTACTGTACCTACCAAGGGACCTGAGGCTATACATGGGTACGGAAACACCAAACTCCTGCGGTGCCAGGAATACTGCAGCTTAGAGCGACAGGCACCCTCCTCCTCATCAGTTTAATGATTGCAGCTCTACCCGATATACTTGTATTATTATGCAGATGGTTCCAGATGACAACTGCTGCCTGCCACCGGGAATCTGCACGTACTGTGGCTGTGTTTCCCGCTCTGTGGTACAACAACAGACCCCGGGATGGCGCTTGTCTAATAAACGTTGTGGTTGCATCCTGCCGGTATGCATCGGGCGTCTCACTCTGCACAGTGCCGCGACGACAGGAAGGAAGCGCACGCTTGGAAACAGTGCGATGAGTCGGCACTTGCAGCCCACACGGTGAAGTACCATATACTGTATGTACGTCCCTGGGCGGCCCTAAGGGAATCGCATGGATTGAGGGTCGCTTCAACCAGATCGATCTCGTCCCGGCCTCAGTTTGTGACCAGATTCATGGCCCAAATCTCGAAGCCAGGCAAGCCAGTTTAGAGCATTCTCACCTGCACCCTCGCCCATCGCCTTTCCAGAAGACATGGCTCCTGAAAGCCAACATAATCAAAAGGGGCTCTACTGCCACATATCCGAAGAAGCCTAGCACTTCTGGAAGTTCACCGGCCCCGACTATGAGTCTCCTCCACGATTTCGTCGGAAATGAAGAACTTCGAAGGTTCGAAGCGTCCCCTGGCGTGGTACTGGCAGTCTCCGTGGTCCGATCATCCACTGCACCCACAGCAATATCTCGAGGAATGGTCCACTTAGTTGGGAGCAGCCGTCGCGGAAGCTAAAGGGTGTTTGGGTCAGGAAGTGGTCGGTCAAGAGGTGTGCCACATCGTGCCCGTGGGCCACAGCCCCATTGCTTTGGCGATAGTCTCGGGCGGAACGCGAAGGGACTTCCATGCCCCATTTAGCTCGGTGTCATCCATAGAATCCCAAACCAATTGAGGATAGACTGGAAATTGACTGACACCGTTGGCCGGAACCCAGCGGCGCCCCGGCCCATGTCCTTGGTTGCCGCAGGCCCCAAGAGCCCACCACTGGCACCAGAATGATCGAAAGCTGAAGCTGTGCCCTAGCCTTGTTTTGGGCCTCCTGCAAAATATCTTGGAGTGCCGGGAACAAGAAATCCTGTCTAGCTCTCCAACTTGGAACCTATGAACGTGGGCCAGCCAACTCGAAACCCATTCACTGGCTGCCGCCGTGCCACGCACACCACAACGTGGCAACGAAATTGCTGGCCGTAGACGCCTAACTCTCACTGTTGCCTGGTCAATCCAGGCGTGGTTTGTTACTCCTCACGCCTGGACAAGCAATGATGGACAAGGAACGTAACATTCTTGCAGATGAGCAACACCACGAGGAGCTGCTCGAGGACCAAGCAGTTTGCCAAAGTTCAGCTCCGTCGCGGCAAGTCGACAACAAAGTCAAGACTTCGCTGGTTCGCTTGCAGCTTCATTATTCGTTCAAAAAGTGACTTTTCTTATTAGTGGGAGTAACTGCGGTAGCCCCCCAGAGTTAGGCTTGCCACTCCGGCTGTCTCGAAGTGCTTAATAAAACACAGACTCGAGACGCGGTGTAGAAAGCGGCCGTGAGGACGGGCGAGCAGCCTATCCCGCAACCGCTGTTCTACCACCTCGTCATGATCCAGTCGTGCCAGTGCCAGTGCCGTATCATGACAGCTCGCCATGACAACATTGGTTAAAGCCTCTGTGGATGGGAGGTGTAATTATCTACCACACTTCACGTCGTGACGAGATTGCAGCGTCACGTTCTGTCACCTTTACCGAAGAATGCCGTTGCGGAAGAGGATGCAACCGAAATTTCAATGTCATCGTCCCAGACCGCACCGTACAATTGGACTACGGCAGAAGGTCTGTGTTCTGACTGCATATTTTTAACATCCCTCGCCTGAGTTTTTTGTGTCAGTTGCTGCCCCAGAGCAGTTTCAGCTGGGTTGGGTGCAGAAATCCAGAAAAGCTGAACAGTGACAGGCCGCAATCTGCTGCTCTCCTAGTACTCAGGTACTGTACTCTGGAGTTGTTGAATTGCACAGGTACAGGACGTATCTGAACTGAATGATCCCTGCCAACTGGCACGATGCATATGATATCACGAAGGGCGCATCAGGGGCCGATCATTGAAATTGTTCGGCGTATCTTGGGTACTTGCTGGATACAGCTATAGGAACTACTAAGTACGTAGCTGGGCAGCTACCTAATAGTATCGTTAGCATTTGGGTAGCGAAGAATCTCCTGAATATCATCCCATCATGGTAGTGGTTGAGCAGCTACCAAAATGATGATCAGGATAAGCTACCGGTGCCGAAGAAGCCCTAATCAGCAATGTACCAGACCAAAAACAACCTCAGAATACCTCGTACCTACCTACCTAGGTAGGTACCCGTAGTATTACTACACAATACTACAAGAAAGCGCTTGGTGTTAACACTATAGTGTTTAGAAATGTGCCCAAGAGTCTGCTATTACTAGTACTGGGAATAGTGCTTGCGGAGCAGGCATCTATCTCACTTGTTGCCGGTGATATGATATTACTAGTGTTCCATTGCTAGCAGCGCCAGTGGCTGCCGGTGCCAGGTTGGCTGCCCTGCGGCGCCGGGCATCGCAGTCCGGCTTCCAATGGCTCCAGTCCCAGTTCCAGTTCAAGCAGCTTCCAATTTTGTCACCCTTGCAGTTGGGTTCCTGGATCCTCCAATCCGTCGCCCGCCCCAGCCGGAACGTCACCCACTGGCAGGTCCTGGGTCCCAGGCCCAGGGCTGAATTGGCTGGTTCAAGACTTGCTCCTGTGCCAGTGCCTGGTGGTGGAAGGGGGTGTCTTGGGTCGGTAGGCAGTAGTAGTACCATGGAATGGTGCTGAACCCCCCAAACCAGATTGATCGTCTCTCACGTCTGCCCTTCATTCCCCGGCACTTTCGTTTTTTCATTACTCTTCGACCAAAAGCGAGACTAGCGAGCTAAACAAGTGCTCGTCAGGAATAGTAAGTGTGCTTCTCATCGTCTGGGAAATCAGGGTGTCTCCGAGCAATTGGTGGCACAACCTGGCACCTGCACCATCGACCATACTAGGGTCACTGGGCCCTGACACCCTGGCTTGCTTAGGCTGCGACCTGGCGCCGTTCACACACCTTCTCCGGCCGCCCCTTGCTCTCTTCCGACGTTAAGACAAGACGCGCCTCCTGCCTCGATCCTGACCCACCAAATTGTCCGAGCACGTCGTCAACACGCCCGACCGAAAACATCTGTCACTCTTTCCCACCTCCAGCACCTAGCTCACCACCTGTCTTTCGATCCTAGAGCCCAGCGGCCCTTCCCTGTCAATCAAGAAAGGGGAGGACTGGTCTATCCACTTTCCCACCGCAGTACCCCTTGCGGGCCAGCTCCCGCCTGTTAGCAAACTCCAGAAGCTAGCTCTCTTGGGTCCTGAGCCATTTCGATTTGGATCCTGAATCTCGAGCATCATTTCCTCTACGCCTGCCTTGGATTGTCATTTCTATCCCTCAATACCTTGCGTGTTAACGATCGACCTTTACATCTCAAACGACGGAAGTCAACACCAGACGAACAGACCGCATTCTTGTGCTCTTACGACTCGCAAACATCGAGCACTGTAATTGTGAACGTCACGGACGATGACGTGTTGAGGTCTCGAGGAAACCCCTTTACATGGGCGCAGAGCCGTCCATTCTGAAGAGTGTTGGGCTAGACACCGTCTGGACTGGATGAGACGAAACCGACAAGCTGCTTGGGAAGTGAGCATACGCGTGGAGTCGACAAGATGGCAGTGACCGGTCAAGGCTCAAGACCTGGCTCGCAGAGTCTGGTCGCTTTGGAGGACCGATTTGAAGTGATCAGAGAGATCGGTGACGGGAGTTTTGGCAGTGTGGCTCTCGCTCGGGTGCGGGCGAACGGGGCGAGCGTTGCTCGGCGGAACACTATGGTAAGTTGGGTCGAGGAGATAGTAGTACTGTTCCATATTGACGGTTTTAGGTCGCCATCAAGACGATGAAGAAGACGTTCGACTCTTTCCGGCCTTGTATGGAACTACGCGAGGTCATTTTTCTCCGAACGCTTCCGTCACACGCTCATTTGGTTGGCGCTCTGGATATCTTCTTGGACCCGTTCAGCAAAAAGCTACATATCTGCATGGAATACATGGACGGCAATCTCTACCAGCTGATGAAATCTCGGGAACACAAGTGTATGGATGCCAAGAGCGTCAAGAGCATCCTTTACCAGATCCTATCGGGGCTCGATCACATCCATGCCCATCACTTCTTCCACCGGGACATCAAACCAGAAAACATCCTCGTCTCGACGTCGGCACCACAAGACTCCCACTCAGCTTTCAGCAGATATTCCTCCTTGGTCACGCCCCCGGCCACACCACCTGCTTACAGTATCAAAATCGCGGATTTTGGTTTGGCGAGGGAGACTCATTCCAAATCGCCATACACAACCTACGTGTCGACGAGATGGTATCGAGCGCCTGAAGTATTGCTTCGAGCTGGAGAGTACTCTGCTCCCGTGGATATCTGGGCTATCGGCGCGATGGCGGTCGAGGTGGCCACTCTTAAACCATTGTTCCCAGGTGGGAACGAAGTCGACCAAGTTTGGCGTGTCTGCGAGATTATGGGTAGTCCAGGCAACTGGTACACCAAAAACGGTGCTCGAGTCGGCGGGGGCGAATGGAGGGAAGGGACCAAGCTTGCCCAAAAACTTGGTTTCTCGTTCCCAAAGGTAAGATGGCCAAGCAATTAAGAGAACCCCCTACTGACCTCTCGCAGATGGCGCCTCATGCCATGGAAACCATATTACAACCTCCTCAGTGGCCCTTGGCGTTCAGCAACTTCGTCACTTGGTGTTTGATGTGGGATCCCAAGAACCGACCGACGACCAAACAAGCCATGGAGCACGAATTCTTTGCTGATGCCGTTGATCCTTTGCGACCAAAATCATCATCTCGACTGCTTGGCCGAAAACATTCGGACCTGAGCTTCAGATCCAAGGAAACGGCCGAGACACCGACTATCACTTCGAAACCATCCTGGTTCCGGAGGTCGCTTATTGCACGAGAGAGTGCCCCGGCCGTACCACAACATAACCCAGAGGCGAAAAATGTACAAACAGAATCCGAAAGCTTGGTCAGCAGGTTACGACCCCAAGCCAACAAGCGTGCGACTTGGGCGAATGGAAGCAATTCGAGCGGCGTGGCACCGATGCCAATATTACCGTCCATTCGACCCATTTCACCTCTCCCGAATGCCGTTACCGCGCAAGCGAGCTCTGCGTTTACAGCTCAGACAGAACAACACTCGAAACCGGCCGAGGAGAAATCGAAAAAGATTGGCCGGCAATTGTCTATCAACTCACATGGCAACCACTATGCTGATGTACACCGACAAGAAGCGGAGCGCGCCTTGAACGCAAACAGCGGCCTCGTGTCTCCGCCCAACGGCCACAAAGAAAGCTTCTTCTCACATCTGCGTAAACGGGCCAGGCGGTTCTCAGGACGACATGGACTGTCTTCTCCCAGTGGCGACGACGTCGAGGCCAACGCCGCAAATGTTCCGTGGTCGAACAGGTCGTCCATCATGGTTGACAGCATCATCCCAGAGACGAACACCGATTTTTCGGACTTGGACAAGATCTTGCAGAATGTGAGGTATAGTCTGGACCAAGAGGAAGGAGAACCCACACAAAGAAGATCGGCTACAGAGCAGCCGTCCAACCAAGGTTCTTTGAAAAGGACACACTCTGTTCCTCGCTCTCAAGGTAGTAGGTCTGGCGAGGCTCTCAATCACCTTGTGGCACCTACCGCGGTGCGGTCACGACGCCCTTTACAAGTCAATCAATACGAAACGCCTGAAGAAGCCGATGAACTGCTGGATGAAGCCTTGCGCTCCGCGAGTCGAGTGGCAAAACGTCTCGACCAAACCAAGGAGCAACCATACCGGACGGCGCTTGCCCATAAAGACTACAATCGCCAGTCTCTTCCACACATAGCCAGCGCCTCCGCCCTACAGGGTGCTTATCTGACTCCCTCGCCATCTGCTAAGAGGAACGGCGTTCAATTCAACCCGGCGAGCGTCAGTCAAACGCAACCGTTGAATATCACCAAGAAGCGCCCTGAGCAAGAATATGCTCCATCCCACTGGCCAACACCGCCATATGAAGACAACGAATGGGCGGCCACCGCTGCTAATAGTATCTTTGCAGCGGGATCGTCTATTTATCGATAGACGCCATTCCGGGGCCAGGCCGCCGCACGCTCGCTAAACAAAACAATCCACTTTCGATCTTGCGTATCCTACATCCAATATACTGTGCCTTGATATCCTGTACGAAAAGAGGACGCTCGCATGCGAAGCAGTTTTTCCTGAGTTTATTGGCGTTCTCGAGGTGAAATATATGGACCAACTGGTCTTTAAGTGGCTCGCTGCTTCGAAGAAGAGAAGGAACTCTCTATATCAACGACTTTTGAATTTCTCTTGAACGAAGCACTGAAAGTGCTCTATGATGCCCGGAGTCTCATTGGGATGGTTTTATTTTGGTGGGAGACAAACTTTTCTTGTATGGCGGCAGCATTTGGGTTGGCATTGACATTGGCAAGTCCGAGTCAGCTTGAACAGCAACAATTTTCATTTGTTAATCATCCAACGGAAGAGGTTGTATAGGTAGAGGTTGAACGTGTGGACAGGATAGTCCTTGCGTTTCTGGTGCAGACTTGCCTTTACAGGGCATGTATACCTATAGTTGGTTTCGATTGGCATAAATGGCCAGGAACAGAGACTCAATCTGAGGAATCGTCACACAAACACAAACTTTTCGTCCATCTTGTTGCATACCTACCTAGGTAGCCTTTCGACTTCGTAGAAGAGTACAGTCACCGAACGGAACGATAGTCATGGTTTAGATGGTTTCTGCGATGTGCACGGATTTTACCTAAAAAGGCATAGGTTTCAAAACAGACTAAACGCCCTTAATACCATCAGCACATCCGCATGCCGTCGTTCTCCAACTGGAAATCATGAAGTTCACACACCTACAGCACTGTACATACTCACGGCCACCCATAGGTGCTTTCTTTGAGGTCGGGGTTTGAGGTCACTTAGGCCCCCTTACGGCGGAGGGTTCGGGAACATTTCTCGCAAAGAAAGCGGTGCAGACGCAGTCATTGGGCGAACTTCAGCTCTGCTCAGTGCAACTGAACTTCTCGATTCCCATCCCACCATGGCATCTCGTTCGCGCACGACGGCGGCGGTGACCACAACGACGTTCTCAATATGCCAGCAATGTCTGCGAACGGGCGCGCTGGCGCTAGGAAGAACACCGGGAGGAATTCGAGGGTTTGCTTCAGCAGTTGACCGCCGTGCGCCGGCAAGTCGAACAGCTCGAACTCGAGTATCACGAACACAAACGACCCCATCGGTCCAGATACGCGCCTCATTTTTTTCTACCAGCTCACGGTTGAGAGCGGCGGCGAAAGACGATACTGGCAAACCCATCGTCCTCGAACAACCCGACAAATTTCGGCCGCCGTCACACCCTTCGCGATTGAATGCCCGACGCGTGCCGAGGGCGTATAATCAGGCCGCGACGACGGAGGAAAAACAACAGCAAAAGACGAGAAGGTATCCGCATATGTTTCCTAATGAGGGGACGTTTATGCATTGGTTCTTGACGGATCGGAAGATTCATATTTGGATTACGATGGTGAGTGATTGAAACAGGCTGCACACGTGTAGTGTGGAACATGATTGCTTTGCGTTTTTTGGGTTGATAATTTGGTTTTCTTGCTTTGGGGGTTTCAAGGGGGTGAGGAAAGGAATCCGAGGACGAAGAGAAAAAGAGAGGGCATCGGCATGGCATGGTAGAAGGTTTGGACGTCCGGGCTGGGCTGCGACGGTTGGATACCGTGATAGCAGGCATAAGCTACCTTCCGCTACTGAGGAGAGACGACACTCGTTTCCTACGCCCTAGGACTTATAGGAGTGAGATGGCAAGGCGCAAGGCGTGGCGACTCGTGGTGTCTCTACCTTATCCCATGCGACGAGTTGATTGTCTTGTGCTATCCCATAACGAGCGGGTGCCAAAAAGCCTGGAATGTCTTTGCTTATGTCTGATACGACCTGAAGATGGGATGAGGGGGATCTAGTTGGGTGCACTATTTCGGGTGTTTGCAGATACGCGCTTTTTCCTACTCCATCATGGTGCAGCGTTGGGTTTGTTGGGCTCGTGCATTGCATTAGTTACGAAGTGTTGTCTGCTTTAATTGTTTTCTTGAACCGTCTGTCAAACCCACACAAACCAGCGAACCGACTAACATTTTTTTCTGGTTCTAGGGCACACTCACCATCCTCGCCATCATCACCATGACGGAAACGTTCGTCAAAACCTCTCCGTACGGCCACCTCCTCCCACCAATCTCGTCACTCTTTTTCCACCCAATTACCTATTTTCGGGAGGCATTGGCCGTCGTCCGCCTACACATCGAGTACACGACCGAACAGGCCAACGAGTCCCGCCAACAGAAAATTCTCGACGCCCAGAAACGCCGACTCTACCGCCGCGCCCATGGCATGGAGAATCTCGATGCTGAAGAGGAGCAAGGCATCGATGTCCGCGGGTTGGTGCCTTGGGACGATGGTCTTACTAATAAGGAGCGCGCGAGGGGTGGTCGTGATGTCGTTTTGACGGGTAAAGATGTCGTCGATATGGGTGGGAAGGTGGGTGAGGATGTTACGAAGTTTGCGGATAAGGTTAAGCAACAGCAGCAACAACAGCAATTGGTCACTGCTGGAGCTGGTGCTGATGTTGGAGCTGATGTGGATGAACCGGCTCCGGCTCCCCAGCAACCGCAGAGAAAGCGGAAGTTGTGGTTGGGCATCTGGTGAGCTGAGCTGGATTATACTACTGTGTATAAACAGGTGGTGATGAAGGATGGGGCTTGCGAGAAGTACTGTGTTTGTTTCGACAGTCCTATCAATCTACTCTGATCGTATGTCCTCTCATCAGGATGATATACTATACTGTATAAAAAATCCAGCTTTTCCAATCCCCCACTCCAAACATTGATCGATTTACTCTATCTCTCTCTGGTCGCTCCAACGTTGATTGGCTCATGTTCTTGCTTCGGTGTATAGCCCACTTGTCGAAGTCATCTCCTTCTTCCTCTGTTCTTGTTGTCTTCCAAGATTTGTCAAATTCAGATTCTCGTTTTCGAGCTTGGCCAGATATATATTCCTCCTCTGTGAGCAGCTGATATAGGATCTCACTATGACCAACATCCGGTTGTATCTGGCGTATCTGGCCGGGATTGTCCTTTCCGCCTGCACCGTCCAATGTTGGCGTCGGTGCCGAAATAAAAGCACGAACAGGCACTGGCACAGTCGCCCCTCGGGATTCTCGTCGTCGCATGCACAAGGTTGGACAGTGCAGAGGTGATTCCACGAGCATGACGTCTTGTGGAGTAACAAAGCCCATTCGGTAACACGATATGCTAATAGGAGGTGGCTTTTTTCAAGCAGCGCTCAGGGGGCAATGCAATGCTTGCAGTGCATTTGAGGAGTACACTGCTGGTCATTTGCTACCGGGTCTGTCCGTCCCTTGCATAAAGCTGTGGCTTCCTTTCCAATTGGGCCAATAGTCATCACAGCAGGCAGGGAATCGGGGAATGCAGGGTATCCCCTTTTGGAATGATTTTGGGCGCCGTATTTGTCCTGTTCTACTTCGCGTGCATCCCAGCGGAGCGGTAAGCGAGAATAAATCTCCTCTCTCTCTCGACAGTGATTCCTCCACATGATCCTGTGGGTGCCCGGATAACCCTGCGAGTAGGCTCGGTTGGGCGACATTGGATAGTCGAGTTTCATTTTCAGACGAGTCCGTGTGCCTTTCGGCTGTCTCATCTAGTCATCGCGAATCATGTGTCCCATGCGCCCGATCTTTGTCTCGAGATACTTTTCAATTTCGGCGCCTCGGACGCCTTTGGCGCCTGCGGTTCGCCAGGCGATCGGGATCATGGGGACTCTTTCACGAACCCGCACTTCTTTATTGGGGCCTTCCACTGCCCTGACTTTATCCGGGTTATTGGTAAGGAGTCGGATACCGCGTTCCGACTCGGGTTTGTTGGCGTCGCTGTCGGTGCCGAGACCCAGATCTTGTAGGATGGCGGTCGCCAACCCGTATGTTCTGGCATCAGCGGGATGCCGGAGAAGGAGATTCGCCTCGACGGTGTCATTGCCCAGATCTTGGAGGTTATAAGCCTTGAGTTTGGATGCCAGACCAATGCCTCGTCCTTCTTGTCGGAGATATACAATGACGCCGCCCGGGGAGTTTGGCAGCGACATCAGTCGGGCCGCTTCATCCAGTTGCTCGCCACAATCACATCGTGCCGACCAGGCCGTTTCACCCGTATAGCACTCGGAGTGGATGCGCACCAGCGGAGCCTTGCCCGTTGAGTTTGTCTGAACAGTGTTCTCAGACGAAACCTCGGGCTCAGCGTCGGATTGCTGCTGCTGCGGTTGTTCAGAGTTCTCCTCGTCCTGCGTAGCCACAGGAGGCTGAACAGGTGTCAATGACGGAGTGTCGACCACGGCCTCCTCAGATACAGAAGTGACGTTTTTCAAGGCAGACCCTCCGCTGGGTTTTGTCTGCTGCCGGCTCAATGGCCTTTTATTCTGAGAGTCGGGGTCGAACCTCGAACTCACGCGACCCGGTCGCAGTCTGCCAACGTATGCTCCTCGAATCATCCGATCCATCTCGGTCTCACCGGGCCGCTCGGCGTCCAGGCTTCTGCTCCGAATATTATTGCCGAACACAATGGCCAGATGTTCCTTGTTGTCTGAGTCGTTCTGGTATAGATGGAGAAACATCTCTGCTCCAGAAGTGGTCGGTATGCGCGCACGCACGACGCACTCCACGTTCGGCAGTCTTTCAAGCAGACGCGGCTGTTTGGTGTTCGCATCGTCGAGAGAGGTGTCTACAGGAATCGACTTCGGCTCTGCGGTCAGTTGGCGCGAAGGGGTCCCCGTTCCTGGGGTCGCTGGAGGAGTAAAGGCAGGAGATAGCAGATTGCTCGGTACGCCTGGAGTGGCAGGAGAATCGTCATTGAGATCAGACCAGTTGTTTATGTATGCTGGCGTAGGCCGTGGCATGGGAGAGATGACGGGAGAGGCATGAGAGGGCAGCTCCTCGGCGGGGCGAGCCATGGTGTAATGAGCTGTGTTCCGACACTGGCAGGGCTTTGGGGGAGTATATGTTCATGAGGACGACATGACGAGTGTATGGACAATGATGAGTCAACCACGCCAGAAAGAAAGCATCAACAGCAGGCCGCCAGAAACGATAGATTGGGAATTGGGATATACACAGTGTCGTCGAGGTGGAGGCTGCTTCGGAGAAAGGGACTTTGAAGTTCAATTCGCAATTCTACGGGACGAAAAGCGGCGGGTGGAAGCGAGTGGATGAACTGGAGATCAAGATGACGGATGCTGACACAATCTTCTTGGAGCCTCGGTCCCCATTGCGCCGCTTGGATTTATCATTCTTATTTCTCCGCCATATGCACCACCACTACGACGCCTAACTCTATTACTAGTCCTGTGTGTTGTATATTGTGCCTGTTCGGGTTTTCATTGCTCGCTAATAGACTTAGACTGCCTCGCAAACTTGCAAAGCTACCCTCCTGTGTATCTGCGCCTCTGGCCAGTGTCCTCGACAATGCCGTCTGCGACGCGCGAACAACTACTGTCCGCCGCCCAAGCCTTCTGCGATGCCTTTGCAAGCCAGAAGCCGCCCGAGGAGATCTTCAGCCACTTCTCTGCGTCGGAAGACGTCCTGGCCCTGGAGCATGGGCTGCCAGAACTAGCACCCTTCCTAGGCCGAGAGTTTCGTGGACACAAGGGGCTCCAAGATTATTTCCAGAGCCTGTCGTCGAACCTGAGATATGAAAACATGCGCTTCAGTAATTTCGTGGTGGACGCAGAGGTCTCCAAGGTGTCAGTCCGTGGAGAGGCCAAATTCACTTGGACAAGCACAAATCAGAGCTGGGACGAGGTCTTTACATATGTTCTCGAGTTTGACGAGGACACAAAGGTCAAGGTATACGAGGTATGGGCGGATTCGGGTGCGGCATATCTGGCCAGTAAAGGCCTGCTCAAACAATAAAATAAAACGAAAGCTAAAGCTATCCATCATGATACCATCGTCGCGTCGCGTCAAGGATACATAAATGCAGGCGTGACCTTTTTGGTCAACGCTTGTGCATCTTGGATCCATAAAATGCAGTCGTCATAATCATAAAAGACCAAAACTCATTTCAATCTCGAGTCCAACACGAACCGCACATCGACGAGCATCTCCTTATCATCCTCGTCGAACTTCAGACTATACATGCCTTTCTGGAAGCTCTTGACCTTGGCGCGGTAGAAGGTGTCGGTATCAGGATACTTGGCGTAGACGTTGGCTCCGGTGGGAAACTGAGGAATATTGGTAGCGGTCTGCGGAATCGGCACCAGATCCTTAGCTGTCGCCTTGCGCACGGTTTGTTTCCCCGAAGCATCGTCCTCTGGGTCTCGGACGTCGTATTGGATTCTGGAAAAGGGTTAACATCATCCGATAATCGAGAGTCGGTCAAACTTACGGCTTCTTATCTTGCCACACTTTCTTAATGATACCATGAATCCCGACTCCTTCCTCATGCTCCGCTTGGTCTTTGGGGTATTTGTAAAACACTTCGGTTCCAGGGACCAGTTGGCCAGCCTTCTCTGCTTGGATGCCTTTGTGCGTTTCAGCCGCGTCGTCTTTGGCGCCGGCTGCTGCAGCACGGCTTTGGCTAGCAGTACTAGAGCTTCGCTGCGACGTGCCCTTGACCCGTTTCATCATCTCGAGGCGACCATCTCCTGGACTGGGACCGGGAGATTCCACTGTAACGTCCGGCTCGGCAACGGGCGGCCTCTGATGTTTGCGAGACTTTTGCTGGCCGTTTCTAGGGGCAAGGTCATCGGTAGTCTTCATCGTCGCCAAAATGGCCAGGTTGTTGATGATGTCTTCTTCGTCATGGACCTTCTTCTCCATCTCCGCGTATCTCAGGTTCTCTCGATATAGAGCATCCAGGCGGCGATGGTTCTCAGGTGTAGAATCTGGCGTCGCATTATTATCACTGTCAAAAGAAAACAGAGGCAGATAACATCATCCAGGCTGTTATATGCGGGATAGGAATGCGTTGTTGTCCATGGGATAATCCTTTGCCGAGACACAACACGACTCCGCCAGACTTGAAAGGGATAATAGTACAACAAAAGCACGGACAACTTACGACCATTTAGTTTAATCTCTTCTTCAAGCGCCACGATTTCCTGCCCGATCCGTTTGGACTCGTCATTGTATCCTTGGGCTTTGCGTAAACTTTCGACAGCCCGGCTTAGAAGTTCGTTTTCAAGGTCGCTCTCCTTCCCATCTCGGCCGGTCATGCCTCGGCCTGCTCGAGGCCGCGAACTCATATTGGGTATTGCTCCAGCACTGTGATGATAAAATTAAAATAGACTCGGGACTGTTCCCGCGCTTATGGAGCCAAAGAATAAGGCGCTTTCCTCGATCTGTTGTGAGGGTGCCGTACCAATATCTCTGCCCCCAATCACCCAAGGACGAGTGCTGAACAGTATGGTGCCAGCTGCCTCTTAGGGACAAAATAAAATGTAGGAGTGCCTTGGTTCCATCGCCTACTCGTAGTAGTCGATGTCTTAACGCGAACAAGCAATGCGACCAAGTTATGAGCCCATTGTCATTTGTGATGTAGCATATGGAAGACGGTGGCTTGGGTGGAGAAGAACGATTGGTGTGCGGCAGGAACTACAATGTACTTGTATGGCGGAATCTGGACGAGACGGTCATGGTCATGTGAGTACAAATGCTTGTCACGTTACTGGATTATGTAATCTTTGAATCTCAGCCTTGCGCCGGTCTAAACAGCAAAAACTCAGAGCGACTGAGAAAGGCTACACTCAGCCTCGTACTACGGCCCTCCCAGGAGGCATCCGTGTATACCCAGGGGTCTCCTGAATAACTGATTGGTGTGCAGGCTTTTTTGGTTGACACTACTGGTGGAGGTGAACTTTATGATGTTCGGGTGATAGCCAGAGGTTTCCAACTTGAACTACACCACTCCAGACCGTGAGTGTTGCACAGAATTATGCGATAATAAAATATAACCTACAAACCGCCAGGGTATTGAATTTGTGGTGAGCAGTCACAAGTGGCAGTGAAAGGAACCTCCACTATGGGTGAATGTTGCAAGGCTGAGGTCACGTGATATGGTTCTTTTCAACTGCAAAAGGTGAAGCCACCTCCCCACGAAATTTACTACACGAGATCCACGGATTTCTCGGTCTCCTCCCAATGGGTACAAAAGCCACAGACGACTTTGTTGAATCCCAAGTACTTCAGCAGGGAAATGGCATGCGTGGTGCTGATATTAAAGTTCCGGACATGGAAATCACGTGAGAGAAATACTACCCTCTTATTGGTCCGACATTGACCACGTTTCCCGCAATTGAGACCTGTCACTCGTTGATAGTGTCATTGAGCCCTTCCTCCCCCTTTTTCACCGCCAGGACTCCTTTGACCAGAATTTTCTCATCCAAGTCAAATTGAGACAACTTCGAGATATATTTACGCAGACGTTGAAAGTGGTTTGTGAACAGTTTCAGACTCAAAGATGCAGGTGCCTTTGATCCGGCTTCAATGCGGTGAGCATTACGTTTCGTCTCGTCATTTAGATCTAGACTAACGATGTAAAGGCTGCAACAGCTATGACTGGGGTAAGAAGAGATGATGCAAACGAACATCCCGGCAAACTGGAGACTGACGCCCTGAAGGCAAGAAGGGAAAGACATCAGCTGCAGCCAGATATGCTGCTGCCACACCATCCGACACATTTTCCATCCAAGATGACAAGCCCTACGCCGAGGTACGTGTGTGATATGATTGAATCTCATATCCTAGCGGTGGGAAACTGATCGTTCTTCTTCAAGTTGTGGATGGGCACCCACCCATCTCTGCCATCTAAAGACCTGACCACGGGACGGAGTCTGCTTGACCTGGTGGCAGACAACGAAGCACTAATGGGAAGCGACATCACTGCCAAATACAACAAGAAGCTCCCATTCTTGTTCAAAGTGCTGTCCATTGCCAAAGCACTATCGATCCAGGCGCATCCAAACAAAAAACTGGCGGAAAAGCTGCACGCCAAGGACCCTAAGAACTATCCGGACGACAACCACAAGCCGGAGATGACGATCGCCATCACGCCGTTCGAAGGGCTATGTGGGTTCCGACCGCTCAAAGAAATTGCACACTTTCTAGCCACCATCCCGCCTCTTCGGGAACTGGTTGGCGAGGAGCAAGCCAAAGGACTCGAGGAAATTGCCAACTCGTCATCCGCCAGTGAGGAAGAAGCCAAATCGCGGCTCAAAGCCGCATTCAGCTCGCTGATGAAGACGCCTCGCGACAAAGTGGCGGCCAAATCCAAGGAACTGGTCGAACTCGCGCGATCCGGCAAGATCAGCCCTGGACCCAGCGTCAACACGCCCGAAGAGCTGTGCGAGCTGGTGCAGCGGTGCAACAGTCAATTTCCCGAAGACATTGGCCTTTTCGTCCTGTTCTTCCTGAACTACGTCAAACTCTCGCCCGGTCAGGCCATGTATCTGAAGGCCGACGACATCCACGCTTATATTTCTGGAGACATCATCGAGTGCATGGCCAGCAGTGACAATGTCATCCGCGCGGGATTCACGCCCAAATTCCAAGATGTCGATACTCTGACCGACATCCTCACCTACGACCACGAGCCGCCCGAGAAACAGCTGCTCCAGCCCGTGCCTTACCCCTACGTCACCCTCAACACTACCGCCTACAGCTCCGGTAGCGAGTCGCTGCTGTATGACCCACCCATTGAGGAATTCAGCGTCGTGCGCACCGTGCTCAAGAAACCGGGCGCAAAGGCCACTTTTGAAGGCATCGCCGGCCCCAGCATCGTCATCTGCACTACGGGTCAGGGCAAGGTCAGTGTCGGTCCCAAAGTCGAGGATATCAAAGAGGGTTGGGTCTACTTTGTCGGCGCGACCGCCGAGCTGGTCATCGAGAGCACCAGTGATGAGCTGGTCACTTTCCGTGCCTTTTGCGAGATAGATGGGGATGCAAAGGAGAATGGTGTCCATTGACTATCTGTAGTAGCAGAGAGGAAGCAGAAGGAGACTGCTGAGGCCAAGCTATAAGCGGTCTGTCTGTTTGGGTCAAAAGCACTTGGTGCGGCTGAGGGCGTCGAAACCCTTGCAGCCATATCAGACGCAAAAAGAATGAACGACTGAATATGAGAAACCGGACATAGGTCATGAGACTTTGACAAAAGCGCATGGATGCGGGGGGATAGGTCAAGATTGGCAGTGTTGTTAGACTCATGATACTGTACACGGAGCCTAGCGGCAAAGCAACAGAACATCCTTGATGAACTTGAAGTGCTTTTGCCAGTTGTTAGATCTGATTTGGCAGATCTGGTTTGGCCTGACGGACTGCAGGTTATCCAGCCGTTCAAGCTCCGCTCGCTGTCAATCACGCCTCGTGCCACTTACCTAGTACTACTTTATGCCACACTTGACAAAGTGATCTTCTCGACTCGCATTTGCATCGCATATCTCCGCATCAACCCCCACGGGGAACAACCAACGGCCACTTACTGCAGTGCCGCCCACCTAAGGTCAGGTTGGTAGATGATTGCCAGTGTCATGTACTAGAGGACGGATCTGCCAGAACCAGACCCTTGAAAGGCGCCGCTGATAACCTCCTCAGGCCGGCCATGTGAAGGATCCCCCAATTTATAAGCCAAGTCCCACTTGCATGTTACATTTCCAACGTCAGTTCGGGTCTCTTTCTGAGGCCGCTGTTTGCTGCCCGTCTCACTGCTTTACATGGATCAGGACACTGGTCAATTGAGAACTTGATTACTATCGAGATAGATGAATATCCAAGCCAGGGCGCAGAACGGCCGAACGACGCCAGAATATCTACCGACCCAGAAGTCTCCTGTTCCTCTTCCTTGGTCCTGACACTAGTGCAGTGAAATTCAAAGAAGACTGAAATAGCGATTCGCTCATATCTGTCAGGGCAGCATACCAGAAACAAGGAGAAGATGGCGCCCATCAGAGTAGGAATTGTAGGATTATCAAGCAAGCCGGGAGCGTGGGCGACGCTGGCGCATCTGCCTCGCCTGGCGGCATCGCCAAACTACCAGATCGTGGCATTGTGCAACTCGACATTGGAATCGACCAAGGCGGCCATCAAGGCACATAACCTGCCCGAAACGACCAAGGCTTACGACTCATACGACAAACTGGCAGCCGATCCGGACGTCGACCTCTACGTCGTCTCGACGCGAGCAGATACTCACTATGACGTGGCCATGCCTGCATTGAAGGCAGGACGCAATGTCTTTGTGGAATGGCCGCTGGCTGCAACTACAGCACAGGCCAAGGAGATGGCCGATTTGGCAAGACAAAAAAATCTCAAGACCATCATCGGTCTCCAGGGCCGTCTGTCGCCCAGCGTGAGGAAAGTCAAGGAACTCGTCGACACGGGGGCTCTGGGTGAGATTCATAGTGTCAATTACCACGGGGCCATCCATGTATGGCAAAACAATGCGGCGAGTGACCGATATCACTACTTCATGGACCGCAGAATCGGGGGTAACCTCCTGACCATATATGGTGGTCACATCCTCGACTCCATCTTTTATGCTGTCGGGGAGCTGCTGCCAGGCAGTTATACCCCGTTGGCAGCCAACCTGAGACCCCGAATGCATATCATGAAAGCCGACGGGTCGCTGTCGGAGGAGCTTTATGACAAAGACACCCCGGATCAGATCTTGCTTCAAGGTCGGCTGGATAGGAACCCGCAAGCGGTGTTCAGCTTCCATCTGAGAGCAGGGGACAGGTTCATCGGCGGGCCTGGATCCACGTGGCGGATTTACGGAACAAAAGGCGAATTGGTGGTTGAGTTCGCCAGTGCAGGTCCCCAGATGGCGAAAGCGGCCAGTATCCGATTTTCGAATGCTGAGAAGGGTGAAATCGAAGAGATCACCACTGATGAGGGTGGTCCGGAATGGACTGATCTTCCAACCCAAGGTCAGAATATTGGACGTTTGTACGAGGCATATGCCCAAGGTCAGCCGTACGGTGACTTTGACCTGGCTGTCAAGAGGCATGAGTTGATTGATGAGTTCTGGGCCACCATGTCATAGAGCCATTGTTGCTCAAAATGCAATATACATACTGTACCTGGCTATCAGGTTGTTTGAGAAGACTGAGCAGGGTGTGTTGATGTCTCGAGACCCCGATCGGGCTTCATGCTCGTGAGCGGACCAATGTAGACCGCACCTCCGCACTGATGTTGAATGAGGACGGCGAAGCTATACCATCGACACTAGGTGACCGGTGCTTTCCATACCTACAACACATTCAAGTCTGAGCTAGAACCGTCTCAATGGTGCCTGTATCGTCGGGTAATAGTAATGACGGGATTCATCAATATCTGGCTTGGTCACCTGAGTCGAGCTGCAGCTTCGATCCAAGTTCCGCGGACGCCGATGTCATCGCGATTGTCGACGTCATGCAGTGGCCGGCAGCGCGTCACGTGCGATCTGGATCGGTCAGGCACAAGTCGTAGTAGGAATCGCAGTTCGTCAAGACCAGTACAAGTGCAAGCGAGGGAGGCTCAAGCAACAGCCTGAGGCATACCTTCTTTCGATAACTGTGGGTTGAACATAACAACCCCTTTTTGACACGAATCTCTTGTGGATCGAAGATTGTTGTTGTTCCTTCAACCGAATCGTAGCCCTTCCTTTCAACCCCCGAGAATGCCCGAGCAGATCGAGCATGACAATGGAACGGCGGTAATTGGACGGGTGGATGGAGAGCGGCGCCACTTTTCCAGCGTCGGCGCCACAGTTGGCAGGCCAGAAGCAGCAGCAATGCCCGAGCGTTTATTGGCCGCTGCATTATGGGCGTCGTCTCGCCGGCTCTGCGCCCGGCCTGCAAAACCGCGCAGTCCACTCACCTCCGTCATACGTTTTTCCTTCTCTTCTGTTCCTTGTTGAACTTTTTTTGCTTCATTCATACTCTACTTTCTCCTATATACACCACCTCGAGCTCATTCACTGCTTCAGACTCAGTTGAAGTGTAACTCTATTACTACCAACACTTACATTTTCTCCTCATAACTAATACCCGCAAAAATGGGCAAGGACGACGGATTCAAGGAAGGTATGTGATGGGCTTGTCTCAATGCCGTTATAGCTTCGCAGCAGCTTCACCATGCTTCGGTACTACCCCAACTGTGATGCGGTCGTGTCCTTGGACGCCGGCGATGCTCGGCCGGGTCTCTAAGTTGGCCTGCGCACCCTGTACACGCTCGTCGACGACTCTAGCTTTCTGAGCATCGCCTCCAATCCCTCACACGACTAGCCCCAACCCAGTCGCCGTTCGTCCCTACAGCCTGCGGAGATGACATGATCAATTCTCGACACCTGTCTCAGGAGTCGGATAAGAGCTGCAGTCAACATGGGCGGAACAAGGACTTGAAGCTGCTGCGGAGAAAGTCTACAGTTCAAGAAGAAGGAAGGAAGCTCACAATCTCCCTTTACAGGTGACGCGAAGAAGGGTGCCAACCTCTTCAAGACGAGATGCGCTCAGTGCCACACTGTCGTCGAGTCGGAAGGCAACAAGATCGGCCCTAACCTGCACGGTCTCTTCGGCCGCAAGACTGGTTCCGTCGAGGGCTACTCCTACACAGATGCCAACAAGCAAAAGGGCATCACGTGGGACGAGAACTCTCTGGTATTTATTCGCCCTGTACCGGACTAATTCGGCTACAAGTTCTAACTCGCATCAGTTCGAATACCTCGAGAACCCCAAGAAATACATTCCTGGCACCAAGATGGCCTTCGGTGGTCTGAAGAAGGCCAAGGACAGGAACGACCTGATCACGTCCGTCTTTCCCCACAAGCCTCACTCGGTGTACATCTTTGCTAACATGTAACAGCTGGCTGCGTGACAACACGAAGTAAACTGCGCGAATCATTCACGATTTTGGATCCGGCCCCTCGATTGTTTGTCGCTCTCGGGTTCAACGGCTGTTGTATCATCAAAGACGGCGGAGGCGCATATTTACTTAATCTGATCATTTGGAGCTTGCATACCACCCATCGATGGAACACGCTCCGGAGAAGCCGGTAGACCAAGCTTGTGTACATAAACCTTTTGTGGCTTTCTCAGCGTACCTGCGTTTTGCACACGACTGGCAGACATAGCTGCGAAGTACCAACAATCAAGCAACTTCTCTGCTCCACGATCTTCTTGTCACTGCGGACTTTCGTCATGTTGGTTTTCTGCGTCTTGACTGTACAGCTGCGAGCGAGCCATGTTCCAATTGAGTGGATTTTGTGGAGTCAAAAAAGTCCAGGCTGTTAGAGCCGACGATTCTCACTGCCTGATTCAGAAACCAACGAGAAGGCTTTACCGAGCAGCAGTGACAGAAGCTAAAGATGCGGCCGTCCCTTCGCCCTTGCATCAAGAATCCTGGTTCCAGCTGCATTAGGGAAGCTGATTGGTAGGACTCCTCGTCTCCAAACCGCAGCGCCTCAAGTGCCAGCTGTCCCAGCCTCCAACATTTCACTTTCCCTCACACCTGCTCTCTGGCACCCGTCTCTCTATGCTGCGTTTGGGTTCACGTAGCGTGGGCGTCGTGCGGGTGAGCCTACACGCACGTCCCCTCCAGTAGGCATCATGGTGGTGTTAACTGCGTCTCCCAAAGAGGCTGGGCCGATTGACACATCCCGCATTCTTCAGACAATGGACTTCTCTATTTCGCCTTTTCAAACGTGATGTATCCTTGACTTCTCCATTCCCTTGTTGAGAACTATCCAAGACCAATCGTTGCTTCTTTGTTCCTTGGTTCATACCACCCAGTTGCTGCCTGGCAGTGGTGACATCCTCTTGTTATAGCGTTCCCCTTCAGGAAGGAGACCGTATTGTTGACCGGCCATCCCGCCTTACTTACTTTCGCAGCCTCATCTTGATGCTTCAGTTCCCCTCTTCTTGATTATCTTGGTATGGCTGCCATGATGGCTGCTGCGCCTTTCGACGATTTTTATGCCGGGGCCGTTCACGACGATGCGCATTCGCTGCTAGAAGCCTCGATCGAAGACTTTGAGGAACAGGAACGACGCTCGCCCCTCCTTTCCGCTTTCAGATCAGACCGTGGTGACAGCGAGGTTGACGAGCGATCGAGTACAGGCTTACCATGGTCTCCTCCCGGATTTAAAACACGAAGCGCGAATGCGACTGGATGGTTTAGGCATGACCCCTATGGACGATATGATTTGCGACCATCGATGAGCCCGTCAAGGTCGCGACAGACCAGCCCGGAGGTTTATCAAGATGCTACAGAAGGAGATCCGGATATCACGTTAGCGGTCAATACACCCTTACCCGCTGGCATGGATTCACCGATACGGGAGCGCTCCCCGGAGACGCAACCCCAACATGATGTGAAGATTTGCGAGGATAATCAGGACGCGCCTGCTCCCAGAGAGAATAACTGTAAGCCCAACCGTCGCGACCCATATTGATGCACTACTGATCACCACGGATCTAGACATTCGGTTACAACTCCGCGCCGAAGTGCAACATCGCGAGCCTTTCGTCCCTTTTCTTGATTTTGTCCAGCGCAAGTTTGATGCCATGACGAAAACGAAATCCACCACGCTTATTACCCTACTTACAAGCATCCTTGTTGCATCTCTGCTACGCATCATCCTCGTTCCACCTATCCCTCCGCCGGTCCCCGATCTCGTCAAAGTCTCGACGCTGGCCAGATCGTTCGAACCCTTGATCTTCTATTCGGAGAATGGCTACACGCAGATAACAGCACTGCAAGAAACGAGTGTGGCGGTCTGGGATCTTGGAGAGTCGGTCAGGAGTGCCAACATGACCTCTGCGCCGCTTATTGTTCGGTCATTGGATGAGTTGTCGGAAAGCTTAAAGTCGCTTGGACTGGAGTTGACTCGTTTCTTTGCCGACGTGGATGCGGACGTTGACAGTATTCTGTTAGTGATGGACTGGGCCAAGCGGGAACTACAAGGTCTCTCGGCGACCACAGAATATTCCATTTCTGGAACGATTTTCGATCACCTGCACGGTCTGCTGAACCGAGGGGGCTTTTTGGAGTCATCCACTACAGGACAACCCACCGCTCTAGGGAGATTTCTGACCGACATCTTCGGCTCCAGCTCGCCGCAGAAGGCCAGGGCGATGCTGACGAGGACATTCCACGAATTCGTCAATGTGCTCGAGGAGTCGATCAACAGTGAATTGACGCACTCGGCGGCCCTGTTTGCCCTGTTCGAATCGATCGATCGCCAGTTTCAAAATCTACAGCGGGTAGTGGTGCGAGAAACGGACACGCAAGAGAGGCTGGAAAACGATCTTCTTTCGTCGTTATGGACTCGGGTCTTAGGTTCCAATGCCGCGATGCTGAGAAAGTACGAGAAAAACAAACAACTCTTGTCGAGCGTGCGGGCCCGGACTGTCAACAACAAGCGTCTGCTTGTGGAGCATCATGGCCGTCTGCAGACCCTTAAGGCCAATCTGGAGACATTGCGCAAGAAACTGGTCAGCCCGCTGGTGAGGAGGAATGACTCGGTCAGTATCGACAATGCAAGCGTCGTCGACCAGCAGATCAAAGGCCTGGAAGGAACTTATGAATATCTCCGGGCCGTGAGGGAAAAGCAGAAGAGCAAACTCATGGAAATGGTTTATGGCGCAAAGGCTGCACGGTCGAGATTGGTTGAAGTTGATGCTTCGGACTCAAATGCTATTCATGATTGATTAGTGCTAGATACATAGTATCTTGGTGGCAGATACTATGTACTTCGTGATGTGGCGGTCCGCGCAAAGCTGGATACTGGGACTGCGTAAAGGGAGGCGTTCTTGTATGATAAACCTAACATTGTTATCACTGCAGTCCACTTGAGCATTCTGAAATTGTGTTATATATTGTTGTAGATCGTACATGTTCAGCCTTGTGACGGAGATATACTCGCCTGTAAATTGTTAACTCCGGTCGCGGGTATCATTTATTGTCAGTTCTTTTTCAATCAAGTCACCACTGCCAGTGGTCCTACATGATAGATGCGGACTTGCCAGTGAGACGTGAATAATTCCTTTCTTTTTGTGGCGTCTCATTTCAACTTCCGCCCGGTCAGTGGTTTGCACAGTTTCGTCGCTTTTCAGTTTCCGAGTGCTTCAAGTTTACCAGAAGAAAACCCGTCACGGCCAACTTGTTCGAACCTCTGCAACTTCAAGTTAAAGTAAACCAGACGAAGCCACAAACCTACCGTACCGCCGCATTACCCTTTTGTTGAGTTCGAAGTTCCTTTCTACAGTATCTCTTCTCATCTCACGCCGCTGCGCCGATACTACGACAATGCCGTCCCTCGCCTCATCGCTACCCTTCTCCCCCGCCGAACTCGCCTATCTACACAGCTCGCTCGCGTCCGTGCCGCCATTAAGACCCGATGCACGATCATCAGGCACAGATTTCCGGCCCTTACACGCCGAGACAGGCGTCCTTCCCGCGGTCAACGGTAGCGCACACGTGGGCTTCAGCGATGGACGCGAGGCCATAGTCGGGGTGAAACTCGAGGTTGAAAAGACGAAGACGACGACGAACAAACAGCGACAACAAGTTGTGGACGATACGGAGATGACAGATACAGGCGCAGCAGCAACGCAGAACAACCCCAGAAGTTCGAGTAAACCGGAATGGATCAGTCTCACACTCACAGTGCCGGGCGTACGAGATGACGATTCCAGCCTGGCGTTCCTGGAAGAAATGTTACGGGAGCCGTTGGTGACTGCTTTGACAGAGTCGGATTCTGCTGGTACTGGGACAAATTCGGTGCAGGATAAATTGGTCATCAATTCACGGTGGCATTGGCACGTCTACATTGACGTTTTGCTAATTTCGCCAAACGGTCTCGCTAGTTATCCGCTCCCATTGCTGAGCATGGCGACGCATCTTGCCCTGCGAGACACGCGGGTGCCTAAACTCAAGAGTGAAGGCGAGGAAGATCCTGTTGCCGATGACGATTGGATGGCCAGTACGTATCTGTACCCTAGAAAGAGCACTGGCACGAATGCAGGCGGGAGTGCTGGTGCTACTGTTAGTCGGCCACCGGTTATTCTGTTGGTCGTCGTGGTGGGCGAAAATGCCATTTTCGACCCGAGCAGAGAGGAGTTGGCGGTTGCTGATGGCCTGGTTGCTGTGAGTGTGGCTACTTCTAGTAGTAGTAGCGGTGGGGGAGAAAGGCAAGAAGAAGAGAATTACAGAGTTCTGGCTGTGCGGATGATCGATACCCCCGCAAGAGATACCATGAAAGGAGTGCCTAGGTCTGGTGAGGCTCAAGAGGGTGTCGACGTTCCCGGCGTCTGGAGGCCCAGGGTGGGCGGGATCAAGAGAAGTCTGTTGAAAGCTGTTATTAAGGCCGTTGTTGTTGATGGGGTCGCGAGGGATGTCATGACGGGGTTGGATGGGTTTTTGAACCTCGAAGAAGCTGGTGTTGCAAAGGCAACTGCTGGTGCTGTCTGACGAAAGCGAGTGTTCTCAAGGAGATGGCAAGATATGGCCGGTGAGTCTGCGGGTGTTAGAGCACAGGATGGGTTCGAGAGCATGCCATTCCCGGCTTTACTCGTGTGCTACGCTACGCCTCTCAGGCCTTTTCACCAGAAATGGGATTCTTGTTCTCGGGAGTTGTCTCGACACAACCATCTATTGAGCCGGTTTGGAAATATCAAGTCGCGGCAGCAAAAAGAACAATATCCCCTCACGACGGATGCTTCATGAAGAGAGATCGTTTGTTTCGAAAATGCGATCGCTGAGACGAAACTCACTGAAAGTTTAACAAGCACCTCACCATGCATGCAAGGGTGGAAATGGACATTTGTATTCCCCACGGCTTTATGGAGAAGAGAAGCCCGAAGCAGCACTGCAAAGCTTAACGCCGTCCAAGTGCGGCTGGACTTTGACAACAATCATCCAGACACGACAAAGAAAAGAAACCAAGAGGAAAGGCGTTGAGGTGCCAAAGCTTAACTGGGCTCGACCTCGACCTCGACCTCGACCTCTAAGAGAGGCCGGCCTGGCTCCCCCGTCGTCATCATCATGACCACGACCTGTCCATGCATTGGCCTTGCGAAGGGGCCAAAGAAGGTAGCAAGACAAGAATCAAGAATGAGACGGGGGGGTTCAGTCTCGCTCTACATGCAACATTCCAGTGGGTCGGTTAAGCGTCGCTCCGTCTTCACTACAAGGGATGACTGGGGAGAGGCTCAGTTTCGCAGTGGAATCAGTCCTTCTCATGTGTTACTACCGTGGTATTATCAATGGCTGTGGGGCTCATACTTTTTGGCCCAGAGACCGTAACTGTCTGCTGTACAACGGGCACCGCGAACAGAAACGGTGAATGTTCAGAGGATAGCAGTGGCAGTGACAGTGACAGTGGCAGCGGCATGATTAAAGGGAGGCTAGGGAGGCTATTCCACCTTCAATACTGTTAGCACTACTATTCAAGATGCCAATTAACATTGGATTTAAAACAAGGTTTGACTCATTCATCTGTTTTCATTTCGAGCAAAGAGGCTGCTCTTGCTCGCGTACAGTACATATTCTCGTAACATGACGATTTCTTGTCCATACGAGGTGGTCGCCAGAAGCATTGAGGTATGATACCAGCGAAGTCCGGCTGAAAAGGGCAGAGCAACATCACAGTCCGTGCCCTTCCCTTCGGAATAACCAGACATGGCTATGCCATGCTCACATCAATTCCATGCCGTGCCACATCATGCCGGAATGATTCATTTGCCGTGACTTAATTTATGCCCTCTCACTCTCCAGGACACCATACTGACCACCCTGGACACCGACGCCACCTTCCTCAGTCGACTGTTTCTGGCGCTGAGCTCCGCCCTCGACGCCGGCGGAAGAAAGCTCGGTCTCGAGGTCCGTGTTACGAGACGCGAATTCGTTCTCGGCGACACGACCGGGATCGTACTGGCCACCCACATTACCAGTGAAAGTCTTCGGTTTGGGGATGGACCCGGTCTCGTCGGCGTCTTCCAAGTTCTTGCCCTTGGGCTTGTATGTGCCATCGGATCTCGCGGCACCCGTCACATTGGTCACGTAGCTCGGGGCAGTGTCGGCCTGGCCACGTTGGTTGTTTCCACCATCGTTGGCACCGCCGTAGTATCCATCTTTGTTGTGGACGCCGTCAAAGTCCGGCTTGCCTGCGGCATCGAGTTTCAATCCGCTTGTTCCTTGCACACTCTTGTCAGCACCGGCGCCGGTGTACTGTTGTCGTTCTCGTTCTGCTCCCGATGCAGCCGGCTCTAGCTTTCGAGCCCCCGATGTGTCTGTGTTGGCGAAGGTCGATTGGTCACCTCGCACCGATTGGGCGGCCGCGCCGCTGTTCTCGGAAAATGCACCCTTGTTGTCTAGTGATTCTGCTGCTAGAGAGTCTGCGGCAATGGGGCCCGTGGGCTCGCGTGGTGCGTTCTCGTGGTCGGGCTTGGGTGCTCGTGGGTTCAAAGAGATCGTCATTTTGGCTGATATGTCAAGTCAAAGTCGTGGATCGTCGATTGTATTTTGGGTAGATGGAGGTCTCAGTGTAGTCTGATGTCGAAAATGAACTTGAAGAAAAGGAATCAAGTCGATCGAAGAAGCCAAAGGTTATAACTTGTATGATGCAGTCGTGTGCCCAAGTAACTTTCTCCCTTTGCCTCGAGTGACATCATAAATGTTGTCACTGTGGTGCGGTGTGAAGTCACGCTGATGTGATCTCAACCGGGCCTCCAAGGGACCAACTACCGCCAATGAAATGTCAAAATAACACAGGGACCCCAACATTGCAGTATCAGTGCTACTGCTGATGTATGGTGGACATTTCTGGCTCGTTCGATTATCCTTGTATGGGTATTCATGCTTCATATCATTTTCTATCTCGTCATACCCTGTGCACGTACCTTCCTTTACCTTGGCGGCCATCAACTAACAGTATCGGTCTACAGATACTCGGCAGAGAAGTAGAAACCCTTGCACGGCTATCATATCAACCCGACCAACAGCCTCGTCTTGCCCGGACTTCTATCAAATACCCGCTTACTTCAAGGCCTTGCGTGCAAACGTCGGTAGGATGAAGCTTGCCTGGTGGATCTCCTTGTTGTAGTATCTGCACAGTTTGTCCTCTTCCTCCGGACTCCACGACCGCAAGGGCACCTTGACGTCCCGGTTGGGATCCTTGCAGCAGACCATGAACCCGATCTGGCCCGAAGGATAGGTGGGAATGGTGGTGTAGGCGTACTCGACCACAGGGAAGACTTCCTTACAGTCTTTCTTGAGTTTGGTGATGAGCGGCAGGTGAAGCCATTGGTTCTCGGCTGGACGACAAGAATGTTAGCATATTTCACACTTGGAAGCTAAAATGAACAGGTGTAGGGAGGGATGGGTGCGCACAACCTTGGGTAGTAATGACACCACCGTCTTTTAGGGCTCCATAGAGAAGCTCAAAATAAGGCTTTTGGAACAAGGACTCGGCCGGGCCTTCTGGATCACTGCTGTCGGTGATAATGACATCGAACTCGTTCTTGCGATCAGCAAGGAACTTGAAACCGTCGCCAATGTGGACGTCAACAGCCGGGTGTTGGAAGCCAATGGACATTCCTGGCAGATATTTCTTGCTGACTCGGATGACGGCCTCGTCAATGTCGCAGAGGATTGCCTTCTCGACCGACTCGTGCTTGACCACCTCCCGCAGAACACCGCCGTCACCGCCGCCGATGACCAGAACTGACTTGGGGTTTGGGTGCGAGTTCATCGCCAAGTGTGTGATCATCTCTTGATAAGAAAACTCATCCCGCTCCGTGCATTGGATGACGTTGTCCAGGACGAGCACGGTGCCGTGGTCACTGCTCTCGAAAACAAGGACATCTTGATACTTGGACTTTTCGTGGTGCAGGACTTGGTTGACCTTCAAGATCATCGCCTGGCCAGGCCACATATCGGAGATTTCTCTGAACCAGCCATCTGTAGCGCGTGGGATATGGTTAAAATACCATCTTGCGGTGCCGGAATCGGAAAAAATTACTTACCTTTGATGGTGGGATGAGTGATTTCGGACATCTTTACAGAACAATGACCTGTTTTGGGACGATGATGGTATTGTTTGAAGCGAGTGAAGCCCGGTGGGGTGTTCAACGACCGGCTACGAAGATAGCGGCACGAAGAGAAAAGAGGAAGACGGAGAGTCAAAACGAGTGAAGGAGTAGCGGTGACAATGGTGTCTGCTTGTCAAACGACTCTTGCTTTGCTACTCCGATCTAGGCAAAGGGTCTATCGCGGTCAGGTGGTGAGAAAGAACGCAAGTGTTGTGTTGTGCAGAGTTGCGGTTGAGTCGCTGCTGTCACTGGCACCGTCCATCTCCATGCTCCAAATTTTTTTCTCGTTGGTAACTTCTGGTTTGGCGCAGGCGGGGCAAGTCTCCGGGAGTCTGATCGGCTTCAAGCGGCCACTGCACTGCAGTAATTCGTCCCGCAGCCTGCGCCAGGGCCAACACTGGCTGCCTTGAACCCCATCACACATCGAGCCTCTTCTCAGTCAGTAACCAACGGCGCTGTGCTTCCGCAGTCTCCCGTCAGCCTCTCGCCCTCTGAGGTTCTGTCAGGGCGTGACACAGCCAGCAGCCCTGACAAAGCCCGAGAAGCAGCCACAGGCACCTGACAGGCCACAATACCCACTACTAGACCTAGCATCCGCCTCAAGTACCTTGAGCGGCGGGATATACCAGATTTGACTGTCAAGGTCTGGAAGGCTTGATAATAAATGTCTTTCAAATCTTCAAAGTAAAAGTGCTATATAAACCGGCAAGGCTGATACACAGGGGGTGGTCGACAAACATATCCAGAGAATCAAGCACACAGCTACTTCCACGACGTCTTCAACTCCGTCCCCCTGGTACCGTCCATCACTTTTCTGATCTTATCCATGTCCACTTCCTTCTTTGGAGTGCCCAGATACCACGTAATGTCGCTGCCATCTCTCTCGCAGACGTGGAAGCCATTGCCAAAGAAGCTGAACATGTCGTCTGCTTCGTCATACTCAATGTCAAAGTCTTCATATCGAGGCGTTTCCATACAGCGAAGGAAGTGCAGGCGAGAGCCCGGCCAGATCGCCGGTTTCCCATCAATCTTACCTCCTTTGAACCAACTCGAGCAGGGCCCGGTCCATGCTGTTCGCTTGAGGAACGAGTCGGCATGCCGGATAAAATGATCCACAACCTTTTCTTTGGGCCGCAGCGATCGGATGTTCTCGACCTGCATCTTTTCAATCACCTGCATGGCGTAGTTGCTATATCCCTGAATGAGAGGGAAGAATGATCCATGTGCCGAGGGACAATAGGCCCCGCCAAAGACAAGGTAGTTGGGCACTCCGGCCAGTGCAACGCTAAGGTAAGACGGACTATGAGGTAAGTCTTTCCATTCATCCCGTTTGTCTGACCCGTTGACAATCAGAGGAAATCGTGGTTTATAAGACGTGTCAAATCCAGTTGCACAGATGATGACGTCCACTTCTTGCTCGTTTCCATCGGGATCAATAAAACCCTTTTCGGTGATGCGTTGAAGTTGTGAGGTATAAGCCTGCGTCTTCTCCCCCGCGAGGGCCTGGAGATATCCATTTCCAGGGGTCGGCCGGCGGCAACCTACGTAAAATCCGGTAGGCATGACTTTCTCCAACAGATCGGGCCGGTCTTTCAAGTGTGTCTTCATCTCATTCTCTGAAAACTCACGCGCCTGCTTTTGAGCCGGAGATCCGTTGATGATGAAGCCAAATCGCTGGTTGAGCTCTTCCTCGATCATTTTGCAGTAGGCCAGGTATTCGTCCGGATCCTCGAACAGTTTGCGTTGCTCTTCACTGTAGATGAAATTGGCCCCGTCTTTACCGGCAAAGTTCTGCGCGAACCCTGCGGTGATCCAGATTTTGTTGCGGATCCAGGTATACACCTTGTCCACCTTGCCATAGATATTTGGCAGTATCTGCACGGCACTGCTGCCGGCTCCAATTAGTGCGACTTTCTTGCCGGTAAGATCCGTGTTTTCGTCCCATTGTGCAGAGTGAAGGAGGGTTCCCTTAAAATCATGGAGACCTGGGATGTCTGGCCACTTCCATCTGTTCAGGACACCTCCGCCGTCAATGATGAAATCCGCATGATCGTCAAATACTCGACCGGTTGCAAGGTTCTCAACACGGACAGTCCATTGACCGGTTCCGTCATCCCAAGAAAGGGCAACGACTCGATGTCGAAGTTTGACATATTTCTCAGTGAAGTTGTTCTCTCGGTCGACCGTCTTGAGATATTCCCAGATCTCGGGTGAGTGTGAGTAGTACTTCGACCACGGGGCAGGACGCCATGGGAATTGATAAACTACACTCGGTATATCTTCTTGCTGTCAAAGACGGATTCATCACAAGACTTGCACAACTTACCACAAGCGCAACCTGGATACCGGTTCTCGTACCACGTCCCTCCGATATCGGGATTCTTGTCATAACATATGATCTCGACGTTCTTGAGCCTCTCTTCGGCAAACTTGAAGAAGTTCAACCCGGACACCCCAGCCCCGAGCACGGCGATCCGCATCTTTTTGTGAGAGCCATATAGCTGTTCGAGTATTTCCACATCTTCAGGAGACGGGTTGTTGACCAGTGGACGCACTTCATTCCGACCGAGCTCGGGGTCAGTACTCTTGTCAGGTGGGATATACATGCCCCTGTAGCCATTGTCGACCGCAGAGGGAGCCATATTATGGCGTGTAGGAAGGGAAGCGGCAGATAGAAAGCCCAAGTTCCCCGCGCGATATTGTATTCGTCTTCCGGGTGACCAGGAACAGTGTATCTCCTGACAAGAGTTGTGCAAATACTCGACTCAGACAGGACGGTGGCGGATATAACGACCTTTCCAGAGGGAGGAGCACAAACCTCGGTAGCTTACCTCATGTTATAATCAGTTGGCGATTTTGAAGCCTCTGGCATTCTTGTGGGTTTGGGGTCGATAGGAGCCGACTCGGCTGTGCTGCTGTACACCAGTAAGACTCCCTTGTCCTATACGCGAGAAGCCGTAGTCAGTACCGACAAGCTGCGGAGGGAGAGTGTCAGTGTCAGGAGCTCCATTCTCCGCATTGTCGGAGAACCGAGGCTCCGGAAGGCTGAAGTCAGAAGGGTGCTCGTTTACTAAGCATGAGGCACTCTTCGCACGAGAAGCGTCAGCAGAGGAGATACTGCGAGGTCTAAGCTCAAGCAGGCGTGGTGGATATGCATCTCAGCACTGGGACGATATAGCAGAAAATGGTACATACTGTACTATTTGAAGGAGTACCTTTCAGGAGAAGAGAGACAAGGCTGCCGTCATTATTTGCCCGCGAGGCTCAGCCTCAACCAAGCCCGGGAAAATCAATTAATCCGACTCCGCCACAACCGTTGGTCTCGGCCGCCACCTGAGTGGATAGACATTGTGTTGTCTGACGGACGGTTGTCGCACCTGACTGCATTAATAATCCTGTCAGACACTCCACGATTTGCCCCCAGCCTCTGAGGTTGACGCAACGACCCTGGCGGCGTTGCAGTGTCACTCAGGCTCCGGACATTCCAATCCACTGACTGCTGCACCACATTTCAATTCGGGTCTCGATCTTCTCGAATCCTCGAAGACGAAAGCCTTAACACACACGCATTCTGACTGCGCCTCAATAACACCAGACTGTTAGGCTGTCTTATCAGCGGCACTTCACTTTACAAAACCCTCCTGCTCGCCTTCCGCCGTGGACATCATCTCTCCATCCTCCATCTCAATCGTCCCAATACCAGATCCACTTACATCTCTACAGCCTTATCAGCAGCGAAGTCGTCAACATGACGGAAATCATGCAGCGGTCTCCTCCGCCTATTCAGACACAGAATATCACGTCCAGCTCTCCTCCAACCTCGACCGGATCTTCCCCAGTGTCTCTGTCTCGAAAGCGATCGCATTCTCCCTTGTCGCTCGACTTGTCCTCTCTACCGCCGCTTTCGCAGCCGTCACCGCCTTCCAACACTCTTCTGATCACACGCCTCGATGACCCCAAGATCTTCCACCCTGCCTCATTGGCCACGATTAGACAGCACATCAACGAGATCGCACCGCTCAACTCGTTCTCCCCACTCAAATCCCTCCATCGCATAATCTGCTCCTTCTACGACGTAGACGGAGCAATCAGAGTACGGCAGGAGTTTGACGGCGCCGCTGTGCTGGGTACAACTGTTGCAAAATGCTACTTTGGGGAACCCACCCCAATCGGGGATGAGAAGAAATATCTCGATAAACCAGACGCCGGTCGGTTATTCTTTATCAGTCCTCCGCCCAGCCCCCCTGTCGGCTGGGAGATGAAACATGAAGACCCTCCAAACAAGGAGGTTCACGCAGAGGACCTGGCAGAAAAACTGGCGAAATTGACCGGAAAGATGTCAACTGCCAACGATGAGTCCTCGGACGACGAGTCCAAGATGACGCAATATACGGCCGAGGCGCTGCAGCAGAAACTGAAGATAAGCCGTGCGCAACCACAACCACACCCGTCCGGTATTTCGGCCGAGGTGTCTCCCACTGGCTCCTCGCCCAAGAAACACCGGAGTCGTAGTTCGACGCTCATCTACGATCCAAAAGCCCACGGTGATAGCCCGGCCCTCCCGGCGGTGATGCTTGAAACCGAAGACGATTCGGAAGTTGAGCTGGAGGATCCAGCGAAGAAACCCATGGCGCATACGCCCCGGCCGCCTGTTGAATTGATGGAACATTAATATTCTGGGAAGAGAGCCTGGCGGAAGAGCGGCCCCTGTTCCAGTCTGTCTGGCATGGGATGCGAACACAAATTACGATTATGGACATATCCAGGATTGGGATGGAGTTTCATGGTAATGGGAATGGGAAGCATGGGTCGCCACATTTTACTCTTGGTCTAGACCCCACTGTACAGTAGTGTTTCGCGGTTAGAGACACAATTAATCAAATTATCCAGAGAGACTCGGAACGAGCATGATTCTGTTCTCATGCTACTTCCCAAGCCGTGTCTGTGTCTTGGTCTTGATCCAAGTCCTTTCAGTATCTTTTAGTGACGGGGCACGTCTCTTCTGTGGTCGTGCCTCGCTCGACAATGGCAACCAGTAAATGCAGTCGCAAACGTCTCTGAACGCCTCTGAACGCCTTGTGTGCATGAAACTCAATACAGACACAGGGGTCCTACTCATCAATACCCTTCCACTTTCTGTACAGGTGTTTATGCTGTTCGAAAAAGACCATGGTGAAGATGGTCTGGGGACCAAGGCGAATAAAACTGGGGACCCAACCCCTAAAGACCCAAAACAGGCCTTCCTTCTGACCCGCTTCGGCCAGGAGATGTAAGACAGACACTTTAGGGTGAGCGCTCATGACGCGGGTTTTGATGACATCGACGGGCGAGCAGATGGTGGTGGCCACCAGCCCCGCCAGCAGCGAAGCAGTAAAATGCGTGCCCAGGTGATCCCTCATGCCCAATTTTTGCAGACAGATCTGCTTGAACGCATCATAACTGGCGAGTTGGGACGCATTCATCAACAGGGCTCTCGAGGCGTTGGCTTCCACGCCCCGGAAAAGACTCAGGGCTCCTTCTTCCCGCACCATGCGCACAAGACCGTCCAGTGCATGCTTGTAGTTCCGCCGTGCCTCCACCGGTTTTGACATGTCCGACTGCATGCGCACGTTCAGCACGTCGCCGGGGTTTCCTGCGATTCCACCGAGCAAGCCCGAAAAACTGGACATGGCGATCAAGGACAACAGAGATTGTCTCGGCTTAGGGTTGTCGGGCGTCGGTGTTGGTGTAAATCGTGTCTTGAGATCTTCGTATACCCCGAACCGAACGGTTGAGTAGGTCATTTGGCGCAGAAGCGCCGCTGATAATCCGGCATACAGGCCTAGCACTCCTTCGTTGCGGAAAATGTAGGCGATCGTGCTTACTGTCGTTCGAGGGGCATCGGGCAGTCTGGTCTGTAGTCGTACTTTGACTGTATGCAATTGGAACAGAATGTGTTAGCCGACTCATGGGTTGAATGTCTTGTCTTGTCCTGTTACTGTACCTACCAAGGTCAAGAGGGTGTGTCACTACCGCTGCCATCGAGGCCGCACTTCCACCAAACCAGAACGGATAGCGCACCGTTGCAGGCTTGGGCTTGGTCCGCGGGACTGAAGTTTGGGCTTGCTTGATTGCGGCATCTTTCGTGACTGGGGGTGCACTGGTGGACATGACTCCATTGGACTGGGCGCAAGACCCGAGAGAATTATGAACTGCGAAAAAGACACACCGACTGAAAGACAACAAGAGACGAACTTGAAGTTGTCAAAGGAGTGTATCTATGGACAGAGAAAGGCACTGTCCATCCCTGGATAAGGTATGAAAACACAGTTGGAAAGTAAAGGCCGACAGACCTTTGATTGATTTACCTTGCGGGCCCTGGGCTTTACTTTATGGCCGAACCTTATAAATTGGCAATTGGAGGTGTACAAAAAGTGACCGAACAGGGACTCTTCCGAGATGCAGACTCGGACTGGGGGGATACAGACCCTACCAGGTACCTAGCACTCGGGTTTCGGCAAATCAGCGTCGAGCCAGATGCGATATCGCTTGCAGCCCGACCGCGACTCGGACCTTTCAGACTCGGGCTCGTCCGCGATTATTTTGTTCCGCACACAAAAGCTTCTGCTTACGATCTTTCGGACCGTGTCTATCCGCACTAGGGACGCCCATACTGCCAGAGCCAGACCATGTTTTGAGGACTGGTAGACGTCAATCTTCGACGTAAGCTGTCCTCTGCCCTTGATGCAGCTCCTCAAGACGGGCGCCTTTGTGCGAGCAGCTCGATCTGCTAGGATTGGAGTCTGCGGAGCTCGGACTCGAGCTTCAACTTCAGCTCCCTCCTCCGCTACCGCTACCAGTACCTCCTTTTTCGTGCCGTCAAGATGCTTGAGCTCGGAGGCCGCTGCAGATACGCAACGTGCCTTTCCTGAACAGTCGGTCGACATCTCTCGAGAAGTTGATCCTGCAAAGACTGCCCCTGATGGCTCACACTCAAACTCGGATCCGGACCAGGAGCGGTTCAAGCAAAAGTTAAAAGAACTGGGTCATGGAAAGAAACTGGTCCAGGACAGTCTCTCGGGGGTCAACATACTGGGCAATCCGCACGTCTTTGACCAGACCACCAATGTCTCAGACTCGATCATCCAACTTGTCGGGCGGAATCTCTACAGCAGTCCTGATCATCCTATTGCCATAACGAGAAGACTGATCGAATCGTGTTTTCCGAAACCAACCTACAACCACTTCACGGTGGCAGACCCGGTCGTGACGACGCATGAAAACTTTGACGTGTTGGGGTTTCCAGAAGACCATCCGGGCCGGTCCAGGACGGACACGTACTATATAAACTCGACCCATCTCTTACGGACACATACATCTGCGCACCAGCATGCAGCATTCCAGTCGCTGGTCAACGACGATGCTGCTAAGGGATACACCATCTGCGCCGACGTCTACCGACGGGACAGCATCGACAAGAGTCATTTCCCCGTCTTCCATCAGATGGAGGGCGCCCGTGTATGGCATCTACCACTGTCAGCCGGTTCCAGGTACGAAGCCCAGCTGCAGCGAAAAGACACCATCGAGAAAGATGTGCAAGAGATACCTACGACTCGATTAGCCGTCGAGGACCAAGCTACCAAGTTTCTCAAGGGCTCCAACCCCACCCAGCTTGAGCATGATGCCGAAGAAGTGCGGTTTGTCGTGGCCCATCTGAAGAGAAGCCTAGAGTACCTTGTGAATGGGGTCTTCGAAGCTTCGAGAGAGATGATACCGCCCGCGCAGCGAGAGAAGATGGGTCCCTTACAAGCCCGCTGGATTGAAGCTTATTTCCCATTCACGAGCCCCAGTTTCGAGCTCGAAGTGCTGTGGAATGGACAGTGGCTAGAACTCCTCGGATGCGGAGTCATTCAACAACCCATCCTCAACAACGCCGGCCTGAAGAACAGCATTGGCTGGGCATGGGGTGTGGGCATTGAAAGGATCGCCATGCTTCTGTTTGGCATCCCTGATATCCGCCTATTCTGGTCCGAGGACAAGCGCTTCCTGCAACAGTTCAAGCAAGGCACCATCACGAAATTCGAACCTTTTAGCAAGTACCCTCCTTGCTACAAGGACATTGCGTTCTGGATCAACTCGTCCCCAGCAGCGGCGTCGCCCATCGGCGCAGAATCGTCCTCGTCATCCGGCGTGGCCGCTGCCGCTGGTGGGGACGCCACCAAAGCCTCACCTGCAGAAACCCAACCCGCTGCGTTCCATGAAAACGACATCATGGAAGTCGTCCGGGACGTGGCAGGAAATCTTGTCGAGGACGTGCAGCTCGTCGACGAGTTTGTGCATCCGCGCACCGGCCGGAAGAGCTTGTGCTACCGCATCAACTATCGAAGTCTGGAACGGACCCTGACCAACGATGAAGTCAATGACCTGCATAACCAGGTCGCGGCCAAGATGAAGTCACAATTCAACATTGAGCTGAGATAAAAAGGTAAAGACTAAGACTGGATAATTCCAATCCGGCAGTCTTTTCTCTTGTCATCAGCACTCGCAAGCAGTGTGGTGCAGTTCTCCAGATCACGGTCCTTCGAGGCTGGCTTGAAAAGCAAGGTAAGTTTACGCCATCCTACAACTCCATCCCTTGATTTCGGGTTACAATGATGAATTGCCAAAATTATAATTGTTTCAACCCCATATGATCGCCATATGGTGACTTGATTATATTGTGCACAACCTCATTCGCAATCTTACTGAAAAAACCCATCCTCAATATCTCTTTGCAACTCTCCTAAATGCTCGTTTCTGGTCTGAGCTAACTCGAGGGATTTGTTGTTTGATGATAGTGCGACGCAATACGCAGGCTCTTGCGCATGGCAATACTCCCCGTGTCGACGACTTATTGATTACGCCCCGAAGGACCACGGCATCCTGTGTCATGAATCCCAGGACCTGCCGTCGTCAATCGATTTCGTACGGTGGTCTTTATCAGGACCAAGACATCTCTTCTCAGTTGGTCTCTGGTATGGAAGTCTTTGTTAGACGTCGAACGAGTCCCCTGATGTTGTCGGACACCACCGTTGCTACTCCAGTACTCGCCATCAATCAAACACATTCAATCCATGACCAGCCGTAGGTCCAGGTCCTTATCTCGACGCCCCGGCCAGTCGTGGTCTGTGTGTCTCCGTGTGGCCGTTAGCTACCTCCCTAGGCTTCATCTTCATCTTCAAACCTCCTCCAACTGAAGTCCGCGCGGCACCTCATCGCCACTCCACTCCCCTTTCCTCTTTAGTCGCTCCAAGCCATATCTATCAACAACTTGAATGTTGAAGCTAACACCTACCTGCAGTTGGCCAACAGATACCTCTAGTAGTTGCAGTGAGCAGGCCCATTTCTCCCAGCTTGACTGACTGGCTCTGTATTACTATTACTATTACTATTACTATTACTATTACTATTACTATCACTAATACCAATACTACTACTTTCCACCTGGTCCTACTTTCTACGACCATGGGCGGAAAATATTTATATTGCAATACTACTACCCATATAATTTTCTCATTACTGCCAGCAGCCTTGTAACTGACCGATTGCGAATGCTGCCCAGCGTCAAGGCAGGTACGGTCCATGTACGACTATACAAATATACTGTATATATTCTACCCCAGCAACTCAGGGGCAAGCAGCTGAACTTGTCACACATGCGGACAGAAGTTTGTTTCCATTATACACACTTTACGTAACCGCCTCCAGTTTGTTTCTCATAGTCGCATTGGCACATTGACAAATACACTGGGCATGCCAGTGTTTCGAGAGTACTCAAGTACCAAGCTTCCACAAGACTCTGGGCAAGTCCTCTTTCTACCACTCACAGCTGGATTTCAGGACTCGTTTTACCACGGCATAGCATGGCGAGGGCGCACAAATCCATATTGTAATAAGTGCTTTTGGAAAAAGCACGCATACCTCCACTGACCAACATCACCGGGAGTAAATCCATAAACACCATCACATTGATCTCGATCTCGGGATCCAACAGAGAGAAGTAGTTCTTCAGAAATACAAACAGAACGCCGAGCCAGACGGGACATGTTAGCCGTCACCCACTGCATCCCATTATGAACATTTTTTGTTTCCGCACCATGTTTTCTCGTGTGTGCATCTCGGGTTCTGTGATTTCTTTAAAAACCAGAGAGGACCTGTAGAACACACATGATAGTAACCGACGAATGATGGACACCTCTTCCATTCTTGCCTGTCCGGGTTCTTGTCGAACAAGAGAACAGAGGCCGTTCTAGGCGGCCCGAAGAAAAAGTAAATGGAGCTCCATCACCGTTTCTTTTCGTTTTGTACACAGAAAATAGAAAGAACATTGAAGGGCGTATTCCAATGTCATTCCATGTCCCAGATGGATCCTGAACTCTCAGGCACGATATCTTGCTGTCGAACGACGCCGTGCCGTGCTTTTTGGGACCTTTACGAGTTCTTAACCACTCCGACCTTGGCGGCCCGGAGAACTCGCCCATTCAACTTGTAGCCCTTACTCTGGGTGAAGAAGACATCTCCGTCCTCCTTGCCCTCGACTTTAGTGTAGAAAGTCGCCTCGTCGGTGTTGGGGTCGAATTTCCGACCACCGCCTTCCATGGGGTCGTATCGCTCGAGACCATGTTTCTTCAGAGTATTCATCAGAATCTCCTCTGTCATCTTGAGCCCGGAAACCAAGTTCTCCAGATCTTTGCTGGGGTCACTGCTGGCACCACCCTCGGCTGGGGCGCCGACATTCGGATCCGACGACGAGGTATTTGAAGTGGTGGTGGTCTGTTGAGGGACCGCGGAAAGCGCACGGTCAAGGTTGTCGAAAGAGTCCAAGAGGTCCGTGGCGAACCGTTGGAGCGCAAATTGCCGCACCGACTCGATCTCTCGCTTCGTCCGCTCTTGGAGGTTGCGGTAATCGGCGACGGCGCGGAGGTACTTGTCCTAGAACAACAGAATCAGTTTGAATGTCCAAATTGTAGAAATGTAGACCAGACATAAACATACCTTGAGATCTACCACTTCGACTTTACACTTCTCGAGCTCTTGCTTCACTGGGTCTTCCTTGGTCTCGGCGGCCTGCTTATTCGCCTCTTCTGTTGACTTCTGTTCACCGGATGTCTGCTTGTCGGACGAGTCTGTCGACTGCCATCTCCGTCCTAATTGTGAGAAGCTGGTGGCGACTGGCCGTGGCGACGAGGCCAATGTTGCGGAAACGGAACTAAATGGCGACGATTGTCGCAGCCGGGGAACGGCAGAGACAGATTTGGAGATCGCGCGTGACTGGCGCAGTAGTTGTCTTCGAAACATTTTGAGAGAAACAACGGGGACAGAATTGCGAGACCACAAAAGGAACAGCAGGGACGAAAGTAGCTGGACTGGCAAAAAAGTTCAAGTTGTAGAGATGACACCGGATGATGGAAACGAAACGCACACGACCGACGAGCTCGGCGGAAGGTTCAAGTTCACGGCATGACGGCCAGAAATTTTGGGCTCGCTGCTTTAGTCGGGTCGGCCGAGTTGCCATTCAAGCTTCCCGACAATGGAATGACCCGGGCAAGATGGACGACAACTTCACGGCGACTATCGACTACTAGTATCATTGTGGAAGATATAATATACCCAATGCTAGGTATCATTGCCAGGTAAGTCTGTTGTTGCGGTCAGCAGATGGAGGGCGTTCCAACACTGCGGGTGGAACAAGGCTATGTTCAGCACTTGTCCGAAAGGATACTATCTGAAAGAAAGATGATGTCCTATTCTCAGAACCAATACATGCTTTGCTGACCGTTCTGGTCCTCTATATCTAACAATGCAATGCTGCTCCCTTGATGCGTGTGGTATCAAGCAAAGGACAACAGCTGTCAGCCCTGACCCTGGCTAGCTGAGTCTCTCAGTCGCCTCCACAGTCCCATCAAAGCACTGCCCACGCCCAAAGACCAGCGTGCATTCCTCCCATCTTCAAGAACCAGGTCTTTCCTTCCATCAGCCATAACACAAGGTTGGTGTTTGTCGCCGTGATTCGAAATCCCACCAGCGTGCAGTGGAACCGGCCCCTGATCCGCCTGGAGACTCAAAGCTGGACCGTGGCCACCACCTTCAATCCGAGAACCCACTGCCCAAGCCCCAGCTTTGCCAAAGATAGCGCAACCCCTTGCCAATATATAGACTGGAAATCTTAACGGGTTCGCCATAGCACGCGAGGCACCAGACTTGCAGTAAGGATTACCGCAAACTGGGGCAACATATTTCTCTGGCGGATCTGGGTCGGCTTGCGCTTGGTACTTGTTGAGATGCAAGACGGCTGCTTTTATATGTCTGCCAAACATAAATGGGGCGCTGAGGACTCCCAATAGTCGAGGCATCCTTGCCGCCTCGCCGCGATGTCCTCCACCGCCAGCGACTGCGGCGCCTCCGCCATCTTTATGATTCTCGGTGCCAGCTCCTGTGGGCTGCGGAACCGATGTTTTGTTCAACATCTCTGGCGATGATGCAGAGATATGTATCAACCCTTCAGGACCAGGTTGAGCAGACCGCGGGACCTTGGCCATACCGGGTGGTGGAGGAGCGATCTTAGGAGGACCATGATGTCCAGAATGTGTCTGCATGTGACTGATCGCATGGTGCCACCGCTCATGATCCTTATCGCCATTTGCCAAGCGGGCAACATAAGGCTGTGAGCTTGGTTCAAAACCATATGACTCTGCATGTCCAGAATTGTTAGGGCCATGATTTGCACGAGACAATGTCACTGTGCTAAAGGTATGTTTTGCTGGCCAACCCGTGGCAACATCGCCTCGGTGGTGGGACGATGTACCATGCACATGAGAGGGAGTAAGAGGATGAGCTGAATGGTGAGGGGGCCTTGTGCCGAAAGCCATACATCCCACAGAAGTCAACAGTAGGAAAATCGCAGGGTTCTTCATGGTGGTTGAAGACTTGGTTTGGATGATCGAATGGCTATGAAAGAGCGTTGTAACTGTCCGATAGAATCCAAGTTCCAGAAAAGGGACAAGGTCGACGACTTGAGTTGAGGAGAAGTATCCGGACGAAGGAGGGGTTCAGCGAGCAGCTTTATACATAATTGAGAGTTCGCCGTCACGATCCAGGCCGTTTCACTCGCCTGTTGGCTGTTGGCCATCACTCATTCCTGGTGAGTGATGTCTTTCAGGTGACAATGCTGAGTGATTGATGCATTCGTTTGTCCATCGCCGCTACTGTTTGACAGAGGCCCAAAAGCAGTGCGCATCTGTCGGGCCAAAGTGAAGTTAGTGACACCTGCAGATCAAGGAGTCAACCAAACCCCGAGCGTCTGATTGAACGAAGTGTCATGGGTCGTGGGATAGCGTAGGAGCGAAGAGGACTGCATGGGAGCTTCAGCTGAGTGGAGCAGAATGTTGTATGCAGAAGAAGCTTCACAAAATTGTTCTGAATTCGCTGATCCTCGCCAGCATGTTCACCAATCTACCAGCAACCCAAGCATCACAGCCTGATAGCCGTGATTGAGTCGACTAAATCAGCTATATATTGCTTCTGGTGCATCCCAGCCGTCCCGTAAGCTCTCAGCCAAGTTGTGGTCAGACGGCGGGCACCAACACCTCCGCATCACAACTTCGAGTCTCGACCACGCGAACCATCCTTCCCACCACTGGGAGGATTTTTTGAGCTGTTGGATGACGGAGACGTCTTGATCGTGGAGGAAGATTCGCGCGTTAGGACATCTCTTGCCAGCGCTGTAGACATGGGACAGCGGGTAAGCTCACCTTGGGTGGACCAATATCCTTGCCCTTGTCAGATTGTCCTGAACCTGGTCGATGTCTTGAATGTGACCGAGGTCTTTTGTATGTATCGTAGTCATAGGACTTTCGGATCATGTTGGTTGGTGAGACTGATATATCCTGGTGGGTTGTGGATCGGTGTTTTCGAACTTGCTCAATTTGGAAAGACCAGGTGCGGAGGATAAAGAGCCGGTCTGTATTGCCTTGAGGACACCGCATTATATACACAGACAGTGTTTGGAGGCTGACCGTTTAGGTCGAGTATGATGGCTATCATCGTTTGCCCTCTGCGACATCAGTGCAACCATGGCTTTGCTTGTCAATCGTCTGTCTCATGCATCTGTCTCAGAACAAGGCAAGCGCAGAGTTCTGGAGTAGTTTGGGTCCAGTAGTAGCAATCAGCTCGGCCGCGATGCCCTTGATCGAACCTGGATCATCAATCTTCCAGTCTTCCCAGCCTCGAAGATCCTGTTCATAGTCAGCAGCACAATCAAGTCATTGTTAGATGAGTCACGCTTACTTCCAGCTCAATGAGAGCATTCCTAACGAGCAAACGCCAATGATCAAGATCAAGGCGTTTAACCTCGTCCAGGGAAAGAACGCCTGGTATCTGAAAATCGAACAATGAACCCTCAGGTATCTCCGCATCGTCTTCGTCACTCTGAGGCTCGTCAAACTCGAGATCTTGCTCGTCATCAAAGATTCGCGATCTCTCTTTAGTCGTAGCAGGAGGTTTACTGCCGTCTGACTCAGTTCTCGATATCGTTGTGCTCGTTTCTGGTAGACTGGCGTTCGCCTCTCTAGGCACTCCGTACTTGCGATCATGGGATGGAGACACGTATTTTCGTTTATCGAGTTCGCGGCGATAATTGTCGTCGAATAAGTTCCATTTGTAGGTTTCGGGATCTGGACTTGTGGTAAGCGTGATGCTCAATCATGGCTTTCTGCATCCTTACCGAGTAAGTAACATGGCCCGAAGCGTGCTTTGTACCGCATCTTGGTACATGAGTGAATGTAATAGCCTGGTCGCGGTCAGTTGCGCACATGTTGACAGCTAGCTGACGTACCCATGTAGTAATACTCGTAATGAGCTTCCAGAGCGAGTGCTATCTCACGAAGGGCGCTTATCTTCCCGAAATCCCAGTGGTGGTATTCGGGATCATAACTTGCAAGGTTAACTCACTGATACACAAACACTCTGGCAAAGACTCACAATAGGTAGACCGAACTAACGGCATGTGGTAAGAGATCGAGCACTCCTACAGCCACCAATTTCCCGTCCACACGATAACATTGATGGTAAGATCCCAGCTTGAGAGTCTTGCCATTGATTTTCAGAATCTTGCGGTCAAGACCAGTACAGAGAAATCGCTTGAACGCTTGCTCTTTCCAGCGGGAGGGTGGATCTTTGTGAATCTGCAATTGGTATTTGAGGAACACATCATACCTGCCGAAAGTGAGTTATAACTTCAGTAAGACAGCATAGAGCGTGCTTACTTTTCCTTGGAGAAGCTGTCGCCCTCTAAGTTGACCTCAAACTTGTGTGCTGGCTCGATTCGGCGGCCGGTCTTCTTGTCGAGTGGTCGTTGAAGCTTGTCATATTCTGCCTTGTGAACAGCCGTCAATAGATCGAACTTGTCTCTGTTGCGACGCTTCTCTCTGATGCTGTCAGCAGATATCGTGTATGGGACTGGCCCAACTTACTCTCTGCTTTGGGGGCATAGCATGGCCACCTTCCGTTTATACTCGGGCCCAATTACGAAGTCATTCCATCTGTTGATAGCTCGGCGTTGTTCTCTGAGAGGTTTGTAATCGGCCGCCTTGAGACTAGCGACATCAGCCCATGGATCATTGATATCGCGGGAGACAGAATGAATACCGGATGGTATAGTGAGGGCAGCAAGAATGGACCAGATCAGGCTTGTAGTATAGTGAGCCCGACCGTCTCCAGCCCCTGTCCATCAATTCCTGATAGTGATCAAGCCTCATATTGTCACATGACATGTAGTAGGCGGAGCCTAAAGCAACGAGTGAGTCTCAATATCAACGTCCATGTTGCAGATGGCCGACTTACTGCCGGATGTACTCTTGCAATATCCACATGAATTCTTCCGTTGATAGCCTACAAACATCAGCCATATGGAGCCGTTTAGCACGCACGGCTGGTACAATAACAGCGTGCGGCACCATTTATGGTTCATCACATACCTAAAGGCTTCAACAGCGAGACTTCGTTGGTCATGATGAGCTGCAGGCAGGTATCTTCTCTTGTCTGCTCAGGTCCAAGTACGCCCCGATATGATTACTCTCGACGCTTTGCTATGTTGGTGTTCTACGAGTGTCTAGCCGGTGGATTGGGTCCAGGCGCAGGAAGTGATGTCACCTGACGGGCTCCGCTGTCTGGCGGCAGTTTGCGGCAGAAATACGTCCAGTTCGCATTAGACACCCACCGGAGAACGTACGGCAAAGTCGAAGTGGGATATGCACACGACCGCAGGGACATGGCCAATTGAGACACCAGGAAATGGAAAAGCCCCGAGTTCTAGGACATTTCTTTTAGAAAACCCCCACTGTCGGATCGAGAGGCGCTCGCGTGAGCAGCAGCAGCGCATGCACCAGCAGGCATCGAAGGTGCAGCAAGTTGGGAGGAGCAGGCCTGTTTAGACCAGTGTAAACGTCGAGATGAGCACGTGCCGTCTCATCGTGTGCTTTCGTCGAGCTGAGGTGCCGTGAGACGAGCGGCCAGCGACAGCATGCAAGGGTCGGGCCAGGAGCCACTGCAGGCCAGGCAGCGAACCAGATGCGCTGGAGGTTCTCGTTAGTCCACCGGTAGAAGAGAGAGCGAGGGATGAGGCCGGGCGAGAGAGGAAAAATGCTGCGCTCTACACCGGACTTATCGGTGCAGTGATGGTGAGTGTGTCAGTAGTATTGTACTGCGATGTGTGAAGAGTCTATCGTGTACCATGGGCGTTAAAAGAATGACTCTTTCAGTCAGCGAGCGCTGCCTGGCCGTGAGACGTGCAAAGGAGCCTGCAATTCAAGTCCGTTCTATAAGGGTTGTACGAATGCTAGACAGGCAGGTACGGCAGGTACGGACTGGTAGCAGCGACCAGTGTCGGTCGGTGACAGTGACCCGGCCCGTAGTAGTGAGGAAGGCGCCGTGTGGTGCCTGTTCGTTCCTGCACTGTCACTGTCGCCGCAGCTGGACTTGACTGCGGTGACTCGGACAGTGCCAGTGCCAGTGGGAGTGCCAGTAGTGCACTGCAGTAAATCCAGAGTCCCCTACTACTATGTACATTATTACTGTCACTAGTAGCATACAGAAACTAAACTACGCTACCACCACTTTTCTTCGTGTCCACCCCCAAAACTAAACTTACCACTTCCTACAAATAATGGCTACTTCCGACCTCAGACTGCTGTGCACGTCAAACCTCTTCCCTCAGCCCCGTTCTGCACGGGACTGAAGGCCTCAACGTTAACCTGCGATCCTCTCACGCAAAATCCCTTTTGCAAACACACCGACATCATGGGTTGTCTTTGATCCTTCAGGCTTCTCCTTGAGACGACCGACCAACCTTGCCCGCCTGCTCCGGAACAGCTCGACAGTGTTCCCTTGCGCCCTTGACCCTCTCTCACAATCCATTCATTTTCGTTCATACTCGCGACAGCATAATAGAAGAAGCGGACAACTTTCACTTCTGTCTCCCAATTCTGTGCCCGCTACCGCGGTGCGGCCCAACTTACAGGATGGCGAAAGAGTTGTCCATGACCTCTCGTGTTGGGTCTGATAATCAGCGTATGTCTGTCGCGTATTTTTATATGAGCAGCAACTGATGTTGTCGCAGGCTACGGTCCTAAAGGCGAGAGACTAGTCGCCGGCGTGGTCCCTCTGTCTTCTGACAAAACCCAAGTTCTTCTTATTCAGTCTACTCATCGCAACGGTTGGGTGCTTCCGAAAGGCGGTTGGGAACTGGACGAAGCGACAGCGTCAGCAGCTGCTTGTCGTGAGGCATGGGAGGAAGCCGGCATTATCTGCAAGGTGGAGAAAGATCTCGGCCACATCCCTGACACGAGACCAACTACTGCCGTCACCAAGCATGCTCCCAAAGCCAGCTACCACTTTTTTGAAGCCACTGTCATGGAGGAGAGGTCGGACTGGCCGGAGAAACATAAACGAACAAGACAGTGGTACGCTTACGCTCAAGCTGCCCAGCTTTTACATTCGCGCCCTGAATTACTGGAGGCTCTCAAGCGGAGTTCCCTCAAAAAATGAAAGCATACACAAGGCGTACGGAATGCACGGTGGATGGAGGCATGGATGATTGTTTTCGGACGGCTTACGTCCAGAGTGCGTGACTCTCACATGCAACTTCATAGACTGCCAGTCGCAGAAGGCCATGGGCCTATGGGTGTCAATCATGGCTGATCGCTCCAGAACAGGAGCCTTACACCGCGACATAGAAAATTCAATTAAGCGAAGAGTTCATTCTGTACCATAGGCTCTGTCTCATGTATTCCGCTTTCTTAAGTACTTGACCACTGTCAGCCCCACAACAGATTACAGCCCAGGTTGCATAGGTACTCTCAGTGGAATGGTCGCATGCGAGACTCCCGAGGTCGCAGACACAGACGTGCTCCAGAAGATCATGCTCATCGAGATGTTGTTGGATTCGGTGTTCCAAAGGAACTGGAACTATAAGGTGGATATTTTCAGGTTCAATCCACTGGTCTTAGGACACAGTTCCATGACTGCACATTTTCAAATCATAAAAGGGGATTCAAAGAGGAGCGGCCGTATTGGCGTCTGCCAAGTACAACCAGTAGTTCGATCTCAGACGAGAGCTGCGCTTGTTGGATCTCGGATCTACCTATGTACAATGCCTCTTCCTCGCATACCTCTTTCAATATCATGCTCCCACTGTATACCGACAGGTCCATCTAGTGCTCGAGATCAACGGGGAAGTTTCCAGCCTCTCGCTGGTCGTCCCATCTAGCGATCCACGAGCTGGGGCACAAGGATCGGTATGCAAGGTAAAACTGTATCGTGTCAGCATTGAATTCCTCCTTTTCAACCCAGAGGTGCCGGTATACCTGTCTGCATGGCTTGAAATCTTCGCCCTTCGCTAGGATACATTTGTGGTAGTCGACATAGTTCTGCCAGCAGTGCTTGGTCCTGAGATTTCCTGTTAGAGTGGACATCCGGAAGCGAGTGGGAGAACGGTCTGCAGGTCATACTGGTTCTGGTTGGGGAAGCGCGCATCGTATCCAGCTGCGGAAATATATGTATCAGTCGGGTCGTTCTCTCTGCAAAGCTGCATTGCAGGTCAGGCCGGTAGCATACCAGTAACGAACTTGAAGGGTTTGGTGACGTTTCCACCAAGCTCTTCGGCGTCGGGGATCTCGATTTCGACCATTCTGACGGTGGGTGAGGGTGATGAGAGAGCTGGAGCGACGAACGGAGGCAGAGGACGGCGGGCTTGCAGTCGAGGTACACTGAAGCTCCGAGTTGGACGGTAAGTTTGAGGTTCGCTGCTCGTATCACCTGAGGGAAGTTGGGAGCTGGGAGGTACGATGTTGCTTGCCAAGGCTTTTATGCCTGAATGCTGATTGGTCGCCTGCCCACCTCGGAGCCCAGAGCTTCTACTCTGACCTGCGACTCCAACTTCATCACAGTTGTGTGCTTCTGGGAGCTTTCCGCTACGTCTGGCCCTTTGTCTCACACTCTCCACTCCTTTCACCGTCGCCGCGATGAATCCAGCAAGACTTCTGAGGCTGCAGCCTTTGCGGGCAGCTGCTTTGAAGCAGCCGGCCTTCCGCCAGTCCGCCCTGAGGCAGACCAGACCATTCCACAACTCCCGTGTCATGTTTAGGGCTAAGGTGGGTTTGGCCGAAGAGTCTGTGATGGTTAATGTTTACTGACTGTCTGAATAGGAGGATGAACAAAGCGGTAAGAAGACTGACGATGTACGGGCTTAGACGGTCGTTGACGGACGAGGTTTACAGCGCACACTATCACCCAGAGACTGCGTAGTCTCAAGAAGATTCCTCCCGAATTGCTCCCGCTTGGTGTCGTCATCCTGTAAGGACAAGCATATACAGATCTCACGGGTTATGGCCTTGCTAAGGAATTCGCAGCTTCGCTCTCTTCGCCGCCACTTTCGCCATGGCCAGGAAGTTGATGACCGACAAGACGCTTCGTCTGCACAAGAACCCACCCAAGGCGCATTGAGGAGGATCACCGTCACGAGTCATAAGGAAATATAGGCAAGTCGGATGGCCATCTGCAAGGCACAGAGAGTTGCCTCCGTCACAAGGACGTGTACATATTGGAATGAGAATGCATCATCTGCTGCAGCACAGATCGACGTGTCCTCTTGTTCCCTCTGCCACTGTCCTGCTCTGCTCCCACTTTCCTGCGCGAACCTCCACAGGGTCTACCACAGGGTCTTTAGAAGACGCCTCCTTTCGCACTCCACGTTTCCAGGACCTCTTTCTTGAGGTAAAGAACAAGCAAGTGAGACTGCCAGTCTATCCCGCAACTGACGTATCATGCTGCCTTTGTCCTTGCGTCTCTATTCGATGGTACGGTCGATTGGACCGTACATGGCATATACCTTGTGTCTTCAAGGAGACACCCACCATCCTGACGGGCCCTCTCTGCATTCATCAACTTGAGAGTGCGACGTGACAGAATTCGCCCGTAACGTAAATTCGTAAGATCTCCCGGAATGGAATCTCCAAGGCTTGTTGCTGCTCTGGTTGTGCAGAGTCGCCTTGAAGTTCAAGGTCAAGTTTCAAGTGGTGCTCTCCTACTCTGATCACTCAGGTTTCGGCCCAGCAACATCTAAACCCTCCAGACCCTCCATGGGATCCTCTGGCTTTTCGTTTCTGGCTTGTTCCACAGCAGCCTTGTCTTCAGTTGCAGCTCCTGCATATTTGGCCAAATAGTCTTCCTATAGAAAGAAAAGCCGGGAATTAGCTTAGCCCCAGACCAAAACGAATTGGATCTTAACAAGGCCATAGGCGAATAGCAGTACAATTGCAATAGAGGCGCAATATTACCGCCCCCAGCCTCAACTTCGATTTCAGTTTCCAACTTACCTGTTCCCAAATCGCCGTGGTGCTACCCAAACCAACATTCTCACCCATATCCTTGCGATCAGGCTTGGCCAACGCGACCTTGATCACCCGTCCGTAAAGCTCGCTCTGGTCCATGTTCGCAATGGCTTCTTTGGCATCGGCAGGATCCTCAAACTCGACATACCCGAACCCGCGGTGTAAATCTGTCGATGACGGCGCTTCGGGTTTGGGCAGTGTGATGTCGACGATCTCACCGAACGGGATGAATGCTTCGGATAACGTGGCGGCTGTAACGAGGGTCGTGTCCAGGCCGCCAACGTAGATGGTGCTGTTTGGCCGGTTGGGACCGCTGGCGTCGGCCATGGTCGGCTTTTCTTGAAAAACACCCTCGCCCCAGTCCCTTGTGGCCGGTTTGGGATTTTTCGTTTTCTTTTGTTTAACTTTTAGTTCTTTGGAGTACTGCAGTGAGTGCCGCCACTGCTGTCTTACTGGCAGCGTAGTGGTTGTGGTTGGGGTTGGTTTTCGTTTCTCGAACTCGAAGGCCGAATCGAGGCGAGTAAAGCCGTCAAAATCGGAAGGGAGGGAAAAGATCATGTATGTGATTGGTGGAGGGAGGCAGAGGTGGGGCCAAAGGGCTTGTTGGCATTGGCTGGCTTCCTCCAGTCGTTCAAGTTTCGCGAATTGTCGTAGTAGTATACAATGGTACAATGTACTATGCGACTCGCCTTCAAGTGATGTTCCACTTATCATCTCTTCATAGCGTAGATGTAATAGGATGGTCTCGTTAGTCACTGAATGATTCGTTAGCCACTGCATGACGCACTATGAGAGTAAAGCGGTCTAGTGGCTCTGAGGTACTACGTAGAAGAATAATGTTCACTTGCAGAACGCCGGTACCTTTGTGTTTCTTTCAGCTTTGCACTTATCCAAGATATCATTTTGTTCTATTTCGGCAATTTGGACGTGGTGTGTCCTGGCTGTATGAGCCCTGCTTTGCAGAAATTTGAAACATGGCATCCGTGCCAGAATTGGAGTACTAGTACTAGTTTGCCGTCACTGTATCAAAGCCCATTTTGTCGGTGCAGAGCAATATACCTGGAATGCCTTACCTGACTGCCAGAGACAGCAGTATAGAGAGAAGATGGAAGGTGGAACAAGGAGACCAAAGTGTGAGAGCAATGATTCGCAGCTTCTGCATTGACGCTGGCCGATCCAAGACAACCTAGAGCGGGTTCGTTTCTGGAATGCAAAGAAATTTCGGCGCGCCGTCAGCTGCTCTTTCGCTGTGGAGAGAATGGGCAGCTCTTAACCGTCCTCAGAATCCTCACTCTTGTGTCCAGCATCTCATCCACACCTTGCCCTGCTAGTGACGCGGGACCTACTTCGGGAATTCTGTAGCCCTCAGGATGGTACCTGTTGTCATGGGTCGAAGGTATGTAGCCTCCAGATAGCCACAAGAGCCACGAGTTGATATTCCATCGTCGTGCCAGCGAGGGCTTGATGTACCATGGGTGGCCAATATACTGCATGGTGTGGTATCGTTTGGTCAAACGATCCGCAGTTGCCGTGAAATAAGAGACTCGATAAAACTCAGGCCGAGGCAAACAGAAATATCTGATCATGTACTTCCGTATCAAAACTGCGATTTCGAGCGTCATCTGTATTGGCCATTGAGGCTCTTCGAGCCTACGAAACTGTCAGTCTGTCAGCTCTGCAGGCAAAAATTGAGACACCCACAACATAGCTTGCCGCAAGCGTCGATCAAGCAAAGCTGCAACCAGTTGCAAACCCAATCCGTGCAAAATGTAAGGGACGTTGGTCAACGCTATTGCAATAGTGGCAAGGGCCAGAGTTCTGTTGTTCTTATCCGGTACTGTGTGCTGAATCTCGTATAGCCTGCTCCAGGACTCAACCTCCTCGAGCCAATGGAGGCCATCTCGCCAGCCTGATTTGGCCGAAAGCAAGGCATCGTATGGGATGTTCATCATTTCACCCACACTCTTCCAGTATACAGCCATGGCGCAAATCTCAATGTCGGACAGATTGCGCCATTCAAAGCGTCGCGTCCAGCGCAGAGGCTCTAGGACAAAAAGGCTAAGTGTATAGAGCATATCTTCGTCCTTTATTTTCCCGCTTTTCCGATATCGATCATGAAGCCAATTCATACGGGCAATGGCATCTAAGTTGCGATCAGATCCAGGTCTATTCAGGACAAATTCTGTAACCAGAACCCCTGTATCAGCTGCTCTTTTGGAGGAGGATTCGAACTCAGAGAGTTGGCCGGTTGCTACCAATAACTTGGAAATAGAAGGGATACCATAAGTCTGCCACCATGTTATTCATTGCTCAACGAGCTGTCAACAAGACCGAGGGCAGATGGACCTTAAATAGGGCGAAGAAGACAGAAAATGAGAAGGTTGTCGGGAGCTCTAACTCTGCCAGCGGGAGCTGTATGTCAAACGCATCGTCCACGGTCATCCGGGCAAGGGATGCACGATCATGGTAGGGATATCTTGTCGACAACGAGTCTCTTCGACGGAATCTTACCGCACTAACAACGGTTACATAGCCCAGGACCACTGCAATAGCAAGGAGTATCACTGCCATGGCGCAAAGATCTCATAGTAATAGGAGTCGCCATATCTGAACGATCCTCGAGGAAGTCGAAGTCATTTAATAAGTTGGGCTTCGCAGTAAGGGGGCAATGTACAATAACCTTGGAATGTAACGATGGTCACGTGTTGGAGCTTCGTGCCCGCCGCTCCCGCCGTCACGAATCACGCCCAACTTTCTTAGGGTTTGTTCAGGGATGACGCTTAGGCCACTGATATTTGCGGGTTCTGGAGAAACGACGGTGTCCAGATCATAAAGTTGGACATCTATTCTGAACACGAGGACAGTCGTCGACTCTGTGCTAATTTTGCTGCCAATCCATCCTGTTGCAGCTGTTCGTCTTTGCTGTATGACTTCTTAGCTTCTCTTCGTTCCGACATACCTCCCCTCCTCGCGCGTCGTCGACCGGCCCCTTATCGTCATGGTGCGCCTCAGGGAAATCCCGCGGACTGCGGCCTTCGCGTGGTCCCCTGATGCTACTGCGCCTTGGATCGCGACAGGAACAAAGTCAGGAGCTGTCGATGTCGATTTCAGCAATGAGACGTGTCTAGAACTCTGGGATCTTGCTTTGGACAATACTCAACAAAGTCAAGAGTTGCAGCCTTCCGCGACTCTGCCCACGGAAACTGGGTACGTGCTGCTTACTTGTACTGTGCACAGTTCAAACTAACCAGCCCCAGCTTCCATGATCTCGCTTGGACGCCTGCACAGGATGGCCACAAGCGAGGGATCATCGCCGGAGCCTTCGACGATGGAACATTGGGCTTGTGGGACGCGGACAAGGCCTTGACGAGCCCGACCGAGGCGTCAATATTCAAAAAGAAGATTCATAGCGGAGCAATCAAGGCATTACAGTTTAATCCGAAAATACAGAACTTCCTGGCCACTGGTGGCGCCAATGGGGAGCTGTTTATTTCGGATTTGAACCACCTCGACGCGCCCATACGCCTCGGGAGCACCGCGGCTCGCGCAGATGACATCGACTGCTTAGACTGGAACAAAAAGGTGTCGAACATATTGGTCACCGGTAGCAGTGGAGGTTTCGTTACAGTGTGGGACATGAAAACGAGGAAAGAGAGCTTGACGCTCAACAACTACCAGCGCAAACCAGCTAGCGCTATTGCCTGGGATCCGGAGAAACCTACACGTCTGATCACCGCTGTGCCGCTCGAGCAGGAGCCGGTCATACTGGTGTGGGATCTGAGAAACTCCAATGCCCCCGAGAAGATACTACGTGGACACGACTCCGGAGTGCTTTCGGTTTCGTGGTGCCCTCAAGATCACGACCTTCTACTGTCATGTGGCAAGGACAACAGGACAATACTGTGGAATCCTCAATCTGGACAGGCTTACGGGGAGTATCCCGTGGTGACCAACTGGACTTTCCAAACGAGATTCAACCCCCACAACCCCAACTTCTTCGCAACAGCCTCGTTCGATGGGAAGCTGCAGGTCCAGACCCTTCAGAACACTAACCCGAGCAGCGCCGAAACAGACCAAAACCAAGCCATGGATGGTGAAGATTTCTTCTCCAAAGCTCAGACCCAACCTCAGACGTCATCGTTCTCACTTCCCAAGGCTCCGAAGTGGCTTGAACGACCTGCATCTGTGTCGTTCGGGTTTGGAGGACGGATCATTAGCGTCCGACTAGCTGAGCCTGGAAAGTCGAGGGCCTCCAAGGTCAGCATCAGCAAATTTGAAGTCGACTCCAGTGTTGGAAACGCCACTGAAACTTTCGAAAAAGCGATCCAGTCAGGAGACCTTAAATCGTTGTGCGAGGAGAGAGTGTCCTCCGCAAAGTCAGACGAAGAAAAAGCTGATTGGACGGTCATCGAGACCTTGGTTTCCAGCAATCCCAGGTCGGAGCTTGTGAAATATTTGGGGTTTGAAGACACTGTCGAGGACACAACTAACGGCCTGAAGCAACTTGACATCAGTGAAAACAAGACGGATGAGAACAAAGCGGAATCCAACGGCTCATCCAAATCTCATAAACGTTTCCAATCTATCTTTGCAAGTTCGGCCGATGGTGACTTCCTGTCGGAGCTTGCGGCTACCAAAGGCACCAGGACTAACAATCCATTCCAAATCTACACCGGTTCCGAATCAGAAGCCGACAAGAAGATCACGCGAGCCCTGGTCCTGGGCCAATTCGAGAAAGCTCTGGACGTCTGCCTCCAAGAGGATAGGATCTCCGATGCCTTCATGATCGCGATATGTGGGGGTGAAAGTTGTATCAAAAAGGCACAAGAAGCTTACTTCGCTAAGCAATCGGGTGGACCCAACTATCTCCGCCTTCTCGCATCGGTGGTGGGTAAGAACCTGTGGGATATCGTGCACAACGCAGATCTTGCCAACTGGAAGGAAGTCATGGCTACATTGTGCACTTTCGCCGATGAAAAGGAGTTCCCTGACCTATGTGAAGCTCTTGGAGACAGGATCGAAGAGCAGCTCAACAACTCCACGGCTGTAAGCCGCAAGGAAGCCTCACTATGCTACCTGGCTGGTTCCAAGCTCGAGAAAGTTGTCAACATCTGGATTCAGGAGCTGAAAGAGCACGAAGAGGCTGGGGCAACCGAGGCTGATGCATCGTCGGTTTTCTCCTTGCATGCTCACGCCTTGCAAGATTTCATCGAAAAGGTCACCATCTTCCGAAAAGTCGTCAACTTCCAGGACGATGAGCTTTCCAAAACCGGAGACTGGAAGTTGGAGGCCCTCTACAGCAAGTATCTGGAATACGCAGATATCGTGGCAGGATCTGGACAACTCGACGTTGCTCAGAAATACCTTGACTTGCTGCCAGCTAACTATCCAGGAGCTGACATTGCAAGAAGCCGGATTCAACAGGCCAGAAAGAAGACTGTTGCCACGGCTCCTGCTGCCCAGGCCACTTCGGCCACTTCAAGGAATAAGCCCCTGCCAGGGGCCAACTTGTACCAACCTCCAGCTTCCTTCACTCCTGCTGCTCCTACTGCTCCTACTGCCCCTACTGCTCCTGTTAGCTATGCGCAGGTTCCTGCACAGCCTGCGAATCCCTACGCACCGCCAACAGCTGCTCCGGCGAATCCTTATGCTCCTGTTGGCGGATATCAGCCACCTCAGCAGATGCGGGTGCCTCCGAGCAGCACACAGCCTTACGGCGTGCCACAGGCAACTGTAATCCCACCTCCACCGCGATACAACCAGTCTCCCGCAATCCCTCCACCTTCTCAAGATAAGAGCATGTCTAATTGGAACGATATTCCGGAAGGCTTTGTCAAACCTCCAACTTCAAGAAGGAATACGCCCAGCATCCCTCCTCAGCAGATGCAGAACCCATTCAGTCCGCCGCCTGTCGCTCAGCAACCAGCTCCTCCAGCTGCGCCGCCGTTCGGCGCCAGGCAAAGAGCTTCGCCTGTTCCTCCCCCTCCAAAAGGCTCAGCTCCGCCTCGCGTGAAGTCTCCTCCTGCTAGCGGGTCATCATATCAACCCATCGAACGGCCCGGATCAGCAGCTAGCAATGCATATGCGCCGCAGCCGTCCAGTGTGACTTCACCGGCTCTTGGGCAGAATGTGATGTCTCCGCCCATTCCGAGAGGGCCGTCGCCATACAACGCACCGCCTTCGAATGCACCCTCCGCCCCGAGTCGATATGCTCCTGCGCCGGGTTCCCAGCCCACCAGCGCCCCCTCAGCACGTCCTTCTGTAGCACCTCCTCCACAGCAGTCTTCCTTCCAACCTGCACCACCCCCAGCCAACCCTTATGCACCATCTCAGTCGCCACAGCAATCTCGACCAAACCCTTACGGTGCGCCTCCAACCGCGCAGGCGCCACAGCCGGCGGCAGCACCTCCAATGCCAACACCGTCACAACAATTTATCTCTGCCCCGTCGCCGAGCATAGGCCCGCCTCAACAAACACCCGCAAGACCCGACACTGCTGGTTCTGACAAGAGATCTGCGCCCCCTCCGGCGCGAAAGCATCGTAAGTAACCACTCCTGTGGCATTTCAATATCGTACTAACTGTGTCTGTAGCCAAAGGTGACCGCACCCACATTCCGCCATCTGCGCAACCAATCTACCAGATTCTCTCGGCGGAAATGGCTCGGGTAAAGGCGCGTGCTCCGGCCTCATTCAAGCCGCAGGTTCTTGATACCGAAAAGCGGCTTGACATCCTGTTTGACCACTTGAACAACGAAGACCTGTTGAAGCCGGACACAGTGGAGCAGATCAACGAGTTGGCCAACGCATTGCAGAACCGAGATTTCGAGCGAGCTAGCGAGATACAGATGGATGTGCATACGAACAAAGTCGAAGAATGCGGGCATTGGATGGTCGGAGTGAAGAGGCTGGTGGGAATGTGTAGAGCAACACCCTGAGAATAAGCACGGAAAACCACCTTTGCGGCCTCTGATGTGAGCGCACTTGTGAACGTGCCGACTTTGGTCAATGAGATAACTACCAGCTGTATGCATTGACGACTTACGACGCATCGGGCCAGAGGATGTTGGAATTGGTACGATGAAGAGAAGAAATGTCTGCTGCGGTTCAAATCAGTAGGCACGCATAATTAAGGTATGCGAAATGAAACCAAAGATAGAAAACTTGAAGAGAACTTGAAGTCTTGAGAACGATCCATCAGCCTTGACAGTATACTGGTACACTTGTTATGTTATACTATCCAAATGCAGCCATTAGACTATCAATCATATCACTGCGATGCCCATGTCAGCAACGCCGCAATGCAGGTCGTCGCAGATGGAAAAGCAAAGAACCACTCGGGGACAATACAGTAGATATGTAGATATATACACCTAGGCACATCTTCATCTACTAGTGGGCAACACAAAAGGAGCAGCAGGCCTTGCAGTCGGGAAGTTTCTCGAACTCAGTAAGGCGCCCTTGAGCGACCTGATCTCCGACTTGAACTTTTGAGCCTCGGCGTCGGGTTTCTTTGACTGTTGTTGTTTGCTCTTGTCGTCTTGTTGGAAAGAGTAAGTTCCGAAACTGCTGCTGCTAGGAGTACCGTAATAGTCGATGGCAAAAGGGTTGTAGCTCGTTTCTAATTTATCCAGCACCATCTGAAGTTGGGATACTTGGTCCTTAAGGCGGTCTTGGGAGAAATGGGTCGTGGTCGAATGTAACAGGGATGATAGCGTGCCGTGCAGCGATTGCAGTCTGGACGCTTGTGCGGCAGTCGGGTCTTGGGCAGTTCTGCCTTGCGTTTCTGAAGACAGGGAGTTGGAACGCGAGAGCGGTGGCGGCGAGGTCTGTGTGGCTATGTCCCGATGGAAGAGTTCGGTTGGGTCCGAGTCGATGGATTCAATGTCGTCGTTGTTGTCGATGTTGTTGACGTTGGTTTGTTTCTGTAGGACGGTGCTGCTGGGGAAATAAGGGACATGAGACACGGTCGATTCGAGCTTTTTGTTTAGGACGTCCAAATCGGAAAGTGTCGTTTCTGCCAGCTCGTGACGCGCCTCCGTGAGTGTTTCCAGCATTGGTTGGACTATGTATTTGCTCGCGCCGTATGTTAGGGCTGAGATGCCGGTGAATAGGTATGCCGCGTTGATGAGGCGGTCGATTGTGACTAGTGGAGGTGGTTTCTGCGGTTTCAATAGGAATTCGGGGTATGTGATGATTGGAGGTATTTCTCTCTTGTTGTTGTTGTTGCTGTTGCTGGACACTGACACTGCGGCGCTGGGTTCTTCGGACACGGATGGTGTAGCTGGAGGAGTTTCTAGGTCGGACGTTGTTTGTGACTGGGTCTCTGTCTTGTTTGAGCTGTCGATGTTGGTATTGCTGTTGCTGTCATGGACAGTCTTTAACTCGGAGGGAAGTTCTGGCTCGGACTGGGATGAAGTTTGCTCATCCGCACTGCCGAGGAGAGTGTCGATGTGGTCGGCCGAGAGGCCTTTCTTCTGCAGGAATGCGACTTTGCGCTCCCGCGGTGCCTCGCGAATCGCGTCATCGTCAAGAAATTTGCGGGCTTGCTCGAGCAGAGAGAGCTCGCTCGTTGGGTTGTTGGCCGCATCAGCGCCTGTAGTCTGGCCGGAGGATGATGGTTGGTCGCTCGATGAAGAGGCGCTTTCTTCGGAGGAGGTAGAGGGCTGGTGAGTCGTCTTCTGCCACTCGGGGATCGAGGCGCCTCTTCGTGGGTCTTGGTCCGCCATCCTCTGCCTCAGTCTGTGCTATTGCTTGTTTTGCGCATGTATAGGAAATCCACGAGGATGCGCCAGGATGGAAAGGTTGTAGAATGGATGGATGAACCTACAGTAGGATATACAATGTACATTGTTCAGACAGTGCAGCAGACCACACCAACCTCGGCTCTGGGGAAGACTGTCGATGATTGGCCAAAATGAAATATCACCCACCAGCCACACTCCTCAGCCACAGTTAGTAACTTCGACGCCACACCCAAAATATCCGTGCCTGGTGATGCTTGGAATCCGCTCCCAACGTGTCTTGAAGTCGTTTCCAATCTCAAAAGATCCCTGCAAAGTGTGCCTACAAGTAATCGAAGCATCGGCAGAGGTTCATTCAACCAGTGAAGGTATCCTGAGGCCGAGTTAGCAGCACAGGCAGCAAGCGGAAACTATAACGAAGCACAGAGTTGGGCGTGGCAGGAAACTCAACCAGGATCGACCGCCAGGCGCGCGGAGGAATCGTGGGAGCCCGCACCATTTTACCCAACAAAGGCAGACCAGACCGATTTAGCCGAGCCTGAAGAAGACCGGAAAAATATGACAGATAGAAGCCGCCGTGTGCGACGTCAGATCAGCGATGCGACTGACGACCTCTCGGACAACTCAGAGTCTGATACAGGCAGCGGTGAAGACTACGACCCCAGAATAGCCGATTCGATGCGCAGAGCAGGCAGATATGAGTGAGTGACTATATCGCCCGTTTATCCCTTCCTTTGCACAGTGATATAAATTCGAGATACCTGTGGTCTGCCTATCAGTCTACCTGTTTCGTTGTATGGGGCTCAAGGAGGCCACCTGGCCGGCAGAATGAAGCCTCACGTCCTGCCGGTGTGGCCGGGTGCCCTCCAGCTGGTCAACAGACATGTTCCCTCCTGGTGCTGGATACATAATAGACAAAGCGCTGCAGTGATTTACTGTGTCCTGCAGCGCTAGGCCTATTCTTCCATGCGGTGTCTATCGCTTTCTGCGGGCTCACAAAGCCATAAAACCTGATGCGTCGAATTACAGATCGACTACTTCTGTCTGCGTCGCAACCTAGGCAAACGTAATTGTCGACACTGAAAGAACTCCTCACACAACTGACCATCATGACGTTCATTATCCTGAAATGCCGTGCTACTCCAAGAGACGAAGCTAACGCAACGACCCTCAGGTCTTCTTCCGCTGCGTCGACGCCGGCATCATCCAGGCCACGGCGCACCGGCCCACCCTCTGGCTCGACGGGCTCATCGGCCACCGTCCAACGAGGCTCTGGGTCTACGGATGACAAAAGACAAAGTCTCAAGTTGACGGTCAAAGCCGCCCCCAGCAAGCTCCGGGAAGTGATGCGTGCCAGCGAAATTGAATCCCTCCAAGACACCCTTGGCGGAGGGCAAGTCTTGGACGGACCACGAAGTAGCCGCCGATCTGCTCTGGCCTCAAGGGCTAGTGCTCGCGGCAACCAACGACCTACATACGCGGAATATGGTGAGAGCGACATCGAAGATGACGACGAGGACGACGAAGTGGAAGAGGACGAGAACGAAGACGAAGATGACGACGACGACGACGGTGACGATGATACCCGTAATGACTTCGACGAGCTTGGTGCCGAACCCGAGGGAGGCACCGACGACGAGGATGTCGAAATGGAAGATTCGCCGGCCCCTCCTCCTAAGCGACAACAAGCTGCGCCTAAAGCTCCCAAGATCACCCTGAAGCCTCCGGCGGCAAATGCCGACGGCAAACAATCCGGCAAGTCCAAACTAGTCGTGCAACCTGCAGATGTTGGCCCCGTCAAGTCCGTTGAGGAACAAGAAATGGAGGATGATCCAGACGACGACGAGGTTGACAACTCCTCTGAGCTCTCTGACGAAGAAGATCAGACCATGAATAACGCCAACGATGCCGAGCTGGAGGGCGAAGAAGACGAGGAAATCGAGGTGGATGCACGGGGAGAGGCCGAGGAGGTCCTCGATGACGATGAAGATGATGACGATGACCTCGACGATAGTGATGACGAGACTCCAGCCTCGGGCTCGGCCACTCCTGATCTGAGCAGATTGACAAAGCGACAGCGAGGGAGACCCGAGGACCAAGGCACTCTCTTGGCACTGGACATGGCACCTCAACAGCGAAAGGTACGAGCTACTTGCATGCCTGTCTCTACCATTTCATTTTATACAGGTGCTGACACGGCCACAGTTTTTCACGGATGAGGAGAAGGCGATGAAGAAGGACGAACACGCCAGAAAGCGTAAGGAATTGACTAAGCGCAAAATACAGGAGGAAAAGGCCGCTGCTTTGAATCGTCTGGTAGGTCTTTTGCATGAGTTACTGACTGTCTTGATCATGCTAACATCAAGAAGCTTAAACCTCAGGTGTCCAAGGCGAGAGGTGCCGCTCCAAAACCCGAGACCCTGGCGGCTGCAACTGCCGCTGCCACAGCTGCATCTCCCTACGACGAAGAGGAAGCCGTGCCGAAAGCCAATCCGCTGTACACAAGATGGGTCAGTACCAAAGACGGAGTCAAGCTCGGAGTTCCTGATGAATGGCTGGGTAAGAGAGTCGGCCGTATGTTCGGACCGCCCTTGCCATCTGACGGCAATCCGCTTGTGCAAGAGGTCGAGTGAGCCCTCTCGAAATGGGAAGAAGGTGTACTTGGAGTCTCGAAGAACCACGACGAGAACAGATTGCTGATTTCAGACTGCATAAAGCTCGGGACGAAGATGGGCAACAACTGTTTGATTGGGCCTCCGCAGCCATGGGCGCATCTGGATAGCAGACGATTCTGACGAAAAGCGGCAGCTTTCAATGGCGTGCGAGGCTCAAGCAGGTCAGAGTAATCTTCAATTTGTGACAACATGTTCTCATAGACTCAGGCTTTCCTCATCGACTTTCAAGTTTGGCCCAATAAGACCTCGTCCACATAGGCTGTTCTTCTGTAACAGACAGTTCCAACCCCTAGGCTGTCTCTGGCTGCGTGGTGGCCAAGGAGATCACGGAATATGGTGCTCTCCGCGGTTGGCAACGGCGTTTCGAGGACTTGGAAATCCGGAACGGTTGTCATGGTGCATCACACTCGGTCGCGAAGCGTGATCCGAGATTGCACGGCAAAGACTGACCCTCAGATAGCTCGTGTCATTTCAGCATCTTAAACAGCCTTCCCATCCGCCATAGGCTCCAACATTGCAGCTCTAGGTAAAACTGCTTCCTGCCGAGCGGGAATTTCTGCGGCTTCAAGATGCAAGATCGGTCCGTCGTGAGGACTGGCAATCATAGAATGGCAGGAACTTCCGTTCATCGAGACGCCACAGCAATAGTCCTTCCGATTGTAGCAACCACTTTGACGTGGAGTCCACCTTTAGAGCTATACCATTCCATATACGACGCATATCGTAAAATTCAGCCGGTTTGTTGGGCGTCACGCTGGTCGGCTTTTATTCTGGGCCGGTTTGTTGTCTGGGGAGGAATTTCAACGAGGTTGGGGCCCAGGTCTGCAGCAGCAAGCTCCCTAGAAGACGATAGATAGTGTGTCAGCCGATGTTGTACAGGACCATATGAATCGGGTCACATACTCTTCTTTCAACTTGTCCAGAGCACGTTGCTCCAGCGCAGGCTGGAAAGTCACATAACCTTGGGTGACATCAGTAAATTTCTAGACAAACGAGGGAGTAGGTCCCACCATTCAACACCCCAAATCCGATCACCAAAGCCCATCCGACAAGTCGACGACTCATGATCTCTCTGCAGCCCTCAGGAACTTGACTGTCCACTTCGTGGTCCGCACATAGCGGTCCGAGGCATTATTTCAGCCTTGTCCTTTCTTTGTCGTCAGCCTGGGCCGCTCGGCCAATCGGAAAAGCTTCCGCATCGATCTGTCTAACGGCTTGGCGGAGTACTAATAAATGGACCGTTTAAACGACGCGTCGAGAGACGCGACGGATCCATTTGATATCAAACAAAACTCCAGGACCGCCACAGGATCATGGAAACCACCATCGATGGCCGACTGGAGAGCTCGTGGCTACGTGCCGGACTCTGACGATGATGAGGAGGATGAGGACGTCGATGTCGATGCGTTGTCCAGAGATGACAGTACTGACATTGCTGATTCTGGTTTATTCACCCGCCAGACTAAGACCGGTCCATCCGACAAAAGTACATCTTCGCAACCCGGTACCTCCGCCACATCAGACAGAGCACACATTGTCGTTGAGATTCCCTCTCAAAGAAGCGGTCGACTGAATGATGGGGCCGACACAGCCCATTTTCAAATATCTTCCAAGAGTGTCACCACCTCTAGTGCTGCTGCTCGAAAGAACCACGATGGCTCTGAGAAGGACGTATCGCCACTGTCGTCTTCCAGCCATGCAAATTCGATTGCCACCAGACTTGAAGCTGAACTTGAGAAAGGGCTGCAAACGGTCCAGGACATACTGGGTGCCTTGGAGAAGACTGCTGAAGACGACACTGACAGCCCCCTGTCGTCCCTTCCCTCGTCAATTGCGAATTCTCCTCGACCATCATCCCCGGCCTTGGTAGGCTCAGCTGGCGTCGGGCTTGGGCAGGCTGAGGCGGCGAGCAACCATGCATTTCTGCAGGAATCGGCCGGGCAACCTATGAGACGATCCTTTCGACCACGGGCTCCCATTCAAGTGCATCCTTATGCTCTCGAAGATGCCAAGTACCGGCAGACGTTAAAATCCAGAGGTCTGAAGCCTGTGCGTTTGCAACAGATCATCTCAGAGGCGCACAATACTTCGGAGGAAGATTCCCAGGGCGCGGACACATACGAAAGCAGCCAAACGAAGAATTCAGAAACACAAAGCCAACCCTCGAGTCCGGTGGTCGACAAGGAAGACGAAGATGAGTCGCAAAGCCCTGTCCGCGGAGTACGCCCACGTTTTACTGGGCCTCAATTCTCATTCGGGGATGATCTTCCTGACTTGTCGGATTTCCTAGGAGGGACTGCAACTCAAGACTCGCGGAAGGCTCTAAAGAAAGTACGCCGCCCAAGAGGACTCCTGGATGCCCGCGCTATTAATGATTCGCGTATATACGACCTTCCCACGGATGAGACCGTGTACGGATCCAGAATCGTGCCCCGACAGAGTCCAAGCTTTCAGATTCCGCCTTCGCCACCTAGCTCGCGCGGCGCCTTATTCTCTCAAGACGGTCCGCTTCCCGATGTCATTGAACATTTACGCAGAGATGAGACTCCAACACTTCTTCCTACTCCGTTGTTGTCTTCTGAGAGTCATAGCAGGAAGAGAGCACGTATTGAGTCTCTGAGCTCTTCTGATTCTGAAAAAATCGTTATCAGCGATGATTCTCCCGCACAGTCAAGCGCGAGCGAAAGCTCTGGAGATGAATCAAATGGCATTCAACGGATGCGGCGGAAGATCAAGGGTGTCTTGCCGGCTTCCTGGCTCAAACTCGACGTCAAGGGCAAGAACAGCAATCTGCCCTCACGGCAACACGCACGGTCACCGGTCAAGTCAGCTTTGGAGAAAGGCATTGCCCAGCGCATCTCGTCTTCAGAAGCCAGGAGGAAAAGCAACGTCAGGAGGCGCCCTTCGGAGACTGATACCATGGTCTTTACGGTGGCAGAGAGTGACTCTGATGAGCCTCGCATTCCCACTGCTGACGACTTCGACGACGACGACCTGATGATGCTGGATTCTGAAGTTGTTGAAGACAACAGCATTGATGCAATGCTCGCACCAAGGACTCGAAAGACCGTTCCAGGAGGAAAGCAGCCGAGACTGAGAAAGGCTTTGTCCGTATCCTCTTCCATGCCGAAAGCTAGACAAACGGGCGGGACGGGTGGACAGATACACCACAGCGTGAACAGATCGACTGGAACGAGATCAAAGAGAGTCTCTCGCCCAAAAAAGAAGCACAAAAAGAGAAACGAAAAGCTGAAACCGACCGTGCTTGATGCACCTGGTTTTCAGGACAAGGAGATTCCTCTTTTCCTGAAAGTTGCGAGGAGGCGAGCAGGCCGTTCAGGGCACTTAAGGCCTCAAGAACCGTCCAAGAAGTTCTTCAGATTGGCAACAGTGGAAGACACTTTGGATGTGAACCACGAGCTGATACAGTGGTGCACCCGGCAAAGCTCAACAACCCGTACTGGCGGCCATGAGACGGCAGGCGTCAGCCGCAGCCCCTCGAGGCCGCAGCGCCGTCGCAGCACCGACATGAGCCAGAATTTCTCGCTCAACTCAGTAGACAAAGATTCAACTGAACTCACCCAACTGAAACAAAGCACCAAAGCCACTCTTCAGCGGATCCAAACCAACCAGTCTGGACTTCGAACTCGGCAGCCACAGCTTGACTCAAGCTCTCAGAGAAGGCCGAATACTTTGGAATGCTTCCAGCAGCGTCGTCTACGCCGTCCTCCTGCCCCTTCACCGCGGCTTGAAAACCTTTCAAGGAATGCCACGCACCATCAAGGAGTGTTGAACATACCGCAGGAAATCCCGCCGATCGTGCGACTTGTACCTCAACATCCGGCCAAACTATCAGGGCAGCGGCTCACACCCAATCCAACGACGCCTAGCATCTCACCTTTTCAGATACGTCGTCGTCCTCCAAGGTGAGCAGGCTCTATGTACCACCATACCGAAGAGTAATGTGAACTGATATCATTTTAGGAAGCTCCCTCCAAAAGCTCTTCAACCCCGGAGCCGCAATATCTCTCCTCCTGATGGCCTCTCGAATGCTCTGGCAGGCGAATCTGCCGACCATCACCCTTATCATCCCTCCGTTATCATATCCCAGCTCATAGATAGCCCTCCCGGCCCTGCACGTTTAAAGGGTGCTACATCTGTTACATCTATCGAGGCCTCAATACTTGCACGGGGCGGTCTACAGATCTTAGAGTCAGAGACGAAGGACACTGCTGCCCTCTTCGACCCTTCCCGAACCCTTTCTCCTATCACGACGCCGAAGTCTGGACGCACACTATCGTGTGCTATCTGGTCTGAAGGAGTTCGAATTATTATGCAAGAAACATTTGGCGAGATACGCTCGGCCATATGCAGCAACGACGGAAGCAGCAGGGACGAACACGAGTCTTTTATCATCAAGTGTGCAGCGTCGATCGAGAGCATCATTATCTATATCCAACAAAGTCTGTCGGTGTCTGGCGTACATGAGTTGACTGTGGTTGTCACATTCTTATCGGCTTGCGTGAACAGCCTGCGCCAGGACATCGAATCCGTCAATACCTCCATGACCAAATCACGTACTACAGGTACCTTACTGCTGTGGAACAGAGTGCTAATTCTAGGCCAGCAAATCCTCCAACTCAGCCGCGCCGGTGGCCTTGGAAATACTGTCACAACGGAGATTGTTGCAAGCAACGAGAAACTGGCTAACCTCGCATGGTCGTTGGTTCTACAACCAGAAATTACTGACAATCTACTGGTCTACCTTGCCACACAATCTGAGAGTCAATTTGTCTCCGTGGCCGTGGATTTCCAAGTTTGTGGGGCTGCGATTGAGACCATTATCATCTTGCATCAATTGCACCCAGGGCATAGATGGGTTACTCACCTGGATCACGCGATGTCAGCACTCTTTGTGGCCGGACCCGAACGAGATTATTCCGCAGAGAAATTGGCCTATACCATCCTCATTCTTGGATGTGTGTATTCGGTCACTGTACTCAAAGATGGGATTACAGGGGCCATGGGAGCGTCTTTGGGCCTCCTGAAATATCCCGATTTTTCTGTGCTCTCCCCTGCCATGACGGAGTTTCTCAAGTACTTTGTGCAAGAAACCTCCCGAAGGGTATCTCAGAGAAGAAAAGAGACAGGAATGATCAAGTTGGAGCAGTTTGGCCTCATCGCATTTCAGTGGTGCCTGGTCCTTGCACGCACTTCTCATGCGGACGTTGCCGATAACTTGTTGAAACAGCTGTTCAAGCTGTATTCAGAAAAGTCCAACATGCTGGATTTCTTCTCGCCTACTTTGGCAGAGACTCCTCGATTCCTCGAGCAACGATATCAGATCTCACAACTAAGGCCAGAGGCAGGAGACACAGACTTTCACATCTTCCTAAAGCTCACTGCTTTCACCCTTGGCTTACAGCCTGACGACGTCGGCGCTCAAAGTAACGAAGAACTGAGACGGCTGAAATTGCGGAAGGTCTCTCTGGTATTCAGTCTGCTACCAAACAACGGTCGCGGTGCTGGAGACGACAGACCCATCCTTGTCGAAGAATCCCACCCACTACCCATCAAGGACCTCGGCGCTCTTGCTAACCGGTATCATTTGTTCTCCACCCTCTATCATTACGCGCCAGTCGGGGTCAAGCCGGAGATATCCAAGATCAAAGATCTGGTTGACTTTGGAAATGCCCATGACGCGGTGTGCACGCTTGCGCTTGAATGCTGGGCTAGCACTGTCAGATCTGCCCTCTCTCTCGTACAACCAGAGGCGCAGGTTGAACTCCATAGGCTGGCTGTCTGGATCTATGACATGGTCTTCAAGATCAGCGACAAGTTGCAAACCATCCCCCGTGTTGATGGAACCCTTAACGGGGACGATGATAATGACGAAGAACTCTTGGTGTATCGACGGAACCGAGCAACCGCCAACTGGAGGCTCATGGAGATAGCAAAAGCATGGGCCGAGGCTATTGAGCTTTGCGTTTGTGAATGGCAAGCCCGGTATCTCATGCTGGGCCCTCGATTTGGCGAGCTTCTAGGTCTTTGCAATGCGAGGAACGGCGGACGACTTGATGACCTGGTTATCAGCGCACTGTTTAATGTGCTAGCAACATATCTCAAACAACTCTCAGGCGCCGACCTGGGTGCACTTAAGCAGGTTCGAGACGACTTTCGGGAAATCCTTATCAGCCACCTATATCGTGCCGATCCGCCAGAGGATGAGCTACTCTTGTCTTTGATAGATGCATGGCACAAGCTCGCCCAGCTCCTGGTCGAGAGTGGGAACAATACGTGGGATGATTACTTTTCCATGTTCGCCTCCTACTCTCTTTGGCGGTTTGGTGGTCAGACAGAATCAGCCAGACACTGTCGGGTGATCATGACCAGCTACCTTTTAAAAGACCGGGCCTGGGCGAGATCTCACATACGCCAATTTCTCGCCGGCTGGCTGGCAGGTCTCCTGCGCCTAGACGCAGAAGTCAAGTTTGAGCACTTAGTGACCAATTCGCTGCTTACAACATTCGACGATCTTCTTGATTTCCGATCTTTGAAGAGCACACTTGCAGGTGGAGACTCGGATTTGAAGCTTACGCGAGATGAACTTATCAGACATCGCCTGGATATTGTTCGCCATGTGGTACGCAACATTTACAACACGCGGGATGCAGACGACTTGCTTCCAGCACCACAGTCAAGCGATATAGGACTAACGACGTCAAATGCGGAATGTCTTCTCGAGACTATCACTGCTGCGCTAAGAGACTCGTGGACACGAAGTGTTGAAGGGATGGAAAGACAAGACTGGACACGGTTCCTTGATTCCGTTATGCGCGAGATCAGCAGGTACCCTTTTCGCCACTTCAAAATCCCCGCGTGGTTTTCAGATCGAGCCTCGTATAAGCGTCACCACCTGCACGGGCTGTTTGTCAATCGGGTAGATGCGTCCACGTCATTCAACGAAGCACGCGCCGTTGAAGAGTTCCGCCTCGCGTGCGAAATGGCTACCGTCCAGAACACAAACAAAGAACTGGAGAAAGAGCTCGTCATGACGTTTTCTGCCAGTGACCCTCAGTACATTGACGACCAAGGAAACTTTCTGCTCGACATTCCGACCCAGCTTTGTTTCATGAAGGCGGTGTTTCCAGTGTACATGGAACATATCCTAGACCCCCGTCATCCAGCCATGCTCCTTGGCCCTGTAGTGGTGACTTCGGCTACCGCGATTCTCGACAGACTCGAAACTCGCATTGACCTTGAAGATCAGTCCCGTATGGAAGAATTCGCTCGGATGATGATAGAGTTGATGAAAACGGCCGTCAAGGCGCTGCAGTCAACCTCATGCGATGTTACATTCGAGTTCGGCATGGTAAAGAGAATTCTCGCTCGTCTGGTCGATCTCTGCGCCAATGTCTGTACTCGCTGGGGTCATCTCCACCTACTGTTCCAAGACTCTGCGGCGATTCTTGCACTCCAGCCGCTAGTCCAGACATACGGACTGTATGTCTATGAGTACGCCTGCTCCGCCATCGGCCTCGACTGTGAGCCCACCGATCCCGACTTCTGGCGGAAATATCCCAGTAGTCAGATGAGGGCAGCCATGAGCTTTGGCTTTGACCTGTCGGGCCTTGACTATCCCGAGGGTCAAGACGTTGCGGCCCTCCGCGAGGGCGCCAGAGCCAACCTGGAAAGGGCGGCTCTGACGCTTTGGAAGTACGATGGGCTGACCCGCACTGGGCCAGTCTGGTCATATAACTGGGATGGCGTCATCAAGAGCCTGGAGCCAGTCCCTCGCACGGACGAGGGCGACATGCTCGAAGTCGGGGCGGCGGTGGCGGAGCTGGTGCGGGCGCTGGAGGTGCTGGGCGTCAAATAGGGCAACCCCATGGTCTCGCCAATTGTGTAGGGTACAATTGATATTGTTTTGACACCATGGACATTTGTTTCTCATGTAGTCGTGCATCTATTACAAGGCCCAGTTTACGATTTGGCCCATGGCCGGTTGCGAAGCTATCTTGGACGACTGGGGGAACTTTGACAGACAGTTTGAGTTTCTCAGGCAAATAAAAGGCGCAGGGTGCGGACGTAAGGATGATGGCCACGAGAACATAGAAAGCCACAGAGACGTATCGCATTAGCATTGATGCTGTAACTGACGGATGCCAATATCAACACGCATTTAGGCCAGTGATTCTACTTCAGGAGAGCGTTGTTCTCAATTATGTCCTATTATATCTACTTGGATATACCGTTGCCTACACAGCAGGACTTTATATCATGAAAGGGCGGTTTGCACTGTAGACAAACCACGGAGAGAATGAATTGTCTGGAGTTGACGTCTGGATAAAGGCGGCGACAAGGCTACCTATTGTCGCAAGGCTGGTACTACAAGGCTGTTATCGATAAGGGGCACAACCACTGACAACTGTTGCCGCGCCAACATCGGCCCCTTTGCCATGTCAACATGCGACCGAAAATCCGGGGCCGCATTGGACTGACACTGACCACCTGTGACGATTTGAGTCCACCCATATACACTTTCTGGTCTGCTATGACCCTTTATGCTACGTTGACGTCCTGTGTGTCTGCGGAACATTCCATCAGTGCTTTGCTCCATCTCCATATTGCCTTGCCTACGTATATCAACGCATTGCGAAACTTGAAGGCAGCATGGGCGTCCAGCCTCCCTTCATTTACGACAAACCAAGCACCTACACCTTCGGCGGTCCGATTGACCGTGGCTTCAATCCCAAGGCTGCTACAGAGGCATCATGGGCTCCTAAACCAGAGAGGCCGAAGTCAGATGGGCCTCTAATCAATTTCAACAAACACCCCGACTCGGTATGTACAGTATATCCAGAGCAAGCGACCACTGGATTTCTATGCTGACTCAATTGCAGTACATTGTCGTCCCCTACGGCAACCTCGATGCCAAACCGATGAACCCAAACACACGAAACAGAGTGCTGCGTGCCCGCCAGATCCAGCTCTTCCTACGAACTTGTGCCCTTCTCGGCTCCCTGGGCACGCTGTTCTGCATCATTGCCATAAACAAAACATCTTCCACTGCAGGATGGCTCATTCGCGTTGCTCCCGCCGTATCTCTCTGCCACACCGTCTACGCAGTCTACCACCTCTGCCGGTCCGCAACAGGCCGACCTCCCGGTTCGACAGCCAGCTACATGATATTTGCGGCGCTTCTTGACTCGGGCTTGATCCCCTTCTTTGTCTTGTCGGCATGGATGGCGCATGTGGATTACACAGAAAACGTATATTTCTGGAGCACGCTATTCAACAACGGCTACATATCGCAGAAAATCATCTACGGGTTCTTCCTTCTGTCGTGCATTGAAGGCGGACTCATGGGCATCTCGTTGATCTTGGATATTTACTTGGCTATCAAATTTCGCCAGATCGCCAGGCTGCCACCGGACATGAATCCGCTCGAACCGAACCTGACATCAAGGCAACATAAACGAAACAAATCCGAACTAATCACCGAGAAACACACGAGTGCGTCAGCATTGGCGGCCGCGAGGAGAGACTCGGCAGTCTCGGGCGTGAGAAGGATCCCTTTTATACATACTCGGACCGATTCGGCGGATAGAGTGACGCTTTTTGGGACAGAAACAAACACCACTGCCCGCAACTCCAGGGTTGATTTCCGCAAAGAACTGGATGAGAAGAATAACGAAAAAGATCCCTGGCGATGGTCTAGAAACTCGTCTCCTGACCGTCCCAATTCGGCTGTGAGCCCTTCTCCTACTTCGCGTGGTGCGGGTGTCGGGCTGGACTTTCGACCGGAGCGCTCTTCAGGTTTGGCCAAAGATGCCACTCCTTCTCGTCCTTCGTCGTGGCTTTCGTATCTCGACTACGAGGGTGTGCCTGAATCTCCGCAGACCACTACCGCAGCGGGACAGCCTGGATCTCCTGTTTCCCGTGATGGCGCATCGTTTGATCGACTCCAACATGAAAGAGAAAATTGGTATCAGGGTGCTGGTACTGGCACTGGTATAGCAAGAGGCAGAGATAGCCAGACACTTCTACCACCGTCACCTGCAAGACAAAGTCAAACATACTTGCCGCACAATGGGAGCCAGACTCGTTTGTATCAGACCAACACTAATACGGGCGGCACAAGTAAGCAGAATCTGACTCTTTCTAGCCCACAGATGCAACCAAAGAAAAGAAGCCGGGAACCACTAGGTATGAACCCTCCAACACCGACTCGGGATCGTTACTACCAAGATGAAAACATTTACAACACTCCAAATCGCCAGTCTGGGGCCATGGACAGAGAGGCGTTAGTGGATGCCAACGGCAATCGGCCAAGCATGGGACCACCAGGATCCTCCCGCCCTTCAAGTTTTATTGGAAGTGGTGGAAAGACACGCTTCTACGGCGACCTCAGAACATCCATTAGCAGTGGTCAAGGCTACACCAACGAGGTGACTACACAACAGCAACAACAACAGCAGCAGCAACAACCGAACAAACAAGTCGATGAGGACAACGTGTACCATCAACGCACAAAGACAATGCAGACCGACAACAGCGACTATAGCGGCAACTTTGAAGTCTATGCATCGGACGACGATGACGAGAAGCCCACTGCAAACATTGTTAATGTTCCTTGTACTCAACCGCAATGGAACGGGACAAGACAAGTCTCCAATTCTACCGGGTATGATCTGGACGGTGCCCATGGGTATGGGTATGGCTATGCTGGTCTCGGCACAGACTTTGAGTTTGGGAAAGGAATGGGTCGACGACGCGATGTCAGTGGTAAGATTGTCGAGGAAGGTCGTGCATCGACATCGGTGTCGGCATCGGCGTCGCCGGAAAGGAAGGCTAAAAATGGTGCTGCTGGATGGGAGAGGTTTAAGGGCTTGTAGGAGTTGAATTGAATGGTCGTGGTCTCGAGGACACTGGCATTCAAAACGACTGAGATTGTACTTCAGGTATTGTACCCATTCAGGTAGGTAAGGCTGAAGACTTGGGCTTGAAGTTGGATTGATACAACACAGCTCCGGAGTGCGATTGGAGATGATGATGTGAATGCAGTTGTCCAGGATATGGTACTGGTACGGGGAGTTTCGGTTTGTTCGCTTATGTACTGGGTCTGTTGAAGTGCGGGATGTCATGTTAGACGGGAACGGGACAGACTTGGGCAAACAACATACAGATCTTGTCTTCAAGTTGAGCTTCGTAGGTACTACTGGTAGATTTGTGTACCTGCTGTAGAACTGAAGTCAAGGAGCAAAAGTTTAGGCTAGCTTGCCATTCTCATCCAAGTTCCATTTTGCGGTATCAGGCAGGCAGGCAGTCATTATTGCCGTTATTAATGTCTACCTTAGGTACCTATACACAATACAGTATATCACGCTGTATGCAGTGTTCTAATAGTACCAGGTAATGTACAGTATGTAGGTAGTCAGTGATGTGGACTGATGGTGTAAGCTCAGCCTTGCGCTGCCAGGGGTCGCTTACTTATTTTGTGTCTGTCTGTTCCCCTCGGCCTTTATTTGCGCAGAGGCCCGACGTCATTTTATTTCCACTGCGAGCTGGAGTTCATATTCCCCGGACCTCAAAGTGATTGATTCGTAGTGTTCTTCGGGGAATCATTCTTCTACAACAGCTAAGAAGAACATCTATTGTATCCCCTCCGGGTATCCAAGTTACATACTACACGTTGTACTCTACGTGCACGGAACAAATCCCAGTCCGGACACTTATAATCCCTTTCGGAATCCTGAATCCTGCAAGAAAAGGACCATCATGGCATCCCGACGCAGTGTCTGCGCGCTCCTAACAAACACACTGCGCTTGTCTACGAGGCAAAGTGCACAAGAGACACAGCCACTGCGACAGCTAGTCACAAGAAGAAGCTTGTCCTCTTTGCCTACTGCCCATTTCATGGTCCGTCTCCGTCAACCAAAGCGTCATTTCACCACGACCTTGGTGGCTCGGAAACAAGACGATTCGACTTCGACTTCGAACTCGAACTCGGGTTCGGCCTCGGCGGCCTCACCCTCCAAACTCTACACCTTTGAAGAAATCAAATCCATCACCTCCAAACCGGACCCGAACCGCATCCTCATCGACGTGCGCGAGCCGCACGAGTTGAAGCAAACGGGCAAAATCCCCGGAAGTCGGAACCTGCCCGTCCAGTCGGCGGCGGATGCGTTTTTCTTGCCGGCCGAAGAGTTCGAGGAGCGCTTCGGGTTTGAGAAACCGGACGCGAACAACAAAGAGGTTATTTTTTATTGTAAGGCCGGTGTGAGGAGTCGGGCGGCGGCGCAGTTGGCGCAGAGAGCTGGGTGGGGTGGGAAGATTGCCGAGTTCCCAGGGTCTTGGATTGAGTGGGAGAAGAATGGGGGGGAGATTGAGAAATTGAATTGATGTGTTCGTACGGAGGGGAGAGAAGTAGGTAGGTACCTAGTACATATTTTGTGCGGGTTTTGTGGTAGAGAACGGAGCAGAGTCGACAACAAGGGGGAATGTGCTGTGCTATACTACTTGAGACAAAAATTGACTGCATGTCATCGTTCGTATGGAGTGGTACACTAGCTGCTGTAAGTGATGTGATGCAGGTGTGACTTGTTGCGGCCGTGACTTGTATTTGGAGATTTTGGCTTGATGGCAAAAGGAGCAGCAGACGGAAGGCGGGACGATAGGACTTGGGAAAGAGGAGCCATATCGTCACCTTAAATGTTGTCGTAGACTGCCAGTCGAAAGCGATCACTTCTCACGCGTGCCTGGGCCGGGGCCGGAGCCGGACTGCCATCTAAGAGTCAGCGTCAAGATATTCAGAATACCAAGCGATATTAGACATCCCAGGGTTGAATCGTAGGTATGCAATTAATTCTATTAGAGGAGCACCTATACTCCAGAGCTCGTGTGGGAAGTGGAATATTTACATGTACATATCCAGCTCCATTTCCGTATTCGTTTGCTCATCCTCATCTTCGTCGACATCGATATCGGCATCATGATCAACCTCAGGCGGCAAGGGTGACGACGACGACCGAATGTCCAATCCACTCAAATCCCTTGCCAGAGTCCCTGAGGCAGTAGCAAGCAGCGGCGGCGAGCTTGGTTGTGTCGCCGTCATCATCCTCGTGTGTGGCTCGTCCTGAAAGTAATCATTTCGTTCATCCTCGTGCTCCAGGTTGGAGCCATGTTCATGCTTTTTCTCTTCGTGTCCGTCGTCGTCGTCTCCACCGTCCTCGTCGTCGTGGTTATTGCCATCGTCATCGTCGTCGACATACTGACTATGCTCCCCAAACACCTCTTCCCGCCTCCGGGCTTTTAAGTACTGCTCAATCTTCTCTTCGGTATGATTGACAGCCCTGATCAGCGCCTTGACGCTCAGACAAGCCGTCTGCGCCGCTTCCTCGTGGAACACCTTGACCACCACGCGATCTTGATCTTGGTCTTCTTGCCCAGGTCCGCACTCAAGATCCTCGAGGCTGCGAACGTGTAGATATTTCTTTCCCGGACGAACAAATTCAACGCCGCTGCTGCCTGTCCGTAGTTGGGCTTCCTCTTCCAGAGACACGGCCTTGAGTGTAACAAACGATGTTTGGACGTTTTTGATTCGACTCGTGACGTGAGCCCGACGCTGTACTACTTCCTGTTCATGATCTTCTCGCGTCGTCTTGTTGCGCTGTTGCGGAAGCTCACGCAGCGGGAAAAGGTCCAAAATGTCTTTGTCGAGCGCATTTTCTTGAGCCCTGGCATTCAGAGTCCGCTGACTTTGACTTTGACTTTGACTCGGGTCGATATTGGTAGTAGTATGAGGGCTTTCAATCCACGTCCGTTGATACCAGTCCATATACTGATCAAGTTGGCCATCAGTCATGTTGAGAATGTCGCTGTCTCGAACGTGGATTTCGGAGCCGGGTTCAAGGCTGTTCGGATGACCATCGCCATCACCGCTGCTACTAGTTGTTGCGCCGTCGCCAGTGTCCGGTCCAGATCCGAGGCCGCGGTCAAAGCTTTGTTTTTGGTGCAACCACGACGACCAGTCCATGTGCAGGGTCGTAGGATCATTAGGGTCCTTGGGATATCGTCGCAGTGACTGGGAGTCGAATGGAAACAAGAGTTTGGTGGCAATCACGACGAGAGACATCAGTTGTGCCTCGGGGTATGTCGTTGGTTGGCGCCTCGTCATGGATTTTAGTGCTGTCTTGTCGGGACAGCGGAATTGGTATTTTGTGATGGCGGCGTTCAACCGCTGGGATATACTGTACACCTCGATCGGGAGGGCGAGCGAGCGGACATAGTGGAGCAAAACCAAATTGTGGTTCAGCGGAGGCATGGTCATGCCAAAGGACAGGCTGAACATCTTGATGCGCTCGTATACTGCCGCCTGTAGACCATCGGGCTCCAGCATCCATATGGTGTCCAGCGCAATATGGTATTCTCCGGGCAAGCGGTCCTTCATCTCCGCGGGGACATGTCTGATGGCTCGAATGAAAGGTATGTGTTCTTTCTGGATCCAGCTGGAAGTTCAACACAGGAGGTGCATTTTGTCAGAAGGACCCCACTCTGAATTTTCGTATGCATGCACAAGAAACTCACTTCAAAATGGTCGCCAGCCCAATTGGCCTTCGAAGCAAAAGAATGCCCAAGTAGTTAAGGACGACGGTATCGACCAATATAGGCCCATGACTTGCGGCTTCACCGCGCCTTTTGCGCTCTCGGGCAGCCTCGCCACCACTGTCCGTTTCATGGGCAGATGTCGTGATAGCATCTGCTTCACTTGCCGAGTCGGTGGGCGGATGTGAACCTCCGGCAGGATCGTGTAGCCGATGGCCCAGTTGTGAGAGCCAGAGTATCCAAAGATCCCTCACAATCGTCTGTAGGACGAAATCGTGGTCAGCTATTGGCCCAAGGACAGACAACCATTGCAGGCCTGATATGAAGACTTCGGGTAAGGGCTTACCCAAAGTTCAGCGGGCAATCCTTTCTGGTGTACAAGAATGTAGCACTGCTTTCGTAGGATGAGTTGCCATGCCTGTAGAAAGAGCTGATATGCTTTGACTCCGCGAAGCACTGTTTCGAGAGGATTAGTTCCGAGCGGCTTCTGTTTGAGATTCAAAAAGACTAACCACCAGTAACCTTCTGCTTCTCTTTGGGCTCCTTCTTTCTCAGGACCTTGCCTTGCCTTCCATAGTCCAGTTCATCTTCAGCGGTTACTGGGGCCCTGCCCTGGTCGTGGCCATTGTCGCAATATGTTTTACCGTCATCTTCGACAATGAAGACCGAGGAGCCACATTGCTCGCAACGATCATCGTCGTCCATGTTGAGACTTTGGCGACGGCGAGATCCTCAACATGTTGGAACGGCACAATTGCAATGTGCGATTATAGTATGGGAAGATAGAGTTACTCATCGGGTTCGGGGAGGACAAAGCGTAGGGCATCATCAGCTGTTGGATTTCATTCTGGCAAAACTGGCGAGGCTGAATATAAAATATGCTGTGGCCAATCAAAGTTACAGTTTTACATGTTGCACCAAAACTTGGAAGATCACAATCGCAGTGCGTGTCTCTCACATCTAAACAGCTACAGTCAAGGTGGTAATTGTCTTGATTTTCTAACTACCAATTGTCAAAATGTGCAAGGCTACCGAGGCAACACTGATTGAGATACTAGTATCGCTTTTCAAGCCAAGTAGCAGATCTATGGCCCGGTGTAGCTCTAGCAGATTCGACTGTTTGCCTGCTAGATTTTTGGCAGCAGCAAACTGCCTGAGCACCAAAACGCTTTAAGCATGATGGGTTGGTCGTCATCCATAAATACATCAGGCGAGCAGAGCGAGCCGCAGATGTTAGGCCGTGCCTCATCCAATTTATTTGGGGGCTTCCTTGGCATCAATGGCAGTCTCTTCGCCCATGGCAGTCAAGACAATGACATCTACAGATCGGGTCAGTATGGTGGTAGGTTATGCAGTCAGGCGGCAAAACTCACTGGTGTCCTTCTCCTCGGTGCGGAAAAGACGCTCGATCTTCTCACCAACTTCACCCTCCGGCAACTTGACATCGTCCTTGGTGGTACCGTCATCAGACATGAGGGACAAGAAGCCATCGTCGGTGATGTCGAGCTATTACAGTGTTAGCATGTCCTTTCTGGCCCATTATATCCAGATATTCCATCTTACCAACTGGTACTCGCGACGAGTGACGTTGGGAACCTCCATGTTGTGGGTGGATGGGGAGAGATCTTCCAGCTTCTTGCCGGTGAAGATGTCGATGGCGACCAAGTGAACCTTGGCGTGACCGTGCTTGCCGGTCTTGGAGGTGGACATTTCGACGATCTTGCATGGGCGGCCCTTGATGACAACGAAACCGTTCTTCCTCAATGCGGAACATTGCATGGGATAGGTGGCCGAGGCACCGGCGTCGGCGGACTCGAAGGTGTGCTCATGCTAGATGGGGAACCAATGTCAGCTTGAGGCTCATCGAATATGTTTGGTAGATGCAAAGATGATTTGGATCAAGATTTGCGATGGACCCTAGGCGCAACACACGATCAAGAGGCGGGGAGGAAGACTAGGGTGGAGGCTGCTTACCTGGGCGTCGTTGTTCTCGGCCATGTTGACGGTATTGAAGATGTCGCTGGAAGAGGCGAAGGACGGAAAATATGAAGGAGTGGGATGAGTCGGCGAGCGACAAATTCGAGGGTTGAAAGGATGGATTTATAGAGATGTTGGTTGGAGAAAGATCGATCGCAGGCCAGGCCCGAGTAAAATATCGAAAGAGCAGGTGTAAGTGGGATCGCACCAGAGGCGGGGGCGGAAAAGGATTTCAAATGACTAGCATGACCGGTGGCTGCCCGGCAAAGATTTGGAAAGTCGCCGACACAAAATGTCCACGGCCAGCCATCCGCTCTAACTGCTTTTGGCCTTAGGCTTTTGCTTGGCATCCTGTTCGCGTGTCAGCCATGATTGGGCACGATTCGCACCTGTAACCAACTCTAATTCGAGAGGACATGCCACTGAGGCCACTGCCAGGCTGCAGTGGTAGCACTTCTGGAGAGTACCTAGGTAGGAGTAAGGCATAAGAGAGACGGTCCCCAGCCGCCGTTCAGTATATGGAGGCAATAGTATTTGCTGCCGGAGCTTCTATGTACACCTACTAATCACTGGACGAAATCTGTCGCCAATCTGGACAATGGCAACCGTATCGTCAATGCCTGATGCAGAAATCCCAAGAGGCGGGTATGTTGCTCCGGACCTTGTCGCCGCGTCCTCCACGGCATCCCAGACCCCGGCACCATTGGACTCCGGTGAACTAGAGTCGCGTGCCAACGAGTATCTTTCGCAAGAAAAGTTCAACCGGAGCTTCACACTCCCAGCCACAGACGCTCACGGAGAACTTGCTGTAACCTATGCGGTGGGCGGCGTGGATAGCGCTGATGCGCCAACAATGCTCTTCATCGGCGGCATGCTTGGAGGAAGATACTTGGCCTCGATTGCCGACTATGTAGCCACCAAGTATGGCATGAGAATCGTCGTCACTGATCGGTAAGGAATCTGTTCCATTGCCTGAGGTAGAGCCAACAGATGGCGTTTCCAGGCAAGCTTCGACAACTAACATCTACCACGCTGCAGGCCAGGCCTCGGTGGCTCAACTCCTGTGAAGCCATCTCTCCGTCTTCCTGTCTGGCTAGAGACAGTCCCAGTACTCATGCGCACCATCAATGCCCGGCATGTGTCGCTCTCCGCGCATAGCTGCGGGGTCATATACGCCTTCAACACGATCTATAAAATGCCGTGGATCTTGCCTCCGTCCAATCGAAAGTTATATCTATTCTCCCCATGGGTTCCGCCTGAACACTCTGGGGTAACTCCTCTGGCTATAGCGTCACAGTTACCGGCTGCACTTATCAACAGTTTCGACAGCATCATCCGCTTTGTGAACAATACCGTTATGCCTACTGTGCATTTCTCGAGTGTGATTTCGGGCGCTGTGTCTGCTCCGTTTTCCAAGGGCCGCAGAGATAACCCGACAGACAGCGAGCCGCCCGCTCAGAAGCATGAACGCGATGATTTATGCCGCGAGTACTGCGGAGGATCGGCTGCTGAGATTATTGCACGGTCCAAAGTGATCACGCGGCGCGTGTTCAGTGAGAGCACCCGTGGCTGTAACCACGAAGCCCTCTTGTGTCTGCGGAAGGATGTTGCTGGCTCGTGGGGTCCCTGTGACAACTATGAAAGCTACGCTGAGGCGCTGGAGGCGAGACTGCAAGAATATTACCGGTGTGCAGAGAGTGAAGAGGGCTATTCAAGTCGCTTCTCAGCAGAGTCGAGTCCGGAGACTACCCAACACCGATTTGCTTTGAAAGTATTCTGGGCTGAAACCGATAGGATGATTGGCAAGAAAGGCGAGGAATACTTTGACAGGTGCTTCCAGCGCTTTGCCGGAGACGGGCAGACGAGTAATGGTGAGCGTGAAAGCTGTATTTCAACCGAAAGTGAAGTGATCCCGGATACTGACCATGATACTCTCTGCCTGCCGCAATACGGCGCAATATCAACAATCCTGGAGGATGCCTCCAGGGGGTGAGACGAGTTGATGCTACGTTCGTTTTGACCATCTCTAATATCCAGGGGTTGCCGTGAGCAGTTTTGAAGCCTTGGGGCGAATAGATAGTATAGAAAACTTAGGTCTATACAAGGTGGATATGGTGACTGTTGACTCTCATGTCAAACTGGTACGAACATACAGTACGTTTTAAGAACCCGGTATCGTGAAAAAGGTTAGCAACAGTCCGACAGGCTATGGTGTTCTGCAAGTGCTAGTTATTAGCTGTGAGCTATGCCAGGTGAGGATGGAGAGCGAACTTCAGGCTGTAGTGGCCCATACCCTGACTCGCGTGAGGGCGCTGGTGTTAGCATACAATTTGAAGGCACCCAGGTGGAAGGGTTATTTTAGTAGCACTAATATTGGTACTAGTGGTAGATAAATCTTCTTCTTTACGCACCTGGAATTCCACTAGTATCACTAGCGCACTTAGCACCAGGCTGTTAGTACACTGGCACGTACCGCAACTGGGGATGACGCGGGCATAGGACAGGTTGCGACGAGCCTGAACAAAGACATGTAAACATACCTACTGCGTCTCCCTCCTCACAATACACACGCACCATGATACCGAATGTGAACCAGAAATGCTCATCTATATGAACAGATCACCCGTTAGAGAATGTGGCTGGACCGCTTAGCTGGGGGTGCTGCGTCTCCCAGCGGTTCACTCACTCCTTCGAGACCATACTCACCCTCACCACGTAAAGGCGAGAGATCTCATCTTGCCCCGGCTCAACGGGCAGGATATAATTTAAGCGCAAACAAGTCGTCCACGTCCCTCGACCTCAGTGCAAACAGTTCGACGACTTCTCTGTCCGCACCTCCTAGGCCTGCTGTCAATGGATCATCATTACGATTCGAACAACGGCCCCCTCCTGACGTCCCAGATCCGCTGAAGGTGCTCGGAGACATACTGGGCAACCGGCCAAAACAGAATGGCGCAGATAGCGTTACGAGCGCAGGGAAAGGCACAGGGGCGCCTGGACGGCGGAAAACAGAAGTGAATATCGACTTTGGGGGCCTCAGTCTCGATGAGTTCGTCGATCAAGATATACCCGAGGCGGCGGTGGACAACCGGCAATCTAGCGCAATCCCCATCCCGGCCAAGGAGAATAGGCAGAAATATGAAGACTTCCACAATTCTATTGCGGAATGTGACCAAGTGCTCAAAACGGTCGAGACATACTTGACGAATTTCCAAGCCGAACTGGGCCAGGTGTCTGCGGAAATCGAGAACCTGCAAGCCCGCTCTGTGCAATTGAACGCGAAACTCGACAACCGACGTAAGGTCGAAAAGCTGCTTGGGCCTGCCGTAGAGGATGTGACTCTCTCCCCAATGACGGTCCGGTCGCTAGCCGAAGGGGCCATCGACGAGACCTTCCTCAAAGCTCTGAACGAAGTGGAGGCGCGATCGGCCATGATCGAGGCCAAAGAAGACAAGGGCGAAGATGTGAAGGCACTACAAGACCTCAAGCCATTGTTGGAAAACCTCAAGGCCCGAGCAGTCGAACGGATCCGGGACTACATCGTGGCTCAGATCAAGGCGCTACGGGCGCCCAACATCAACGCCCAGATCATACAACAGCAAAGTTTCCTGGAATACAAAGACCTGTACGCATTTCTGGCGCGGAATCACGCCGTCCTGGCCGAGGAAATCGGTCAAGCATACGTCAACACCATGCGATGGTACTACAGCAGTCATTTTGCTCGATACCAGCAATCCCTTGAAAAATTGCAGCTGCACGTATACGATCAACACGATTTGTTGGGATCTGAGCCGGCCCCAGCCCGAAGAAACGTTCAATCATCCAAGCCTTCTACTGCTGCTGCTCATGCTGCGAACCCTCCACATCATCACCAACACGACGCTTATTCTCTGGGTCGACGGGATGAGATTCTTCGATCCAAAAACGACGCTGCCTTGCCTGCCTATTTGGCCGAGGACAACAGCAAGACGTCTGCACAGGCACACCACATCGAAATTCCGTTCCGGAACTTCAACCGCGCCCTGATTGACAACGTGTGCGCCGAATATTTTGTGGTCACAGAACTCTTCTCCACCAGCACCTACCACCAAATCTCACGGCGAGTCAGCGAGATTTTCGAGCCCACCTTCGCCATCGGCCACAACCTCACCAAACATCTGGTCGAACACACAAACGATGGGTTGGGCCTGCTGCTGTGCGTTCGCCTGAACCAACATTTCGCCTTTGAGCTGCAGAGACGCAAAGTCCCCGTTGCCGACTCGTATATCAACTTGACCAACATTCTTCTATGGCCGAGGTTTCAAATGGTCATGGACTTGCACTGTGAGTCTCTGAAGAAAGTCCCTGCACCAACCGCCCATGGTTATCGCGGTGCCGCCGCGGCCTTTTCGCTCGTTGGCGGCGGCAGTGGATCCGACCCGTCCAAAGCAGCCTCGGTCGCTCCTCATGCCATCACCCAGCGCTTTGGACAATTTCTCCATGGTATCCTGATGCTCAGTGCCGAAGCGGGTGATGACGAACCCGTCTCAAACAGTCTCGCCCGGTTGCGGTCCGAGTACGAAACTCTGATGGGTAAATTGGCAAAGGGCGCCGGCGGCGACGCGTCCAAACGACAAAGGTTCTTGTACAACAATTACAGCCTGGTCCTGACTATTATCAGTGATACAAAGGGTAAACTGGCCGAAGAGCAGAAGGAACATTTTGGCGCTTTGGTCAGGGACAACAAGAGCAGATAAGTCTAGTGTCGAGTCACTAGTTTGCCTCTGACAGGACAGCGGCACCCAGAATAGATGACCATACGTGACCTATGTAGAACAACTTCTTGAAAGAGGCAATCTGGACAGCCAAAACTACCTAGGTACCTCTACTAGTAGTCACTCGTAAGGTAGTAATGTGTGCGTGCCACGCACTGCCTGTGGCAGTGTGTTTTAACATGCAATGGGCGTGCAAGTTATAGTACCTGCAGGGAGGTGATGTGACTTGGTTGTTGGACAGATGACTTCTTGTTCACTAAGTGCAAGGACAGACCTTACAGACCAACATTGACAACAACTTGAACCAAAAGTTTGTCCGCTCCAAATTTGAAAGGGAGCCTGAGCAGAATCGAATGCATATATACCCACAGCTCCCGTCCTTTCCAGCCAAGAGTCTCGCTTGTGCGTATAGCCACTGTATTCAAAGAACTTGTGGAAGACGATTACGTGGTTGCATCATATGGCATTGATAGATGATATCTTTGTTCTTTCCCTTCAATCAGAACTTTGAAAACATCGCTCGGGTTGCATACGGAGTCACAGAGGACACAAAGACCACATCCAGATATTTTCACGGGACTTACACATATGTACCTTAGTTGACAGAAAACGGAAAAATTGAATGGTTGGCGGACCCCAAATCACTTCTATGCTGTTGAATGCAAAGTACTGTACCTTATGCTGAAGCCTTGCATACCCCTCTTAGCCTAGGTAGCCTCGCAGGCGACATCGCTTACCTGCTATGCTCGTTCAAATGCCATCATCCCATGCTTGAAATGAGAACCCATAAACTAGGTAGTCAGCAGCAAAGGCAGCCACAACGACAGGGCAGTCAAGTACAATGTCCACGCATACAGTCCTGTCACCACTTATGATGGCACACGTATCGGGAAATAACAAGGTATCATCAGCAAGGGGTGGGCATAGCCAACGTGGTCGTACCGCCAATGTCTCCGACATCATTCATATCGCAGTCTCAGACCGTGCCCTGGAGGAAACGGGAGGACTACTGGCCGGAACCTCGATGGCGCAGTACTCCCAGTGGTCCGATAATGGGTCTGCCTAGTGGTGATAAGATTTCATAAGTTGAGATAATAGAGATAAGGACAGTAAAGCATCGCTGCCAGCCAAACATGTACAGTATATCGTTATCACATGATAGATCAGAAAAGGGAGATGTTGTAGTGACCATTCCTGGTCAGGGTTGGCAGGATCAGGAGATAGGGTCCCCATCTACAACTGTGGAAGGAATTGAAGGGACTCAGCTGGCTCTTTTGTTCGGCTCGCACTGCCGGCGCCAGACTAGCTTTGATCGGCTCTGTGTGCCTGTCGTCCGCAGTACATAACACGAATAGTCGAATACTGTACCATGTCCGCGGTTATCCGATCTTCCTTCAGACAGATCAGGGGTGGGAGGTACGATGCAGTCAAGAAGCCGAGGACTTGGCTGAGTATCACCCACAGCCATCTGAACGATCAAGCAGCACACATTCATTGTGGCGCATATGAGGGAAGACTGGATGACATGTAGACTCGGTCGGCAATATTGGCAGTAATAGACGCTGTAGAGGCTGATACAAGTTCGGAGAGGCCGAAGCGAACTGAGGTTGGCAAACTGCAGAAGGAATATGATGGGCGATGTAGTAGTCTGACACATTGGGCGACAGGGTTGGATAGAGATAGGCTGGTTCATCCACAAAGAGAAGTCCTAGACGAGTAATCAGACAGATTCCACTAGTCTGAGTACTAGCCACATACATCAAGGGGAATCAACGCGATAGCCACTAGATTGGGAGTGATTGACGGCATGTGGGAGTTGGGGTTTGTGGAAAGTTCACCTGAGAAACTCGCTTAGCATCGGGAGAGGGGGAACTCGAAGGACAATCGCGTGATTTGCCATTGTTAGAATGAGCCTCAAGAAATGTATGGCTGATCTGCCGGCCAGTGTACTGGGATGATGGTGGTGAAAGCATACCACCGCAAGCCACCTCGGCAGGTTGATGAGAAATGGTTGGCCCTAAGGTGGCAATTGCCCAGGTGCAAACAGCTGGGGGCCCTCGGCCGCCCTTCTAGAAGCTTGCGGGTTGTCTTCGACGCAGCAACCTAAACTGCATAAGAGTTTCGGCGGAGGCCGTTTTTGGGGGGGCGCCCGAGATCAGCCCTGGAATCAAGGTACCGTGCCCGCGTCTTTATCTGGCCAGTGCCAGTGCCACGGCCATACTGGCAACGAAGCCCCAATCGTAGTTTTCATGACACTGTGTTGAAGGGGCGTATAAAGGATCCCCAAGGAGAGATCAAAGGACACCCTCTATCCCATCCTCTTGACGGCGGAGGCCCCGATGTGAGTGCGGCACTTGTGGGATCAGGGTCGGGCCTTATTATAGTTGGGACCTAGGTAGGCTGCCAGTGCGTCATGGCATTACTGTAAGGCACACACTGAGGCACGAGGTTTATTTGTGGCCACAGTCTAAGGTATTTGTTCATTCATGTATGTGCCGTCTTTTTGTAGAAGTCTTTCTTTCCTTGGTCGTAAGAGCAGAGACTTGTGGGTGTAGCAAAGGAAATGTTTGGGCGGATTTGCCAGATTGTTCCGGCTGGACAGGATGAAGCCTCCAACGCCATCAAGATTCGGCGGCCGCTTCTTGGAGGATCGCTTCGAAGCTTGAGGAGTCTTGGAAGGCCGGGGAAGATGGATACTGCCAGTAGTAGTCTGGTGAGGCGGTGGCCCTAGCTTGCGGCTTGTTAGCCTGCCAGTGGGCCCGGTCCCCGTCATCTGACACCTCCCTGTCCGTCTGAACTGGCTTCGAGTTGTCGCAATAATACATGTCAAGTTAGCATTCAGGATGGAAAAGTGGCTAGGACAATGGTAGTGAGTAGCAGCAGATAACGAGAGGGGAAGTGGACCACAGACCAGGCGAGGCCAGGCAGGTAGCATCGAGTAAATCCAACACTGGCACTAGTAGTGACTGGGAATGGCGCGAGCACTGGCGCTTGGATTTGCACTTGCACCGGGCCTGCGCTTTCATCCCCCACACGCTAATGGGCTAGTCCCAGATACCAGGAGGAGTACTAGCAGTACCTCACTGGCACTGCAGGCTGCCGGTGCCCGCTCGGTGCAGGCCTTGTTGCTACTGTGTCGTTGTTCCTGCCTGCGCCTGCCGGGAGTTGAGAACTGTAACGATCTCATTTGGCGGACTTGAATAAATTCTCCCGGTGCAGTGGCAGGAAAGTTATGCCCTCCCAGCAGTATGTCTGCGGGCGCCTTGTGGCCTAGGGAGCCTACCATTGCCAGAGCTCGCCGACCACCAACCCCTCCTTGGGACTACAACCACTGGCACACCACACGGGCACTGCACATCGCATTGCACCCTACTAGTAGGACAGTGAATAATAATAAATCAGGCCAACGATGTGGCACGACACGAACGACTGGAACAATAATAGGAGAGCGGCAAGGCTCTCTGCGACTTCTCCCAATTGACTTCGGAGGCGCGGCTCCATAGATAAGAGAGTTGCGTTGTGAGTGGAGAGGGAGGCTGTCGATGATTCCTCCGAACCATTGCACGACATCACCACCGTCGCCTAGATTGTATCACAACAGCGACACTGGCAGGTCTGTAAATATAGGAGTGGCTAAGGTAGATTGCGACTGGTCCAGGACACGGTTGTTGAGGCCATGTCAAGCCACCTGGACGGTTACTTGCTGGGTAGCGACGGGATTCTGCCACCTAGTACTGTGAACAACACCCTCACTGCAGTCTTTCGCACTCGAATCTCGATTATTTGCCTGACACGCGACTCCTGATGGCCTGCACCTGCGCCTGAGCTTGACCGCTTCCAGGCTCGATCCCTGCGCCCGCTCAACTGCCTCCCTCCCAGTTCGTCGTCTCATCATCATTCACTCGCCACCACTTACTGGCATCCTCCAAAATGTTCAACCACTCGTATCGTCTGCCTCTCGCTTCCTCTGTCTTATCACTGGCTCCTCCGATCAGTCCATCATCTCGACCCTCGTCCACACATGTCTTCCACGATAGTGCCGGAGAGCATCCCCCTGCCCCCCTCCCCTGCCCCCCTCCCCTGCTCCCGCCTCCACTCGCTCCCTCGCAACTGTCACCATCGAGCCAATGCCTCCTGCGCTTCGACAATCGACCTACCTAGACAATCCAACATCCCTGTCTGCCTCGCCAACCAGCGTCCAGAACATGGGCGCCCTATCTGGCTGATCTCAACCCTCCATTACCTCGGACGTTGCTGTTGCTGCTGCCCTCCACTAGTCCCTTGAATCATGGTGCTCCTACTCGCCTGACCGGTCCCCAAGTGGGTCGCAGCGTAGCACTGATGCCGGACAGCTCGACGTCCCGTATCTGTGGCTGTCACGGTCGGGGGAGGCGATCACCCACAGTGATAAGTACCAACTGCCATCTGAAGAGGGAAGCACATCATCCTTCGCGGGCGGCCCTGCTTTCTTCTGTCGGTGGTATTTTAAGTGTTGACCCTTCCCTCATTGCCGCTTGACACCGAAGGTTTGTCGAGCCTCACTTTCCCACCGATTTCGAAGTAAAGGTGTCACACCTTCGTCGCCGCTTGACCTCGAGGGCTGTACGTGCCCTGTCCTCCGTAGACGATCACCACCTAGACAAGACATCTCCAAGATGGAGAAGAATGACTACCACTTGGGCTCCGGCTCAGAGTCGCCGGAAAATGTGCCACGGAACCACTCACTCGATGTGAACAAGCAGGAGGTGAGTCTTGTCGGCGAAATTCTTTGGTCGTTGTCGTGGATCCGCGCGCTGACCTTACATCTGCTCCAGGCTCGTCGAGGTTCCAAGGTCAACGAAGCTACCGACGTCTATGGCGATATCGCAACCGCCGAGGAATATGGTTATGTTTCTCGAGGCCTCAAGTCCCGTCACATTCAGTTCATCGCCCTCGGTGGGACAATCGGGACAGGTCTGTTTTTGGGTATAGGTCGGGCCTTTACCCAAGCCGGCCCTTTGTCGGTGCTGCTGGGTTACACTTTCACCGGCCTCGCGGTCTTTGCCATGATGATGTCCTTGGGTGAAATGGCGACTTGGCTTCCTCTCCCTGGTGCCATCCCACAGTTTTGCGCTCGATATGTGGACGATGCCATGGGTTTCGCAGTGGGCTGGAACAACTGGTATTCGTGCTCCATCACTCTCTGCGCCGAAATTTCTGCCGCATCCACCGTCATTCAGTACTGGCACGGCGCTCGTGATATCAATGTTGCTGCCTGGATCTCCATCATTATTGTGGTGGTTCTTTGCCTGAATATCTTCGCCGTCTCCATCTATGGCGAAGCCGAATTCATATTCGCCTCGATCAAAATCATCACCATTGTCGGCCTCCTGATTCTTGCCCTGATTATTGATTGTGGTGGTGTTCCTGGACAGCATCGACTCGGTTTTCAGTATTGGAAAAACCCTGGTGCCATGAAACCATATATTGATACTGGTGATTCGGGTCGCTTCCTCGGGTTATGGTCCACACTAGTCAACGCTGCTTTTTCGTATGGTGGTGTTGAGATGGTGGCCGTTGCCGCCGGTGAGGCCGAGGATCCACGGCGTAACATCCCTAAAGCCGTCCGACGGGTCTTCTGGCGTATCCTCTTCTTTTACGTCTTGGGCACCTTGGCCATTGGTGTTCTGGTCCCGTACAACGACCCCAATCTCCTGAGCGCTCTGGAATCCGGGGCCGCGGGTGCTGCTCAATCTCCATGGGTCATTGCTATCCGCCGGGCGGGAATCGACGCGCTCCCGTCCATCATCAACGCTGTCATCTTGACCTCGGCCTCGTCTTCCGCCAATGCGTTCTTGTACACTGGGTCTCGGTACCTGTACGCCATTGCCCAGAATCGACAGGCACCGAGGTTTTTGCTCAAGTGCACAAAAGCGGGCGTGCCGGTCTGGTGTGTCTTGATCACTTGCTCCATCTCCCTCCTCACCTACATGTCATGCTCCTCCGGCTCGGACAAGGTCTTTGAATGGTACGTTTTTTCCTTCCCGCACTTACCGGGAATCCTCTAACAATTTCTGTAGGTTCCAAAATTTGACCACCATTTCCACCCTCTTCACCTGGGTCAGCATCAACATTGCCTACATCAAATTTTACTCTGCTTGCCAGGCTCAGGGAATCGATCGCAACACCCTTCCTTTCAAATCTCCATTCCAGCCGTACCTTGGCTATGCTGCCGGCATCTTTTTCAGCTTGATCATCTTTTTCAACGGATTCGACAGCATTGCCGGAAGTTGGGATTACCAGGCCTTCATAACCGATTATATCGGTATTCCCATTTATTTTGGGTTGTATCTCTTCTGGAGAATCTTCAAGCGAACCCATTTCCGCAAGGCCTCCGAGGTCGATCTGTATACTGGGAAGGCGGCTCTGGATGCCATTGTGTGGCCGGAACGGAAACCTCGTAACATCATTGAGAGGATTTGGTTCTGGATTGCGTAGAGAAGAGAACAGGGTGCTGTGTAAAGCTTCGAGGCTCGGAGGTAGAGCTCCTTTTTTCATACCACAATGGTATTGTGTGGCATTGTCCGATCTTACCCTTGGTTGCAAGCATGCATCTCCGGGCGCGTTTGTAGCGTTTGGGGATTCCCCTGAGCTGCACACTCGACATGGTACATAATTTCTCTCTTCAGAAACAAACATGAACCGCATGAGCAAACCAACGATATTCCTACCTTGGCACTCACTGTTTTCAACTAGACCGTTTTCTGTTCCGCAATTTGATTCTGTTTTCGTCATGGCCCCCATCCTGTCAGAGTCGTGGTCGTGATAGTGTGCTCCGTTCCTCCGAGGTAAATGCAGTACTTTGGGGTTTCTTTATGTAGTGAAGAATATGTGCATGCGTTTGTATGACCCATTCGCTGCGTAGAGATGTTTCATTGACTTTCCATGTTGACATGTCATTCCAAGTGTACGTTGATGTCGAAGTTGAAGTCGATGTTTGGGTTGTAGCTTGATTGGTCGGTCCAATGACTTTATGACCGGTCGAAATGGTTTCTCATGGATGAAAGAATTGTGCCTCTGCCGGGGCCTTGACACCAATTACGCGGAGGTATTGGTATTGTAGATGTTATTGTTCGTATTTGTGGTGGACAGTGGACAGACTCCGGTGTGTGTTGGTGGGTGATGGTGTCATGTATGATATCTGTATTGTATTAAATGGTAGCGGTAGTGGTAGCGGTAGCGGTAGTGGTAGCGGTAGTGGTAGCGGTAGTGGTAGCGGTAGTGGTAGCGGTAGTGGTAGCGGTAGTGGTAGGCGGTGATAGGTGGAGGTAATCGCAAGTGTTGTGAGGGTACTGTAGGCTGTAGCAGATAGCAAGATATGGTTTGTCTTTTTCGTCTTCCGGTTTCTTGTCTTCTGGCTTGGTAGGTCAGGATGCTTGCGTCGTGTATTTGTGTGCTGGTTGGTTCTCGGGGTTTGTTGGTCTGATCTGAATCGAGTTCTTGAATCTTTCACCCAGCGGCTGAGTCTCCCTGGGCCTTGGCCAAGGGACTTCCTGGAGTAGTAGACTTCGGGAAGGCGGTGATCTTCTCTTGCATTTGTTGGTTCCTCAGCTGTGGTCTGGTGGGTGGCATGAGGAAAGAACTTGAGTGTGTTTTTGTAGTACTGTGTCTGCACCCATGGATGGTCCCTGATTTTGCCACGGTCCAGTTTTAGAGACGTCAGACGTTGCCAGCTAGATAGATGGGTTCGTTAGAAGGACAGAGACTGAGATTGATAGGATGGATGGAGGATGAGAAACATAAAAGGCAAATCAAATGGATGGAGAACAATGTGAGTCACGGAGAGAGAAAGAGAAAGAACATGAAAGGGGGTGTATAGAGAGTGCATCTAGACAAGGGTCGGTAGGTAGGAGCAAGGAAAGTGAAGTGACTCATCAAGGGAATAAGTACAAGAGTAAAACAGGAGGAGGCAAAGGACGCCAGTATCAATCGATGTCAACTCACCTACATTGTACTACTAATAGTTAGGTACTTTACGGTACCAGGGGGTCCGATCCACGACGTAGTCGCCCAACGGGTACAGTAGGTATGACATGGCTTCCCATCACATGGTCCATATCAACCTGTCCCGTCCTTTCCTTCGTGAGTGGGCGAGTGAGTGGAAATAAATGGGCAAACACTCTCATATAGCACTCTAGGAAAACAACAAGTGGATATTGGATAGTCCAGGTAAATCAGATCAGATCATGTCAGATCTATGTAGTTGTCGTTGTACTCTGGACCCCAGGGACCCATAGATCCACGGTTGTATTGTAGTGGTACTCCCAGTGTCATGCATCGTTCGATTCTCTGATCAGTAGTCCCCGATCGGGGTCCTCACTCCACGAAGGGAGGTGGATCCCCGCGGAAGAAAGGACAAGCAATAGAGTTAAAAAAGCTTGCTTTGACTTCCAGTCGGGGAAATTGACGTCGCGGCAATCGTTTCGTCACAAACTTGAGCTCTGAATGTCGGGTTTATGTTTGGTGTGGTTGGTGGTCATGAAAAAGTAGGTAGTGACCTTATGTATAATAGTACGGGTGTCGGGGTCGGGGTCGGGTGCTGTACAGCCTTGCAGGATTGTGGATCCAGATTATTTGATCGACTCAAAGGGCGTGCCGGTGCGTACCTATACGCGCCTGGGGTGCGAGATGACAAATGCGGACTGCAGTCACATTGGACTAGGTTGGCTTATGTTGTATACGCTGTACTGTATACGCGGTAGTGGGTGAGAAAGTTGGCAGGTCCTTGAATCACAACGGGCTGTAATACTATGCTGTCTTGGCTGTCAGTACAGTATTGAGCAAGCAGCAGATGGAGGTCGACTGATCCGTCCGTCATCTAAAGCACAACCGGAATCGAATTGGATTTTGTACATTGGCTAGTTCCATTTTATTGTACTCGGAGTGATGAGTCCCCCCGGGATCCATGGCGAGTGGAGAGGCCATGCCAGCCTCGTCGATGGCGATTGGTCACTTCTGCAGTTTCGGTTTGTCAACGACGGAGCGAAGGGCGTGATATGTGAAGAGCGAGCGGACAAAAGAGCTTGCTTGTCTTGTCGTCCATGGTGGACAAACTTTGCCCTCTGATGAGATGCCGAATTGCACTCTGACTTCCACCTCCGGTTCCGTCTCAATCGAATTCAAGTTGTACATTTGTACTTTTGATGTAGATATCGCTGCCCATCTTTCCTCGCCTTGACTGGCTTTGTCTACTGCCTACCTCAGCTCAACGCTGGAAAAGCGGTCCGAGACGGATGGGTGGCTCAATCTTCTTAAGCAGACGAGCCTTCGCCACACTTACAATGTTGTACAGTCCAGACCATCCCTCGACCACTTTTGCCAAGTATATCAAACTCGCTCAAGTCGCTGGATCCTTAACCAGCTGTTTGGCGTTACTGTCCCAAACATACCACTCGTCCTCTCCGTCATAATGTTCCAGGCCAGTCCGGTCGTCCCACTGCTGTTCAATCATCCAGGAAACCTCGCGAGCCTTGCGGATAGAATCGCCCATGCCCACTCCTCCTTGCCACCACGGACCTGCGACTTTGAAGCGTCCGTCAAATTCGCACATCAGAGATTTGTGGATGGTGGCCATATCATCCCGATATCCTACGGGATATTGTGGGATGCAGTTGCGGTTCAGTTGGGCTTTGGCTACCTCAGGATAGCCATCAACGCCAAGATGGCGGAGCAGTAGCGCTTTTGCCATTTCTATCGCTTGCTCTTCACTAGGCAAGTCGCTGGGAGCCCAGCCATCCCACCAGTGTCCCCCCAGCATGACCGTGATTTTCGTTCCAGGACCTGTGTCCTGTGCTTTTGTCCCATCATGTCTCAAGGGATATACGAGTGTGTCCGGACGTCCCGACGTTTCCGAACCAAATATGACGCCCAGGGCACGCTCGGGGTTTTCTTCAAGCGGAACCGTGCGTGGGATGAGGTAGCCGAAACCACGAATATATTGAGGAAGCATGTCCGGAGTGGGGTAGTACAGGTTCACCACCATAACAGTAACGCCTTTGCCGTTCCGCTCACATGCTTTTGTTACTTGTGGCTCCAGTGCTGCTCCTCGCGTGCTTGCTGTCGACGACAGGAACTTGTTGGTCATCCCAGGTCCTAACGTCGACACCACGTAATCGAAATTGTCGATCCTGTTGCCAGAACGAACAGAGACTTTGGCTTTCTTCTTGTCGTATGTGACATCGTCGACTGGAGAAGAGGTCCGTAATTCAACATTCGGGCTGTCGCTGAGTCGGTCTGCTAACGCCACAGTCATCTTGCTGAGACCATCGGTAAAAGTATAGACACTCGCTTGCCGAAGCAACATTAGTGCAAGCGCCTTCATGCTTGTGTACGACTCGCGAGCCACCGAGGCGGCGGCGGCTTCGGTTCGAGCATATACATCGGTGAAAAAAGCGTCGGTCTTCGGTATAAGAGCCCGGCCTTGGTATCGCAGAGCTGCGAACTGCAGAAGAACACCCACTTCGTTCTCGGTATAACGTCCCTCAAGATGCCACAGCAGTGGCAGTGTAGTGCGGGCGCTGAGTTTGTAGATGTCTCCAGCATAGATTCCTTGGAAAAAGGCGGATGCGAAGTTATCTGCCAGAGGCTTTCCAAATCGGCGTGCCAGGAAATCGCCGACAGATTCGTCCTTGACGCTTGGATTCCGAGGTGCGACATAGGGCTCAACCAAGAGTCCCTGCAATACCCCATTGAAGATCGGTTCACGCCGAAGCTTCAATAACCGGCTGATGAGTCCCCAAAGGCCTAGCCCGGGACCGGGCATGACCACCGGGTGGTCGGGGTAGTAGATGAAGCGGTTCGCGGCTGCTGGACTGTCCTTGGCAATGGGGACAAGACTGTCCACGATACCGAGTTGTGCGATCAAGTCCACCGTGGCCGCCCCCGACAGACTGCTCAATGCAGGCCTCAATGTGCGAGGGCCCCATTCAAACAAGATGTGCCCGTCTTGCACCGGGATCCTCTCTGACTGTACCCATCCTCCAAGCACGTGGCTCTTTTCATAGATTATGACCTTGACCCCAGGAATATTCCTTTGGAGATTCCACGCCGCTGCTAGGCCCGTGATCCCGCCGCCCAGAATGGCCACGCTTTTCGCGTTGGGGTTGGGTGAGTCTCGAAGAGGAGCATTGCCGACAATGCTGGGAGGAGGGGTCGAGTAGCTCCGCGATTGAAGGCGAAGATGTGCAGCGGTCGCGGTCGCTCGTGACCTGGACCAAGGCTTCACGGCATGACTGAGGAGCGCATTACGGCCACCCAAGCGCATCTCCAGCGGAGCACACCGAGTGCTGGCATGTGCTAAGGGGGCGGAAGGGGAAGGGAAAGAGATGCGCAACGAGAGGCGTGTAGATAATTGTGGTGTGTCGAGAATAAAATAGCAGGGAACAGACAACGCTGGCTGGCATTGGGAAATGAATGAAACTGTCGGTGTTTGTATGATGGCATGACTCGGCCCACTTGCCCTGCAAGGGACCAGTGTCGGTACAATGTATTGGGACGACTACTGTACAAAGGAAAGGCAGTTCAAGTTGTCCCCGTGATTGACTGGGAGAAGGTTTATCTATGCTACTGAAACAGTCTGGACTGATAGTGCTAGGTCGTTGTCGGAGTTCTAGGAGGTGTTGACTGACAGCCTTCCCGTCCGAAGAGTCTGTATCCTCTGGCTCCGACAGACCCATGGCATCCAGGAGTTCAAGTCCTCTTCGTCGTGGCTCCGGATCGCCTATTAGCGATGTATGTATGTCTCCGTGTCGACCGAGCAATTGCCTTGGACGTCTCTGCAACTGGCAAAGACGACCTCAGTGCGCTGTGAGACCGGGGCCGCGACTCTGATGGGATTTCCGGGACGCATCACAGCATCCACTGGTGATCGTAGAGTACCTCCTGAATCGAGAGAGGCGGGGCCTCGACACTCGACTCGACGTACCATATAGGTAGTTTATTGTTGTCGTGCAGCGTCCGCCGGTCGTCGCCGTTGCTGTCCTTGACGAAGCCAGACTCAATCGACAGGACATGGTGGTCACCGTAACCCAGCACTACCCAAATTTCTTCACCAGCACTCAGCTCTTACTGAGTAGAGATCTGACAGTGTGCATCTGGTGTAGTGGTACTTCAAGTTGTTGCATCGTTTGCCGCCTCTGCCTGCACCTCGGGGCCATCGTAGCCCAACTTTTTCAAGTCGCGCAGTAATTCACCTTCTTTCCCAATCTTCATGATCTGATCATGAGACAGTTTCTCCCCTGCGGCTCGCTTTTCTCTGAGTTCTCGAATCGCTTTTAATTTCTTAAGTTGATTCCGTATTTTCTTTTGCACATCGACTTCTTCCCCCGTGGCGGCTGCCACGGGTGCCGATTTGGTGCTGGGATCTCGCCAATTCTCCTTGGTTTTGTCCGATATCCCTGCATTTTGCATAGCTGTCGCGAGTTGTTGTTCTTGCATGTCCTCTTCTGAATCTTTCTTCTTCCGAGCGGCTTCCCTGCGTTTGGCGTTTCTGCTGTTAGTAGCAGTATCATCCGTAACTTGAACTGGCTCGGCCCCAGGAACACCTCCTTGACCCCTGTTCTTCCATGCTTCGGCGCTGCGGTTCTTGTAGGTTTCCACGTCTTCGGGCGGTCTGTAGCCTGGCCTCACGCGGATCTCTTTTCTCGTAGACCCATCGGCGCGTTTTGACGATGGAATGTACGAAGAGCCGTCGGGGGTGGTTTCGATCCCGGCCTTGCTGACCTTCTTAGACATGGCAGGTAGGCACGCAACGAAGTGCAAGGCACGCTTGCGGGTCTGGGTTCAGGTTGGTAGCAGATTAAGGACTATGCGACATGGCTTGTGTGTACGGAAGAGGTGAGGGGAGTTCGTCAAAGCGTTGCTGCAACTTGAACGGCAAGAAACTCGGCGCGAGACAACCACTTCACAAAGGACACGGTCTCAAAGCCATACACTGCGGGTGGGTGCGCTACATGCTACTGTACGAAGGTTGGAGTGGATTGAAAAGTACATGTATCTTGTAACTTCAATCGTAGTCCGTGAAGCCTGAATGAGACCGAATGTGCAAGTGCGTGCGCGGAATGACATCCCCGCCGCTTGGAAGTTTCTCCAATCCAGCTCACTACCTAGAACCGTCTGACACTGCATTACCGGACATCCATAGTAGGATGCAGATTTTACTTAGCGTACGGCGAAGAAAGATTTTGTCAGGCGGCTGTATTTTATCTTTTAGTCTGAGATGCCATCCCTACAGCGATCCATTGCCTTCTCTCTTCGCACCCTCATCATCTTCGTAGTAGCTGTACTCCTGTAGCGCCGCCTGCCACGCGTGCCGCATGTGGTCCTCATGTCCTCTCCTGCTGTCGACATCAAGCTTGGCTGCAAGATCGTCGAGAAAGGCAGCCACATCGCCATGGCGAGGGGTGAGTAGGGGGCATCGTCCGCACTCCAGTCCCAGTCTTCCGCGGGCACATGCTCCTCATACGGAGGCTGCACGGCCTATTCATGAGGCTCAGACATGGGCGAGTCACCGTGGAAGACGGGGTAGACGCCCGTGACGCCCGGGAGGCTTCCCGCTCTTGCCGCTGCATGCAGTGCTGTGTCACCAGCATGGTTCTGGTGCGTGTACAGAACCCACAGCAGCCGCGCCGTACTCGGCATCACCACAGTGCCGAAGCTGGTGGGGATGGCATTAATGAAAGAAACATTGCGGGCGGCGGCGGCGCGGTGCAGCGCCGAGTCGCCAGTGGCCGGATCGGTGAAGGAGGCTAGCAGGGCGTTACCTTGGAAATAGCTTGGCTCAGCGCCCGTTGTAGCTGCGCAAGCCAGCAGGTGTCTCCTCCTCGAGGAGCTGGCCATTCAAAGTGTAGGGCCACTGGTACGCGTCATGGGCAGGATTGGCCTCGGCTCAAGCGGCGGCCGTCAGGGATGCGGGCTGCAGCCCAGGTATAAGATAAAATGGGTATGGAAGAGGAAGGAGGTCGCAGGCCAGGGTAAAAACTGTGAACGAACTCCTGGAACCACATTCAGCCGTGTATGGGCGTATATGGCTCGCCCGTGGGCGCTTCGACCTGAAAGGTGGCACTGGGAAGGGGTGAATGAGGTTGGTGGTGAGTTCCGCGCCGCACCCCTGGTCAACAATGTTATCTCGTTTAGACTTCCGGGTCCAGAAACAATAAAGGCGGAAGAGCGAAGTGTGCTGTGGGCGGAGCCGAGATTCTCTTTGCTGTCTTTCTTGTTTATGGGTATTGCAGAATTACCTATACTATCCTGCAGTAAGGACGAGTTCGGCGATCCCCGCCCTTACCCTCTTGCAGGGCTCCTGATGTGGCCGAGGAGATCTTGATGAGCCCAGCAGCAGGGCAAGCTCCGGCCATAGTAGCATTGAAGACACTGACCAGCCTATAAGCGGCGCACCATCCCTTCTGTGTCTGCCTTGTCTGCAATGACCACCAATATCCGCCGGTAAAGAATGTAAACTGACTATTTGTCACTGTCTCAAATCGGGGGATTTGGAACATCCGGGACGGAGATCAGGCGGACGCGTGGGAGAGCCAACAGCGCTGTCAACGTAAATGGCGTTGAATTCGTCGAGAGCAGTCCCGACTTCGTAGGCTTGCAAATGGTGCCCGTCGGGCTGCACGGGTGTATAGGAGATCCTGGTTTAAAAACTCCTTTTGCAGCCCTTGGTGGAAATGCGTTGATCAGGGTTCTTGTGTAAATCCCCGGAAAGAGGCGGGGAAATCAAACAATTGACGTGGCCTGTCCGGTGGCTCCTTGTGACCGTTCCCTTCGATGTCGGGAACTCGCGCATTCCCTGAACAGTTCAACCACAAAATATAGAGGTACCCAAAAAGTGATTCCCACTACTATCAGCAATACTTGTGCCCATCGTGGCCAATCAAGATAGTTGGCAGCAGATTTCGTCATGGCCAAATCAGGAGCGCCAATAAACCGATAGCCTTTGCGGTTGGCCTGTGGTATGGCCTTCGGAGACCTCTTGGCCTTGAATCTCTGCTTCTGGCGGCAAGGCAGTGGTGATGTTGGATTACGGTCGAGAACTATGATCGAATATGTTAGATTCGTAGAGCGGTAGAATTGATCATTCGCCACGTACCTGTACTGGTTGCATGTCAAAGATCGACTGTTAAACCGACAGTAAGTGCTCTAGGCACGCCGAGACACTTGGGGAAGCAGCTTCAACAGCAGCAACAGCGACTTTCTTGCCCGCCTCGATCAGAACGGGTGCACAAGACGTGAAGCAATACAGTCATTCCGCATGAGTGTACTTGAAGTTGTCAAGTGTTTCACGTTTGCAAGTGGGAATGCGTCATTGTTTGTGACAGGCATCTGGAATGACTTTGTCTGCAAGTCGTGGACAGACAAAGAATGCACATGCCTCCAAACGCCCAGACCATCTCATAGCCATTTTCGGCCTGCTGCGACCACCCTTTGTCGAAACACGGGGCTTTTGATGGGCTTGCCGATGGTGTAGAAGGGGTTCATCAACGTCTTGACCCACAGCTCAAAGGCCTCATTCATAAACTGTCGAATGGCTTCTTCTGTCTGCGGGCTGGTGGGATTTTGCGGAATCGATGTGGAAGATATGGTGGATGAACGGGTACCGGCAGAAGCATTGCTGATGGCTGAAGGTTGATGGAGGAGCATGAATCGAACATTTGTCCCGGTAATGAAGCAGCTTATATGAGAATTGGTGGGGGCGTAGTTGTCAATGACCTTGAGCCACATGTTCGGGGTCAACCACTGGACTTCCTCCACGACATCGAGAGCGGCATGAACAATGAATTGATTCATGTACCGAGCTGTCTCGCCATTGCGAAACCTGGCAACACCATCACCTCCAGCTTTGGATGTGCCAAAGGTCAATTCAAACAGCGGAGTGTCCGTCGGTGAAATGATGACAAAGTAATACGACATGGCGTTGTAGCCGGCACAATTGCGTGCCGTTCTGGAGAGGAGCTGAGTTCAGGTTGAGCGCCACTAGGTCACTCGGGCCCTTGAGGGCAGATAACACGCACGGGATATATATCAGAAGCAAGAGTCGATGTTCAAATGTACAATGTTCAAGTTGTACTGTGTACGTTTCGTCGTTGTGAAACTTGTCCGCAAGCGAGTATCTGACCTGCCGCTTTGATCAGGCTGTTTTGCGAGAGGATTATCATCACGTGATCTGCAAGTCACTTTCCCGTACATGACTTCAACTACAAGTTCACAACTGCTGCTCCCTCTATTCTGTCTTGCGGCGCCAGGCATGTGATGTTGCTGAGATTCTGGATCCGGCTTGTATAGGACTACGTGATTCTGCCTCCATTCTCCAACCAAGATGCCCGCACTGGCGTTTGGCTTGAATACAGCCAAGCCTCAAGCAGGTGCGTCAAAACCACCGCAGAAGCGCAAAGCGTTCTTCGATGAAGACGATGATCCTGCGGAAACCGATGATACAGCGCCGCCGCAGTACGGCGCAAAGAAATCTTCGAAACCGTTACGACCATTAAGCGGATTTTCACAAGACGATGGAGACGACGAGCCTCCGCGGAAATCGCCCAAACTAACCCAGCCTGGCCTGCAAAGTGCCAATGGTAAAGGAGCGGGAGTGGAGAAATACACGAACTTGTCGGCGCTCCGTAATGCGAAATTGCAGGACGAGAAAGTGTCAGAAGTCGACCCGTCAGTATACGACTACGACGCAGCTTATGAAACATTCCATGCCCCAAAAGAGAAGAAGGGGTCGAATGCAACGCAGGAGAGTGGTCCGAAATATATGGGAGCACTCCTCCAGAGCGCTGAGGTTCGAAAGCGGGATCAGCTACGGGCACGGGAAAAGCTCCTGCAGCGTGAGAGAGAGGCAGAAGGAGATGAGTTCGCCGACAAAGAGAAGTTCGTGACAGGGGCGTACAAGAAACAACAAGAAGAGATCAAGCGTCTGGAAGAGGAAGAGAAGAAACGAGAGGAGGCAGAAGAGGAACGTCGCCGCAAAGGTGGCGGGATGACAGAGTTCCACAAGAAGATGCTCGAGAAGGATGAAGAGCGGATGCGGCAGATCCAAGAGGCCGAAGAAGAGGCGGCCCGCCGAAAAGCAAGCGGTGTCCAAATTGAGGAACCGACAGAGGAGGAAAAGACTGAAGCAAAGATTGCCGAGGAGTTGAACCAAAAGGGGGCTAAGATTGTGGTCAACGATGAAGGCGAAATTGTGGACAAGAGGCAACTTCTGTCGGCGGGATTGAACGTGGCGCCGGCTCCGAAGAAGCCTGCAAAGGAGCAATCTTCGCCAGCGAGAGGTGAATCCAGCCGCCCACAAGATCAGTGGAAACCGTCCAGGGTGCAAGATGCCCGGCACAGTCAACGTGAAAGACAAACTCGAATGGTGGAGCGCCAGATTGAGGAAATGGCTGCCAAACAGCGAGAGGCTGAACTGGCAGAACAGAGAGCCTTGCAAGAAAAGACCAAGAGCAGGCTCACCGAAGTCGACAAGATGAGCGCGCGAGAAAGATACCTGCAGCGGAAGAGAGAACGAGAAGAGGAGGCGAAGAAGAAAAAGGAGGCCGGCGGGTGAAATTGTGGAAATGGAATTACCCCAAAGTCAGATGCAAGTGGGTCTGCTACGCTCACTGTATGAACATTCCTCCGTCGACGCCCACTACTTTGTTGTGCACGTATCCAGTCTTGACCATCCATACAACGGTTTCGGCAATCTCTTCGGGCTTTCCCAGCCTGCCTATTGGGATTTCTGTGCCACAGATCAGCAATTTGCTCTGAAGAAAGGGGATGCAGGAGTGGGATTGACATACTGGAAGCCAACTCTGGACCCGAAGGCAACATTTTGGTGTCCTCGATCAAAGCCGGCGCAACACCATTGACAGTAATTCCCCTTTTTCCATATGCTCCAGCCAGCCAGTGGATCAGGCCGTGCATGGCCGATTTCGATGATCTGTTACCAAGTTCTCAGTAATCGTCAACTGATCCTCGTCGGGGAGCAAGGAGACTAGATAGGCTGCCTGGCCAGCCATATCGAAACCACAGCGAAGGCGCAATTAAGAAGAAAAGCAGGCAGCGAAGTGCAACGCCAGCTAGATGCAATACCAAGGATCATGATCGGGAAAACACTCACGCATAATGCGGCCCAACCACGCCGCCAGTGAATCCAGCAACACTGGAGCAGAATATGACGCGACCCCACCCCTTCTCCAGCATGGCCGGAATGCATAACTGAGTGAGCAGAAAAGCCGTCCCGCAGTTCGCCCGCCAGGTGGCCTCGAAGTCTTCGACGGTGACTTCAGTGACGTCCTTGATCCCACTCTTACCCAGTGTGGTACCGGCATTATTGAACAAGATGGTAGGATGGCCCATTTCGCGAACGACGGCTGCATGCAGCTCGCGTGTGTCGTCATATGAACTCAGATCGGCGCGGAACGCTACGGCCCGCACACCCAGGGACTGCAGCGTCGAGACGAGAGTCGAGGCTGTCTCATCTGCGCTGTGATAGTGCACTGCTATGGAGCAGCCGAGGCGTGCCAGAGCCAGCGATGTCGCGTGGCCGATGCCACCTGTCGCGCCGGTGATGAGGGCAAGGTGGTCCGAGAGGTCGGTGACGAGAGCCATGATGACTCTAACGGTTACAAGGCTGTTACTGTAGGTTGCCTGCTGCCGGGGTGTCAGCAGGGACTGAGTGTGTCGGGATACTGGTCGTCTGTAGGGCTGTACTGGTTTTGAGCTGCGTGGAAACCGTGGCCAACGACGATTTCGCCAAGATCTGTATCTTGGGATGGTGTAATCCGGAATCTGTCCAGCAATGGATACTCAAATCGTCTGTCCCGTATGTAATTTCTGATATTTTCTTCTCCGCCTTCCCGATACACCGTTCAGTTCAAATCGGGATGCGGAAGTGGGAAGCACCCGGGGGACTGACTATGGCAGACTCCGGGCGGTAGAAAAAAAGTTAAGGCGAGCACCTTATTTTAGGGCAGTAGAGTGGTAAAAATCTGCCTATATGTACACTGGCGGTAAACTCTTTCCGATGCTTTTCTGCTCAGAAGTTGGTTTGTTATTGCTGGTAGTTAATAATAGGAAAGATGATTGCGATCGTTGATGCGTGGGACTTGGATCTGATGTCAGTCGATGTGGATCAAGATATATCCGCGCCACTCGCGCGCTGCCACTCCCACCTTCTTGGATCTGCGTAGCGGGCCCCGTGCTACCAGTAAAATACGATGATATTTTGAAGAGGCACTTATCTCATAAGGCCGATTCCTGGTACGTATGTACAATGTATGTCTCTTAACAAGTATTCAAAGCGTGAGTACTTGATGAAACTCCAAAACAAAATTCAAGTTGGAAGCCAACTATATCCGGCTTCTGTGTCCAGAGCTACCTAGGTACTGCAGTGACGGATTTGACGGACCGCAGAAAGTCTGTCTCAATTATACCTAGGTGCTCGGGTGGAAAAGGAAGACCTTTGGGAAGTGGCGGAGTTCGATAGTGCGACAAGACAAGACGAGACGAGAGAAGAGAAGGTTACAACTTGTGGCCGCGGTCAATCCCGCGGCTTGTCAGAAATAGAACCAAGAACCACCCCGGTCTGCTCACGGTGAGTGAGTCCAGCGACCGGTGCACTGCAGGGCAAAACTCAGCTCCTCGCCGTCGGCGGCGACAACTTTCAACAGGAGTCTTACGGGATACTATTTACCTGGTAGGTAGTTCCCTACGACGACCACTGCAGCGGAGAAGTTGACCGCGGAATACCCTGACCAGGCACTGCAGCGACAGATACGATATACAAAGGGCTGTGTGCATGCATTTTACATACATACGGACTATATATGATATACCGCCCCACCAATCGATAGCAGGTATTGCGGGCGCCGACAATATCAGCATCGAAAATGCAACTTGAACCTCACCCTCAAGCCAAAAACGGGTCAGACCTATGGTCAGACCGTCTAAAGGCACTCTCGCACGCCGAGCTCCAACTGCACTACCTGGCCGAGGGCGCCGCCAACATCATCTACAGCGTCTCCGTCCCTGTGCCTTCAGCTGCCACTGCGGAACTTGACCTGCAAGAAATTGCTCGGTTATGCGTCTTACGGCTGCGCAAGGACTTGCCTTCCACAAAGCCGGCTGTCGAAGTGATGCGCGACTTTGAGGAACGCATCACTCCTCTGTTCTCCGGACACGAGGGGCTCCTTTTGAAGCAGACACTGTACGGGCTAACACCAAAAATGGTGGAAAGCGCAAATGCCGAGTTACGACAGATGGAGAAGATGGCCGAAGATTCATCATCTTCGACTTCATCAACAAACAAGACTGAGATCGCCAATGCCACCCGACCTCAGCCTCGGCCTCGGCACAGACACCACGTCTGCCTCCCACCATATGAGAAGGAGCAGTATGGAATTCTTATGCAAAACCTAAAAGCCCCCACCGACGACAGTGGCGTCGATCACGTGGAGCTCGTCGAATTCAAGCCGAAATGGCTGGTCCAGAGTCCCAGCGCACCCCAGGATGCCACCATGTGTCGAACATGTGCTTTGAATGCAATGCGGAGAAAGGCCGGTAAGCACCAGGGCAGAGGCGATTCAGGGTTCTGTCCGTTCGATCTGCTGGCTGGTTCTGAAGAGAACCATGTTCTTCAGCGGGCACTCGAGAAGATCTATCCAGAAACGACAAAAGATTTCGTGGCGGCTTTTCGGCAGCGAGTTCAGCCGGCGTTGAAACATTTGGCAAAACTGCAGAGAGAATATGGGTCGGTGGGATTAGATGATTTTCGGGATCCGAATCCACAGGGCAAACACCTCGATTTGGCGATGGCGTTGAGGGACTGTAGTGTATTTTTGGGTCTGCGCCGCGGGGGCAGAGGGGATGCGGGTCCGAACGAGGATCCGTCTTCGACTCACTTGCAATTGGGTGACGAACAACGTGCAGCAGATGGCCATGAGACACACGATGTCGTCGAGCTGGTCGACGTCAAATTCGCCGATCTGGACTTGAAGACCCCGGAGGCCGGAAAGCTCCAGAAATGGGCGGCCATGGAGCAAGAGTTGCTGGATAACGGGTGGTACTATTGCGATTCGCAATCCGAAGGAGAAGGATCCAACTGTGCGCTGAGCCGGCACAGGCCGAAAAGGTCATCATCGTGATGGACAGTAGCAGCAGTCACCATCATTGCCATATATATACGTTGCATCCTTCGGCTCGTCAGAGCCTTCATGTTCTTTGATGTTCCCTTTCACCAATTATGATGAATCGCAAACACCCCATCCGCCAACCCTGCAAACTTCGGGTCTTCAGCTTTAACGGCTCTCAACTGATCTTTAATCCACCCCAGCATTTCCTCCGACAAGCCTCCCTTCCGTCTTGCGTAGATGTCAATGCCAGCGGGCGTAAAAAGCGTCTTGTTGAAATAAGTCACCATCCAGCCACCGTCTTGGTCGCCATAGCCCAACACCTCCCAGTGACTCGACGCGATTCTCAACCAACCCCGGCCGCGCCAACTGTATGCGCCTCCCGCGGGGTCGGCTGTAGGCGTGTCGACGCCCTTGACGGTCTTGTGCTTGTCCGACGTTAAGGGTTGGTACTCGACCAGATCGTCGAGGACTTGCATGTCGTTTTCGAGAGGTGTGTATGTGATAGTTACGTTGCGGTTTGTCTTCCACATTGGCAGCGTTGAGTGTGTCACGTACCATATACCCTGCATGAAGGAGACGGGAGGAGGCTGGAAATGGAATTTGTGGGTTTCTGTGTCTGCTTTGTGTATGTTTACTGTTGATGGTGGGCGGAAGTTGACCACTCCTTCTATCCGTTCGGATCCGGCCATTCTTACTAATATCCACGGCCGGAGCTGGATGATTGTTTTGAGATCCGCGGGAGGGCAGAAGGGACAAGTTGAGCCTTGTGCATTGATTATAGTACATACATGAATAAATATACAAGAATCGAAGAAGCTGGTGTGAAGTGTTGGATAGGGCGGTGGTCGTGGTGGAGGAGGAATTTGGAGACAAGGGGTGTTTGAAACTCGGATAATCAACAGAATGCCCCTTTTGGTGTCAGTCAGACCACTTCTTGTTTTAAGTTTGTAGTGCGCTGTTTGTAGGTGCCTACGCTGCAGTGCGCAAAAGATGATTGAAGTCAAGATAAGATAACAAAAGTTTGGCCTTCAATAACGAATACTGGGACTTCTTCTTGGGACGTACTATATATCATCCAGAAATCGAACGTGCGGCTTGCAAGCCGCGCGATGCAGTCCTGTCCCGACAATAACTCCCTCTGGGTGCCAGTGGGTAGGTACATTATTTCCTCTTGGTCAAGGTGCCGGAAAGATACGGCAAAGCGGACCACTCGAAATGCGTCTTTAGATCTACCGCTTCCCAATCCCCGGCCCTTTTCAAGATGGCAGCCGTATCCCGATCCATCATGCAGCCGGCCAGAAAGAACGGCCAGCCGATGGCATGGTAGAAGATCTGCATGAACCTCCCCAGAAGACTTCCAGTTTTGGTCCAGGGGTTCTTGATGTGTTCGACGACAATCAAATCCCCGCCCGGCCGGAGCAGAGAGTACAGCTCCTTGGCAGTCTGGTCCAGGTTAGGCACGGAGCATAGGACACGCACACAGGCGATGGTGTCGAAGACGCCCTCATCCGTAACTGAAACGCCTTCTTTCGCCAGCGCATCCACGATGGCTTTCTTGTCGGCCGAACAATTGAGAATATGGTACTTATCCGTGAGTTTGGCCTCGTTGATCCGCGCTTGTAGTGGTGCGTGCAAGCCGACACATGGCTCGGCGCCGTAGATGGCCGTCACATTGGCGTTTTCTGCGAACAACGAGACATGCGACCCGGACCCAGGTCCAATGTCGAGAACCACGCCGTGAGCTCGTGACAAGATGGGCGGGACGAGCGTGGCCGATCCCACGGGCGGTGCGGGCGGATCGCTAGGAGCTGGATGGGAAATACATTGCAAACATCAGATGTCTGGACTCTCTCCCGCGCCTGTGAAAGAAGGGCAAAGCCCGCGCACAACCCAAAAAGGGTACTCACTGGTGACTTTGGTCCAGAATCGGGAAAACGCCTCGTCTCGGACTACGTGGAAACTCGACGGCGTTGGGAGGTGGCGTTGAAGGAGGAAGTACTCGAAAGCAGTGGTGAGAAAAGCTGCATTGGAGTCAGCTAAGTAGTAGTATGTAACCCCGGATGCTTGGACCCTCTCCCAGGCCAGGCGCCCCAAGTGACCCGACCGGCTGGACCGTAGCTTGAGACTTACAGTAGCAGCTTTGACAAAGCAGAAACCCCGGATCAAGGAGACTGAGAAGCCGGGCTTTCAGTGGTGGCCACTGCGACATGATTGGCGCCTCTTGTTATGATCGGTGATAGATGAAAATGGATCAATGGGAGACCGATGGAGAGAATCTGTCTATGTAGTAGCGGAGCAGCGCGATCGGGAACACTCAAAGGCAGTGAGTGCTTGTGCGATCGAAGTTATGAGACTCGATGACCCAGAATTGGGGGATTTTGTCGTGGTTTCACCCGCCAACCGAGGGTATTTTCCACTTTGCAGTGGGAGCCTCGTCGCTGACAAGGCTCGCATCTGGGAGCTTGGCTCCATGCCGCCCAATCATCTGGCCAAATCTGGCTCGGGGACCTTCTCGGGGAGCATGGTCGGGGATCTTGGAAGGGCTGGAAAGGCGAAGAGCTGGAAGAAGGCCATCGATCACTGGTGGATGATGATGTACATTGTAGCATTGTGCACTGCATAGTAGTAGACTGGTCTCCTTTCCCACCTCGTGCTACTTGACTGCAGACGGTCGATGTATACACACACTTCTTGGCTTTCCTCAGTTTGTGTTTGATGTTTGAATGACTTTATCAGCGGCATTGGCTTATGTAAACGTACCTTATCGTTATCGGGGTGAAATCACCCCGCACTAGACTCTTGGCGATCTGCTAACTGCATGGAGATGCAATCGCTTGTTTCTGATTGGCTGTCTCTCGACTTCCTCTGACGGACGCGGGAGTCCACCGACAAACTCGAAATGGTGAAATCAGTCCGAGACGTGATACTAGTAATGGCGATGAAAGCTCCATCGTAGCAGTGACAGAGGAGGATTTCCTTCTTCCTCTCCATTAAAGACCTGTCTACCTTCTCCGCCGTACTCAGCAGAGAGGTAGATGCCATTCGAATATTCATTTGTGGTCCTCCCCGTCGGTGTACATCGGTCTGGACGAGGGGGTTCAAGCAGCCAGAGTGCGCAAGGTTGGCGAAGACAGTAACGCCGTCTGAAAGGACAAAGATCCCCGCAATCATAATATCATATCAAAATCAGCACATGAAGACAGGTTGAGAGGCCGAGCAACCCAGCCGTCATGGAGCCAGACGCTCCTCTGACACCACCCGGGATACAGTCCAAACCACGCCTGCAGCATCTCCGCCGCATGCGTCGACAAACGTACCAGCGACTGTCTCGATTCCACGGACGAATCCCATATCTGCGCAAACTGCCGCTCTCTGCAATCCTCATCATAACTTTATTGATCCTGGTCAATCTCGTCATCTGGGCAATATGCGGCATCATCCTCGCGTCACGCAGCCATCTCCTCTCAACGGCCGCTCTAGCATATACATTGGGATTACGACACGCACTTGATGCGGACCACATTTCAGCAATTGACCTGATGACGCGGCGACTGATCGCGACAGGCCAGCGGCCCGTGACTGTCGGGACCTTTTTCAGTCTAGGCCACAGCACGATCGTGGTAGTGACATCGATTGTGGTGGCAGCCACGGCGGCCGGCGTGTCCAAACGGTTCGACAGTTTCGGCAACGTCGGCGGCATCATCGGCACGTCCGTGTCGGCTGCGTTCTTGATCCTGCTGGGCATCATGAACGCATATATCCTGTACAAACTCATAATGCAAATCCGCAAAATCATCCGTCTGCATTCGCCCGAGCAGGAAGCCGCCGAGGCATGGAAAATCGAGGGTGGCGGCTTCCTTTTCCGTGCCCTCAAGAAGATGTTCAAGTTGATCGACCGTCCGTGGAAAATGTACCCGTTGGGCGTGCTCTTTGGCTTGGGCTTCGACACGAGTTCCGAAATCGCCTTGCTGGGTATCAGTTCGATCCAGGGCGCAAAGGGGACTAGCATGTGGCTGATTTTGATTTTTCCCATTTTGTTCACCTCCGGCATGTGTCTTGTTGATACGATTGATGGAGCTCTCATGATGAGTTTGTACGTGGCACCGATGGGTATGGCTGGTGTCGATGATAAGAAGAACTCGAATCTGTCCTTGGGCCAGGATCGAGATCAAGATCAAGACTTGGACTGGGAGGAGCGCCAGTGTGAAGACCAACAACAGCATCGTGACAGAGAAATCTTCGCATCAGCAACGGACAACACACCACCCTTTGACGATATCGAAGGAGGACGACCAGATATCCAAACTGTCCAGGCTCCCCGCGTCAAAGATCCATTGACCTTCCTATACTACTCCATCGTCCTGACTACCCTGACGGTCATCTGTGCCATTATCATTGGCGTGCTCCAGCTCCTCTCGTTGATTCTAAACGTTGCCTCTCCAACCGGCAAGTTCTGGGACGGCGTCGAGACCGCCGGCGAGTACTACGAGGTCATTGGCGGTGCCATTTGTGGCAGTTTTATTGTCTTTGGTGGCATCAGTGTGCTTTGCTATAAGCCCTGGCGGAGGTGGGTCGAAAACGAAAGAAAACGGCTACGGGCCGCAGAAGATCAGGGCAGCGAACTGGACGATGATCCTCCTTTCCACGGTGGTGCGAGTGTTGTTCGTTCTGGTGGCGGTCTGAACGACAATGATTATAACGATGATGACGACCCTGGTGCAGAAGCCAGTATCAGTCGCCGCCATGGAGATGCTGAGCTTATTGAGGAGGTGGAGGGCAAGTCGACCGTGCATAGAGTCGCCGTCAAGGCGTACGATGGCCAGGACGAGCGGACGACAACAGTCGCGACTGGCAGTCGCTCCGGCGGGCACGGACAGCCATAAGGTGTGTTTTAGTCTTCAACGACTGTGCTGTCGGGCAGTGCAATAATGCAACAATGCGACGATACTGGTTACAAGGACGACTCTTTACATCGCACTACCAAACGGGAAACAAACAGTGCAATATCCAAAACCTAAAACATTCATTTCACGGCGAAAGATTTTCGGCAGAGAGAAGACAGAAATACCATAATAACAGGACCAAGAAATTTATTGATTCATATACGCGCTATATTCGCGACACATTCGCAGCTGGGGTCATCTGAATATCTAAGATAGCCATGAGATGCTCTGTTCTACAAAACTCCATCTCTATGCAATGTAGATTGTCCTGTGGCGGAAGCTGTGGAGCCAACATTTACAAAAACATGACATCTCGTAAACATGACCAACGCCTGCTTACACCTAATGAACTAGAGCGTTGGAGTAACAAGTGGCCGCGACGTCCAACAATCCCCAAAACGTGGGTCTAACCGCTCGTCGTCGTTCGCCGGCCACCTCCAACAGACGCAGGTCCAAACAACATCTAGAACCCAGAGGCCGATCCAGAAAGGGAGACTTTGCGCACCCCATTGGTCAAAACGTTGTTGACATGGCCATCATGGCCGCCGCCGGCTCCATTGGCTCTCTGGGCTTTGCGTGCCACTGCGGCAGTGGCCTGTTCCAGCAGACCTGCACTCGCGGCCACGAAGCCCAGATATGGAGGACTCGGCGAAAGAACCCTGCTCAGGTACTCCGGGTGGAATTGCACACCAACAAAGAATGGATGGTCTTTGAGCTCGACAATCTCCATTCGCTCACCTTTGTCATCCTTGCCGATGAAGGTCATCCCGGCTTCGGACAAGCGCTCGATGTATTCGGGGTTGACTTCGTATCGGTGGCGATGCCGCTCGTTCACCGTAGGGGCGTTGTTGTATAGTTTTCTCAAGCGCGACCACTCGGTGCCCTCTTGGAAGTGGGTCGGTCTGAGACCTAGGCGCATGTTGCCGCCCATCGTACTCTTATCGATCTCCGGCATGAAGATAACCACGGGATCGCCGGTACGTGCATCCAACTCGACCGAATGTGCCTCCTCAAGACCGCACACGTTTCGAGCGTATTCGATGACGGCGATTTGCATACCCAGGCAGATGCCGAGATATGGTTTGGGCTTTGTTCGTGCCCAGTTCGCAGCGGCGACCATGCCTTCTGTGCCGCGGTGACCAAAGCCACCAGGCACCAGGACGCCATCGGCGGTGCAAAGTTGGTGCCAAGCCTTGTGATATGACTCCGGCGACGATTCCATGGTCCCCTTCTCCAGATCACTCGCCTCAACCCAAACCAGGTTTAGTTTGCGGTGGCATGCCATGGCACTGTGCTCCAGGGATTTGATGACGGACAAATATGAGTCGTGCAGATTGGTGTACTTGCCCACCAGGGCAATGGTGACCGTTTCAGATTCCAGGAATCGGTTCTGTGACGTTGTCAGAGCCTTCCAGTCTTGCCATAGCTGTTGGCCTTTCGTGACCAACGTAGGTGAGATAGGGTAGGCGTCAAGACGGAAGAGTTCGCGGAGTTGGGTAAGCAACCCTTCCTGCTCGAGGAGAATGGGGACATGGTATGTTGAGTCGAGGTCGTGTACACCAATGACTTGGGCAGGCTCGACCTGACAAAACATGGCGATTTTGTTGACGGTGGCATCAATAAGACGATCCTTGCAGCGGCATGCGATCAGGTCAGGCGCCAGACCAGCTGAGCGTGCATCTCTGATAGCTGCCTGTGTAGGCTTTGTCTTTTGTTCGCCTCCAATGACTGGCACCAATGACACATGAATCTGGCAGAAATTATCCCGCCCGGCTCTTCTTCGAAGTTGTCGCATGGCTTCAATGAACGGGCCGCTTTCGATGTCACCGACCGTACCACCCAGCTCGATGATGCAAACGTCCGGCTCTTCACCCGAGTCGTCGACAGGAATCCTTGCGACTCTCTCTATCCAGTCTTGGATGGCGTTGGTCAAATGCGGAACAACCTGAACGGTCTTCCCGAGATAGTCTCCTCTTCTTTCCCGTTCAATCACATGTTGGTACATCTTTCCTGTGGTGATGCTATTCTCTCGGGTCAAGGTGATGTTGAGGTATCGTTCGTAGTTTCCCAGATCCAAGTCGACTTCACCGCCATCGTCGAGTACGAAGCACTCGCCATGTCTAACCAGGTTAGAGAACAATCAACCGACCGTGGTGCTTCGCGAGACATACTCGGTAGGGTTCATCAACCCAGCATCGATATTGATATATGGGTCTATCTTGATGGCAGTAATGTGCTGCGAAAGTCAGCCAGAAGAAGTGGATTTCGGCTTCTTGAACATATCTTCAAGCCCAGACTCTTCAGCAACAACCCGGTGGAAGAGGCAGTAATACCCTTTCCGATGCCGGAAATGACACCACCCGAGACCAGGACGTACTTCATGTTTGCAAATTGGAACAAAGGAGACACAAGGAAAATGTAGGTTGCCGTCGCTGGCTGTCGCCAGGCGGGAAGAAAGAGAAAAAGTCACGGTCGGCGGCGTTGCAGCGCTTTCGAGTCCGAGTTTGCCAGGCAAAAAAGTTTCGCTGCGCCAACACGTCAGGGCTTGGCAGATTTGTTCATGGTTCCAGTCCGACGCGTAAAGTGGGACGCGTCAATCGTGTTGACAATCCAGTACCGCGACTGTGGATTGCAGTCTACAGTAATGTGGTAAAGCTTCAAGTTGTCTGGGCTGTTTATTAGTATTCGTACATTTATCATTGGAATGTACTCCTACTCATTGATATATGTTCGAGGACATCATTTTTTATTCTGTACAACCAGTAATGCTGGCTGCCACTGCCACATGCATGTTGGCTTCTGGTTGACCGTATCGCAAATCCTTTGCAAGCTGAGAATCCTGCTAAAGATTCCTCTCACAGCTGAGACTCTGCAATCCCCAATGCTCAAATTCAAGGAACCCATAAGTATCGGCACTTTGCTATTTACAACAAGATCAAGGGCTTTTTCAATGGCAAGGCCTTTTTTTTCCCTGAACCATTGCAACGCTGGCTGCCTCACGGCTTAGTCAGGCGATGCTGATCACGTGAAGCCACTTGTGGAGCAGTAGACCCCCGCTACTACTCCATCGCTACTACTCCATCGTTGTCCTGCTTCAACTTCTGGCCATCGTGTCAACCAGCTCTGCTTTTACCGACTGAAAAGCCAGATACCTCTTTGTGCGAAAGACTCCGTTGAGAACCGCACTAGGTTCATGGTAGGTACTCAGTATCAACCGCGAAAATATGCAGGTAAGAATGTCTGGAGTCGAATGGCCTGTCCAGCGTCCCAGGTATATAGCCCCGCCCTCCTCGATGTCGTGATCGCAGCATGCGCGGAGACCTTCCTCAACCGGTATCAGACATGAAGCGATGCCGCTTCATCGTATTTGTCATCATGGCTACAAGACGTCCTCACTGTAATCAAGCCGAGACGGAATCTTGGAAAACATATACTCTGGAAGAGACGTGTTCTTCTTTCAACTAACACATCCACCTGAAATCCTGGTCCGGCATCATTGGTTACCCTGACCAGCAGCACCATGTCTGAAACAAAGCAACTACATCTCACAGCCTTCATGCGGCCCGTTAGTCTCCACACCGGGGCATGGCGATACCCAGGAGCATATCCAGACGCGAACTTCAACCTGAAGCATCTGAAATCGTTCATCCAAAAGCTGGAGGCTGCCAAATTCGACGCCTTCTTCATGGCCGACCATCTGGGGGTGCTGAACATGCCAGTGGATGCCCTGAAGCGCAGCCACACGGTAACGTCGTTCGAGCCGTTCACGCTGCTGTCGGCGCTGTCCCAAGTCACAGAACGAATTGGACTTGCGGCAACGGCATCCACGACGTACGACGAACCATACCACATTGCCCGCCGCTTTGCGTCTCTGGACCATATCAGCGAGGGCCGGGCGGCGTGGAACATAGTGACGACAGGCAACCCGGAATCGTCCAAGAATTTCGGGCGCGACGAGCACGTCGAGCACAGCGAGCGGTACAAGCGGGCGCGGGAGTTCTACGACGTGGTGACAGGACTTTGGGACAGTTTTGCCGATGACGCTTTCATCCGCGACCAGGAGAGCGGCATCTTCTTTGATCCGGACAAGATGCACGTGCTGAACCACGTGGGAGACGAGTTGAAGGTCAAGGGACCGTTGAACATCGCCCGTCCTGTTCAAGGGTGGCCGGTCATCGTACAGGCCGGCCAGTCCGAACCGGGCAGACAGTTGGCGGCCGAAACCGCCGAGGCCGTCTTCTGCTCGCCGCGCGACCTGGAGGCGGCCAAGGCGCTGTACGCCGACATCAAAGGCCGCGCCACCGCCGCCGGCCGCGACCGTAACCACCTCAAGATCCTGCCGGCTGCGCTCATCATCGTCGGTGACACTGTCGAGGACGCCAGATCCAAACGCCTGAAACTCGACAGTCTCGTCCACTACGACAGCGCCATCGCCTCCCTTTCCGTCGCTTTGGGCACAGATGCCTCGGCCTTCGACCCGGATGGCCCGCTGCCCAAGGATCTCCCTGACACGAATGCCAGCAAGACCAGCCGTGCCGGAGTCCTTAAGCTGGCCGAGGAGGAGGGTCTGACCGTGCGTCAACTGGCACAGCGGTACGGTGGCTACTCCGGCCTCGCGTTCGTCGGAACTCCTCAGTCCATCGCCGACGAAATGGCCACTTGGCTGGCCGAAGAAGGTGCCGATGGCTTCACTGTCGTATTTCCGTTCGTCCCGCAGGGTCTGGATGATGTGGTTTATCGCTTGGTCCCCGAGCTACAGCGCCGAGGCATCTTTCGCCAGGATTACAAGGGGACCACTCTGCGAGAACATCTTGGTCTCCCCCGGCCAAAGAATCAGTTCTTTCCTTGATCGGGTCCAGCCATATATGCTAGGATGAGGCTACCGTTGATAGTCCACAATTACTAGTATTCTGGCAGGTACAGTTCGAGTACCACAAATCCAGCCTGTTCAACCATCATTGTTCATCTCTCCCCAAAGGTGTCTCAACTACTGTGCTATGACTGCTACATGCAAGCACTTCCTCTGCTCTCCGAGTCATTGATCTCATCAGAGTCCGGCCTTCATGTCGAGGACGAGATGCTGACAGTCTTGTAACACCGCGTCCATATTCCTTATCATAGCAAGCAGAAACAACATCATTTAGGCTCATAGGAATGGGACCATTCCTCACGTTGTATGTACTCAAGCGCTCACGCAGCCTCCCCACTAGCAAACAGCCCGCACACTCAGCCGCCGTTCAAGCTTTTCCTCGATCAGGGCAAACAGCCAGCTGGCCTGGCCTGGACGTAAAGCCAGACTCCATAAATGACCAGGTATGCATAATATGATCTTACAGCTCCAGTTACTCTGCTCATTGCGTCTGAGACTCGATGAAATCCAAGGCATTCTCCTTGGTTTCCTCCCTGATCGTGCTGACGTTATTGGCGAACCTGACACCGAAACACTTGTCCGCGACCCTCAACATCTCGGGCCTAAAGGTCGTGCAGATGAATTGTGCACCTCGAAGTCGATCATCACCTGCTTCACCGTCTTCATTGTCACCATTCGCATCGGCCCTGTTGGCCAGGTAGAGTAAATGATCTGCAACGGCCGTGCGGTACTGTGCGTCCAGGTTGGCGTCGATTTCGTCAAAGATGTAGAAGGGCGCCGGGTCAGTGGCTTGGATGGCGAAGATCAGGGCGAGACTGCAAAGACCTATTGTTTTGAACGAGCAATGTTAGCCGAAATATCACAAACAACCTGCTCCGCTCGCCCTTGTTTGCAAAAAGCCGAGTCGGACAAGATTGATAACGAGAAAACAGGTTAAACCATCAGGGGATGAACTTACTCTTTTGACCACCGCTGAGCTGTTGTATACGCTGCTGATCATCATGCTTACTGTTAAAGCTGACACTGATACCGACACCGGTGTAATTCTCTACACTGCGCTTGTTGGCCGCCGGCCCCTGGTCGTCATCGTGATCGGACTCGTCGTCCCCGGGCTGCCGTTTGTCCGTCTTGCGTTGGATGATCAATCTTCCTCGGCCGGCAGGCACGAGTTTCTGAAAGATCTCGGCGAACGCCTTGCTGACTTGTTTGAAGGTGCGTTCGATTGCCTCGTCTTTCCTTTGATCGAGCACTTCGATCAGATTCTGGATCGACCCTTTGGCGTTTTCCAGATCCTCTCGTCTTGCTTCGAGTTCTTCTCTCTGCTTGGCCGATTTTCGATAATGCTCAAAGGCATGCTTGTTGACAGACGTGTATTTCTTTAGGGTCTCCTTGGCCTTCTGGAGTCGCTTCACAATGGCGTTCGAGTCCATGGACTGATACTTTTTGCGGAGGTCCTCGGGGATAGCGCCCAGTTCTCGGATATTCTCAATCGTTTCCTGTTTGGATGCGAGCAGCGCCGCCTTTTTCTGTACCGACTTCTCGAGCCGCCGCTGATATCTTTCAATCGCCTTGGCCAACTCTTCTTGCTGCCGCTTTGTCTCGGCCGCTTGTGCCTCGAGCTCCGCGACCTGCGTAGCTGACGTTTCCTGCCGGTCTTCCAGATCGTTCAGATTCTCTTGTATGGTGTCCAGCTCCTTTGTCAGTCGGGCCAGTTCCGATCTCTTGGCTCGTAATGAGGCGGACACATTGGCCTCTGTCTCGAATTCGTCTGCCTCGAGTGCTTCGAGTTGTGGTTTCAAGCTCGAGTTGAGTCTGGCCTCCAAATCCGCCTTTTTAGTTTCAATCTCTGCTCGAGACGCCGAGAGATCATTGTATTCCCGTCTTAGGGTCTGAATGGTGGCCGAGAGACTTTCGAGCTGCGCCTCTTCGGCCGGTGTCAGAGCTTTCTTAAAGTCTGACGCCAATTCTGCCTCGTAGGCCTTTTGCTGATCAGTCAGGATCTTGACGTTGGCCGCAATGGCGGCTTCCTGCTTCTGTTTCAATTCCAAATCCTCCTTTGTGCGTTGCAGCATGTCCATTTTGTTTTTGATCTCTTGCTTGAGGAGTCTTTGGTTGCCTTGGAAATGATTCTTCCGCTGCTCGAGTTTCTGAACCTCGCCCATGGCTTTGGTGATGGTCTGGTCGATTTTCTCGATCTTCAGCTTGATCTCGCTGCTCTCGGCTTTGATTGCCTCAAACTTCTCGCGAGCAGCCACTACAGCCTTGGTGGCCTTGAGTCTGGAAGCACGCACATCGTGATACCCACCTGTCAAGGCGCCCTTCTTGTCCGACCGATCACCTTCGGGTGTCACGGCAGTTAGTCCATGCGTCCTCGCATACTGGGCGGCGATGCTCAGATTCTGCGCAATGATGGCTTTGCCAAACACTTGTTGCACTGCTTTTTCGAACCTGGCATCATATTTGATCAACGACATGAGTGGCCGAGCATCCTGTGCGTTAGGAAAGTTGGCGGTCTTCGGTTTGAGTCGGTTGAGCGGCATGAATGTAATGCGACCCGCGCGCTCCCGGTTCAGAATCTCCATCACTCTTGTGGCTGTATCGTCGTTGTCGACAACGTAGTGGAACAAAGAGTTTCCTGCAGTGACTTCGACGGCAGTATGATGCTGCGGGACATCAATCAACTCGGCAAGGGTACCATAGCACCCGTCAAGCTTGTGCTGTTGCTTGATCCGTCGAACAGCATCCAGACCTCGACTGGTGTTGCCATCCATCATATGCGACAGAGTTCGTTCTGCTCTTCGCAGATCGTCCTGAGCCGCCGAGTACTCCGAATCCAGCTGAGCCTCTCTACGCCATAAGAGCTTTCGTTCGTCCATAAGGGTCTCCTTACGCTCGTTGGCCGCTTGGATCTCCTTGTCGAGTGAATCATCCTGACCGGCCATTTGCTGCTGCAGACTCTGGATCTCCTTTTCCAGACTGGCGATCAACTTTTCGTCTTCAACAATGCCTTCTGCGGTCTGCATGCGCGTGGCTTTGAAACGTGAAAGAGATTCAAAAGCTTCCCCAATCTGCGCCTGCAGCCAGTTGTCCCGATCTTTCTTCGATTTGAATCGTGCACTCCTCCCTTGTTTGCCATAGAGACGTTGTTGGATAGCAATCGCTTCATCTAGACGGGCCTTGACTGACTGCTCCTTTGCACGTTCCGCTTCGAATTGCGGTATAATGCTACTGAGTTCTTTTTCAATTTCCCGAATCTGAGATCGGACCTGTTTCAGTTCTCGGTCATGGGTTTGCTTCGTCCGTTGCGCTGTTTGTTGCCCATGCGCCAAATCTCTCTCCTCCAGTTCGACCTGGGCGCGAGCTTTGGCCTTCTCACGCTTTTCATCTTCTAGTTGTTTCTTCTCAAGCCGTGCCGCGTGAATTTGCTGGTTCAGCAGCTGTATTTGTTGTGTAATTCTGGCCATCTCATCCTCGACTTCGGCGTAGCGTTCGCGATTCTCATCCGCATCGTCGATCCCACCGGCTCTCTTGTCTTCGAGGTCTGCAAGCGCCTTGTTGATTTCCTCTTGCTCTCTGTAGAAAAGGGTGTACTCTAGTGCTCGTTTCTCACGGTCTTTCTCCTGGAAGTCCCGCAACTCTTCTTGTTCTTCTTCGAGCTCCGCCAGGCGTTCATTGATCTGCTCGAAAGTCTGGTCGATCGCGGCCAGCTTGTTGTTGGTGTCACTCATAATCTTGAGGGACTCTTCTTTTTTCGCCACAAACTGTTGTGTCCCGGCCACGCTCTTCAAGACGTCCAATCGTTCCGAATCCTTCATATTCGTCAGGCGCGTAATGCGGCCTTGTGGGACAATATAGTACGGGTTTGCGCGTGAAAAGCCAGCATTCTCCAGCAACTGCATCACGTCCTGTTTCGTGGCATTCTTGCGGTCCAGCGAATACTCGTCCTTTTTCAGGCCAATAGTGCGGCGCAAGACGAGCTCGTCGTTTCCGGTGGGGAATCTGCCGTCCGAATTGTCGAACACGATCTCAACATACGCCGACATGACCGCCGAACCCGTGCCTTCCTAACCAATCGTCAGCTGACATCGATGACAGACGCGCCGCTCGTTACTCACGTGGATGAGTTGTTGTCTGTCCTCTCGACCCATTTGCGAATAGGCGTCACTGAGGACAAACCGGATCGCGGCGAAGAAATTACTCTTCCCGGAGCCATTGCGACCGACAATAACATTGAGTTTGGGCGAGAAAGGGTTGACCACGGTTTGGTTCTTGTAGCTACAGCTGGGTCAGTGGCCGAAAAGACCAACGTCGGTGCTGGTTAACTCCAGAACTCACCTTTTGAAGCCCTGGATGGTTATTGATTTGATATACATATTGGACAACGGCCGGAGCAGTCGCCCACCGAAGGCTTTGATTGACACGGGCGCATAAACTGCGGCGTGGAAATGGTATTTGTCGCGAGAGAAAGAGAGGGACGCGATCTCTCACTCACCACATCCAAGCCCCCACAGATGCGAATCCCAATCGAGACGCGCAGCGCGTTCGCGGGCAATTTAATGGGGCTTGGCAGATAAGCGAGATCACGTGTAATACGGTGAATCACACAGCATTGGTTCGTATTCCGGCGCAGTATTCAAGGCTTATCACGAAATCTGACAGCGGACTGGAAGGCCCATTATTGAGGCATATCTGGGTAAGGTGACCAGCAGCCAATCTCCATTCGGAAGATTTATAACGTACAGACGATGTTGTCCAGCCGATTACTAGTAAACTGTCTTATGGAACGACAAGACCCTAGTAAACGAGAGGTAAGGCCACCTACACCAACATCACTCTCTTCGGCTCACCCTGGTCTACGACCCGAAATGCAAGATGGGCTCCAGTCTTCTTGGAACACATGGCCATCTGACGTTGAGTCGAGACCTACTGTACGTACAGTATATAAAGCCTTCTTTCTTGACAGTGAGTTAGCAATGAATATTTCCTGGTGCCCTTCTCAATCGGTTCGACCTCCTTGTCTCCCAGTGTCCATTCCACGTCCCTCTACATAGTAGACCTGATCCACACAATGGCGGCATCTCCCCAATTCTCCATCCCGAAGGAATACCAGAATGAGCTACGATATGTCGACGCGCTCGACAAGCACTCTGACGAAGACATCCTCCGCTCATTGGAAACCCACCGACCCGTCACGTCTGAGAAGAATATCTGGGCGTTCTGGGCCAAAGGGCTCCGCAGCATGCCTGGGTGGTGCCAACGCAACGTCATCAACTGGGTTCGCTTGTGTGGACCGAGCTGGACGGTTCGAGTCCTCGATGCTATTCCCGACTCGCCAAATTATGCGCTCAACTATGTCTCTGCCGACCTCCTGCCTCAGTCGTTTGTCAATGGCACCATGACCAGGGTGTACGTGGGACCCCATAGCTCGGACTTCCTGCGCGGTGCGTGCCTGTATACCCATGGAGGAGTGTACATGGGCGTCGGGATCATTCTCATCCGCGACCTCGACCGGATCTGTTGAAATCAACTTGCTGACCCGGAATCGCCGTATGAGGTTTCCGCCCCAATCATGTTCGGCACCATCATGGCGAATCACTTTGTAGCTAGTCGCAAGGGCGACCATTTTATCAAAGGATGGTAAGTATGCGAAAAGGCAAAGACCCAGTACTCTGAATAAGAACCCAGAACACACAACCGTCTGAGTTTTTCCAACTTACATTTCATGGTCCTGCCAGGCACGACATCCTCGTCCATCTCTGGAAAGGCCGTCAGAACCACAAAGGCATCATCCAGGGTCGTCTTGTGTCCTTTGCCCTCAGAAACACTTTCAAGGAGGCCGAAGAAGCCAACTTCAACTGAGACTTGAACGTAGAACCGCAGACCGTGTTCGAGTATATCGCCCAAGTGTTGTCATGGATGAAACTGTGCATGCTAGAGAGCACAGGCACAGGCGATGACAGTAACAACAACACCTTCAGCGGCACCGAGTATTGGCTGAACAAAGTCCTCATTTTCAACGCCTTGCAGTAGGACTGGGGCGCCGAAGCAACCATCGGGTTTGGCGGGCAGATCCTGTTTGACGCTCTGGCCACGAAACTCGATGCACCCAGAGATTCAGCAGAGTACAAGACCGCTTACAAATTGGTCTGGCGGCTTTTGAGCCGGTCGAGCATGCAGAAAATCACCCACGGCAAGAACCTGACCAAGACGCCTGCATTGGGAGCTCTCTGGGACGAAGAGACCAACAAGGACAAGGACCACGAGCCTGGCACTTTTGCTGAGTTGCTTAGGTACGGAAGCGTGCACTTTGAACAGACGAGGGAGCGCATCGAATACCTGGAGGTCCAGAGGCCGGCCGAGACGTTCAAGAAGGGCTTGCTAGAGCCTTAGGGCCCCTAATCACATGGTAAAAAGTCGTGCGGGTGGATCACATGCAATGCAATGCAATGCCAGTGCAAGACACGGCGAGGCGAGGCCAAATTCAGTCTGCCACTGCAGCTCGCTTCAAGTTGAGCTCGGTGATGTCGGACACGACACGGACATACAGGCGGCTTTATAGCAGGTAGGCCTGTTGGACTTGGACTTCTTTCAAGCGCCCGGCAACAGGTGTGAAGATGCACTATACCGCAAACAGTTACAGTATTCAATACTCCCCTTTTAAGCACAGGGTGCCATGCAACTAATGCAAGAAACAAAGTTGTCACAGCTTGAATCTACCACTCCTGTCGCGAGAGAGACACTACAACGGGCCAACCCTCTCGGCCGACAAGGCTCGGCAAGGCTAGGCAGCAGAAACACCGCCCGCGGCGACAACTGCCACTGCAGTGGAACCCGAGATTCGGAGTGGGTCCTTCCGAGACCGGAAGGTCCGCGGTGCCACGGCGCGACAATTTAATGGACCAGCATTTGGATCAGATAAGATGTCGGCTGTGGCCCCCCTTTCCTTCCTCGCCTTGTCCGCATACTCCACACGACTTTCTTCAAGATGCTCGACCGGCTGCAGGTCTTCCTCAAGCTTGTCGGGCTCTCGTTGTCCCTGGGCCTGAAACAGCTTACTCACAATTGCGCCGCCCGGGTCCATCGTCTGACATACAAACCGGTCGACAACCCCAAGAATGTCGTGGTCATCGGCGGCTCCATGGCCGGCTTCTTTCTGGCGAAGGAACTAGCCGAATCGCTTCCGACGGGTTATCGAGTGATTTTAATCGAAAAGAAGTCGCACTACCACTTCACCTGGAACTTCCCGCGGATTTCGGTGGTTGACGGCCACGACAACAAATGCTTCATTCCATTCCCTCGACAGATTTCGACTGCTCCAGCCGGCGTGTACGAGTTTCGACAGGCCACGGTCGTGGCCATCGATCCGGACAAAGTGACGCTGGACAACGGCTCCACGATTGACTACGAATATCTGGCAATTGCCACGGGTTCCAAGGCCCGGTATCCTGCACAACTGGACGCGAACGAGAAGAGAGAATGCATCGATTACTTCCAAGCCCAGCGACACCAAATTGAAGCCGCGAAAGATATCGTCATTGTCGGCGGTGGAGCAGCGGGTGTCGAAATCGCAGGGGACATCAAGACAAAATTTCCCGACAAGAATGTGACTCTGGTGCATTCTCGCGACCGCCTCCTGAACAACTTCGATCCGGCACTCCATGAAATCGCCAAAAAGGCTTTGGAGGACATGGGCGTCGTTGTGTATCTGGCCGACCGGGTCGTGTCGGATTTGGACCCGGAATTGACCAAATCAATCAAGCAAGTCATGTTACGCGATGGGAAGGTTCTCCAATGCGATCACCTGGTAAGCAAACCAAATGGCTTTTGATTCAACGCCCTGTTCCGTACTGATGACCATTGTTCTTTTTCGCAGATAAAATGCACCGGCCAATCCGCGCAGTCTGACCTGACCAAGGAGTTCTCACCGGCCTCGGTGGCTCCAACTGGTGGGATCCGTATTGAGAAGACTTTGCAGATGAAGGATGCGCCTTCGGATAAGATTTTTGCTCTGGGAGACGTCATTGATACCCCTGGGCCAAAAATGGGCCGCGCCGCCTCTCTCCAAGGCTTCCACGTTGCCCGCAATATCGTGCGCTCCATCAACCACAAGCCATTGAAACCATACAAACCTTCCATGATAGACACCTCTATTGATTTGACCTTGGGTCTGGTAAGTGCACGCTGCACACCATGTGTTCTCTCGCCGTTTATCGAACCTTCACTGACGAAGCTGCCTGGCTGGCGTTGTGATAGGGTAAAAACGTCATGTATATCAGTGATCTGGGCAGACGGCACCTGGCCATCAACACCAAAACGCCAGAGGAGTTGCATGCGGCTCGGGCTTGGCAGGTTATGGACATGAAGCCGTATGATGACCCGGAATACGAAGCCTCGAAAAAGCTGGCTGTTTGATGAGGGGCGTGCCTCACCTCTCTCGGCACAATGCGACTCAAACATCTCCAGTCGACACCACCATTGTTAAGCCAAGAACATTTGGAAGGGTGACTGAGTCGCCTCGAGCTCTCTGGTGATGCTGTGACCGCCCATGGGCGAGCTTGTTGAGACCGTCAATCAGTGTCCTGCTGCTGCACATCCCATGCTCAAGCTGAGGATGGGATGAGTGTGGTGCACTTCGAGATTGTGCTGCTAAGTGCGGGAGAAGCCGACTTGATCTTACTCGAAATGCCCCATTTGATTGAGGGCCGTGGACTCGTCACTCCCCTTTCCAGTCTGTGGCTTCTTGATCTGACCGGTCATTATCAAGTGTGAGCTGGGGTCGGATCAAACTGTCCGCACTCCAAGTCGCAGCGAAATAGGGTCTCAAAAGCCCTCAAGCTCTGTCTTTGTAGGCCGTCAACGAGGGAGACATATGATGTTCCCTTGCTTGAATTGGTCGATCGATTGAGCATGGAGACTCTGGAGGGCGTTTTATAGAAGTTTTGAATTCGGCCTCTTTCTTTGTCGGGTGTTAACATGGCAAGTTTTCCATTGGCGGCGTCTGGTGTGCTCAGGGTAATGTCCTTAAACAATCTTCAATATATTCCGGCTCTCAGAAACACTCTTTGTATCCAATCGTCTCGCCTGGCTTCCCGACCAAATAAACATCAATCAACGCCACCTCTACCGTCATTTCATTCATAGTAGTTTTTTCAGCCCTGCTTGGCAGCGGAGTCCTTTATCCTTCCACGTTCCTCCACCGTCCTCGCTATCCTCGACGCATTATCCGTCTGCAACGCGTCGAACCCTTTGATGACGCCTTCTCTATCCCCACTCGCCAGTTCCTGGCTCATCTTAAACTTGCCTTCTAATCTAGTGATTTCGATTTCGACCCCAATGATATTCTTCTTTAGCAACTCTGTGTACCTTTCAGGCGCGTCGGCGAGTTCCCAGGGCTTAAGCCGATCACCTTCGCCCGTAAACCCCATCATTTGCGTCTCTGCAAACCGCGACAGATCGGTGATCTGGCGGTGAAGGAACTCACCTGTTTCGGCAGCCTTGCTGTCGAAGAAGATGGTGGCGGTCCCATACGCCTGGACAGCCGTATAATTCCACGTCGGGACCACCTTGCCCGTGGTGGGTTTTGTCTCGACGTAGAACTTGGGCGTCACGTAAGAGTGTGCGGGACCGTTGAACACCACTGACACTTCCTCGCGAAGCCGTCCGTTGGATCGGGATGGAGTGCTCGCTTGCACGGCTTCGGTGATGGATTTGGTTTGTGGGTTTGGCTTGGCTAGGTGGCCTCGTAGTTTGCCTAGTTCCGTCTCGCTGGTTTCATCCTGCACGTCGAGTAAAAATGGCACATGGCTGCATTGGATAGTTGGGAACGTTGTCGATTGTAAGGCGGTGATGAAGAGGCCGAGTGGGTTTTCTTGGATGAAGCGCCGCAGTGTTGGGATGTGGTATTCGGCATGGGCGGCGCGGAGATACATGTTGGATAGTAATTAAGACCGCGCGATTGAGTTGGAAGTGAGTGGAGTTTGTTGGCGATTGGCCTGCTTTGCCTGGGAGGACAACCAGATGACTGAGGGATGAGTGTCGGTGAGTTGAGAGCGACGTCGGACCCTTTATAATCAATCTGATTGCGAGTCCCGGGCGGAGTCCTCCGCATGCACTTTCCTGCCTCGGCAGCCCAGATCAGATCTTGGGGTAATAGAACGCAATATGTGACTATCGATTGGCCACCACTAAGTTAGCAAGGCCCATTTTTGACACCCTTATCAATGGATCCACGGGCACATTTATTATTCAAGTTGTGGTGTTGTCTCCACAGATATCTTTCAATCGTCACAAGGCGCGGTGCGTGGTCTTGAGGCTCACCCTCACATGCTTGGCTGCAAAATGGATTCGATGCATGGTCGACAAGGGCAATGAGACTCGAGGTGGGCACTGAATTCTTATCGGTATGTTTGTTGCATTTACTGTGTTTGCCCTGTTTGCGCTTCCTCCTGTGCATGGACGGTGCAGGTCTGCTCAATTCAAATTGCAAAGGCCCCTTGGCAAAGCGCAGCCTTGTTTGAGATCTGCCAGTGGGAGCCCGCGCTCACCCTTGGATCGCAAGCTAAACCACTTTCGACTCTAGAGAGACAACCCTGGAACATAGTTTCGCGCCGCCCCCTTTTTACCCCAGACTCAAGTTGACTTAAACTGCATCCGTTTAAGAACACCAACGCTGTGCTAATGAGTCCACCTGCCGCTGACAGCAGTAGCCACCGGCCGTGTCATCTACCGTATATCCTTTTTGCCAGAAAGCTCAAACTGAATTGGGTACCTCCAGACCAGCGATAGACAAATTGTTCAATCGCCCTACCGATACCCTCTTCCCGAACCACGCGCGAGGTTCTTCGAGAAACCGGCCGGGCTTACCGTCGGCTTGCGACGATGCTTCCAGAAATCCAGGACGAGGGCAAGATGCTCCACTCGAGCGTTTTTAGCACGGTCTACTTGATTGATGGCAAGAGCGTGCGCAAATATCCCGAAGCGAGCCAGTTCCCGGATTCACCACTCGTGGCACTCGAGAACGAGACGTGCGCGTACAAGACGATTGGGCCACACCCTCGGATTGCACGATGGATCCCCGCCGAGACAGCCGTGGCCGAGTATGTCGAGATCGAGTATTATCCGCACCGCAGTATCCGTGACTACATGCAAAAACAGAACAATCAAGTCCCGCTCGCTCTGCGGATCAAGTGGGGGGCGCAGATGATCGAAGCTCTGGCTGTGATTCATGCCAAAGGGGTCATCCATTCCGACTTGAAACTAGAACAGTATCTGCTCGATAACGACATGAATGCTCGGCTGTCGGACTTCAATGCTGCCTCGTGCCCAGGGCGACCTGCACTTGGCTATGAAAAAGCAACCCACTTCCTCCCAAGGCCGCCGGAGGAGGACAATACCGTGCGCACTGACCTATTCGCTCTGGGATCCACGCTGTACGAGCTGGCGTATGGGAACTTCCCGTATCACGAGCTCTATCCCGATGAAGCTCTGCTCTTCTCGTCGAGCGATTCAAAGCTACTGGCCTTCTATCATCAACGTCAGGGGGCTGATGCCCAAGTTGAAAGAGCATACGAACAAGGCTTGTTCCCGGACGTATCTGGAAGTTTCTGTCAAAACACCATTTTGGGTTGTTGGAACGGCAACTTCGCTTCTGCCCAGGAGGCCCTCCTTGCATATAAGTCTGAAAGCCGACACATGTCTGCAATTGATGCATCCTGTGATGCCATTGCTACGGATGAGATCAAAGCTGCTCTCTAGAAGAGACAGAAAAATGAATGTGTATCCGTTGCCACGTATGCAACCGCGCATTTGAGGATGAGTGATTGAAGCCTCTCCTTGATACCAGGCGTCAAGCCTGCGTACAAGCCTTCTGTTCTTCGCGTTTTCAGCAAAGCATACGTAGGTAGTCCGACATGTGTATGCAGGTTTCTTGCCAACCCTTCGCCATGAACATCCCGCCAGAGATTGATCCTTGCCCTAAATGCAATAGTCAGGAAGGCGGACGAGAGCTAGATTTCTTGGTATTCGGTACGTCTGACCTGGTGATGGCGGATGTTGGCCGGTGTCGCCTTTGGCCAGTTGCTCCTGGCGGTTCATTTGGAGCCGTTGGTCTTCTTCGTGCGGCTGGACCCGAGGTAGGTACGTTTGTAGTTTGGGCACTTGGTGGCATCTCCATTGGCGGGACGTTTGTTGCACGCGATAACAGTGGTCTTTTCCACTCTCTCGCCTCCAACCATTTTAAGGCTGTTGAGCACTTCGCACATGGTGTATGTAGATGGTGAAGGTCGGTTGTGATGGAAGGGGTTCTAGGGAAGAATTGAACTGTAAGAGCACCAAAGCACTAGAGCATCGAGGACACGCGCACCCCCCTTACCTATAGCCGTGGCCTCCATGCATTGCTTCAAAGCCACGCTCCGAGTTAGTGTGGAGGTGGTCGCCTCTGTGAACCTCAGGTGCGGACTGAGCCAGAGGCATGCTGGAGATGCAACATGTTTAGTTCTTTGCAGCTGGATTCGTGGAAGGCTACTATAGGTCAACCAAGCAATTCACTGGCACATGCTCACTCAGGCAGCAGCTAGAGAAACGGGATAGGATCGTACAATTGGCTGATCCCTGTTGTGTAACAGTGACACCAGAAAAGGCAAGGGTATGTGCCGCAGTGTCAGAACGCCATATGGCCATGGTTGGCTATCAGTGGCTTTCAGAGAGGTAAGGCGGTCGAGTGCCAGACCCGAGCCATTCACTTATACACGAGTTTCTCCAGCTATAAACCATGCTCCTCGAGGTGATCTGGACTCATCAATACGATGGCCGTGTCACGAGAACACTGAATTGATTCTGTGCCGCAACATATTCTGGGATCTATGCAGGGCCGTGCGTCGATGAGAAGGCACATGCCTGCAACTGCGTTGGAACCCAAAGCCTGCCACCTGCATTCCTTTCAATGGCCATGTTCACATCAAACAATAGGGATCAACAATTGGGTCTTGAGACGGAAGGTACGGGCGACCGTAGTGTAACTTGTCCCCAGTGACCAAGCGCACCCGTGGCCCAGCCTTGTGGCAAACAGGACAAACAAGACAAACACAATGAAAAATGATACGAGGATGCACCTCAGCAAATGCCACGAGCCGGAGTTGTCACGGTTGGGGGTTGATTCTCCCGCCGATCGAAGGGGGATCTCAACACAGTTTCTCAGGGTCTAGTCCGTCGTCTGCTCGAAACCCCGTTTGGCAGACCAGACAACCTTGCATTTTGAAAGGACTGGACTGGACTGGAAGCTGATCTCATCGACCGAGAAGGGCTCAGTGGTGAGCTTGAACTTGAAGTTATTTCGTGCATCAGGACATCAAGGGCCTGATACTAGTACTGCCGCCCTGCTTGCGCCGCTTTCAAGTTGGCGAATTCAGGAACCAAATGTTTGCGTCTCAGTGTTCTCTGGAGTTCGCCGAGTGGGCGGATATAACGGCAGTATTATATGAGCCGACCGTGACCCGCAGGCCGACGGATGGTACGGCACAGCATGCCAACGGTGAACGCCGTGATTACTTCACCTCCAGAACCATCTCGCCAACACTGCATTTGTTGCTTTTCGGATTAACTGACGTGATCCAGCCAGAGAGGAACTTGATCGCTTCCAGCGAAGTCTTGCTTGCTTGTCCTCCTAAGTCTTAACTGGAAATGACAGCCATTCCAGCGCCTCAAGTCACATATCCAGAAGGAAGTCAATGCGTGTTGGCTGGGCAGACCTTGGGCCCCGCGGTTGTTAACCATGACCAATCGCCACAGTGATTCTCGGCGAGCCTCGTCAGAACATCGCGAGGTGCAGCGCGAAGACCTCGAAGAGACCGAGTCTCTCTATCTCAGTCGGACGCGGTCACAGGAGGACATTGGGTTCGTGGAGAACATTGCAATCCAAGACCCTCTGGCCGAAGAATCAAAGTCACTCAACAGCACAGATGAGAGTAACGCACCGGGGCAACAATGGTCACCCTCGGTGAAGTATTTGGTCTTGCTGTGTGCGTTCCTCACGAGCCTGAGCTTCGGCGTGACACAAGTCCCGCTGTTGTATGTCTTTCGACTCATGACCTGCGATGCTTACTACAAGAACCATCCTTCAAGCGGACCCAGTCCGAAGGCAGCCGAAGTGACGAGGTCAATACTCGCTTATATGCTGGCAGCTTCTGATGTCGATGCCACAAGCACGCAAACTCCTGAAGGCTCGGCGGACAGGTGCTCGATCCACGCCATCGAAAGCTCCACGGCTCTGTCGATATCGCTGCTCGGTGCCAGCACGACCATCTTTGGCTTGTTGAATCTGTTCCTCACAGGCTCCCTGATCAAGCGGATCGGCGTCAAGCCCACATTGATCATCCAGGTCTTCTTCCCGGCTCTCAGACTGCTTATCCAGAATGTGGGGGTCGAGGTCTGGGGCAACACCGGCATTGCCATCATTCAATGTTCGCAGATTGTCAGTATTATCGGAGGTCCAAGCGGCTACCTACTGGTCTTGAACACATTTATCACTGAGGTTGTCGAGCATGAAGGTCGGACGGCCGCGTTGGGCCGCTTGACCGGAGCCATGATGTTTGGATCAGCGTTAGGCTTTCTTCTAGGTGGTATGGTGGCAGAGAGCTTTGGAATCAAAGCCCCATTCCGCCTAACCTTGATGTTGTTTCTCACTGCTTGCGCCTATGTGTTCGTGTGTCTGCCGCATATCCCTCCAGCAGAGACGAAAGGGTCCGAGCGGATTTCAAGCAAGGGCACTACCAACAAGAGCTTCTTCAAAAGGTTCTTCGGCCCCTTGGCCGTGTTCGCTCCACGGAAATTCATCGGGAAAGACGGCGTAATCCGCATAGAATACGGCGCTTTTCTCCTCGCTTGGGGTGTCTTTCTAGGCATCCTGGCTACAGGTAAACGGAGATCAATCCAGCTTGGAACTTATCATGCCCAAACTAACCCGGCTGCAGGATACTTACCCACGTTGCTCCAGTTATACTCGACAGACGTGTTTGGTTTCGGTACCAGAGAGAATGGCTGGTTGATATTTATGTATTCCATGCTTCGAGGTCTCTTCTTGACTTTTGCATTTCCGAAGCTCATCGCCATCGGGAGACGTTGGAGGGCTAAGAAGGAGGCGGCCGCTCGGAGCAACGCCCCATCAGCGTCCGCATTGCCCGACGAGCGGCAACCATTGCTGACTGCCGACTCGGCTCGAACAGAAGGTACTGACGATAACACTAACAACAATGCCGATGGGCACAAGAAGGAACAGACCTTCACATTCGATCTTACCTATACGAGGTTTTCGTTGATTGCCGATGGCCTCCTTACCCTTCTTTGCTCGTTTGTCCGCCAGGGATGGCAGATGTATCTGGTTGCCGCCGTTCTCCCATTTGCTGCAGGAACAGGCTCAGCTGCCAAAGGCACAGTCTTGCAGATGGTCGGAAGCTCCGCCAGCAGTAGCGAAAGGACCGACGCTTTGGCCGGAGTAAGCCTGGTCGAGAACATGGCTCGATTGTCCACGAGTAAGCATTTAACCTGGTCAATCCGAGTCAACAGATCTGAGTCTTTGCATTGCCTGCTTCTCGAAACTTGATTGAACTATGCTGACTCTTTTTCGGAATAATCTCCAGCTTTCATATTTGGTGTCATATTTGCTGCCTTTGCTGGTATCGGAAAGACCGAGCTTGTGTTCACGTGCAATGCGGTATGGAATGATCTGGCCCTGCAAGGATCGTTTGCGAGCTAGTCTTGCTAACTGGGGATTGCAGGCTGTTGCTCTCATTGGCTTCGGCGTGCTGCTGTTTGCTCGATTTCCACCTGAAGACAGTCGTCCACTGGATCACCTCGATGATTCCACCACTGAGGAGTAACGCCACATGGGCTTGCGCCCTGAACTTTCGGCCATCCCCGGCATATCCCATGGGCTGGAGGCCCTGCTATCGGGCTCTCGTTGGTGTACGGTGTCCGCGGTGCTGGTAGAGTCAGAGCTTCTTGTCGCATCCGTTGAGAACAAGTCGAGCCGCACAATGCGCCAGAAGCCTACTAGCTCGAGCATTTAAGCTAGGGGCATGCGGCTTTTGCACCATGCAACGACCATGCCGTGGTCTTGCTCGAGGCGCCGCAAGTGTCGATATCAGCACACCGACTCGGCAGCAACGACTCCCAGAAAGGACAGAGTATGGAACCAAGCTGGCGTTGGCGATACCTCAAAGAGAATCAAGCTGCGAAAGCCGTCTGCTCAAGGCTGAGCTGGGCTTGTCATCGGGAGGAGACTTCTGTGACACACTCGGGTATCTTGTCCCAGTTCGAGGCTGTAGACTCCGCCGCCCTTTTGTACAACCCTCCGAGGACGAAGCGCTGTACTACTAGGATCTCACGGACACCGTTCTCTTTTCTCGGATTTTTGTCGTGGATTGACAATGCTTCCAGACGCCGCTTGTAATTCAATTGCTGGACTTGTCAACCTGTTTTCTTACACGACGAACGGATGGACGATGGATACTGGCAATATCTGTCATTTCCGAAACCATGATTGTCTAGACGATCATTCCAGGGTTGATATTGATATACATACTAGTAACTGTATGTAGTACACTTGCACAGAGCTGAACGTTAACGAGGCCGCCAACGCGAGTCATGATACGCCCAGTATCCCTCACCGCTTGACTTGGTCGAAATCTCCAGCTGTGGAGAACGACGCAGGTACCACAGCCCAGAACGTGGCGCCATCGATCGAATCGATCACGATGGAGTGCGAGCCACATTCCTTTCCCCGGTCGATATCTCGCATGTACATTGTAGGGAGCTCGGAATCCGTGATACCAATCTTCACATCATGACATCACCATATGTTTGCGAAGCCGCACTGGCAGCGCGCGGTGCCAGTACCTGATTCGGGCATCGCTCTACAACACTACAGTCTACAATGGACAAATCCTAGGCAAAATATTCCGACCTTCTGCCCTGCCACTGCAGTGCAGTGCATCGCGACAATGTCAAGGCCCACGCGGACAGCGCCGGCGATGGCAAGAAGAATCACCCGCAGCAGCACCGGCACCACCGCCCGAAGGCAGCAATTACAAGCAGTGAAAGAGCAGCCACAGCCACCCAGCGCTGGCCCGATGGTCAAGCAGGAGAAAGAGAAAATACCATCTGCACCACCACCACCGCGCTCATCGACCCCACGAAAGCGAGCAGCCGCCGCAGCAGACAGAGAGGCTAAGAGCCGGAAGAGGATCAAGACAGAAGAGGAAGAAAACAAGTTGGCGCTTGCTACAAGTACCACCGGCAGTAGGAGTACCAGCCGAACCAACGACTCGGACGTCAACGTCAGCCCTAGGCCCGGCAGGAGAGAGATAAATACTCGCAACCCGAGTCCAAACGACCTGGACACAAAGACGAAGACGAAGAAGACGGTGACATCCTCCTCCGCCACTGGCAGCGCGGCCAAGGAGGTTTCCAAGCAACAACTCCAAACCAAAAAACTAAAATCCTACGCCCAATTCGCGAACCAATCCCCCTTCCCCGACTTCCCTCATCCAACACCAGCAGAATGCAAACTCGCCCACCGGATCCTAATTTCCCTTCACGGGCCTCGCACGCGACCCAAAGAAGTAATCGCATCCACCACCCGAGCAGGCTGCGGCGACTCGCCCTCAGTTCTCGACGCACTAGTGCGCACCATCCTGTCCCAAAACACCAGCGACGTGAACTCGACCCGGGCAAAACTCAACATGGACAAGGTCTACGGCGGCAGTGACAAATGGGAAGCCATTGCAGCCGGAGGCCAAGCGAAACTTCAAGAAGCCATCAAATCCGGTGGGCTGAGTGCCGTGAAATCAAAAGTCATTATTTCCATCTTGAACCAAGTGTATGAAAAATATGGCGTGTATTCATTGGACCATTTGCATAGTGCTTCGAGTGAGGATGCGATGCGCGAAATGTTGTCGTTTCAGGGCGTCGGCCCCAAGACCGCCAGTTGCGTTTTGTTGTTTTGTCTGCAGCGTGAGAGTTTTGCGGTTGATACTCATGTTTGGCGGATTACGGGACTTCTAGGGTGGCGGCCGAAGAGTGCTTCGAGAGATGAAACTTATGCGCATTTGGACTCGAAAATTCCGGATGAAGATAAATATGGGTTGCATATTTTGTTGGTTACGCATGGGAAACGGTGTGATGAGTGTAAGGCCGGTGGGAAGAATTTAGGTCGGTGTGAGTTGAGAAAGGCTTTTAGGAAAGCGAAAGTGGAGGGTGAAGCTGGCGACGAGGAGAAAATTGAGGAGATTGAAGAAATAAAGAAGGAGCAGAAAGAACAAAGTGGCTGACTCGAGATGTGGCTCACTGGCATTGAGAATACTTTGTGCACTCCTGGTACCTTATGCTACTCGACCTGTTTGAGAAGTCTGTGGCATTAGCGACCGATGTACAGTAAAACAATAGGCCAACACCCTGTAATCTCAAGCAGAGCACCGTCCGCAACTTTACGCTGGCCATCCCTTTCATTCTTGCTTGAGATGGGCCCGTTCGAATTGGAGCATATTGTAGTTCATTTGCTTCGAACCACCAAGGGGGAAGCACAATAATAACTTGTGATATTGATGGATATATGTAAAGGCAAGTTGAGCGTTAATATCCAACAATGTACCAAGCAGTATGCTCTTTGCCAGAACCAAAACAGTGACCAAACATGCTCCAAGTCTCTCTTCCTCGATCCAATCCGAGCCGTTCTATTTTACGCGGCTCATACTAGGATCTGCGGCCATTTCCATCTCTGGATCCGTTCGCGTGTTACGCCACGTAATGTCGTGTCTACTTAATTTCCCTTCTCTGGTGAATCTCCTCCTCAACCAGATGAGAAGCCAAACGACGCCAAAGACCACAATGATGGCAGCCGCAATGCCGAAACAGTAGCCAGTAACTTTGCCCGATCCGTTGTCCGGGTCCAGAAAGTCGTAGACGTAGAAATGCTGCGTGGCGTGCGTGAGATATGCCAGCGCCAGGTAAAGCAATAGTAAGACGATCAGACCGACCAGATGCAGAAGCGGGGGAGGGTGTGTGGCCGGAAGGAAGATTTCGAGTAGTGCGAACAGCGAATTGAGAGCATGTCGAGAGACCTAGATGAAGACCACCGGGATATGAGCATCAACGTGAACGTGCAAAACGACTGCGCCGAAACATCCATGGAGCAAAGGGAAACGAAACGGTTTCTCATAAACACATCAAAATCCTTTCGGCTTCTGGGATAGTAAACCGCCACTTACATTTGACCAACCATCAAATATCACGGGGAACCACGGTCCGTCATAAAGCACAATCCAGTACACAAGAGTGACAAGAATCGGGAGAGTCACAATCGTTGTGTAGAAGAAGGAGTGCAGTTGCTGGAGCGCCGAGGGCCAGCGGTCAAGCCAGTCCCGGCCCCTCAGGCTGTATACTAGTGTATGCACACCGGCGACAAGATAATAGAACAGAATTCCCCAGAATGTCAGGACGGTGAAGTAGCTGAACTCCCGGCCGATGTCGCGGGCGGCCGAATGCGTGCCATCGTAGATCCAGTTCGCTAGTTGGGTTGCCAGGGCGTAGCTGAAGACGAGAAGACGGAGCAATGCGAGGAGGAGAGGTGGGAGAAGCCATGAGGTGGTGAATGATCGAGTGTCAACTGGCGGAAGAGCGAAAATGGTCTTGACGCTGGTTTGGCGCATTGTGGCATTGGTCAGTGATCGGGAGGAGACTGAACTGATATTATCGATGCTGAGATTGATATTGTACTCGATACTGGTAGTAGTTGTCGTGTCTAGCGGCCATGGCTGGGTCGCTCAGCCATGCGAGGTTGTGTTTTGCGCGAAAGCCATGGTAACGATAGAAGATCAGATTGTAGAATGAATGGTGAGTCGACGGTCGTAAGAATAAGGTAGAGTTTGTCTACTACTGCCAGTGTGTGGTTCTCACTGACGAAGGCAAGGATGACGTTCAGGTTCCATTCCAAGCCCGGGGTACCAGTTGTGGTACGTACCTACAATGTACATTGTAGTAACCCAGCCTGATGTGAAGGCTTTAGGCGTGCTGGTCATGCTAGTCGGATCAGCACCTGGGTTAACGTGGAGCTATAGCAGTTAGCGCACATTATGACTTGGTGACACGCTTCAAGTGCAAGTTGGACCCTCGCACACCCGCCTCCGCCTGCGAGCGGCACTATTATCTAAGCGAAACCCCCTGCTCCCCAGCACCGCGCTAGGAAGCACCCTGCGCCCGCCCGAAACACCAGTCGAACTATGATATTTTTGGATGTCAGCAAAATCTCCAAGAACCAGTGCTACCCCCTGGGTTTTGGACCCCTAACAAATTTCCCTCGAGGTGCGCCAGTTCGCATGGAACACGCGGACGGCTTCCTCAACGCCTTTCCGGGGGATTTCTGTGTTGGCAGACTGGGATGTCCTGTCTTATACTGTAGGATGATGCAGGGGGCGCAGGTGTAGGATCACCCCGCGGCCCTTAAAATCCACGGGCCACGCCTTCTGGAATTTTTGGTGGCCAGGCGTGTCGAGAATAGCACTGGCCACTGCTTGATCCGCCGCCCGTAATTTGCGTCCGTGGCCAACCCAAAGCCTTAGGTACATGGCTAGTTCTACCGTTGTCGTCTGTGTCGGAGATATTCCACTTGCGAGCTAAAAGAAATGTGTCGCATAGTTGCACTACAACGTTGTACTACTTTACGGCTTGCAGGGCAGGAAGCAACAGAAAGCGCTGCCACTTGAACTGCAAAAGCCAGTAGTGGGGTTGTAGTTAAACTGGAGTGCATCCGGTGGGCCTGTGGCGCCCGTTTCCCTTACCAACATAGGCTGCTGGTGCCCGTAGTTTGACTTTGCGGGAGGCTAAAGAGCCGCTTCGGGCCCTAAATCCCCGCCTAGCACACGGCCACTTTAGTGCTGCGCTGGGTGCTGGGCACCTGTATCTGGCCCTCGGAGCCCTGGGTCACTGGCACCGTCACAGCTTTTCTTCCGGCCTGCATCTGCGGCTGACCCTGGTGTATGTCGGTTCCCCTGTTCGTTGCGGCTTCATCCAATACCTGATTCCTTCCACTCACTCACCCTTTCATCCTCGTTTGTATACATTGTACAATCCTTAGCACTTTCTACAGCCGTCATTCGCTCGCATCATCCTCAGGAATCGACACAGCCACATACATAGCATAGCTTATTCTTGCTGTGCTCAGGGACCGCGTCTGTCATTGTTGTCTCGCCGTCTGCGACTTTGTCCCCTGTCCTCAGCTGTCCCGTCAGCCTCCGTCGTATCTTTTCACTCGATGACTTGCAGCCTGCTATCATATTTCCGATCCTAGTGAGAGAAAGTGTGCGTGGCTACAAAATCGACTTCCAGCGCCAAAAAGCCTACGTTCTCCGGCCGACTTTCATGATCACCTCTTTGTCGTCCAACCGCGGGTCAATCAAGAAATCTACCGCGAACACAGTCGCTTGCCGTGCTTCTTCGCCACAGTTCACCCATCTGTAGGGTGAATGCCAGCGATGGCCCGCCCAAATTTTATCGAGATACCTGCCAACGACTCCTCCCGAGCCAGCAGTTCGTTGTCCAAGCATTCCCACCTCTCCCCCCGAATCCAACATTTTGACGGCGATGTACCTCCGGCGCTATCACCATTGGATGCCATTGCGGCCAGGAGTCGGAAGTTGGCCAAAGAATTGGAGGAAACCAGAAAAGCTGGGGAGAGGCGCATGAGCAGACTCCCACCTCAAGTTGTGACGGAATCCCTGACCGAACATCAAAAGACGCGTCCTCCCATCTTCCGCGCGCTATCTGATGGCCTTGACACTGTTCCGCCTCTGCCTACGATTGATAAGGACGGTCGATCAGGCAGTTTCCCCAAGCTCTCGACGCCGCTGAACAGGCCGACGTCTCAGCATGTTCGCATGAGTGCCATTTACAAACAAGAGGGACCCGGGCAGGGCAGAGAAAATGCTTCGCACGACGACTACTTTGGTGTTCCCAGAGTAGAGTCCCCTGCCCCATTAGACGGACACCGCACTTTTCTACCATCAGACGACCCAAATAGCCCGGCCTCGATTTCAGAGTTCGTGACCCAACAGATGCCAGAACAATCCCAGACCGACCGGTCTGCGACTTTGGCACCGCCCCGGTCGCATTCAGACAGATTGCGACCATATCAGGATGCCTCTGACGATGATTATGCCAGCTCCAATGCTGGATCGACGTTTTCACCCACAAGGAAACTGTCTTCTAATAGTGGAATGTCGGCACCTCACTCTCCACACTCGCCTTATAGATCTTACCATGCTCGGTCGCCTTCCAATCTCTCTCTGGAATCTCCAACGAGGTCCCATTTCACTCGCAACTTTTCTCGACCTTTGAGTTCATCCAGTATGACGAATCTTACGACTGAAAAGAGTCCATCCAAGGGTCCGTGGGCTGCTCAAATGAGTAATCTGCGGACTGCAAGCTCCTTTGACGACTCCAGGCCGCCGCAAGGATACGTCTCGGGTGAAGCATCCTCGTACACTCATGTTACATACAGCTTGCCGCGAGGTCGGAAGGTCTCGAATGGTAATGCTCTGGATTTATCGGCTCTGTCAAAGCCGCATTTTGAGTGGGAGGAACCCATGTTTCCGGGCACACCTCCCATGGAAGCGAATAACAGCAGCGAACTTGCTGTTCCCTCTCCAATGGCATCGGCAAGACCAAGCAGAGAGGAGCCGTCCAACGAGCGGTCCGGCTTTTCCTTCGAGTACGATGCGGAGCGACCACTTGCTCCGGAACATGAATCCAGACAATCTTCTACATACACCCCGACGGGTTCATTACGATCCAACGACTCGTCCGTGCAGAGGCCATCTATTGGAGATGCACCTTCTGCGGCTTACACGATCCCTCCAGTTCCATTATCACCCGTCGCAGAAGCATCCCACTCTTCTAGATCCAATAGCACTGTTCGGCCTACCACTGCCCGATCGATCAGTAACTACCAAGCACTGTCTGCGGAGGAACATGTGAATAAAGCTATCGAACTGCACGAGCATGGTGATCTGAAAGAGTCGACCTATCATTTACGAATCGCCGCGAACAAAGGCCATCCCACGGGGATGCTGTTGTACGCTCTTGCATGCCGTCATGGCTGGGGCATCAGACCGAATCAAAAGGAGGGCGTCCAATGGCTTCGCAAAGCCGTGGATTCCGCCATGCTGGAGATTGCAGACGACGAGAATCCTTCTTCCCAAAAGCCCGGCACCGATTTCAACGACAAGAAGACGCATCGCGCACAGTTTGCACTGAGTATCTACGAGCTAGGAGTTTCTCATCTCAATGGCTGGGGTATCGAGCAGGACAAAGCACTGGCTTTGCGATGCTTCGAGGTTGCTGGAAACTGGGGCGACACGGATGCTTTGACTGAGGCTGGCTTTTGCTACGCCGAGGGCATTGGGTGTAAAAAGGACTTGAAGAAGGCCGCCAAGTTCTATCGGATGGCCGAGGCCCAGGGGGTGAGCATGATTGGAAACAGCTGGTAAGGTTGTCGTGCCCTAACGTATGATTGACCGACTAACGGGTGGCTCTAGGATCCACAAAGAAAAGTACAACGACACTGATGACAGTGTAAGTCGGTCCAGGTCTTCGAAGAAGAACAACTCGGAAAAGCCACGCAGCAAATCCAAGTCACGCGGTATTTTCGGAAGGAAGAAGTCGACGACTGCTTAGACGCAGCAGCACAGAAAATGTGATATGGTTCGAGGCCTTTAATGACGACATGTTATGCTTTTGATTGAGAGTGTTATACTCTGGTAAAAGCGTCATGATTTTTTGGGGTTTGATCGAATGTGTGGACATTATTGCAATTGATCTGTTGGAACACTATCGAGGGCAAGATTGTCGGCCGATCCGGCCATCGAATCCATTGCAGTTGCATGATGGCAGATCTGTGGAGGCGGAAAAATTAATCCTTCGACTCTGGAGATTATCCTCCGTTTTGCAATATATATTCGCTCGAAGATTGGCAAAGCACGTTGCGGCTGAGACGTCTTCGGCTACATGTACAGCTTGAGTACCCTTGTTCATCTTGATCGTGCGATATAATACCACAATGTGGTGAGTGATTGGCAGATCGCGATGCCACAGCCACGTACAACGTAGGTGACAGCCTTGCAGATATCGATGACTAATGCATTACATAACACGTAAGTCACACATCGCGCCATGTTGTGAATGTAACAATGGCCACAGGCATTGCTACTACTATAGTACTCCAGTTCCCTGCCGAATCATTGGGGACTCGTGATATCTCCGCGAGGTGGGCAGAAGAACAAGAACTCCTTGGAGTCGTCACGCTAAGGTTAGGTGGTTTGCCAAAGGTCTCTGTTTTCCACACGTTCTTTTGCACTACAGTGAGCGCAGTGCAGAAACTGTACAATAACCGCCCACCACTACTTAGATTGGGCAGTGGACACACGTATTTGGGTATTTGGGTCCAGTCGACTTTTGAGGCTGTGGAAATGGACGGATCACAGGAACAGGAACAGGAGCAGGCTCAGACCAAGGCTCAGGATCAGCCTAAGACTGACGCAGAAGAGTTCCAACAGTATCGAGTCAAAAGTACCGCCTACTCCCTCACTGCATCACAGGTCCCTCGTCTCCTAGAGGCCAAATTGGGCCCTCTGATGCCCTGCTCCCTCCCACTGTACAGGAGGATCCAGTTCCATTTGAGTCGACAGCAGCAGCCGATCTTTGAGTCGTCGACCACAAAGGTCTTTGTGGCCGTTGCTGCGGATGGGGATGCGGAGGAGGATATCTCACGGTATGATGACGACGCCGAATATATCGACAAGTGGCTGGATGAGAATGAGAACAGGAGCCCTGGTCCTACTACTTCTTCTTCTTCTTCAGCTCCCTGGATCGCAGCATACATCGACCTAGAACATTACGGACAGACGCAAGTCTGGGTCTTTGCGAGCTGGGAAGATCAGCGTCAATACCAAAATCAAAATGCGCCGCTGGCTGCTGAATCTGACCAAGAAGACGACGACGACGTCAAACACACCGCCACCGACACCAGCCACGATCCTGATCCTGATCCTCGCCACAAATCCCTCATGACCGCTTTGTTCAACTACATCTACACCACTCTCATCCCGCAAATGCCCACCGAACCCAACGACGAATGGCTCGTCCTCAAACGCACGGGAAAATCACTGACGCTGCCATACTCGCGCAACAAGATTTTGTTCGGGACAATCAATACGAGACTATTACAGTGGATTCCGGAACAAGCTCGAGCTAGAATCGACGATGGGTATTTGAAATACGTTTTCACGATCAACAACAGCAATGACAACGACAAACCGCCTTCTTCCTCTTCCGATCCGTCGTCAACGTCATCATCATCAACAACCTGCTCGTCATCGTCATCGTGCCCCTCCTCCTCAGCGTCGAATACTTCGTATTCTCCGCTACCACCAGGTTACGTCTTCGGCCCGATGCGTTCAGAACACTTACAAACTGTCCTCGATCGGTCCGTGATTCCGCGGACCTTGAGGACGTTGAAACAGTTGCCTTCGGTGGGTGTTTTCATTGATCCTTCAAGTCAACCAGCAGAGTCGGGCTCGAACCGTGACCCTGAAGCTGCAGATAGTGATAGTACTGCTCGACCAGTCGCATGGGGTTTCCTCGGCAAAGACGCCAGTCTATCAAGTCTGCATACGGAACCGGAACATCGGGGGAAAGGTCTAGCTGCGAGTCTTGCTAGGGAACTTTTGAGACGAAGCGCCGGCACGAGCACGAGCACACCAATGCAGACACAGACGCAGACGCAGACTCAGACTCAACCGAGCTTGAAGATAGATCAAAAACACGAGCACAACAACTTGAACTCTTCAAATCGTGGTGGACCTGGCTCCGCAATTTACTTCGCTCACTCGGATGTGTCTGTCTCCAATAAGCAGAGTCGACGGGTCATGGAGAAGTTGGGCGGGGTGCCGATGTGGAAAGTGGCGTGGGTGGAGGCGGATTTGGGTGTGGTTTTGGAGGGTTTGGGTCGGTCATGATAGATGAGAGAGAAATGGTGATGAAGGTGATGAGAAGACGATGGTGATGATGAACAAGGCCAGATGGTGATCGATATGAGATGGAGATCACGACGAAGATTAAGACGTAAGACCGAGATCAGATACACAGAGAGATCAGATGAAGACCGACATCAAGACCAAGAGAGGTTCAAAATCATTCCGACACATACATATAAACCTAGGTAGCTGCATGTCGCATGTTGTATTGCGTATCCAAGTCTGATTAAAGACAGTGCATTCAATATCTTCTGCCAAGCTCTCTCGAAAGTTGAAAGTTCGTAGTATTTCCAATCACTCTTCCAAAACGATGGCACAACAATAACATATATTCTCTCATCCTCTCAAACAAACCGCAAAAATAGATCCATCACATGTGCCAATTCAACTTCTAACTTTGTCATAAATCATACCGGTGCTGCGTGCTGCCTTGCAGATAACAAGGTCCACCAAGATTGTCGGGCGATGAGTGTAAGGCAGTTCATGAACCGCTCACTTACAGATCCTTGCTGATAGGATAATCGCCCCCACCTTGGCCGGCCTGTTCTCTCTTGAGACGTTCCTGATGCTCAACATTGGCAATAGCAGACTGCAATGCGCTGGTCAGGTCGAGATGGAAAAAGGGCCGGTTCAAGCCGTGAACCACAACCTTCCTGCTTTGATTCCGGTTGTAAGCCTTGCTATTGCTGATCTCGCGGTGCAGATCATGACCATTGCTGGAACTTGAGGCCGCCGAATCATCCTTGTACTTCTCTTGTGACTGAAGTCCTTCGTCAGGTACGCTGCTCCTCCTCCTGTGACCTCCGTGTTCCTCATCTCCAGGGACGTGTCTCGACAGTCTTCTATTGGTCTCCTGTTCAACTGCGGCGGCGGCCGAATTGGAACCGCCAATCTCAGCCACGCTGAAGATTGGTTTCCAACGGTGCCATTCTTCGCTCTGAGCTGTTGGGTAGCCAAACCCGGCCGAAGCAAGGGCACGCTTAGTCCACCTGTTGTTGATGCAGGCAAGATGCCATTGCACGACATCAGGAGCAGCATAGCGATCCAGCTGGTTGCGTACATCGATCAGATTCTGTACACTGGTGACATCGACATTGTTGACCGAGGACAAGTCGAGAATGATGGCTTTGAGAGTAGGCAGATGAGAACGGTCAGGTTCCGATTTGCCCCTACGAGGGCCTGGGTTGTTCCATGGTCGGTCACCAGGGCGTGGCCACGAGTCCGGGTTGGTTCTTCTTGTATGATCGAAAATATACTTGACGAGGTAGTCGGTATAGTGGTTGGCATTTGGGTAGTTGAAGCCTTCACTGAACCGGTAAATAAAGATACCAGGGTAAGGCGACTCCACCTTGACCTGTGGATTGGTTCCATCATTGTGGTCCAAAGGCAGGAAGATATCTCGGACAGCAGATCCGTCATCGGGTGACTCGGGATGGTCGTGGAATTTGTCTTCAAGCAGGTGGTCGCCGATAACCGAATGGATCTGGACTTTGCCCACAAAGTGTCCCTTGGCTTTGACGACCCGGTAGAGCAATACAGCCGCACTCACACAAATGGTGGTATAGATGCCATTCTCGATTGTGGAGAAGATGGTCACAAATACACCTGCAAAGAATATAAAAACCTCAAGGGGTGAAACTCGCCAGAACTGGTAGACGGTATTGGGGGGTGTGATCAAGTCACCGACCGCGTGAATGATGACACCAGCCAGCGAAGCGTTTGGAATGTAGTAAAAGACGGCCGGCAGGGCGTAAATGGCCAAAAGGACAACAACCGCGGTAATGACACCAGCAAAAGGGGTTCGCACGCCTGCCTTGGATTTGATTGCAGTTCTCGAGAATGAGCCAGTGGCAGGGTAAGCTCCAAGGAAAGGTCCGAGCAGGTTAGTAACACCGATAGCAACAAGTTCCTGCGACGGATCGATCGTGTAGTTGTTGACCCGACCAAAGGACTTGGAAATCGCAATGTGCTCAATGAGGAGGACAATGACGGACGCAGGAAGTTCGCTCGCAAAGTAACTGATGATCTCGGTGTTGACCTTGGGCACTGCAGCATGTTTGAATCCACGGGGCACCTTTCCCAAAATCTGGAAAACGTGGTTGCTCCGATGATGTCTGTTGACGAGCCAGCTGATGAGGGTGTACAGCAGGATGACAAAGGCCGTGCGCAGAGTCGAAATGAAAAAGTACGTCTTGGCCCGGTTGGGATGCCTCTTTGCCAGCACCGTGCAGGTAATACGGATGGCATAGAGTAGGAAAAGCGCGGTCAAGCCCATGGCAGCATCGATCTTGGTATGACCAAGGTACTTCAACGTGTTGATAATGACCATATAGGTAGAATCGCGAGTGTTGAAGCCCTTGACCTTGATCCCCATCATTGTTGGAACTTGACCCGCGGCAATGTTGATAGCAGAACCAGTCATGAACGCCGAGATGGCAGTCAATGGAATAAAGTCGACGATCCAGCCGCACCGAATAAGCCCGATGAAACAGACAATGGCACCTGCGATGATTGCCAACGCAGACGCAACAACATGACCAGGCACCTCGGGATGCTCATCAGCGACCTTGTTGACGACATTACCGACAATGGTGGACATGACAGCGACAGGGCCAATGGTGATATCTTTGGAGGTGGCGAAGAACCAGTAGATCAGGACACCCATGAAAGAAGAGTAAAGGCCATACTCGGGAGAGAGCTCTGCGAGTTTGGCATAGGCCATGCTCTGCGGCACGACAACGCAACCGACGGTAATACCAGCAACAAGGTCACCCATCAACCATTGAGCGTTATACCGCAGAATCCATCGAGTGAATGGGAAAAGGTTGCGGACATACGTGCGCAATTCCGACCCTGTGGGAATAACCTCTTTGATCCAGTCGAGAGTACTCGGTTCATCCTCCACATACGTATCAGCGGTACTGACTGAATAAGTTGATTCGCCTCGTGTGACAGCATCCTTCTGTGCCTGTCGCTCGTCGAGATTGATCCGAAGAACCTTGGCCACCCCTCGGCCTATCTGGGATTTGGAGGGCGCCATCTTGCGTCTGGCCGTATCCCCAAGAGGTGCTTGGACAGCACGTCGTGGTCAGGGGACTGTCAAAAAAGGTAGAAGAGGAGGAGCGTGTAAACTCAGGCGACGCAGACGGGTACGTGATCAAGACCAAGAGACAGCGCAGACGAGGGATCCGTCGGAGAGGTCGACTGTTGGATCAGGTGGCTTTGGCGGATTGGGGGCGACTTAAGACTCGGTTGCTCGAGGCGCGTGGCTTCAGCAACTGTCCTGCCAAGGGCTGAGGAAGGACAAGCAGGGATGTTAGGGTGAACTTGGCTTGCAGAAGCACTGCCTAGTGACGGCCACAGTCTGCAAAGTCTCGCTTATGCTGACAAGGACCTCGGAGGAGAGAGGTAAGGCTGGTGAACAGCACAGATTTCGACGTAGCGAACCTGGTCAACGGGTCGCTGTTGTGATCTCAGGGAGAATGCGGCGAGGAGGGCAGGAGGAGGGAAGAAGGAAAGATATAAGATCCTCGAGATTCCCGTCGAGTGTCGTGTGCTGGGATCAAGCAGGGTCCGTAGTATTAGTGTTGTAGCATCCCCCGGGAAAAAGAAATGATGTCGTCGTAGAAGCAGCAGAGTATGTGGATAGCCAGCCGGACGACAATCACTTGCCAATTCTAGCTCCGCGCCCGAACTGCAAGCTTAACGAGCGAGATCTGGATGGAGCAGAGAATCTAGATGGAAGAAGAGGAACGATGGCGCGATGAGAGAGAGAATTTCTCCCATCGAGGCGGTTCTGGAGCCATGATGAAATGAAGGGGACGAGGCGAGTGGAATGGCGATGGTGCAATCGAAGGCGTGCTCCATCGAGCGACCGACACAGGAGACCAGTCATGTCAGCCTCACCGGGTCCTGCGCACCCATGGAGAGCTGTGACAGCAACATGGCTTCAGGATGCGAAAGGTCAAGCATCCGTCATTCTATCACATCGCTTCATCAAGTTGTTGCTCGTGGCTGGTGGTAGTGTTGATGCAGCTGCGCAGGCATCTCGGTTGTGCCCCTCTACTAAGATACTCGGCGACCAGCGCCAACCCTTCCTAAGCAACGGATTGCTCGACTACGAATACTACAGGTACTCACGCGACAGTATCGCAAAATGGGAAATCTGTTGTACGTATCATTGGATTCTGAAGCATGGCATTGGTGTTGCAGCGTCTCAACTGGGACGCTTCTGCTGTGGTTCTGCGCTTGATCTTCACCGCGATGCAGCGGGAGACAGACGCGAGCCTGAAATCTCAGGGTCCAAACTTCAACCTCTGGAGTGCACAGACTTTCAACGGTTGAGCTGCCCGTGGCACGGCTGGAGCCCACGAGTCCTTCCACGTAACGCGCTACGTACGCTGTACAACTACTTCAACTTGTCTTGTACCGCTCGGTTTTCTACTCCTGTCCGTACCAACCTCCTTCGCGGATCGTTGAAAACTGCAGCCTTGCTCTCACCTTGCCTGCCGACCGCAGGCTATGCTCATACTGTCCCATACAAGATAGTAGTAACAGACCACTGCAAGCCTCAAAATGGACTGGGATGAGCTCTCTCCCTATCTGGCTCCATCTTCCACAACGGCCGTCGTCGTCACGATCAGATTTTTCTTCCCGCCCTTACATCTTCAACCCTGAAAAGGACCGACCGGCGACCTCCCATATTTGGATTGGAAACCCGCCGTCTGGCGCATCATGTTCTCTTGACAAGAGTCTTGGATAGCAAAATCACAAACTGTTACAGGATCAAAATGGCGTGCTTGTGGCCCCTGTCGTGGAGATCCACTGTAGCCTCGTCTATGTCTGGCCGATCAGGGAGCTCAAAGCTTTGGTGCCGGCTTGACTCTGCCAGGGCCCGTCGATGCCCAGCCTGTCAGAATTCGTCGCTGGCCCGCGCTATGAAGCGAGTGACGGCAAATGATGGTCCCGGAAAATGGGCTTGGGATCCTATCATCACCACTACCAACTGAGCATCCCTGCCCAGCCAATGCTCTGGTGCTCCAGTCCGAACGTTGATTGCTGACGTGATTAGCACCATAATTTGCTCTTTCCTCAAACGGGCTGGCTGGCTTCAAGCCTCCCTACTGTACCTACAGTACACCTCGTCTTCCATCATCTCACAAAGTACGTGATGGTATTATGCTATCATGCAGCACTGAAGACGACCTCATTATGTGCCGCGGAGGTACTGTTTGGTGCAATCTCCTTGATCGTCCATACTGCTACAAATCGAGCGATCTAGCCGACGCCACAGGCGAGAACAAAGATCGTCTGATGAGCCATACCCGTCTTCAGGGTACAGACATGGACGCATGGGATTCTATCGCAACTTGAGGTTGGTGGGCGGGCAGAAGCGCTTGATCGCACATGATAGTCTATCTGCCGTTTCAGCTACCCTTGGACGTCTGTGGTCACCTCCAAGGTAGCAGAAGTGAGCTCCTCGAAAGGGGAGATGAACTTGAAGAAATTAATTGTAACAGGAACATGATTGAACCACTCGAGAGGAGATAATAGAGGTCCTGTTTGAAGCCAGCATCCACTGGAGAATGAAGGAGCTTCCGCCGATGACTCGGGCGAAGCCTTTCTCCCAACCCTGCCTTAGTGTCAGGTAAGTCTTCGGCTTCAGATGATGCTTCTGCCACGCAGCCGGGCAGCCGTCCTATGGCCATTATTTCGATCTTCTGGCGCATCTCATAGCCAGTGCTGGCGACTCGAGAGTCGCCTACGTCAAGCCCACCAATCTTTTTCCGAAGACGACATCGTGGTTCAGCTCTTGATGCTTCCGATCATCCCAAGTTGACCCCAGTCGCACTCTTGCGTGATCACCTCCCGTTGGACATAAATCATTTTACGCATATTCGGGGCGGTAGTACTTGTTGTCATCGTGGCTCGAGGCGCGTCCACCATTGCTGCTATACCTCAGTCTTCTCGGTACACGACACATCACCCTCCGCCCGGTCTGCGGGTGGCGAGCTCGTGATCTGATTCGAAAATGTCGATTCGAATGCAGGAACGGATCTTCCAAATAGATCATCGATGGCATTCGGTTATTCCGCACAAGCGAAAAGATGCTGATCTTCCAGCTCCAAAAACCATCAGTGCTAAGTATGGCACCATTCCCTTACTCCTCCCATTCCATGTCATTGTCGGGTAGGCGTATGATGTACATTGCATTCCAAGTACCGATCGAAGGTCCTGCTTGAGCAGAGCCCGAAAGATCTCGATACCACAAGCCAGTTCTTTCTATTGTTCTTCTTTTTTTCGATTCCTAGAAATCAACCAGCATGTAAAATGGCCACTCGATGGGCATCACAAGGTAAGAGTAAGGTTCGACAACACAACAGCCTCAAGAAACAGATATCTACATTTCATGCGGGACATGCAAGATAGTGAACCGATGGCTTGTGGGAGACGACGACCTTCTCAGCTTTATGGCCGAGGATGGTCTTTTCGTTTTACCTAAGGTTCTTGGATCCTATTCTCACGCTGGCATGACAGCAAATGGCAGTTGATTATCATTTTCCGCCCTGATGCTGGGATCGAAAGAACTCAACACCCTGGCACAGCGGTCCGGCCACTATTGTCGAATGAGCCGAGCTACAACAAGATGCGGTCGATCATATGTCTACATACTACCACCGTACAAATTCTTTCTTACAGTGCGTGCTAGAGTATCATGTCTCTAAGGTACGCAAATTACCATCCATCGGCATCGGATATACTTCTGCCGTGGAGGTGGATTGGATAATCCATGCTCCTACCTATCCTCCTCTACCCATTTGATACCTGTTTCAGTGTCCATGGAATAAACACTTACAGTGCCTGCCTACGGGGACTTGGATGTTATCTACATCTCCTAAGGTAGCTGGAGCTGTTAAGACCAGTATCACAATGGGCCAGTACTAGTAATACCAGTACTTTCACTGGCAGCACGGAAGTGTTGTTGACTATCATTCGCTACCGCAACAACTACTGGTACAGCAACCACCCTGACTGCCACTACTTGCTTTCTATAGACACAGGTGCGATCCGTCACGGACTAGATATTCCCCTTTACTCGTGAAGAATGCCAGTCGCGGCTATTACAGTGGTGACGCGCAGAGGATCGAGAAACAAGAGGAAGCATGATTTGGAACCAGTAATGCCAATGCAAAGACAATAAGAACTGCCCATTTAATCACTGCATGACCAGGCTCCCGTACCGCAAAGGTACGACTGCCCAGGTTTAACCGTCGTTCGTCAGTTCGTTCCATCAATTCATAGATCGAAGCAGACCAGTCTATCCCATGCGAATCAAAAATCAAGGCTTCCGCGAGCAAAAGCAATAGCTGTCGATTGTCTATGCCCTTTTACGCACTGAGACACATTTTCGCGTTGGTATCAGCCAGGCAGGCCGATGAGCCAGGCCTCGCGCGTAACCATGTTGTATGGAAGATTTAACACAGGTCCGACTCCACGACAAGACCATAGCAAAAACGCCGGATGAGATGAACCTTGCCGATCCTGAAATAACGCCGATCACGATGCTGAGTTCCCCAATTGGTCGATGATGAATGATGAGGTGATTCCATGTAGAATGAAACCTGAAGGACATCATACCCCACGCTTGCTAATGCTGTTCGCAAGAAAGCTCGAAGCCCATTAGCACAGCATACTTTCAAGTCATCCCGGTCACATTTGTCAAAGCTTGCCGGTTCGTGCTTCGTGTCTTCTGCGCTTCGTTTCACATGCCGTCATCGAGCAGATGATCTGCACGCGTTTCTCCTTGTTTACTGCGATGCACATTGTACCCGCTCTGCACCCTGCGGAACGTCATCGTCGTCTTCGTCGAGATGGGCCCCGTGGGCACGTGCATGTTGACGAGCGTCGACTTCGTTCATTTCAAAGTCCTCGACCATTGAATCCGGCGGTGGCAGCTTCTGTTGCATGCGCGGCGGCAGGACCGATTCGAGCAGGTGGATGTTCTGGAGTTCAGTCTTATCCGGGAACTTGACGTCGAACTGGACATAGAGATCGCCGAAGTCGTGATGTCTGTACGTCGGCATACCTTGTCCCTTGATCACCTTGACCATGCCTGGTTGACACAGTCAGCTGAGTCCCTGCAAAGAGCACCTCTACTGGGGTTGTCGGTAGGAAGAAACTTACCAGGAGTAATTGGGTCGCCCGCCGGGATGTTGACGGTGATCCACCGGTCATCAAGATGCTCGATGAAGATCTGACCGCCCGCCAGTGCTGTCAACAGATCAATCTCGGCGTGGTAGAACAAATCGTCGTCCCTGCGCTGGAATCTGGGATGCGGCTTCTGCTCGATCTCAAACACCACATCACCTGGGAGCACGCCGGGCATTTGATCACCCTCGCCGCGGAATTCGACCTTATGCCCGCTCTTGACACCACGGTCGACGTGCACATGAAGGACCTTACGCTCCACAATCGTCTTCTTGCCCATACACCGCTTGCAGCGATCACGCTCACGCAAGATCTCGCCTTCTCCTTGGCAGTCAGGGCAGATAGTCTGGAACCGTTGGATCATAGGGCCCATTTGACGCATCATGGTCTTCATGCCGGCACCATTACAACCGGTGCAAGTCTTGACTGCACCCTCCTTGCCGCCACGGCCTTCACAGGCTGGACAAATGACTGATTTTTGCAGGGCCAATTTGGAAACCTTGCCACGGTAGATGTCTTCCAGGGAGACCTTGTGAACATGGTGAATGGTCCTGGCCTTCTTTGGGCCGGTATCACGCATACCACCTCCAAACATGCCGCCAAATCCACCGCCGCCGCCAAAGAATTGTGCAAAGAGATCTTCAGCGGCCATACCGCCGCCCATGCCACTTTGCTCTAGTCCCTCCTCGCCATATTGGTCGTAGATTGCTCGTTTTTGAGGATCAGAGAGCACCTCATAGGCTTTGGAAAGTTCCTTGAACTTCTCGGCAGCTTCTGGGTTGTGGGCATTCTTGTCTGTCGGCGGAGTCAGTGACTGACCGAAAAAGGCTCGAGCCGTGGACACCGTTGAAAGTGCTTACCTGGGTGGTGTTTGAGCGCGCCCTTCTTGTAGGCTGACTTCAGCTGGGCTTCTGAAGCAGAGGGGTCCACCTGAGTGACAAGTCAGTCGCTTGCAGTGCATGTCATGTGGTGCAATAAGACTCACGCCTAAGATCTCGTAGAGTTTTGTATCTTTTACCATATTGAACGTCTGGTTCTACAACTGTCGCAACGACACCCAGGAAGTAGTTGGAGTGTTGGTCAAGAGAGGACTCGTAGTTTTGTTGAAGATGCAGGGTCGCAGAGGGAGGTTGGAGTCTCGGGAATGGACGCGGCTGTCGAACTAGTAGTGAACGGCAAAAGGTGGGCGTCTACTGCGACCGAGGAGAGGCGACGTAAGAAGTGGAGGGTGGGAGAGAGGGATGGATGATAGGTGAGATGATGAGCGCAGTTGGTCGGAGGAAGTGATTGCACAGGCAAACAGTGAGAATAATGAGGATGGTTTCTGGTCTCTCTCTTCTGCAACCTGCGTCAGGAAAGTGAATGTGGTTGAGAACCAAGTTCAAGTTGTGAACGGGAAGTCAAAGTCATGGATTATTTGATCGCGGTTGGTTTTCCTCTACTACATTACGATGATTATTATGGGGGAGCGCTAGCATTATTACTGCTGCTAGCACTGGCGGGCAACAGACCCTGAACTGCCCTGAACCGCCCAAGCGCAGGGCAAAAAAGGGCTGCACCGTCGCCAAGCCCCGTCCGAGTCTTCGATGCGTTTCTATCCACGACCATCGCCGCCAGCCTCACTTCCCGCCTGCCAGCCCTGCTCTTCTGCCATGTTCGTCCGACGTCTACGGGCATCGGTCGCCCGCAGGAACTGTTTCTGTTTGTGCCTATATCCATCCATCCATACTACAGGAAGGAGAACAGCTGTTTGTTGTGCAGAACCCCATCAACTCCTTGCGTTCATATACATAGTAATAATGTATATCTACCTAAGTATAGAAGATGATTATTATGCAGCACAAGCGCATCCTCGGCATCGGCGCCATTCTTCGCACAGACGCTCCATCTCCGGCCCTCTGGACCCTCTCGATCTGAAAACATGACTGCATCTCATCGTTGGTTGTTAGATCCGGAGGTGGAGTGAGATTGCACCGAGTGCCGATTGATGACAAAGCACTGCCAGTTGAGTGCTTATCGCGCGGTCTTATCGTTCTTATCATTGATTCTTATCGCTCTCAGGCTGCAGTTGGCGCCCTTCCTACGGTAAAGTAAGTAATGCAGTGTGCCTCATGGCAACACTGCTTAGGTAACTGACATAATTACACTCGGCAGCACCCGTGTTATTATGATTACTCGTCAAGCTTTCACAGCCTGAAGCAACCCATTGAAGATGCCAAAGTGCAAGGCTGACTCCATGGTTGCTCTATTTTGGGCTACAGGGCCTTTGTGTGCTAGTGCTTTCCTGCCCTGTGATGCCTTGTCCTTTGCGCCTTCTTTTCACGGTGCTGCTGAGCTACTACAGGGTCACACTTCAACTGGAGGAGCTGGCATGAAGGCTTCAATCGTGGCTCAGCACTGGCAGGTCACAACTTGTCAATTGATTGCGAGTCATAGAGTAAGTTCATTCCATCAGAAGAGCCTGTCAAAACCGCGATGGATGTCATTTGATATTCTCTACCATCTGCACTCTATCCCCTTTCCAGCTGAACTTTGAGCGCCCACTAAACCATTCCACTACCTGCACCTGGTCCTCCCGTGGCTTGCATGAGTATCATCCCGTTCCTCGACGAAACTCTGGCGACTCCATCATAGACACGCCTCCAGTTCAAAAACTTGGTCCCGGCGGGCGTTTACTGAAAAATCGTCAGCCAGCGATCGCTTCCCCCATTGGAGCACTAACTGCGCTCATGTCTCGCAGTGAGATACGCGCCCTGGCATATGGAAATGAGGGCGGCAATGGCCATGAAAATGCCAAAGACAAGACTCAATACGGCCTCCAGCGGGATGGCCATGATGGGTTGACACGGTATTTTGAGTGGTGTTATAACCTGCAGCAAGATGACAGAATCTGCCTTGCAAAAGCGCGGTTTGTAACTATACTTTAGGAACAAGAAGGGTCTGGTACGAGCCGATTTCGCTTTTCGTCAAGTGAAACCTCCGCCAAATGGTCGAGTAGCTTAAAAGATGCTCAGAGCATGAGGTATATCGGTACAGCTTTATATCTGGGTTGAACGACTTCTGGCCCGTGACGGTCTGCTCTTTGCAAGCTATCCACCATGCAGTGCCCCTCTGCTTGAACCGCTTGCGCCCTAGTATGCCCAGTGAGCTCGGGGTTGCTGGGGTGCTGCTTGTATGAACTGCGGCCTTTCGCTCTTTGACTCCAGGTTCCTCGGTTCCTCGCAATCGATTGCAACTTGTGTCCCTGGGAAGGGGCTGGAAGATACTTATGAGCTCTAGCTACTTATGGCGGCACGGGCAACTTTGGTCCTCGACAACTTTGGTCCTGACCATTAGCGATGATGTCGCTATGCTACGACATGCCGGCAAGTGGAGCCGCGCGCTATGCAGGAGAGGTTATGACTTGTGTGTGCGGTGATGTGACGAGTTCTCAAACATGCATGCGTACATGTAGCATTTGGCTCGTCTGGGGCTGGAACACTTATGTCTACGTGAACTCTGGACCGCATTCACGACAGGCAACTTTTGTCCCCTGCAGGCGAGCACACTCTGCATCCGCGCCCGGCTAGCACCACTGTTGACCTACTAGCTTCCAACTCTCGCCTGAAGGAAGACACTGCCTACAGATGGGCCGCGGGATGCCTGATACGACTGGCTCCATGTCACCATCAGGCTGAAAACTTTGGTACCGCCAACCCACTCGCCCTACTTGCACTACACCCACTCTTTGCATGCGAACGGAAACGAGCCCATATATTTCTTAAGGGGTGCTTGCTGAGACTGAGATTGAGTTTTCAATTTCCCCGGTTTACAGGTTCTCTATTCTTTCCAGTCTTCTGATATGGCACTTGCATTGTCCCAACGAACACTCCCCATTCCGCAACGCCTATGGCAGTTGCACAAGCCTCTAATTCAGCGACTTTATCTCATTTCATCACTAGATGAAGTCAGAGCTATAATGGAAGCAGAGCACAACTTCGTGGCTACTCCTCAACAGTACAAGCGAATGATCGCCAAGTGGGGCGTGCGAAAGTACGTCAAGGCCGACGAAATGGAAAAATTGCTGGAGTGCCCTTCTGCCAACCCTGTGGTGCGTGGAAACAAGGTCGTCTCTGCCCGGCAAATGCGGCGGTTCCTTCGCAGGAAGGAGGCTAAGCGCTGTCGAGAGCCGTCATCATCTCAGTGTGACAGTCCCCCTCAATCGACCTGTCCGGTTTCCTCATCATGCAAACCCTTGGGGAGGGCTGAGGTCGGATCGCAAGCTACCGTTGTTACGCACCAGGACGATAGTGAAGGTCCGTACCAATCAGCACTACTCCATGCGTGGGACGCTGAACAGGACACAGCTGGTACTTTTCAACAGAACACTCTTTGCATTGACACGAAATGTTCTGCCCTCATGAGATTGGTATGGTACTTTTTGGCGTTGGGTTTTCCATTGTATTGATGTCGAATCAGGCTGTAAAGATGGTCCTGAATGGACACCAATCCAATATCCGAGAGTACATTGGGTGTCTGTTGGGTGATAACGGCCCATGGGACAAGTCGACTCGGAGCTCGTTCTCAGGTGAAAGAATCCTTTGCCTGTGGTTGCCAGATTCCCTGATTCCACCCGGCTGCGACGATGACCTATGGCCTAAGTTGGTGTTGCCCATAACTCCCGAGGAGCTCACCAGCGGTTTTCTTACTGTGAAGTGGGAAACTATCTCACTAGCTTGTTTCTATCTACAATTTGGGTCGAAAGTCCATTATTCCGGCATGACCTATGGCCCTGTCTTGGATGGTTTACACCTGCCTCCTATCGTTCATGCACATGCTCTCATATGTGCCGCTCTTGTCCACGCCGCACGCTGTGAGTCCTTTGCTTCTCCGGCTACTGATAGTCGACTTGATCGTTATGTTGACCCTGCCAATCAGACACTCAGCCAAACGGTCCACAGCCGCTTAGCATGAAGGATGCCCTCTGCACGGTCAAGCTGTTCACACCCGACTCGGAATTGTTAAACAGCCAATATGATGAGTTCGTTATTGAATTGGGTTTGACCGCTGTAAATCGATTGAGATTTCTCTTCCCCCTACCCCGAGGACGGCGTCACCGTTGGCACAGCGTGCTTGACCGAGATATCACGCGGTATTTGCGCACAACCCAGGGCACCAGTTGGCCGGTCTAAGCATGGCGGTATGCCGGCCGAAGCAGGAGCATTACTAGATGTCTCAGCAGGTCCGGGAGCTCTACAAGACCTCCCCCGCCGTGTCAGTTATGACTGTTCAGGATCACCCATTAGATATCATGTTAACATCGTCTCGAATGTGGAATTGTCTTTGAATTTCTGTATAAGCAGCCCTAGAGAATGTGACTTTATGAACTGCAGAGAACGGAGCACAACACCTTGTACTGACGTTGAACCATTGACTCAATGTGCAACCATCATCAAAGATTCAAGGCTGGCTGGCAAGCTGCTTTTTCAACGATCGACCATCGCTGTGATCTCGACCTGATATAAGGATTCTTTCGCGATTGATTCAGACGACCAACTTGAACATGCTTGGGGGGCCGCTCTCTCGACCGGTCTCTGTAAAGTAAATTTGTCAAGCAAACATGGCATTCTACTGTTTCTTCACCGCCAGCCTTGCAATCTATTTTAGACCGACTGCAGTGTCTAGTACGACAAATCTGACACTCTGCCAGGATTGGGCAAAATATCGACACCCATAGAAAAGGATACTATCATCGGTCACCCCCAGCTTTGGACAGGACCACAAAACATAAATCAAGCTGCAACTTTGGCCGACGCTAAGATCCCTCCTTGCTACGCTTTCGGAATTCCCGAGAGGCAAAAGAACAACACGACCTCATCAGATATACATAGTAAACAATCAGCAAATCAATAGGCCTGTATTCCTTTTTCTCTTTTGCTCCCACCCCCTTTCCCTCCCTCTCTTTTTTCCTGTGTTGGTATGGGTGGGTGTGGTACTTCCTTCAGGCATCGCAGTCCTTGTTTCTTCTTTTCGTCAAGAGGTATCTCCTTCCGAAACAGGTCGAAACCTCAGCATGAGCCGATTACTCGTCGGTCTAATAGTGTAAGCGTCGATCTCATGGATATCCTTGTCATCGACAATCTCCGTGGTCCAATTTGTGTACAGGGCCGCAGTGAGCAATTTGATTTCTTGAGTTGCCAAGTTGCTGCCGATGCACATGCGGCCGCCGGACCCGAAGGCCCAGAACCAGCGATGCATTTCTTTGAGATGGTCTGCAGCAGCGTCTGCAGTAGTGTTGTTGGTGTTCGTGGCCGCAAGCCATCGTTCAGGTTTCCACGTCTCCGGGTCCGGAAACACTTCGGGGTTCCGGTGCAGTGTGTACGGCATGGCTGAGACACGCACACCACCTGGGATATTGGAGTAGGAACCTAATGTATTATTTCCAGCAGGGGAGATGCGTGGCTCCATGCCTGGAATGGGCGCGTGGAGACGGAGTGTCTCCATGACGATGGCGTGTAGGAGTGGTAGGGCGTCGATCTGTTTTGGATCTGGAAGGTCGAATGATGATTCAGCTTCAGAATCAGATTGTGGTGGTGATGGTGGCCAGACAATCTTCGGAGTCAACGTGAGCAATTCCTCACGAAGCCGTTTCTGCAAATCAGGCTTCTTGCTCAGTTCCCAGTACAGATAAGTCAAGGCGACGGCGGAAGTTTCGTGGCCTGCGCCAAGATGGTCGAGCATTTCGCTGTAGATTTCGGCTTGGGTGGTACCGGTAGTGTTATTAGTGGCATCTGCATCTTCTCCTCGCGTCGAGGGCATCGTCACTTGGTCTTCGGCGTCTTTGCCTGCCAGGGGATCTTTTTTGCGGAGATTTGTGATGCCTGTGCTGAATTGCTTGTAGACGATTGGTTCGTCGCCTGGATAAGAAGAAGAGCGGTCTGCGTTGTTGCTACTGGTTGCTAGTTGTAGGTACTTCTCGGCTCCGTCGCACATGCTGGCGTTCCAGTTCTCGAGATTGACGTTGGCGTCGTCAACGAACTGCGGAACCACGGGACACCCGAGCTTGCGCGTTAGTGATTTCAGCCACGGCACTTCCATGGAGAAGAACTCGTACTCCCGCCGACAGTGGTAGTCGTTTAGAATCCGCTTGCGAGCCCCCACGTCCTGGATGAAGTTGGTCGACGCCTTCAGTCCGAACAGGTACGCTGAGATAAAGTCCATGGCGCACGCGTTGTTCAGGTCGTGCGCGTTCACGGCCTCGCCGGTGTGGGATACACTTTCGATCAGTGGGAGGAGTCGTTTGCCCAAGAGAATGCGTGAGTTGGCGGCGATCTGGGGGGCCGAGGCGACGTACGTCTTGCTGTAGACGTTGGCCATGGTCCGTTTCTTCTGTGAGTGTGGGAGGTGGTGGATCGTGGAGAACATGTTCATGACGCTGGGAGGCCGTTGTTAGTCACGAGCATCCAGTATTGGGACCATAGGTATCATCATTGGAGTGGAAAACTTCAGGCAAATTGTCGAATTCGATTCAACATAGTACTTTGAGGTAGAGAATAGGCGGGTATTGGGTTAGTGTTAAGTTGAGGCTTACCCATAAGATCCAAATCGCTGTGGATACCACGCATGCTTCTCCCATCCGCCAGCGTAGACGGTTTTGATGCCGTTGTCCACGCAGTTGATACTTAGCTCGTTCGCGCCCATCCGCACCACGCTGCCGTGTTTGAGATGCGCCGCGTACGTGACGGCATTATTCCTCGATCGATATCGCTGGTATGTGATCCACAGGTCGCCAAATATGGGAATTGACCAGTGAGCTGGAGGAATGTGCCGCAGCGGGTGGAAAAATAGCGGATGGACAATGTACTTGTACAACGACAGGAGTGCCACCGCGGTCAAGGCTATCACCGGGAACAGAGGGACAGCCATGGCGAACGAGCAGAGTCTTGACTGTGTGTAATAAAACAATCAATCAAACGCCCCAGGCCTCCTTGGTCGAAGTTGTGATTTAGAGACAGGCAGACCTAGAGGTAACAGGCCGGAGGATACTCTTCACCAAACAAGTGAATTCGGCGCTCCGCCGACCTTGGCTCTCGGGCAAGAAACTGTTACGTTGATGTTTTTGAGTGTGGTGGAGCGAGGCTGTCGGTCTCGGGAGTGTGCGGGGAAAGATAAGGATATTTATTGCAGTGTACATACAGTATAGGTAACGAGAACTGATGTTTTCTGCTTCACTTTGACCGCAAAGACGAACCTTTGCTATAATGTTTTTTTTTATATTGCTATGCTTATAACAAAGCAGCAAAAGTTGGGCGAAGACGGGCAGAACAAGCCCATAGATTGTGACTCAACCGTGGAGTTCATCTGAGAAAATGATGGGGAATGGATGGACCTGAGTCGCGGAACTCCGTACCCCCGGGGTGTGGAAGCCATTTCCAACGTGCCAGAATCCGCCTTGTTATGATTGGCTCGACAAAGAAGGGCTCAGAGATCCCATGCAGCATAATACTGAAGAGAGGCTTCAGGCACCAGAGGAAGCTCGAGACTGTTACCTTGACCGCAACGGGTTTCTTGGATAGCTTGATGGGCGGAAATCCGCGGCGTATATATATTCGTCAAGTCCAACAGGCCGTGTCCTCAAGAGAACGAACCGAAATCACCGTGGTCTTGTTCCTGACGTTTTATGATGTTGCCTCTTCAAAAGAACCATGGGATGCAGTGTAAAGTATTGTTACTGTACTTTTCCCGGTACCTGGGTAGTTGACAAGGCTGTGGTTGCTACGATTTCCGGAGAGCAAGGCTGTGTCTTGGCGGGAAAAGGCCGGTCCAAGTTGTCACCCTTTCAGAGTAATACGCGATTGATGCGCTCCTGGTTCGCTCGACTACTGGTAATGGTGAACAATGCTCTCCAATCGTCGTATCATCCCTAGTTCAATAGCTCGGCCATGCCTACTATGTCAAAGTCATCAGTCATGCAGAGTCATCTTTCTGCTTTCCTTTGCCGTGCCGCTGCTGTGCCTCGTCGTCCTCGCTGCTCGAAATGTCATCTTCCTCGTCATCAAAACCAGCAAAACGCCTGATGGGTTGTTTGGGCTTTGGCAGAAGATGAGACGGTATGTTGAGCTTATGTTGCAAAACCCAGATCGCGTCTGCATCTCCAGCCTCGGCTTCCATTCTCAACCGGGCCATTTCGTCCTCGTCCAACTCCATCAGGTCTTCTGCATCGCTGTCGTCTCCGCTCCCAGTGGCAGAACCTCCGCTCCCAGTGGCAGAACCTCCGCTCCCAGTGGCAGAACCTCCGCTCCCACTGCTTTCTGCATCTTGTGTTGAGAGCTCCGCGTGTTTCTCCTGCCCCTGCTCAGCCAACATGGCCGCCTTCACTGCATTCCTAACGTTTTCCCCGACCTCCTCCTTTTCTTCAACCCATTCATCGCTGAGCCCTTTTCGTCGACCGTCGGGACCTTTTCCGGCTCGCATATCGGCCTCCCTCTGCTCGGCCAACTCAATTATCTGTTCCCATCGCTTGCGCCGCTCCTCCTTTTCTTTCCGATCCATCTCCGGCTTGGTGGCAAGATATGTGGCCAGGTTCTTGGCCTCGGTGATCGTCCGCAGCCTCCGACCATCCAGGTTACGAGCACTGCCGGTGGCAAGTTCTGCATTCTGGCGCTTCTTTCGCGAAGACATGCGCCCTCCTGCAGCCCTGAGCTGAGATCCAAAACCACCCTTTCCGCCGATTAACGAGGCAGAAAGGCGGAGGGGAAGGATTGCAGTGCTGGAGGTCTGGCGACATGATGATGACGCGCTGAGATCGGCGACTGTGGTAGTAGAGGATGCATAGATCGGTCGGTTCGACGTGGAGGTAATTACAAGACGGTTGCTTTGTAGGAGACTTGAAGGCAGGAGGGCAGCAATAGTATCTAAGAGCTCCGCGGCAGTGCATGAGGCTGGCAGAGGCAGGCAAACCGTAGGTGGGAGCGACAAGCCGGGAAAAGAATCCAACAGAACATTGACGATGGGCTGCATGTTGGATTTGAACTGCGAAACAGCAGGACGAAAAGGCCGGAAGGAGTGGCTCTCAGCTAATGTAGTAGTTCCAGAAAAGCCACAGTAATGCTAGAGGATGGAAAAGTCGTTTGATCACTTTTGAACTGAGGTTGAAGTTGAAGTAGAAATGCAGTGCAGCCTCATCAGGTTCTGGACTGCGGCGATGAAGCTAGACCGGATTGGTGATGGGCACAGGATATTGGCGCTAACCGGATATGGACTCACGCAGTTCGTCCAAGTTCATTGACCAGCTTCTCACTTCCCTGTCGCGTCTTCCAAATGTTCGCACGGGATTCTTTATTCACAGAACTCTATTAAACGTACGACTCTTGTTACTGACTGGACATCTGACAGATTCTGGCTTCCCAAGACAATCGCGGCCATCCTTTGAAGCTCATGAATGTCCAGACGGCAAGTCGGCGCACTGACCCCGGACGCGCTCCACACAAGATCGTCCCATTGAAGGGGACCGACGGCTACTGCCACCGCCTGTCGAATAAGTCGACCAGGCTGTGACCACATTCCAACGGCCATAACCGACACCGCGGCGTTGAACCACACTGCAGACTAGAGAGTTTCAGCCTCCTCTATCATGCCCTGGCGGCCACTGCCTCTCTCCTATGCGGTAGCCATCTATCCTTTTCAGCCATTAGCTGCCTCTCCAGCCGAGCTACCTCTTCAAATCGGGGACCAACTGTATGTCATCGAGCAAGGAGGCAAGAATGGCGCCTGGTGCCGGGGCTATCTCGTGGCGCCGCCGTCGTTGTTGTCTGCCTTGAGCCCGGGCGCGAGAACCCCTGCCGATGCCCGGGTGTTCTCTGGCATCTTTCCCAAGTGTTGTATTGAGATTCGAGAGCAACTCGGTCCAGATGTAGCCCCCGTGCTTCAACCGGGGCAGGCTAAGCCTCCTGCCCCTGTGCCGATGTTGAAGATTGGGGATGACTCGCCAACTTCCTCAGCCGAACCTCTGGTGGACGAAATTGCTTCTTGTCTTCGAGAGTGGTACATCCTCCACTTACCGGAAGTGGTACTACGCCGCGATTATCGTCTACTTGACCAAATGTCCGAAATCACCAACCGTCTGGACTATGCTCGGCGCGAATTGCTCAACGATGTCCTCACCAGACAGGAGCGAGTGCGGGTCCGCGAGAATGCTGTTTGGGATTTGGTTCGGGGGAATAAGATGTTGAGCGGAGAAGTCATTGTCCGAAACCCCGCCAAGCAGGGTAGAATGTTGACTTCACAAGACTCGGCCATTGAAGTCTCCAAGCTACAGTCGATCATGAGCGTCCTCGATTCCCAACCCACCGAGAAATCCAAAGCCACCTCTCTCCACCATTGTCTGGTAGAGGTCAAATCGGTGCTAGGCTCAGAATTGGACGAGACGACGCTCAGTATGACCCTTTATGAGAGAACCGCCGAGGGCGCCTTGGTGCCGTTTTCAGAAACTTACAGCTCGGTGGCCCCCGGCAAGCTGAAGACTCTTCTGTCTGACCTCAGCACCAGAGATGTGGCGGACAATGGTCGCTTATTCCTAGTCATCAAGGTTATCGTCCCCGAGGCTCCTCGCAAACCGAAAAGACGGGTTTCAGAACGGCCACCGTCAAGGAACGGGACACTGCTTGGACAGAGACAGCTGTCACTTAATCGGAGACGGTCAAGTCTGATGTTTGGCAGGAAAAAGAATGCTGAAAAGACACAGTCTAGTCAAAATGGCCGGTTGACGCCAGCCGTGCACGAAAGGGCTTCCACCCCATCCATCATCGAAGAGGAGGAAGAAGGGGCCCCCTCAGTCGCTGGGCCTCCCGTACCTCGCACGATAGCCGTTGGAGTCCTGGATGTCGACAAGATTGTTAGGGAGGGGGAACCGCGAGAGGAGAGCGTTACCATATGGTCTGTTCCAGAGCGGGAAGATGAGAGACCACGACAGTCAGATCCCAGGCTCATCCAGCTATTGGATAATGCAAATAAAGCCCTTGTGGTGTCCAGCCGAGTGTCTACTGTCACGCTCGCTTTGACGCCTTTCAGTGCACCAGATGCAGATACGTTGATCAAGAACAATCCTACTTCCATGCACATGGTCGCCAAAACCCAGAAGATGGGATTCTCAGAAGCTCCTTCCAAGCCCCGATCGGACATCTATCTGAGAATAAACAAAGCGGCAATATCTCAAGGAGCTCTTTTGTCGCACCCCGAAGACTGCGCCGTGCCCCTTCGAGCGCGTTCGTTGCAGAACCTGCAATTGACCATGGAGGTTCGAGATGCTGCTGGACGGAGGGTAGAGCATTGCATATATCCATCATCCAATGGAGCTGGAGTAACCGCCTTCCGGACAAACGCTGTCGAGCTCGGCACCGCTTGGGACCAAACATTGTGCCTCCGGCTACCTGCTGACAAGGTCGCAGAGAGTCATGTCGTCTTGAGCATCGCGGATGCTGCCGAGTTCCCTTTCGCATTGGCCTGGATGCCACTATGGGATAAGCAAGCCTTCATCGCTGACGGCAAGCACTCCCTCATTCTTCATGCTTACGATAAAGTCACTTCTAGTGTTGCCCAGGGACGAGGGGCATATTTGTCTTTACCTTGGAATAACTCGAACTACAGAGTGGCATATGAAGGCACGATGGCCGAGATCGCCTCGGTGGAGGTCGAGACGTTGCTCTGCAGTACAGAATTCTCCCAGGATCGAAGGCTAGTCAGTCTGATCAACTGGAAGCATCAGAATTCGGTGCAGCTGTTGGACATGCTGCAGAAGTTGACGTTTGTTCCAGAGATCGAGGTTGTCAAGCAACTCAATGACGTGCTCGATGCGCTGTTTGGGATCCTTGTGCACAAATCAGGGGAATCCAAGTTCGAGGATCTGATCTTCAACGACATCGTTTGGGTTCTGGGGATTGTCCACGACCGGCGATATAATCTAGGCCCGTTGGTGGAACAGTATACCGAGAACCACTTCCGATCACCCTATGCAGCATCTTGTTTGATCCGGAGCTTTACGCGTCTCTTGCAGAGCGTCTCAGACCCACAAAGTGCTCGTGATATGAGAGCCTTGTTCAAGGTCGGGCGGGCTTTCATGAAAATCGTCATTGCATCCTACCAGCAACGACGGTTCGGGGCGGCACATTCGACAGGCACTGGCAGCGAGGAAAAGCATTCCACATTCAAGGAAGACCTACAGGCCATCTTCTTCGGTCTGCAGATGATGATGCGCAGCGAAACGGCCACCCTGGTGGGTAGCAAGACGCTGCTGGTGCAGAATTTCCACACCTGGCTGCCCGAGTTGTTGCCCGCGTTCAGCAAAGAAGAAGTCATCCAGATTGCCATTGAGCTCGTGGACTCGTGCGCAGAAGCGACTGGGAAGTTGGTCCTGTACCGGATTCTGCTGATATTGAATTACACCAAGTTAGATGCCATCTGGGTCGAAGACAAGGACCGCAAGATTCTAGTTAAGAATTGTGTCAGATGGCTCTCACCATACTGGGAGCAGAATGATCTGACTCAACATTGGCAGGAGCAGATCCGACTTTGCTGCTCCGTGGTGGCCGAGCTGACCCGCCTCCCGGGGGTTTATTTGTATGACTTCATGCCAAAACTGATCTTTGCCTACAGCGCCATCGCCAAAGAGCCGGTCAACAGGCATCGCTCGCTGTCGCTGCTCTTCCCGGACACCTACCCCTTTGTCACCAAGTCGGCCCCCGACTGCAACGATCAGTTCGAGGAACCGCTGATCGAGCTGGCTGGCCTTATGTCGACCATCATTAACATGAAGTCTCCCTTGGGAACAAGCTTGAAGTTGGAGGGACAGGATTTGTCAGAGTATGTTCACGCGGCACTCATCGTCTTACGCTCGCTGCTACAGAACCACGCGTATCCCTCGACTTGGCTTAGTCTGCACATCTACCATCACTCCTCGGCCATGGCCGTTCTGGAGCACCTTTTCTCGATTCTCACGTCGTCATGCCTTCCAGACCCCGAGGATGCAGATGATTTTGACATGCAGCTCTGGCGATCATTTTTGGACACCATCCTCCTCCTCGTCTCATCGCCGGCTCTGACCCTCGAGCTGTTCCCGGAGCAGAAGCGCCGCGCGGTCTGGAAGATCGCCGGTGACGTGCGTCAAGCGGGCGCCGACCTCCTCCGCAAGGCGTGGGAGAGTCTCGGCTGGGAAGCCACTGCGGACGACCAACGACGGTACAGCATCCACAAGCTCGGCGGGTACCAGGTCCAATATGTGCCGAGTCTGGTCGGCCCTGTGGTCCATCTCTGTCTGAGCATGCATGAAGGATTGCGCAAGGTCGCCGTCGAGATCTTGCAAACCATGATCGTGTCTGAATGGGCGCTGAGCGAAGACTTGGAGCCGATCGAGACTGAAATCATCGGCGCCCTCAACACCGTGCTCAAGGCCCGTACCGTCTCCGCCAATGAAGCAATCAGCCGCAAGCTGTTTATTTCAGAGCTGTTGGATCTCTTCGCCACGATCGCCAGTCAGCCTGACGACGCCTTGTGGACCGCCCTGGAGGATCTGGTCTCGACCGTCGAAGAACTCGTCGATTTGCTCACTTCGTCCGGCGACGATCCAGAAGACGATGATGACGTGCCATTGCAACACCAACAAGAACAATTACCACCACTGCCCTCAAGCAGCCCTACGTCCAACGGGCAACATGCTGCCAAAAATGGTCACTATCGGCAGCAGAGCAAGAAGGACACGGACGCCCACTCACAGACCTCCGAGGCCAAGGAGCTCGCCCGGGCCCGCCGGTCCATCGACGGCCTCAGCCCCTCCCAAGCCCAGCACGGTCGTGGAGGCCGAGAGTACGGCGTGCACGCCCTCGAGTGCTATAAACAACTCGCCGAGGAGTACGAGCGCACCGGGGACTATAAGCGGCTGGCCAAGACGTATCGCGCCATTGCGAGGATCCATGAGGCCAGAGCCGCTGCCCGAGAACTGGATGGTGGACAAAGAGGCGGGCAAGACGATGACATTGACGGAGACGAATAATTCCAAAAGAAATATGTTGCAGCGGAAAGAAAATATGTTGAACCTACCAGCGCGGTGTAGAAAGAGGTTTGTTTGATAAGCAGAGCCAGACCAGTGGGAGCTTTTGGATCGGGAATTAATCGAGTAGCTTGGATGAGACAGAACATTACAGTTATCAGGAGAGGTCTTAGAGCAAGCGGAATCCCCGGGCATGAGAGCCACGGTGGTCTTCTGTCTTGTACTCTGAAAACAACGGACGCGATTTGTTCCTTTGACTTGCAGGATATTCGACTTTATAGTCGGCCTAACTAGACTCCCAAAGCGAAAAAGTGGCAACCAAGAGATAAATATCCATCATAGACATGCGCTGCAGTCATACCGCGAGTCTTGAGAATGATCTACCTGTAGTCGCTCGACTGTGCGTCGATGCGCAGCTTGGATTGTCCGTGGGAGGCTCTTGCGGAGAGGGAACACAACGGCACCTAAGGCGGTGACACGCGGGCAGCTCACTGCCACGAGGCCGTCAGGGAGAGGCGGGCAGCGCATTGAGCACAGTCAATGCTGCGAGCTCCTCTTTGCCAAACAAACTGCCTGAACAGGAGACATAAACATGAGCCAAATACAAACAGTCTTGTCCTCAAAACAAACAGCGCACAAGCACACCACAATTTCTCCAGCAGAGATGTTTGGCATCTCCATAATCAGGCGATGGGTGTCTATCCAGAGCTGGATTGGGCAATTTCGATGTTGCCACCGTTCTGATCAGCTGTGGTGAAAGCAATAGATTCAATTAGATTGATCACTCTCCTAGACAACGTAAGCAACAGCTCCAATCTCGCGGATCACCTCGTGGTCAGTGTCAAAGTGGCGAAGACGTCTGTCTGGGTAAGCAAAGCACAGATGCACGGATGGTAGCTGGCGACCCAGCTTTTTATATTTGACAGCGTCGGTGCGCGAGTGACTAGGCATTAGCCGCAAGGCAGCACCAAATGGACACTCCAAATTTGGGATTGCTTTGATTACCTGTTATGATTGAGCAACACATTGCAAAAAACAGTAGGAGAATGTGACCTTGGTCGAAAGACATCCGGCTCAATCATCCGTCTGGGGCTCTTCGCATGCCCTGCCCTTGCGAGAACAGCCCAACGAGCCACCGAGATGTTGGTTAAAAGAGCGCTGACAATAATAATGAGTCCACGTATGTTCATGTCAAAGAGGTCACTGGAGCTTGTCATTGGGGTGCTTCCTACCCTCCAAACCGTTCATCCTGGAACCCTTTCGACCACGGCTGCACTGTGACCTACCGGTACCTGAAATTTCCTCTCTTGGTTTGCCAGCTGTCAGACCCAGGAGCAGGGACAATCCAGAAAGACGAGCTGCAAGTGATGGAGTGGGTAGACCCAGTGGTTCAGGAGTCAATGCGCGCAGCACTGGCGAAGAGTGGGTGAAGAGGAAGTGTCGAGCTGTCGAGGTGGGTTGTGAAGATGTTCTGACAGGCATTGGTGCCAGGGGTAGTTTCTTCTCTGCCGTTACTGACATCAGCTTTCCGGTGGCTCCGCCAGGCACTCCGCCTACAGCTTTTGACCAGGAGTTCAGCCGGAAGGTATCCCGCCAAACTCGATCGTCTGCGCATAGAGCATAGATTAATCGTCGTAGCTATCGGTAACGAGCTACAGTGAGATGAAAGGATACCTGCTGCAACGAAGGAGTAGAAATGGAGAACGGGGCCAAGGAGGCCACGCTGCGTAACAGATCGAGCAGGGTGCCGAAACGGGGCAGAGCAGGGATGTCAGCGATGTCAGACTGGACGAAGAAGGCTGTAGATTGCCGGAAAGATGAAGTTCTCGCATTGAAGCAGATGGGAGAGTGGGCTGTCGTGAGCTGTCGGCTGTCGCAGTGGAACAGAATTGGACGAGGAGGATTCCATTTGCAGTCGAGTTGCAGCCAAGACGCGCCTGCCGTCTGCCGGGTTGCGCCTGCCATTCGTCAGCCCCTCCGAAATCCAGACGCAGATCGAGGAAGGTGCGTCTGGGTGCGTCTGGCAGCAGTCACGACTGTTGGCTTCCAACTCAATTACTGCATGGAAATCAATCGGCGCAGTGGCAGAAAAAAGACTCCCACCATACAGTGTATCCACGGCCACTCCATCACATCACCAAACGATCATCCATCCGTCGGCTCCAGCTCCAGCTCCAGCTTCCGCAGGTGCCATGCCTCCGCCATCCTCGCCGTGTCGTCGACGACTAGTCGCGACGATAGTCCAGGCACAGATCTCAGCAATCTCGTCGTCTCCATGACTACCTCAACGGCGGTGCTCAATCCATCTCCACGTTGCTCACGAGACAGACGCGCTCGAGCCCGTTCTCGCCCGGTGCAGAGACGTCAACCCGCCCGTCACTTTGCCATCACCGCGGTCACTCCCATCAGTTGCCTCAAAGACATCCATCGCCGCAAGATTGCAAAACAGAGATCCTCTCCCGAGTGCCCTATCCTCGCCACGGACCGCCGCTCAGATACTCACTACAAAGACCACTTGGAGCCCGTGTTCAACTGTCGTACCATCCTTCATCTTCTCCATACCCACACGCTTGGATCGCACTCTCTGGCCATCATCAGTACTTGCGGAGGGCAAGAGTCACAGCCTGCTCAGAACGTCGCGGAGTGAGTGCCCGTCTGGAAGACTACACCATCGTGGATAGCAACAGAAGCCCGTGGCGCGTTGGACCTGCTGGACACACATACAAACCAAGGATCCACCACGATTGTGTGAACGGACTTCTACTATTGGGACTCGATCATTGAACAACTCCAGAGTTTGGGGAAGAAAGGACCTAACACGACTGTTCATCGTCTGTACATATCGAACAAACACCAATACTGGGCTCATAGTGTCGTCGATCTACCGAGACCTAGACCCGTGCCTTAGCCTCATTGCTCCTGTGACCAAGCGAATATTGGCTATACTGTGGCGTCATACGCGACAGACACCTCAATAATTCACAAAGGCGACTGTCTCGGAAAGGGTATTGGTGGTTGCCAAGGCATACATACCAGAAGCCCTGTTGCCCTTGTTTTGCATTCCGATCGAATGTTGGCAATTCATTAGCCAACCCTTGAACCACTTCTTCTTTCTCACCATTTTTTTCGAACTTCCAATTCATCGCCAATTATTCAATTTCAGGTGAGTGCCGTTGCATGAGGATTACGTCTTATTCCCTAAATGGTTCTTTTGAGCAATATGGACTGTGCTTGGTCCTATCAGCTGCCAATGGGCGGAGGGACCTACTAGACCCAAGAGGCTATCCGGAAGCGCGCCTTGACCCCCCCTCCTCCACTTAGCACTGATCCCTTGAGGGCCAAGGTGTTCATGAACATCTGGATTCCCATCTTTCCCCATCATCTCTTCTGCATCAATTGCTGACCGACGAAATGCAGACCTCAGGCTTCCGATTCAACGCAGGTCAATTTCCAAAGCCTCAGAACGGCATTGCAGTTCAGCAGGCTTCACGACCGCCGCCAGCATTTCCTGCCAAGGGAGGAATGGACATTGGAGGACTTCTCAACGCCAGGAATGCAGCTGCCGCCGACGCGGAGTTAAGACGTCAACTACAGCAATCAATGCAGATGAACGGCGGCGTGGCATACAGCATGAGCCACAACCAAGGCCCGACGATGGCTCACCATCCACAGCATACCATGCAACCACCCAGTGGATTGCCATACGGTGCTTTGGGTCAGCATCAGCACAACCCACAGATGTACGCGCAGAGCTACATCCCTCGTCAACAGGAGAATCAAAACGCGCTCGACGACAACTTTGGCGCGATCAAACCAAAGCCCGTGGGCGCACCGAAGGCATTCGCATGCAGTACTTGTCAGAAGGGCTTCGCGAGGCGAAGTGATCTTGCCCGACACGGTATGTTTTACGGTTTTGTGTCTAGGGGATCCGGCTGATGATCGCTCCAGAACGGATTCACAGCGGTATCAGGCCTCACGCCTGTGATTACCCGGGATGCGGCAAACAATTCATCCAGAGATCAGCTCTTACGGTGCACGCAAGAGTTCATACGGGCGAGAAACCTCACATGTGCGAGCGTTGCGGAAAGGTCAGTTTGGTTTCTGGTCGATGGCTGGTACTACAATTGCTAACAAGACCACTACAGCCCTTCTCCGACTCGAGTTCACTTGCGCGACACAGAAGAATCCATTCCGGCAAGCGACCGTACAAATGCCCGTATGCCAATTGCCAGAAAACGTTCACAAGGCGGACGACTCTGACCAGGCATATGAATCATCATACGGGCACGATCGAGCAAGCAGCAGCAGAGACTAACGCCAAACTATCGACCACGCAGGCCCAGAGTCAGTCCCTCTATGGATCCACATCCGGCTCATCAAGGAACTCGACGGCTTCGCCCGCCGATAGGCAACTCTCAGTCTCGCCCAACACTGCACTGCCTGCAGCGACCAATCAAATGCAGAGGCAAGGGTCAGACTATGGATACATTTCTCAAAACCATTCGTTGCCTCCACACATGAGGACGGATTTTCAGCAGAATGCATCACGCCAAAGTCCATCTCTCGGTGGCCACAACCTTCACAACTACACCAGCGCTCCTCAGCAGCAAAGGCCAACCACATCGAACCCTTCCAACTACGGCCCACCGCGGCCTATGGAGCCCCCTGCAACCGGCACAGGCAGTGGTGGCGCTTCCCCTCATATGGGAGCCCTCGGATGGGGATCTCCCAACGCTGGAAATCTTCCCAACCCTCCTACGATGGACAACTATGCTTATCCTGACCCTGGCTACGGCGGTCACCCCATGTATTATCCGGGCAGCAGCATTCGGCGACCGCAAAGCACCGAACCGGAAGGGTACGACATTCGAGCGCGACACCCTCATATGGCTCACCACGTGCCGATTACAGCCGATTGGAGTGCCATGCCGATAGCTGTCCAGGATCATCGGCAAGAACGATATGTGATGTAGCCAAGTCACATTTGAAGGATTCTTGACCCGTTTTGAGATGGATCAGTTCGTCCCACACTAGAGGGCGCGCTCAATTATTCTGGGCCTGGCTCCAACAAAATGGAGTTTTGGACCATTCTCGCTGACCGGCCCTCCCGAGCGCGCCGAAAGCAGCTGAGGCGCTCCGAGCGCACAGCCGTTGTTTTGTCATGATACCCCGGAAAGGTCATTTTGCGTTTGATTATTCCGTCATGGATTCGCCGGATTTTGTGGTTTTTTACACTTCATTGTACGATATTCATGAGTCTCAATTAATGGAACCAGGAGCAGGAGCAGGAGCAGGAACAGGAACAGGAACAGGGTGGATCAGGACTCGAATCAGCGTGATAGGAACTATTGTACAAACGACGTTTTTTTCTTCAGAAAAGGGAGTCGAGAGGCTGTGGAACTCTGTGGGATCTCGAACGGCAGTGGCTGGTGAAGCACTAGCCTTGCGACGCACAGGCATCATGGTGATCATGGCGCAATATAGGCTTGAGGTGTGTGCGGATCCGGAGGCGTCTGGAGTTTTGTTGCATCGAATGGCAGTGGCGGCATTGGGTCATGCCAGGTTGAAATCGTTTGAGCGTGGGGCTTGGATGCCAGGACTATTGCTTTGTCGCGTTCAATCAATTCACCATTTATTGCGTCTAGCATGGCGGATTGGAGTCAGGTCTGCCCACTTCTGACGTGTAACGTAGATACATGAGGGACCAAGTACGAATGTTGTACCTTGCATGGGTCCTCAGCCCCCCTCCCCCTCAGCCTAGACAGCCTACACAGCCTAGACACTCTAAGGGGTGGCCTCATGAGGCGGCAGTTGGTTGCAATTAGATCTCTTCACTTCGGATAATCGGGCAGGTTTGGTGTTGCAGTAGTTGAGAAGTTTACTTGAAGATAAAGTTCGGCGAGGCATGGCAAGCCTGGCGAGAAGATGGTAGGGAGGCATCGTGGTCTGACATGCGATGCGGATAGATGGATGGATTACATTTCCTGTCGTATGGATTTGGGTTGCGCATGTTTTTTCTGAATTGAGTGAGCAACTCGTTCAGTCAGGATTGTAGTCACCTACGTGTTCTTGTCGTCAGACAGATCGAGGGTATGTTGGCTCTGCTCCGCCTTCTGGTCGTTGGATTTGGCCCTTCTCTGCCCAATTTTCCCACATCAGATCTACAATAATGCAATGCTACATGTTAGTTGTACTGTGATGGGCTTTGATGGAGTCTGACCAGACTGTCCAACGTTGTATTATGATCTCGCGAGTCGAGCCTGATAGGGGGACCTTTCAGAGAAGATGATGGGGTGGAGCAAGATCACCACTGAACTCGAGGACATTTCTCCCACTACAACTAGAACTTGGAATCGGAAATCAAAACGATGCCATCATCCGTTGACTCGACATGACTCGATGCCATTATTTATTCGATGAGCGCTGCCAGTGTTGAACAATATCATGTCCTATTGTATCATATTGTATCATATCAATCATGTGTGCCTTTATCCACAGCATTCGGTGATCGGTAGTACCACCAGAGTTTGAACCCGACTACTACAATTGTCGTAGTACTGTTAGAAGAAGTAGTAGTAGTAGTAGTAGTAGTAGTAGTAGTAGTAGTAGTAGTAGTAGTAGTAGTAGTAGTAGTAGTAGTAGTAGTAGTAGTAGTAGTAGTAG